TGCTCTGTTTTAGTGCTGTATTTTTTTGTATTCCCTTTCTTTCTGACCCCCTCAGTGAGCTCTTACTCAGATGCCAAACTCACAGATTTTAAGACAGATCACAGAATTTGATACAGAGGGTTCCACGGTCACTGTGATGCTGAGTTTAAAGCCCTTTAATTAGACCTAAAGTTCTCCTAGTATCCACGGTACTGACAAGTTGTGCATGTGTGCATGTGTGTATTTATGTCTATCTGAGGCAGAGAGTAGCATGATGGTTACCAAGGTGACAGAAACATCTTTTCCCCTTCTTTTGCAGCAGGAAGCAGGAAAACGTCATCAACTCTGGATGAAACCCCAGAAAAAAAACGTGTAGCAACCTCCTTTTCCCTCTCTCTCTCTCTCTCTCTCTCTCTCTCTCTCTATCTCTCTATCTCTCTATCTCTCTCTCTCACACACACACACACACACACACACACACACACACACACACACACACACACACACACACACACAAACAAAAGCATACATGCACCACCCTTGTTTATGATGTGAGGCTGAATATCAACATTTCTTTGTAAGGGCCACAGCTCAGCTACACGTCTTTCAGTCCTCCAACAGCCATAAACTTAAACTTATCCCTCACCTCGTCTTTGGTTGTCTTCACCCCTCACCCCTCCCTTCACCCTCCTTCCTTCTTTTATTAGTTTCTTTCCTCTCACCCTTGGGAGTAACAGCAAATTCCCAAAAAGCCTCAACAACTAAACCAACATCAGGGAGAAGTTTAACAGCTAATTCGAGCCAGGTTTCCGATAAAATGAATAAAGAATTATCTGTTACATTGTGTTAATGGTGTGCTCTTTGCTAGTAAAGTCATAGATTTCATAATAATAATAACAACAATAATAACCTAGATTTATAGAATTCTTTTCAAAATCTCAATAAAAAAGTGCATTACAAGACAGGAAACAGATCAATGCATATGAACAAATATTTGTTTAGAGGGATCAACCCACCTGGATCATGAATCCAATTATATATTTGAACATAAAATCAGGAGATTTCAGGTTAGGTAAAATGAGGAAAAGCTCTCCTATAAAAGTCAGTATTAAGAGGAGACTGAAATGACTGCACTGAGTCAGCCGACCTTATATCTAATACAGGGCTTTAGAGAGATTCATCACTTCCTCAACAGAGAAATATATTAAAAAAACTTATTTTTAAGCTTTCTGCTCTGTTTTTTAATTCATTGATTGTTGAGTTATTGCTTTAGATTTCTTGAAATAAAAAAGATACTTGAGATTATAAAGTGGTATTTTAGGAGAGCTGTGGGGACTATTTGTTATAGTGTTTTAAATTTATTTGTTTTCTTAAGTTTGAAAAGAAAGAAAGAAAGAAAGAAAGAAAGAAAGAAAGAAAGAAAGAAAGAAAGAACAGGAAAGCTGTAGGTCACTCTTAGTAAGATTTTACTGTCTCGTTACAGGGACTAGTTCTTTAATCAACACAGAACCCCAAACCGCACTTGTCAATTTCATCATACACATAGTTTTTATCAGGTATATACAACAGTTTTTCTCTGTCCTCAGAGCTGAGGTTGGATCTGCGCCGAGGCTGTTGTTGCGAGGACTCAGTCCAGTGATCAGTCTACAAGCTGTAGGATCTGAACTATCACAGATCCTATACACAGTTTTCTGCTCCGCCCTCAACTTCCTCCGCTGATTCTGATTTCTTGTCCCTCAGTAAGTCCTCTTAATGAGTACTGACCACCAGAACCGGCTGTTTCAGAGAAGCGTGGCTCAAACAGTAAAGGCCCAAATACCTGGTTCAGTTAACTGTGTCACATATGTAGATCCATTACACAATCATATGTTGGGCAGCTATACTTTTTCAACTCCAGAGTGGTTCTGGAGGAGCAACAGATCTTACAGACACAAAGACTATCTTCATGTAGGTATTATTTTAAAAGATATATTTAGGGTTATTTCAGGTCAACTGCTTTAAATTCTTTTTGTCTGTGAGTTATTGGTAAATCAAAGTGTTATACTCAACGGTGTCAGGCTGAGTTAGAGACAGAGCATGAGGCACGGGCATGTGTTAATAATTTAACAGCGTATCGTCTCATATATGTGACTGAGAGGTAAAGTGATGCCGTTGAAATGAACTGTACTGTGAGCTCTTTGACATTTTCACTGATTTTCACGCTTTGAAAACATAGGCGCAGATATTTCTGAAGCAGAGACATGTTTGTGTCACTCCCACACAGACCTGATTACAGCTCCTGATGGAATTATCATATTGACAATGAGACCTTTGCATTATAATGCACAGTTTGTGTGTTTCTGATAGCTGAAGCACATAATGAAATACAACATGGGCATGATGCAGTCAGTAAATGTCAGGGCAATTTGACAGACAGGAGGAAGAAGCTGAGATAGACGCCTGACAAAATGAAAAATGAAATGGAAAAATGAGTGAAATGACACAGTGATTGTAATCTAGGGCTCCTGTTTTGAATGCATGTTTTACTGATAGCCGACTAAAAGTGATGTGTGGGGTCTCCACCCAGAGAGATTAAATTTGAACCTTTTTTTTTTCAGACAGAAAATGGAGGGTTAAAACGACATTCCCAAACCTTACCAGGCAGACTCGGGCATATTTAACACGCCGCTCTCTGGTTTGGACCTTTTCTTGGCTCTGTGCCTCATGAGTGTAATTTGGATGAGTGCAGCTCGCTTGCCTTTGGGCTCATTAACAACAATATAAACAGTAATTACTGTGATCGCCTAATTAATTCATTTAAAAATGCTGCACGGCGTAAAAGGCATGAGCAAATCTTTTCTGGAGATAACAATTTTACGGAATCATTGTTGACATAATTAGCAATTTCATGTTCCAAAATACAACAGAAATAATTAAAAACTTTTTTGGTCCACTGTCATACATTTACTCTTTTATTCTAATTATTATTCAGATTGCTCCGGCTTTTCTTTCTCTGTTCTCTAAGCCTGCTTTCTGTGAGTTATCCTTCTCTGATCCAGCCTCTGTCTGCACGGCAGCTCTGCAGCCTGATAAATGTAATCTTCCCCTCCGGACAGACTCTTTTGTTTTTGGGCCATTTTGATGCTTTTCTCTGATCACCAAGCTTTTCTTATTATAGAAACCACACTGCCATAGCCAGTGGATTTTATTGAGGTAAAGAACAGCCTTTGTGTCCCAGTTGTATAAATACTATCGCTTTAGTGACCAGTTAATTGTAATTAACAGCAGTTAAAATGAAGCTGGAAAGAAAAGTGATTTATTTCCCCCTATGCACCGAATCTTTACATTTCTGCTTTCTTGCCCATATCTTATGCTGATTTATTCCCAAAACAATGCTGCAATCAAGTCCATTTCTCAGAAGCACAGATATAATCTACGAGAAGAGAAGTTTTTCTTTTCTTTTTTTTTTTGTATAATTGAAGGAAGATAATAATGTGGATCTGTTCCCCGAAGCAGATCCACTTCATGTGTTTATCATATAGTAAAGATCAGATTTAAGTCAGAAAAATATGTTTTATTTTAAAAATCTGCTGTATGAAGGAAATCAGCTCTGAAATGGGGCAAATGTGGATGCATAAGAAGTGTGAGAACAATGTGAGGAGCATGTGACACATTGGTTTATGTTACAGGCGCAGTCCTCTGACCCTTCAGAACCCCAATTAGTTTTCTGCAGAATTTACTGCCACGCCTGGCATCACTTCTTGTTGATTACCTCTCTACTGATTAAAGTGAGAGGAGATTTATGGCTGTTGTATGGGTGGAGGTTCTTCGTCTGTCAAAATGGTGACAAATCTCTACATGATCCAGAGCACTGCCATTGATCTTTAAAAAGTGTCCGAGGTTCATTATTGTCATCCAGTATCTGGGCAGAGGTGGGGCGGGGGTGATAAACAGTTACCTATCCTAAAATGAAGAGCAAGATTTCTCTGCTATATAAGACCTTTATATTACATGCATAAGAATAAAAAACAATGTTTTCAGTATTTAATGACAATTTACCACTCACAAATGGACTGTTTCACTTCAGGTATTTTATAAATTAACAAAGAAGAGCTGATATTAAAAATATGAAGACAGCACAGAGATGGGATGGATTTCGAAGTATGAAATCATTTGATTTATTTATCAATCTTGTTCTTGGTACATCAACTGTCATGACATAAACTGTAATAGAGAATGGGGATAAGATGCTGCAGACCAAAGTACAGCACTTGATCGCCACCTGCTGGTGGCAGCTGCATGCTCTGCCTTTAAAGTGGGCTTTGAGAGCAATTTGGTATTGTCTTACATCAAAGGGACCTGGTGCACATAAGAAAACCAGAACACTCAAACACTGACTTTACAAAGCTTTCAATCACAACAGATTCTTTGATTTCTCACAAAGGTATAACACTGACACTGTTTTCAAAATTAGATATATATGTTTTTTTTTCATAGATTAAGTTTTACACGAGCAAAATAAAGACACAAAAAAACAATGACATGTTCAATGACAATTCAGTTAAAAAAACTTTATTTGTCCACAGCAGGCATTTGGAGGCACATAGAGCAGCAAGTAAACAGTGTAAACACTCTACCAACTGTTAACAATCAAGGAAAATAAACAATACCACAGATAAAAATATAAGAATGAATTGATATAAAAATGAAGGGAGAAATTAAAATACTGAAATACTCAGAAATCTGAGTACCAGGGATCAGCATGATGGATTCAAACTAGCATTGGGTAAGTTGCATAGAGATTTAGCAAATACAAATTAACCGGAGGTTGGTATATATAGGTACAAAAGACATTCAGACATGTGTAAGTAGGCAGGAAGAAGAGCACAAAGGTGGCCTTTCTCCTCTGAGTTCTGCAGGCCCTCTGAGTTCTGCAGGCTGGGCAGTGAAGCCAGCGGCCTGATGGGAGCCACTGAAACTTAGGCAACAACGTGTGTGAGGGGTCTTGTACAATGTGTCTTGCTAGTCTGCATGTGAGATGTTCATAGACAGTCAGCAGAGTTCTGGGAGGTAGAGCTCACAGCCCTCCTGCGACCCAGTTGAGTTGTGTGGGTGAGGAAACCTAGGAACCACAGGATGAGGTGGTCATCCAGGTGGAAGGAGGAGAGTTTGTTGGCCAGGATGTGAGGCTGGAAGGTGCTGAATGCCAAGGAGAAGTCAACAAAGAGGAGGTTTTAGGGCAGTCCAAGTGTTCGTGGAGGGTGTCTAAGATTTTTGCATTGTCTACACCCCTTCTTGTGCGGTATGCAAACTGAAGAGGATCCATCAGTCAGTTAGTTAAAAACCTTCAACTGATTTAAAACACCTTCACTGATTTAAGAAGACAACAGAAATTTCAGCACATGTGGGCAACTCTGTGAGGAAGAGAGAAAATACACTTCATTTAGACTGAGACAAGATTCAGAGTTTGATCCTGTGAGCTTGAAAATCCTCCTCCTCCTCCTCCTCCTCCTTATCATCATCATCATCATCATCATCATCATCATCATCATCATCATCATCATCATCATCTCTGGCTTTACTGTTTCACTGGTACAGAGATCTCCACAGGTAAAATCTTCAGAGGGGATGAATCCTGAGTCCAGATGAATGGAAACAGTCTGTTAGTGAAAATGTGTGTGAAGGTGTGTATGAGTGTATCAGAGTCAGGATCAGAGAATGACAGTTTTCCTCTGTCCCAGTCCAGATGGACTCTGACCCTCTGAGGATGTCCTTTGACTGACAGATCAGCACCTTCACCTGACGGGGTGTATGCTCTGTATTTATCATTCCAAAGCTCGAGTCTCCACAGTCTAGAGTGAAAGTCTTCCTTCCTGTCTGCAGACTCCTCAAACACAGCTACATCCCAGCCTGTGTTCTGCCCGACTTCCACGTCCCAGCTGTGAGTCCCTGAGTTGAAGCCCTCAGAACCCAGGACAGAGTAAGGGTAGCGAATCCTCTCTGGATTATTAGGAAGCAGCCGCCTCTTCTCTCTTCGTTTCACACAGGTCAGATCTTCAGACAGGATGAGTTCTGGACTAACAGTGTTCGGGTCCAGGATCACAGGACTGTAGGAGACAACATCCATCATTGTGTTCCAGATGTTGAAGCTCAGGTTGCCCAGGTGTTTGGCCACATCTATCAGCGCTCCTGAAGGCAGCTGGGGATTCTTCAGCAGGGGGCGCTGCTGGACTCTTTCCACTGCGGCCTTGTAGTTTTTCAGAAATGAGAGATCTGCAGCTCTCAGCTCCTCCTCTGTGGCTTTGACTGTGTCTGAAAGAGCTTCTATCTCTCTGCTCACAGCCTCCATCTGCTCCTTCATCATCTGACTCTTCTGCTCCTCTTCCTCCCTCAGAGCACAGATTCTGGCCTCTTCTTGCTCTTGTAGAAACTGGTGAAGCTTCGTAAACTGCTGCTTTATCTGCCTCTCTGTGTTTGCAGCCTGGGCCTTGATGTATTTCCCTGTTTTATCCCAGCTCTCTTTGATTTCAGTGAGACTCTTCAGTTTCTCCTGTAAAGGTTTCAGGATTTGCTGGAGCTGGTCCCTGAGATCTTGCACACCTTCATCGATGGGTCTAAATGAGTGGTTACTGTGTAGTTTAGAGTCTCTGCATATGAGACATGCTGGCTGCTGATGATCCAGGCAGAAGAGTCTGAGTTTCTCAGAGTGCAGACTGCAGAGACCCTCAGAGTCTGATGTTGCTCTCTGGTCTCTCTGCAGTAAGAAGTTCTCACACAGGTTCTTTAACACCAAGTTACAAGGAGGTTCATACTTAGGTTTCTTTTTACAGATCGGACACTTGGGGGCCCGTGTCTCTGTCCACCAGCTCCGCAGACAGGCTCTACAGAAGCTGTGGCTACATGACAGAATCACAGGATTTTTGAAGATGTCACGGCAGATAGAACAGCACAGATCCTCCTCCGAATAAGACGCCATTTTCCTCAGAGTGAGGCCAAACTCTGGACAAGCAGAAAGCTCCTGGTTTACTGTGACTTACTTTGACTATGACTCCTGTGTTTTCTGAAGCTCTGTTCACTCTGCAGTCAGCACCTGGTTAAAGTTTCAGTATTCCAGTATTGAGCTGTCATCTCGTCGTGAATGTCGTCTCTTTAGTGTCTAACAGTGAAGTGGATCAACCATCCGTGTGTGTGTGTCTGGAGAGAGAACAACTTGTTACTGGTGTGCCTGGTTGAGTTGTAATCAGGGTGAGGTTTTATTTCCCTGTTTATGATGTTAAAGTCCAAGAGTGGAGATGATCTCACCTTGAGGGTTTTGTATTGGTGTAAAAAAAAATGTTTTTTTTTTCCTTGGGAGGAGGGGGGTGTCTTATTTTTGACTTTAAATAGTGCTCACTGCTCATCACATGGACAGTTTGCTGTTCTATGGCCACCCATCAATCCAGCTCAATAACCAGGACTTAAGTTTAAGTTCAAATTTGGAAAAATGCATCCATTATCGTCTTATATTTGCTGAAAGGTAGTAAATTTGAAGATTGTGCCTTTGAACGGTGGAATATAAAATGGACTGTCTAGTCTTCTGACCACCCACAACACTTTTACATCACATGTCAAATTCCCACACTGATGGCAGAGGCCACATTCAGTTTCTGCCTCATCCCATTCATACACAAGTGGTTGCAGCCAGCAGGAGCAGGGAGCCACATCTGCCCTACACTTTCAAGGGGAATAGTAAAATTGTCACACTGTAGCACTTCCCAAAAGACTTTGAACCTTTGCAGTCTAAACTGTTTGTGAAATCCCTCCGTCCAATTTGCAGACTGTGACCCAGACCCAGACATCATTCTAGCCAACCCTGGAGCTGTCATCAAGAAGCTGATATTCTAACAAGCAAAGCTTTTCACATCGCTATGGTAGCGAGATTATCAGCCTGGTAAACTAATGCCTTCAACAAGCATCAAAAAGGTAGTAGGACTGGACTCAGGATTCTGAGGAGAACTGAGGAGCCAACAGAGATTCTGGCTTTCAGTGTAAGTGATTTACTTCTTACTGTTCCCCTGTGAGCAATGCTGAACCATCAGCATGTGCCTTAACACCAAGATAATCAATAAAAATGGCAATTACAAGAATCTCTATGAGTTTAAGTACAGTTAATGTGTTTAGCATTTACACCTGAACTGATTATAATACCAGTCTGCAGCAAAAACATCAAACACCCCCCACCCCCACCCCCACACTTTCCAAGCAAGTGAGGAGGCTGCCATGCTAAGCCTGAGAAGCACACAGAACCCTCAGCTTGGAGCATATTGTGAGGAGATAAGAGCAGGTTTTGTAAAAAAAAAAACTCAGTTCAGACCATCCAACTGAGGATGAATCATGGTTCATCCTCGACCATTTAGTCTGCCTCTAACAGGAAGAACTACATTGTGTTCCTTTGTTCTTCCTGTTGTATTGCGGCCTCAACCTGACTGTTACCGCTCTGCCTGGTCCTACTCTTGGTGCTTCTTTCCCTGGAGCTCTGCTGGGTTTCAAACAGCAATCTGTGGCCATCAGTGGGGGTGAACTAAAGAGTATGTTTGACCGGGTCAGACTTTTACCAGGGGATAAGACATTTCTGAGATTTGTATGGAGAGATGTGAGATGAGAAGATCCCCCCAGGGACCTCCCTTCCTTTGCAAGACCCCTGAAGCATGGCCAGAGCAGCCGTCCCCAGTAGTGGAGCCTGACCCATCAGAACACCTCAACCACACCACCACCTTTTCTGCCTTCTGTTGACTAGTATGCCTCCTGGAAATGTCTGATAAAAGCCCAGGAGCTGGAGCTTCATTATGCAGCTTCTCAAACTGCTGCCCCTTCTTCATATAATTGTCAGCGAGCAGAGAAGCTGATCTTCAAGCAAATACAAAGAGACAGTTTCCCAGAGGAGATCCACCACCTAAAGAAAGAAAAATCCATCCAGCATAGCACTTACCCTGGTTATTGAGCTGGATCCCTAAGACGGGACTAACCAAGCAGACCCACTCAAGACTAGCATCATTCATCTGATTGTCTAGAATCCTGCACACTTCAGCCACCAAACTGCTTTTACAAGATCATGATGCTCGCCTCTGCCATCCAGGACCTGAGCATGTTTATGCAGAGATGCAGAGTGCTTAAGGTTACTGCAAGGGTGAGAAGCAATCCACCAGATCCAGCACCTATGTCAAAAGTGTCTCGGATGGGAAGTTGCTAAAAATGGCCGACCTACCTGCAGCCCACCTGTGACTCTACAAGCCACCTTTCTACTCCTCTGGAGTAGATCGTTTTCGGCATTTCCAGATTAAGCTGGGCTGCTACACAGAAAAGAGGTGTCTCACATTCAAATGTCTCACCTCTCATGCAGTACACCTAAACTTCTTGCACAGCATAGATGTTTACTCCGGTCTTATAGCCCTCAGGAGGTTTAAATCTCACAGGGTTACCCCAGCATAGATCCTCTCATATCAGGGGACAAATGGTCAAAGGAAACACCAAGAAGCCTCCACCAATGTGAATCTGCGACTGCAGCAGCAACTGTCAGAGCAGAAAAAGCCTTTCATTTCAATCCTCCTTGGGTGGAGTGTGGTAACAGGAAATTCATTCTGTAAAATCACACTGTGATGGGAGTCTGTGTCTGAAGAGGTCAAGTTTTATCCAGAAGTATCTGCCTACATAACAATACTGCCAGAGGTGGCCGACTGCTCCAGAACCCCTGGCTGTGGTCTTGGTGGTAATTCTGGTAGATCCACAATTACACTGAGCTAATTGGCCCATTGGAGGGGTGATTAAAGTCTCTCAGACCATAGATGGTCATGTATGATTGGCAGATGTTCACATTAAGGGTTGAACCTACACCAGACTGTTGGCTCGACTTTTCCACCTTCTGTTCATCACTGATTCAGAGGAGGACATAGATTAACCAGTGTCTGGTGAAGAGAGTCCAACAGATGAGCCTCAACAAATCACTGGAACAATAAGGAGGCAGCTGTATAGACGGCTCCCATCCGTACCAGATTGATGATGTCATAACTCCACTCTATGGTCACATGGCAGGTCTACACACAGTATGGTGAACAGTTTCAGTGGTAATAGTGTTGCCTGTAGTTAATAGTTTTCTTCTTGAGTGTTGTTTATGCATGTCTATTACAAACCAACCACACACATACTCCATATGCATTTATATGTTTAAGAAGAAGAAACTGCTTCTTGTGTGTACTTACAACACCTCCTCACCAACACAGACCATCAAAGGCCAGCACGGTCACATCCAACAGGTACTCTTTTTATGTTTGTATGTTTGAATGCCTTTAGTTTTTTTTTTTTTTTTTGATCCAAATTAGTTCAATAAAACAAGAGAATAGAAACTGTAGACCTTCATATTCAACAATGATTCAGTAAAACCTAGTTTTTAGAATCAGAAACTAAACTGCGGTTAACATTCAATGTGATTCTTCTGTCTCCCAGTCAAGATGGGAAAATGCAGTTCAGTTCGTATGCTTTATTACAGGAAAACAAATGTGGGTTGCATTCCATTGAGAAAAAAGTCCACTGTGTGTGTGAATTCAAAAAGGATTAAACTTAGAATAACATTTTTCAAGTATTTTTTCTGTTCTGTTTTTCTGAATAAAAGAGATTATTATTTTGTTAATTCAGAAAAATATGCTAAAAAAAAATAGCCTTTCGGTGTCTCATAATAATCGTCTCGTTAATTCAAATACCCTGCTTTAAAACCTTACCTTCTACCACCAATAGATGAGGCTAGAGTCTTACTGACCGTGCGGCTAAAGAGCAGAAATAAAACAGAGCTCTCACTCTGCTCTCGTCGTGACCGCCATAGTCGTATCAGGTAATATAATTCATGCAAAGATGAGGGGTACAGATTAAAAACTTTAGTTTTTCTAAAAATAAATCAAAGTTCTTACACATTTTAAAAATGTGTTTCTTTCCACGGAAAAAAACAAGGATGTATTAAAACACGTTTATCAAAAACCGGAAGAGAGTGCGGTTTCTGCTGTCAGAGGAAACATCTGTATGATATTCAACCTTTGGAGTAATTCCACTAAGTGACTGACACTTGTTGGAGGTACATGTGTTCCTGTGTTGGCCAGCTGTATACAGAGTTACTGCTAGTTGATGAAAAGGTAACTGATAGTGAGATTTCTAACCCGGAGAGGTGTTGTTTCTCCCGTTTGAAGTAAGTGATTCGCGACCTCGATAGCTCTTATTTGCTTGTTTCCTGTTTTTGTTTTTTTTTTCAATTACACTCTACATAGAGCCGTGTGGAGTTATGGTAGACTCTGTTATGTGCACTGCATCTGTGTACGTGATGAAAATGTGAGCTCTTTAATGAGGAGTTCTTCCATGTACCAAAGTTTAAGAGGGCTACACTCGGGGCATTAAGTCATTGTAAAGCCTGTCGTTTGTACCATCATCCTTAACCGTGTAGTCTTAGCCTGCCATGCTAACTGAGCCTGCGAAGCAGATTCATACGTCTGTTTTGGTTCTTGTTTGAAACAAGCAGGGTTTAATGTCCAGTTGGCTGTCCATCCTCTGTTATTACAGCTGTAATATCTCATTTTCATCATGTGCTGAGCCTTAGTTTTCATCGTTGTAGAGAAAATGTCCATTTGCTGTGAACATTTCCGCAGGTGGTGCTGTTGGCGGAGAACTGAGCTTCACTTCTGCAGGACAGTGTTTGCTGTTTCCTGAACTGTGCGCAGAAGGTTGCAGGAGTTCAGCTTTACATGGTGGTACTTCACTAAAAACACAATAAGGAACTGCCAAAGGATAGCTTTACGGTCATTGACCGAACAGAGCAGACTCTTAGGAGAATTTATTGTGGCATAGTCCTTACTAAAGCTATTGTGAAGAGATGACAGCATGGTGAAATGAAAGAAGTCATTCCTGTTATTCATTAAATTCCAAAAACAAGGAAACAACTGCAGCTAGCTGTCAGGATATCACTCAAACCCATTCCTCAACCTCTATACTCATTCACACCACATTCCAGTATATCATAGTGTTGACGCTCTTGTTAGAGCAGACGGACTGGAGCTTTAAGTATGGACTTGGTCTGAATTATTAAGGAAGCAAACTTTAGAGATCAACATCAAGACTTGTAATCATGTTTTTTTCAATATTAGCCTTCTACAAGCAGACTGAGCCAACTGCTATTGACAGTAGCTGAGTAACATCCATAGTGCACTGAAGTAATGCTCAGTTTACCACTTCAGTCATTATCTTCATCTTTACACTTGTACTCACCCTGTATAGCTAACTGAAAGTGTGATTACACACATCAAAACCAAATTTAAATTATATTTGATATGCTGTTATATGGCATGAGAAAAATGTATTTTTAGTCAGAAAAAAGGTAACTGTGATATTGGGCTTGTAAGATATGACATTATTAATCAATCAGTCTCCGGATTTGGGAAAGGTGTAACATCTGATCAGAAGAGAGGTTGGAGGATGCAAATAAGTAAGAGAAAAGCAGTGACAGCCCTACCTGAATGTGCAAAGTATGTTTCTCATTTACTAGGCAGCCAGATGAGCTGACATCTGGGGCAGGTAGCACATGTAGGTAGTGTGTTCGGGGCTGAGCATGGAGAAGTCTCACTGTCAGTACTTGGTTTCAATGGAAGATAAGGTTGACTTGTATCATGCTGATTATGAGGAAGAAAGAGCGCAGGTTTCACACAGGTTAACTAGCCAAATGACCGAATGTTCCCCATTTCCTGCTTTTCCAGAAATGTACCTCATGATTTATCTCTAATAGCTTTGTTGGCTTGATTAACTGAGATCTGATGTCTCCATGGACCTTATGTATGACTTTAGTGTCAGAGCACACGTCTGTGCATCTGTTGTAGCTGCAGGTAATTAACACAGAGCCGTGCAGACCAGGCTGGACTTGACCACCTCTAACCAGCTTATTAAATCAAAATGCTGAGTAAACACCAATGAACTCCAGACAGCGTATCTAAGTGCAACAAGGTATGGAGAGGAAATAAGCATTACCATGCAGTAAACTGTGAATCACAGATAAATCAGTTAGTCTTGTACGATTATCTGCAGTGTCACTAAAAATATTCATACAATCTCCATGTAATGATTTAAACTGGTATGGCTGTGTTGTTGCATTGTCTGCTATTTTCACCTGTTTTGTAGACTTAACAATTTTACATATGGGTACAAACACAGTTGTTTAAGTACACTGCATATCTACACATCAGATACAGTGAGAGTTGAATCACTGGTTGTTTAGCCTGTCAGCTTATTAGCTGCACTGCAGTGAGATTACCTCATTAAAAACAGTATCTCTTTTGTCTTCCCACAGGTGCTACTGTTATTTTTTCAGATACAGTAATTTGTGAAAAAAAGGAGGACCCACCAAACAAGGACAGATCGAATAGTCTGGAAACGTTTGACTGGGCTGCAGACGTCCACACATTCCTCGGGTGAGTGACAGAATTACACCAATTAAATTGTTGGAGGCCTGCGTGTTTTATAGCCGGTTCATCACGATGAAATACTGTCTGTGAGGGAGTTTGAATATTTGAGGAGATTAGAGCTCAAACACTGTGAAAGATGATATCACCTCTGAGAGTGTCTGTTAAACTGGATAACAGTGATAAGGTCGTTGTTTTCCTGCTGCCAGCACACGTTTGCCATGGTGCAGTGCATCTGTTTGTCAAACTTTGGTTCACACTTTGGTTACAGCGATACACCCCTGTGATTTGCAAGTATGGGTGACATTTGTTTAATGTTAGCTATTTTAGGGTCTTGTTCCCCTCCCTGTGAGTGCTGTGATGAGTTTCAGCTCCTTGAGGCCCCGCCCAGGACAAACAGTTCAGAGGAAACAGGGATAAAGGGGCGCAAAAGCTCTTAGTTCACATGTTGATAGAAACGAGAGAAGCCTTTGCTGCTGGTCTTTAAACAGTCACACGCCTGCAAATCTACAACACAATATTAAAACTTGTTTTTTAGAAAACACCTTACCTCAGGTTCAGTTTTTTTATATTACATATACAAGTTATATTCTGTTGGTATGTGTTTATTGGCTGTGTGAGGCCTAATGTGTCCAGCCATGTCCCAGTGCAAGAATAGGTTCTGGTAGTTGGCTCTATTTTGGATCAGGCTCCAACTTTCAAAACATTTGAATGTGTGAGAATATAAAGCTGCCTAAATGCTCATCTCCTCCCATTTTGAAAGTGGCAGACAGCCATAAGTTTGCTCTGGCCTTTCACTTGAGTATACAGCACTTATCCTGCTCAGACCTGGGTGAATAAAAACATATTTCATGTTTAGTAGAATGGCAAACTTTTCGTTTGTGTCAATTTGTGTCAACACTTTGGACAAAGCAGTCTTTGTATATCTCATTCTTAAGACATTTTAGTAATGCCTTGAAAAAGAGGATCTCATCCTGCTGATGTTTTGAAGGTCAAATATGTTATTTAATGTGAATATTTTGTAAAATCAGGGCCCAGCTGACATCTACCCCCTCGAATTGAACCCGGCCTCTAAAACATCCTGTATTAGACTTAAGGGACTCTCATGTAACAGTGATGGAAACTAACCTGAAGGCAGTTTATAAAACTGCTGATTTACAACCAGAGTCGGAGATGATGGCGGAAACCAAGAGAAAGAGAGGGAAAGAGATGAAGTGAGAAAGACTCTCACTGTCAGGCCTCAAAATGACAATATTAAATGATTAGTCTTGTAACTGGTGATGATCTTGTTTCTTATTTGATGACATGAAAAGGCATCACTATGAATTTTAGTGTATTTCATAAAATAAAATATTTATGCCCATCATACCAACACTTAAATGTTACTGACCCTTCAACACATCAAACAGGCACAGACAGCTCTGTGATAACTCACAGGTCAGAAAATAGCAGCTGACCAATCCCAGGGCCAGGTGTCAGCGCTCAGTCATCCAAAAACCAACCAGCGACTTCACTGAGACCATGTCCATGATCAACCAGCTGGTTCAGACTAAAACATGAAATTTGAAATCTATTGGTATCTAAAGGAGTCGTTTTTCAGTTGTCACTTCGGATTTTGTTTGACATACTCACCAAAATAAGTTACCCAGTGGACTTCTTCGAAGAGCAACAGGCAGCAGCACATGGTGTTCCTTTGATCAAGCTGCTACAGTAGGTCATATGTGAAGTCTTGCACAGGCTGTTGACGATCCTGTCTGATCACAGCCTCTGGAGTCAACCAGGACAAAGATGTGGTGGAACAGCTGCATTTCTTTGTACTCTGAGGATTCAGTCAGAACTGCATGTGAACTCGTGCTTTAAAGTATCTCATGAAGGAAATGTCTTCACACTGGAATTTAAGTTGTTTATTTTACTGTCACAGCTGCGGGTACATTATGGACCGTATAGTTCCAACCTGTGTCTATATATTTCCTCATTATACAGCACCCTGGTGGCTTTGTGGTCTGAAAGCACATACTAAGTTACAGTGACACTGATGATCCAGGTCTGGCCTGTGTTTTATGGTCTCCTCTTAAGTTCTCTGAGCTGCTCCAGCTTTAATATTAAAGTGTGCTCTGAAGCGACACTTGTTTATACAGGCTTTTGGTATCTAGTTAGGTTTTTTTGTAGTGTGTTGTTAAGCGCTTTGGGTATCTTGAAAGGCACTATACAAATGTAAGATATTATTATTATTATTATTATTATAGTGATGCTGCTAAAAGGAGGTCATGCCAAATTAAAAAAATAAAACAAAAACAGAAAGATATGCCTGTAATTTGACTGATTTCACATTGTTGATATGAGAAGGGCCTCAGCAAGCTGCAATACAGCTAGGTCCCTGGTTTCAATGAGGAATGCCAGCTATTTTAACTATCCATCCTGGGAAACTGAAGGACAAATGTGGGAGCAGTTTCCCACACAGTGCCATGTATGATAAGGAAAAAGAGACAGAGAGGACCAAACACTGATAGTCTGCATGGAGGGAGAGTTTGCAGCATGGCATTTGATTGGGCGCAAATAAAGCACACACGGTTGGCTGTACTTTGAATCATTTTGAGTAAAAAGAAATATGAATGTAAATACTTTGGAAATTTGATGGAACAGTTGCTCCAACACACAATATAATTCCATCCATAACATGACAATAAAAGGACATACCAATTCATGTCCAAGACAAATAAACATTATAGAAAGAAAGGATAAATATGATAATAAGTACAAATATCATCGTAAATATGGCTCTAAATTCATTTATTCATACAGTAGTAACTCTGCTCTGAAACTGGAGTTCGAATTCACATATTTGGTTTCATTGTTTCAGCTTTAGACAGGAATCTTTGTGTGTTTGACGAGTTATTTTAGGGGATCTACACTCAGTCAGTGCTGTACCCTTCCCATCACTCCTCGATTGGTATGCCGAAATACCCACATCCCTCTGACCTCTCATTCAGAGAGGATGATTCATGTCAGCTGGATGTACCAGCTGGCTGTTATAGCTCAGCTGTGTGTGTGTGTGTGTGTGTGTGTGTGTGTGTGTGTGCGTGCGTGCGTGCGTGCGTGCGTGCGTGTGTGTGTCTGTCTGTCTGTCTGTCTGTCTGTCTGTCTGTCTGTCTGTCTTTCATGACTCCTCTTCAGTCTAGCAAAACTTTCTGCATGTATTAAGTGAGGAACTTAATTCTGATTTTTCCTACAATACACAATCTGAAAAGTATCTCAAACTAAAGGTCCACTTTACATCTTTAACATTATTTTTACAGAATCTTACTGTTTTCATCAACAAACAGGATGACTCAGTTCAATCATAGAGACCATCAAATAAAGTTTAGAAATAAGTAGGTCACGTGACTGAATATAAAGGGTTTTCCTGTTGTAATTAGTCCACAAAGAAGTCACCTGATTTAAAAAATGTCATGATTCAAAGAAGCCTCTCACCCATATCCAGTCCTGGGATTAATGTGACATGGGCCCCTTTACACACAGACACGGCTGGTCTGCAGCGAGGCTGCTGTTGGACTTTTGCCTCAGTGCTCATCTTTAACAGGTGAATATCAGGAGAATACATTCGATCACCCCTCATCTGTTTTTTTTTTTTTCTTTGTATTGTATACGTTTCTATCTTAGTACTATAACTCTGGTGGACTGGTACTGCTCTGTTTAGCTTTTCTGTAGCCCTGTTTGGACTTCTCTCTTCCTTCCTCAAATCCCCTCTTTTGGTACATCTCTCATTTTAATACCTGAGACAATTTTATTATTATTTTAATCCTTTAATCTCTCTCCTTTCATTTGCCCGCCACCTCATGCTCATTGCTGGAATATACTTTGATTTTTGCTTAAGTGGTCCAACAATCAAGGCGACTACTCTATCATGGTGGAAGACAAAACTAGGTTGCAGACATTTTTTTACCTAAAGGAAGGAGGCATGAGATAAAAAGGCAATGTTTCTAAATTATAGTTATAGTTATAGCATAAGCCTCTCCTACATGCTGGTGGCCCTGCCCCCAATAATCATCAGCCCAGCCCTCTAAAAGTTCTTCGCTGAGGTAGCGTTGGCCATTTTTTCCTCTCGCATACGTCATGTTGAATGTCGAAGCTACGACCCAACCGCTGCGTGGTTCTTGGCTGCACAAACAAAGACAGATGTCTATTTCTGCCTCCTTCGTCAGGAGATTTGAGGACCCAGTGGACCAAGTTAAAGATCTCGAGGTTCTGATTACCAAAGAGGAAATAATAAAGGCTAAACATCTTCATTCAGGTAAGGCCCCAGGTTTAGATGGACTTACTGCCGAGTTCTATAGGGCTTTCCTTGAAGAACCGGTTCCATTTTTGCTGGATATGTAATGAAGCCATAGCCTTGGGTAAACTGTCCCCATCATTCAGAAGCACTAATTTCTCTCATCCCAAAAGGAGGTAAAGATCCACTTGCCTGCAATATTACAGACCTACTAGTCTGAAATATTTTGATAGTAAAATCTTATCTAATCCTTGCAAATAGGCTAGATAAAGTCATAACATTTTTAATCCACCACGACCAGGTGGAGTTCATACGTTCCAGCTATCCTGCTCATAATGTAAGAGGTTCCCTTTCAGTCGATTCACTCGGTACAACACATATAGTATGGGATATCACGCCCCTGCGTGACCTGACTGAAGACACCTTTATTCACGCCTTTAAGGCAGATGATCTGTGGTGACGTCTGGGAGGCTCCGCCTGCACATATATACGTGTAACACCACAGTCATCCTTCAGTTCTTACGCTCTTCACCTCGCTGAGAACACCTACACCGAGTCGGGCTAACTAGCTGCTGCTAAATTAGCCTGGTCTTGTCTCTGGCTACTGCTTGATCGACTTTAGCTCAACTGCCCCTGTTGGTGTTAGCCTACGGCTACCCGCGGAGCGCTAATTTCGTTCAGCTTTTGAGTCTCGTTATGAGCTCTAAGCCCATGAAGGTGAAGGCGAAGTCTTCTGTTCGCCCCTGTCCTCAGGGGTGCGGCTTCTCCCTTCACGAGAAGGATCTTCACGAGGCTTGTCCCGTTTGCCTGGGGATTGTCCACGCCAGGAGGGCGTTGACTGAGCCCGAGTCGTGTGAGTCCTGTCACCGGCTTCGGAGCTCAACCCTGGGAAGGCGGGTCAAGTTTGTGGAGAAAATTCTTGGAAAAACCGCTGTTGCGCTGCACGACCCCCTCCTTTCCGAGTCCAGAGACCCGGCTTCGTCCGAGTCCGGTGGTGAGGACTTTCTGGTCGAAGGCTCAGTTGGAAGCTGGGCAGACCATGTGGAGTGTGCTGACGGGTCAGCTGGGTTTGAGCCGGGCCCCTCCGAGGGCGCTGGCCAGCCGCTATCCGGGCTAGCTTGTTACCAGGAGGACGATGACGTGCTGGACATCGGCCTGGACGTGCAGGGTTTTTCGGAAGATGAGCTGGAGCCGTTGTCTTCAGGTCAGTATGCCGCCGCTGCTGCGCCGGTTGATCTGGACGACACATCCTTCCTCTCACTGTACCGCCGTGCAGCTGAGAAACTGGAGGTAGAATGGCCCTCTCCTCCACCAGCTCAAAAACCGTCGCGGTTCACAGGGTTTTTTCTCCCACCCGAACCGACGACTGTTAAGAACAGTTTGCCTATGTTCCCGGATTTTGTCGCGGAACTAACCTCGACATGGAACAAGCCGCTGTCCACCCGCGCCACAGTGCCCGGTTGTGGACAGTTTCTGGATCTAGATGGAGCTGAAAAAGCTGGATTGGTGAACCCTCCGCCTATGGAGGCGTCCCTGGCAGCTTATCTGGCCCCGGCCCAGAATCACGGTGTCGGTGGCCCCATCACGCTCCCATCCAAGCACTGTAGATTTTCAGCGTCACAGCTGGATAAAATTTACAGGACACAGGCAAATACGGCTCGTGCACTGAGCTCCGTCACTATGCTTCAGACATATCAAGCTATGTGTCTGGCAGAACTCGGCTCGCGTATGCCTCCTGACAGTCCGCTTACTCCTCTCCTCAATGAAGCTAGGGTCGCCACAGATTACATCCTCCGTGTGTCCCGCTGTGCAGCGCTGTCTCTCGGTAGAGGCATGGCTTCCACGGTGGTGGCGCAGAGGCACCTGTGGCTGACTCTCTCCGACGTTCCGGAGAGGGACAGAGCGGTTTATCTGGACGAGCCTGTGTCGGCCAGCGGTTTGTTTGGGCAGTCCCTCGACGACATTCAAGCTAAGTTTGAGCTGAGGAAAAAACAAACCGAAGCTTTGAGAAGCATCATCCCCAGGCGTGATGCGAGGCCCAAACAACAGGGTTATCCGCACAAACCGGCACCAGCGCCTCCCCCTAAGAGGACTGCAGCGCCCGCCAGCTTGGGGCCCCAGCCGGTGAAGCGACATGTACCCGGTCAGAACCCACGCCCTTCGGCTTGGAACAAGGGTCCGCCACCGAGCTTCCGGAGGGACTCGGCGCCCAGGAAGAAGAAGCAGCAGTCATCCTAGCTTCGGGATCGACTCGAGAGGGCCAGCAGCACGGAGACACTGTCGCCCTTCATTTTCTGCCGCCAAAGAGGCCGCGTTTAAAGTTCGTTCAGGGGTCCGGTCCCGAGAGGCGCTGCACTCCCTTAACACAGTCTCCCAAGCACAACCCCCCTCACATACACATGCCCCAATAATGGCGCCTGTTGTTCACTGTGTGAATGTCACAAATGTACGTTCTTTGAATCAAATAAAGTTTTCGTTTTGTTCTCAAAACATCATGAATCAATCAAGTCTGGGCGAGAAAGTGTTGCCGTTCCCAGCCGGCACGCTAGGGGGCGACAACCCCTCCCCCACAGTACTGGAGGTCAGTCGACTGACTGTTCGTCTCTCTCGGTGGCGCGCATGCGCAGTCTCACCGTGGGTAGAGAGAACTGTTGCCATCGGCTATCGCTTACAGTTCAGGGTCCGGCCGCCTCGCTTTCACTCTGTAATACACACAGTTGTAGCAGAGGAAGCAGCAGCAGTGCTGAGGGAAGAAATAAACAACTTGTTGAACAAGAGAGCGATACGAGTTGTTCCCGCTTCGGAAACGAACAAAGGTTGGTACAGCCGCTATTTCGTTGTTCCGAAAAAAGGAGGAGGGCTCCGTCCTATCCTAGACTTGCGAGTGTTAAACAAATACCTACGAACCTACAGGTTCAAGATGCTAACACTCAGACAGCTACTGGGCGCGATCAGACCGGGAGATTGGTTTACAACTATCGATCTGACAGATGCTTACTTTCACGTAGCAATTCATCCGGACCACAGGCAGTTTCTAAGGTTTGCATTCGAGGGCATAGCCTACGAATACCTGGTGCTGCCGTTCGGCTTATCACTCGCCCCCCGAACATTCACCAAATGTGTCGAGGCGGCATTAGCTCCGCTACGGGAGAAAGGTGTTCGCATCTTAGCCTATCTGGACGATTGGGTGCTAATCGCGAGCTCCAGAGAGCGAGCAGCGGCTCAGCTGTCATTGACCCTATCGCACATCCAAACACTGGGCTTTTCAGTAAATTTACAGAAAAGTTCACTGACTCCGAGTCAACAGGTATCATTTCTCGGGCTGGAAATATGCTCCGTTTCAAGCCGAGCACGTCTGTCAGAACGCAGGGTGGCTGCGTTTCACCGCTGCCTTGCACAATTTCAGTTGGGACGCAAACTGTGTTTCCGGACGATTTTACAGCTGACAGGCATGATGGCATCTATGATCGCTGTAGTGCCGCTCGGACTGTTAAAAATGAGAGCGTTTCAACGCTGGACTCAGTCTCACCGGCTGTGCGCGCAGCGTCACCTCCAGAGGAGGCTGACGATAACTCAGTCTTGCATGTCGGCTCTTCTCCCGTGGAGAGAACCCGGTTTTCTACAACAGGGATCTCCGATAGGGAGGGTGTCTTTTCGCAAGGTGGTGTCCACAGACGCATCCCTGAGGGGTTGGGGGGCTCTGTGCGAGGGCGCAGCAGTGAGAGGTGTGTGGACGCCAGCACAATGCAAACTCCACATCAATTACCTGGAGCTACTAGCTACCCTTTTAGCTCTGAAGCACTTTCGTCCCGTTCTGACAGGCCATCATGTTCTGATCAGGACGGACAACACAACCGTGGTTTCTTACATAAACAAGCAGGGAGGGACACGCTCTCTTCCCCTGTTAAAACTGTCTCACTATCTGTTGCTATGGTGCAGTGTTCATTTTCTGTCCCTCAGAGCCACACATATTCCGGGTCACTTAAACCTTGGACCAGACCTTCTCTCCAGGGGGGTCCTCTTGTGAGAGAGTGGAGATTGCACCCACTAGTGGTGGCTCAGATATGGGACCGCTTCGGCAAGGCAGAAGTAGATCTTTTTGCCTCCAGAGCAAATACTCATTGCCCCCTGTTCTTTTCCATAACAGACTGCAATGCTCCCCTGGGGATGGATGCGCTAGCTCACCCATGGCCCAACACGCTGCTATATGCTTTTCCCCCAGTGGAAATGATTCTGCCCATTCTGGAGAGGGTGCGCCAGCAGGGGCTCTCCCTGATCCTGGTGGCTCCTCGCTGGCCGGCGAAGTCGTGGTACGCAGAGATAATCAGTCTGCTGGTAGCGAGGCCCTGGCAGCTCCCTTTTTGCAGGGACCTCCTCTCCCAGGCGGGAGGAGAGGTGATTCACCCGCGCCCAGAACTGTGGAAACTACATGCTTACCTGTTGAAAGGTCCAACTTAATGGCTCAGGGTCTGCCCCCAAATGTGGTGGCAACAATCCAGAGTGCAAGGGCATCATCTACTAGGGGCCTATATGCCTATAAATGGCGGGCGTTTGAGCAGTGGTGTCAGGACCGAAATGTACTCCCATTTCAGAGTTCTATTGTGGATGTTTTAACATTCCTTCAGGACCTGCTGGATAAGGGTCTCTCTTTCTCAACAATTAAGGTCTATTTGGCGGCTATATCTGCATGCCATGTTGGCTTTGATGGTGTGACGCCAGGCGCTCACCCTCTTGCTATGCGCTTCCTAAAGGGAGTCCGCAGGCTAAGACCTGTTCTTAAACCCAGTGTTCCCTCATGGGATTTAGGGTTGGTGCTTGAGGCTCTTGGTGGACCCCCATTTGAGCCTATTGAGTCAGCAGACATGAAATTTCTTTCATACAAGACTGCACTGCTACTTGCTTTGACGTCTGCAAAGCGAGTGGGCGACCTTCATGCTTTGTCTGTGCATCCCTCTTGTACCCAGTTCACTCCGGATGGATCTAAGGCTACATTGCGTCCAAACGCGGCGTATTTACCTAAGATTATCCCCACAGCCTATAGCTCTATGAGTTTTGAACTGCTGAGCTTCTGCCCCCCTCCATTTGCATCTGAGGAGCAGAGGAGGTTGCATTCCTTGTGCCCTGTGCGTGCACTACGCACTTACATAGACCGCACTCAGAGTGTGCGTTTATGTGACCAGTTGTTTGTCTGTTTTGCTAATCCAGCCAAGGGCAAGGCGCTGTCTAAGCAGCGGCTTTCCCACTGGATTGTGGAGGCTATCTCCTTAGCATACGGCAGCAGGGGTCTCCCGTTGCCCCAAGGTGTGAAGGCACATTCAACCAGGGGAATGGCGGCCTCTTGGGCCTTGTTTAAAGGGGTTTCTGTGAGTGATATCTGCACTGCAGCCAGTTGGTCATCACCGCACACTTTTGTTCGGTTTTACCGTTTGGATGTGACAGCACCTTCGGTGGCTCACGCTGTCCTTTCTGCTGGGTCTACAATGCACTAAAAGTTTTGGAGGTTTTGACTTCGGTTCGGTGGCTGCTCTGCGGGGCGTGTATATATGTCCCATACTATATGTGTTGTACCGAGTGAATCGACTGAAAGGGAACGAAATGTTATGAATATAACTTCTGTTCCCTGAAGGAGAGGAACGAGGTACAACACTGGGTTGCCCCGCTGCGCGGCAGAGCTCGGTGAAGAGCGGCTATCGAACTGAAGGATGACTGTGGTGTTACACGTATATATGTGCAGGCGGAGCCTCCCAGACGTCACCACAGATCATCTGCCTTAAAGGCGTGAATAAAGGTGTCTTCAGTCAGGTCACGCAGGGGCGTGATATCCCATACTATATGTGTTGTACCTCGTTCCTCTCCTTCAGGGAACAGAAGTTATATTCATAACATTTCGTTTCATGATATTTTTGCCGAAAAGGCTTTTGATAGGGTGGAGTGGCCCCTAAAGTCCTTTGACTGTGGTAATAACTTTATAAATTGGATCAACCTAATCTATTCCCAACCCAAAGCCTCTGTCCCCACAAACAGGTTTAACTCTCCCTTTTTTGGTCTCAGTAGGGGCATGAGACAGGGTTGTCTGCTCTCTCTACTTTTCACCCTTGCCCTTGCGCCATTGGCTGAGGCCATCCAGCCAGGACCTAGGCTTTAAAGGCATCCAGTCAGGCCAAAGATCCCTCAAGCTGTTGCTATATGCAGATGACATCCTCACGTCTGTGTTTTAACGGGAAAAAAATCCTTGCCATCCTTACTTAAAACATTTGACAACTTCTCAAAAATTGGTTATGGAGAGAAAATTTCTGGTAATGAATTGGAGGACCTCCACTGCTCCTGCACCATCTCTGTGGTTCATCCTATTAGCAAAACTAGCTGCTCCAGAAAAACTGTCCTTCAGGTTGATAAGCAGGGTGGAGCAGTACTAACAGAAGTGGGGATGTTGCCATGACTTCATAGAGAGGTGCTAATTTGAGTGATTGGGTTCCAGATGGTAAGGTTGACATAAAGAAATATAACTGAGATCTGTGGCTGTGTAGTACTCAGACTGTGTAGTACTCAGACTAATCTGTAGACTTAATCTGATCTACCATTACGTGTTCATTTGCTTTTTCCTCATCTTTTGTTTGTTTATTATTTTTGTATTGTTTAATTCTTGTTTCTGTGTTCGTTTGTTGTTGCTTTTTTATTTCATTAGTGCTATCATACATATTCATACATATCAAAATGAACACACAGGAATGATACCTTTTTTTCCCTATCATCCTGCAAAGCCATGTTTATATGTCTGTATTAATCACTATATCTAGATTGTTTAGTTGTAGGCTATTGTCATTGTTGTGTTTATGTGGGAATAATTATCATTGTTAAAAAAAAAAAAAACTTAAATAAATACAAATCATAAAAAAGGCAAAACAAGGAACAACGTGATCACACACACGTCATATCAACCCTCAGCTTTACATGCATGAGGCTGAATGTAAGAAAACACCAACCCTTCCTTGAAAGAGAGCTCTTCTTCATTGAAGGTTTTAGTGTTTGTATTCGTTTGACCAACCTTGAAGCACACATCTCGTGACCTCATCAGCTCCACTATGACACTCATCTCCAAGGCCAGACAGACAGTTGGCATCGGTAGCTGCAGGCTGTGTTGAGGGAGCAGAGAGGAGTTGCTAAGCTTCACTGACAGGCTTTGGTTTCACACCCTGGCTGGCTATGAGTACATTTGCATGCCCAGATTTAGCACAGGGCTTTCCCACTATGTGAGAATGCTGTGTTGGCTGGAGCGCCTGTCTCTGTCAGACAAGTGTGAAGTCCTGGGTATACAACTGACTTCAGAGGGATTTTTAAAGACCTGTACTGCGTGTTAGGTTAATCCTGTAGGTCAAAACTTGTGTTTTTTAAGCATTCACTGAGAGGCTTAACATTTGAATGAGTGCCTCTGGCAATGATAAGATGATACTCTGAGCATCAAAATTGTTCTTGATAAAAAATTACAAACAGGGTCCTGATGAAAAGCCACACACTGAGCGGCCTCAAAAACTGACACGCAAATCTATGACGTGTATCGCAACAAGGAAGACAAGTTTGAATGGACTGTAGGAGCGTGGCAGCAGCATAGTGCAGCCCCAGTCAGCTGGGATCAGTATAGAGGAAACAACATTCTCACAGCAGGTTGTTTTGCCTTTCTGTGGTCTATTTCCTGTTAGTTTGGATATAATTCAGTGACCGTTTAGCCTCTACTGTATATAAAAAAGCAACATGATTTTACAGTTTTGGTTTTTGCAGGTTTACTCGTGTTTAATAAAGTAAACTATGTTCGTTTATGCTGTGCTGTTACCTTCAGACAGAGTTAGCAGTTAAAAGTCCTGTTAGGGTCCACATGGATCAGGGATTAACTATCGGATTATTCTGTGTTACTGATAAATCCATAATCAGGAAGTATTTCTCATCTACACGAACTGATACACAGTCGGTAGTTTGCATATGGTGTTTTATTTTGAAATTAACTGGATGACATGTGCGGTGTCCGTGCTTGACATCCTGTCTAGAACGATCCTCTCTGTGTAGACTGACGCGTGTTGGAAGCATAGAGCAGTAAAAATGAGCTTGGCGTGTATCTTTAGCAGAGCCGCGCTTGGCATGCTTCTGATACGGTGTTGCGACAGAGCTGATCCTGTGTGCCGTCCAGTGTGCCGTCCAGTGTGCGATGCCACATTGAGTAGAATGGCAACCTATTTTGCTGCGCTTATGTAATGCGCTCAATACACATCCTGTATGTTTTAGCCTTAAGTCTTCATTTTTTTGTAAATTTTTCTTACTTTTGTGAAATTCATTTGCCAGTGGGTGTAAAATGTACAGTATTTGTTTTCATTGAGAAAAAAAAATACAAGAATCAGCCTTGTGTTGATTCATAATATATTTATAAATATGTATGTATGTGTATATATATATATATGTGTGTGTAAATATATATATATATATATATATATATATATATATATATATATATATATATATATATATATATATATATATATATATATATATATATATATGGGGGGGGGGGGGGCGTTGTAACCCTAACTCCATTGCCGCTCTAGAAGCTACTCTGTTACATTCATGTTACGTTACCCACGCTACTCGATATACAGACCGTGTATAGGCTTTAACGTTACCCTTCACATTAGTGGAAGAGGGTCCGACACGATTTGGTGCGCCGAAAATAACGTCAGAATAATAATTCGGAAATAACGTTGTGTGTTGTTGTGCTTACATAGTACGCCCCTTATATCATTAGGATCATTAATATCATTGATATTAATGATCATGTGAAATTTCAGTAGTGGCGCAAGTAATTTAGCAGCACCGCTGCTGAATGAATGTAGGGGAAACATTGCTGATACACAGGAGTCCGAGGTAGAACTATGTGAGATAAAAACTTATTTTTTTTTAGGTGTGGTGGCTTTTATTGAGCCGCGGCGGTGCGCCACGATCAATTGCATGTAGGGGAAAACCACTGGAGCATGCACAGAAGTCTTCTCTGAATTAATAATAAAGGACGCTGCAGGAGCTGGATTTGTCAACAGAGCTATCAATCAGTCACCTTTAAAATCAAAGAAACAGCTTTAAGTGAATCTTATCAGAAGAATACACCTAATTTAGAATTAAATATACTATCTGTAATGACAGACTACATTTGAAAATCATTTATTTGTCACGCGCTTTGATTTTAAAATTGATCATTTGGTAACATGGAGGACGCAGGTTTTATGAGCTCTACCACAGCCAGTCTGCAGGGGGAGCTCTAAATATTATGATGTCACATTCCTTTAACACTTGAGGTTTACATTTTGATGCACAGTCTGTACAAACTAAGTGAGGCTGTATTACAGGAAAGTGTACCACTACATGGAGTCAGATTATGTCTGTGACAGAGTCACATACTCCCGGAACAAATTACCATCACACATCAGAGACTGTGATAACAACTTAACCTTTAAAGTCCATAATTGGCGGATATTTGTGTCCTCCTCTGACACCTGTTTCAGGGGACTCTAACCCTTTACTTGAACAGAATATATCATGTAGGTCTGTTGTTTGTGATTAAATTAATGTGTCCTCTCTGTATGTTTGTAAGGTTTCTGTCTGTGTTGTTTTGTGAACTGGCTAGTTGTATTTCCTGTAGTTGTACCCTTGTTTTTTGTTTGTTTAAATACTTGCCTTCTTCTGTGGATGAAATGGAGCTATTGCACTAAATCCAATATATTTATATTTTAGCATTTGATTGATATTTTTTCTGATGTATGCTGTCCTAATTTAGCAACTTCATACATATGCAGTCAACCTTTTTTTGTCTTTATGTAATGTGCTTGTTTGCCACCCAGTGTGCGGCAGAGGAGAGGTAGTAAACCTCTTGGAGCAACCGTTACATTAGAGAGGACCGGTAATGAGTGGGCTGGAAACCGTGACAGCCGGTCTGCCGCAAGAAGGGGAGTGTGAGAGAAAGACTGAATAAGAGGAGGGGGTTAAATGTGGGATATGGTAGGAAAAAAAAACACGTTGCTGCGGCAGCCCAGTTTCACTAAGCAGATGAGCGAATGAGCAAGCAGGCACGTCTCGTCCAGACACCCACACTGCCTGGGCTGCTGTCCAAGGAGATTAGCAATATATTGTTACGTCTTTCTCTGTGTTTTATACCGGGAGCAAGTTTGTTTTTAAAACCTTGTGTGTGTGTGTGTGTGTGTGTGTGTGTGTGTGTGTGTGTGTGTGTGTGTGTGTGTGTGTCATGGAGAAAAATATTAGACCACCCTTGTTTTCTTCAATTTCTTGTTCATTTTAATGCCTGGTACAACTAAAAGTGCATTTGTTTGGACAAATTTAATGATAACAAAAATAGCTCATAAGAGTTTAATTTAAGAGCTGATATTGAGCTGTTTTCCATGGTTTTCTTGATAACCAAAATCACTTGAGTTCTTACATCAATAGCTACGGCATTGTTCTGCCAAAAACAAAGCTTTTAGTCGTTCCATGTTTTCTCTTCTGTCTGTTGGTCACATAATACACAAAGGAGTTAGTACTTGAGTGGATAACCACTGTTTTTGATGACTGCAGCCATAGGCGGTGCTCAGGCATGAGGAATGGGGAAACTACAGGACAAAAAAAGAAAAAAAAAAAGTAGTCTATACCCAAAGGCAGATACATATAATATTGATTAATATATCATCAAACTGCGATGCAGCAGAATGAGAACGATTTCTTTTATTCTGTACTTGTTTTTTTTTTTTTTTTTCCTTTTCTGGTGTAGCCTATAGTTATGAATCAATCAATGTTCTTACCTTAATGAATCAGCATCCTTCATGTGGCCTTTGTGTCATATTTCTCAACTATTTACTCAAGTTTAATCCTCTTAGTTATGTCACTCTCGATGTACAAAAGCCACAGAGATGACAGTCTATGCTGTGCCATATTTGTCTTCATCCAGTTGCGCACGACAGTTCCGTGTGTTTAATTATTCCTTCTTAATATTTCTTTAGTCCCTGTCCCCAACAGTAAAAGCCATCTGGTCACTAGCACTGCACAGAAACTGTCAACATGGAAAACAGAATATGGCATCTCCCTGCTTACTATACTCAAGCTATGAATACGTCTTAAAATACTATGAGGTAAAAGCTCTCGTCTGTTTACCAAAATCAGTTTTGGGGTACTCTGGTAAAATCGACTGCGCAGGACCGCTACCCTTTGTCCCAAAATCTGATGGGCACAGATGTCTGGAGGGAGGACAATGGCTGGAGGAGGGAGGCAGCAGGTGTCTGGAGGGCTGCAGTCGCTGTCTGGAGGTAGGCCGATGACTGGAGGGCTGTTGCTGGTATCCGGGGGGAGGTAGCCGGCGTGATGATGGAGGCCAGTGGCTGGAGGACCAGAGTGTGGAGAGAGGCCACAGGTGTCTGGAAGACAGGGGCCAGAGCCGGGAAGGCAGCAGCCGGTCGTGGACGCATCGTGATCGGCTACAGTGCTGCTTCAGCTCATAGCTTCCTTTTGAGTGGAATTTTTGGACTCTTATTTCCTTAAATTTTGCTGGTCTGTTGTTGGTGACTTAAATAGCAAGCAAGAAAAAGGCTAAGGTTAGCTTCTATGCTGCGTTGTAGCTACATCGTGTGTACGTAATGACGCAGGAAACCAATAAGATAAATTAAAAAAACATCAACGTAAATAATACCTTAAAAATTTGTTTTAATGTGTTTCTCACCTCTTTCTAAGATAGTATTAAAAACATTATTTTACTATTTTGTTTTATTTTTTGTGACAATTTAAAGCTTCCCCTAAAGTTTAACAGCTTGGCTCTCTGACAACATATCCATGCTGTTCAACTTTTGGCTCCAAGCCTGGCATGTGAACACTGGAGCATGCTTAAAATACTCAGGCCAGTTTCAGTTAAGCGTCCTTGTATACACAACAGAGAAAATCAACCCCCAACTTCATTATTTGGATATTTTAGTCTGACTATGAGAAATACTGTTAAGTGTGATTTTAGTCATAATGATGTGTTTCCATGTTTTTAAAATTCCTGTTTCAGTCAGACTAGGCAATAAGTCTGTTTTTTTGGTCGTATTCCTCCACTTTTTCATCTTTGTCTTCCCCTCATCACCAACGTCCTGCACTACCATACTCCTTTTCCACCAGTTTCAGGCTGTCCAGGGCTTTGTCTCTCTCTCTCTACATATATATATATGCTGGCCACTGTATTTATGTAATTACACTTTATTCCCCTAAACACATACCATGTTGTAGTAAATGTTCGATGACATTAGACATGCTCCTCCTTTATGTTAACAGTCTTTGCCCCACCTGTTGCCCTTAACTGCATGATAATCCTTCAAAATGAAGTTAAGCCAAACTCTTCACCACCATGACCCTCCTCTTTCTTCTTTACTGACATGTAATGTCACAGTTGAGTGTCACTTGGGCTTGTTACTGAAATATTCATGTTGCTGAGAGCTAGAAGAACCATGACTGCTTCCCATAATCAACTTATTATTGACATAGTATTTGCGTATCCTTATTTTGAGCACAATATCAAGATTTCATATTTGAAAAAGAAGAACATTCTCAATACAGGTAATTGCAACAGACATATTTTCATGTTAGAAGAATGTATATGCAACACCACAAGATAATCTGCCAACAATTGATTTTTTTTTCCCTGTGAGACGAGAGAAACAGATTTATGAGGCCAAAAAGAAGCTCTTTACTGTTAAACATGTTGAATCTACTGTATAATATAACTTTCTCTAAACAGACAGTTTTAGAGATGTTTGTTCAATTAAAAGGATTCTTTATCCTGATTAATGAAACAGGAAATGAGCCCTGAAGCTGGCTGCTAATGAAATGTTAATCCCTTGAATTACACAGTCCTCCTGCTCATTTGACACAGGTGTTTGATGTTTGAATGAATGCATGCACATAGAGATGTTTTTTGATCCCTGATCATTATGTCAGGGTTGAATGTTGTCCTGGTTTTTATACCTAAGTCTAGCCGCTTTTCCCTGTCTACCAACTGCAGAGGACAAGTTGCCATGGCATCGATGAAAAGCTTCAGGTCTTTCTCTTGTCACATTTTGTTCAAAGACAGACTGAGCTCTGTAACCCCTCCACTGCTCAGTCTGTCAGTGTGGACAGATCCACTGTGATTCTCTTTTGACCTGTGACTGAGACACTGTGTCTCTGCTGCAGAGCCGACCACCACAGGACAAACTGACACATCAGATAAAAGTAGACTCAGTGGTCATAATTGACAGATCTTTGGCAGGCTGAAATACAACAGTAGCTGCTTTTTTTCAATCTCCTTGTTTTTAGGCAGCTTGAATAGCTCACAGGATAATTGGATACCATCTTTTATCATAAAAGCTGGAAGCTGAATCTTGACATGGATCTGTTTGACAGTTAGACCATTTCCACTTTTGTTTTACCTCTTCTTTTTGGTTGTATCAGTGTTTGTTGTGTAGTGTAATGAGCCACATGTTACACTCCATATACGGCTGTAAAGCAGACCAGCATCTACGTCAGGAGTGTTTGTGCAGCTTCACCAATGGTGTGTGAAATATGCTCTGTGGTGTCTACACATGTACTTTATGTTAGAGGTAGCTGATGGGGAGGCTCTGTGATTCTTCTTTGACTGGTGGGAATGTACAAACTGCTGTGAACCAGGCTGAGTGATGCCCTTTGACCTGAAGGCATCAGTGGGTTACGGCATTTGTGGATAGTCATGGTATATCACTGTGCTTTTTCTCTTGAGTTCTGAGAGTGACATCATTCCAGAAAGATGGTTATTTTGTCACTAAAATGACCATCCTAATGTTTGCCTCTTAGTAACCCAGCACTTACAACTGTTATAAGAACGAAAATGTGCCTAAATTTATCTTCAAACAGCAAAATCTTCACACCGTGTTACTATTTCTGGACGGCCACAACACCTCATGTTTTCAGTCTGAGCTGTTAGAGGGGCCCCTCTCAAGGGGGTTTTCAAATGAAATGCATGAAGAGTAATCACAGATTTTAGTACTAGGTAATATTTCAGAGTGGCCAAACTGGTGGACTGACTTACTCACAGAGTGACATGGCTGTTTCCAGAGCCACGTGGCTAAAATAGCTAAAAACACAGATGATTGAGGAAGGGTCCTTGTGGAGGTAAAACTCACCTGCCTGCTGGCATCATATAAAAATCTGTGCCATTTTCTCAGTGAAGACTTCCATACTCCTGGTCTCTGGGCCCTTCACTGAGGGCTGCTCGATTGTGACTGACATTAATATCATCACCAATAAAAACAATAACCCATGATTTGATATCTGCATCACACTCACTAAACTAAAACCTCTTTAACACAATAAAGGAAGTCAGCAGTTCAGCCTTTCTTTAATGTTTACCAAAGCATGTCTGTGATTTAAAAATTCATCCAGGATTTAAAACGTCCAGGCTGCAGATTGAACAAATTATTTAGTCTTTTCAAGCTTTTACATAATTTCCTTTATAACCTCAAGACTTTTATTTTATTATGATTAAGAATTGTAGCAATCAAGACAACCCTGGATGTGAAACCCACACATTCCTTACAGGAAAGTTTCCTTATCTGGTCCTAGGAAACAGGATATAAATCTTTCCAGACGTGTTTGCCCTTTCAGGTTAAATAAGTGACCCAACCGGAGGTTGACTAAACCTCTGACTCTTCAGGATTGGTCAGTTCGGCGAACAGAGACAGAGTTTTTATTACCTTTCAAACTGACTCCATTTGCTGACCATCTAAATAAACATTAACCTTAACCCAGATCTCCCATTTGAGATTAAGCGTCTTAAAGTGTGTGAACATACGGACCCCAGGATAAGGGGGGACACTGACCTCCAGACCTCGGTCGTAAAACCCTGCTCGACCATACACTGATAAAGACTGCATTCCTTTGGTGAAAGAATACAAATGACTGATCATGACATCTTATGCATTCAGCAATGTACTAATCTGTCTAATCATGAAATTTGTGTTAAAATGAGATGTTTCCCGTTTTTCTATGTGCTACAGAAGCCAAGTTATCTTATCTGACAGAATAAATCCTTATTCTTTAGTTCTTTAGACCAACAGCTTTTCAGACTGTTTCATGAACTTTTAAGAGTTAAATTTATTGACTATGAATCCTAAGTTTACTCTAAGTAACAGAAATAGTTTAGAAATGTTTGGTTTATATTTTAGTTATTTATTTAGTATCTTAACCATTAGGTGGTTATAATGTCACTGAATAATCTGAATGTGAGTATTTAGAATCCATTATTAATCATGATGACGTTCATTCACATGTGTTTACTCTTTTGTTGTTCACAGTTTCTATGTGTTACTATCTGTTTCATTTCAGAGTAATTTAGCATGTTCAATGTGATACTTAAAACATAATGAGAATGTTTGATGTGATCCTACACTTCATTCATATGTGTTTAGTATCAAATTATTTATCATGAAACCAAGCATTCAATGATATTAATCATAGTGAGTGAGTATCAGATCTGACTCTTTTACCAGCCAAAAGAATAAGTTAGATCAAATAATCAGAGACCCGATGACCCCTCCTCTTTCTCCTCAGACACACCCAGTGTGAGAAGATAAAACCAGTGAAGTGGGGTTGCTCACTCGCTTATTCTCTCTTATCTCTCTTATGCTCCTCTTATTCCTCTTATGCTTCTGCTCTTCTGCTGACTCTCTTGTCCCCGGCTCTTATGCCCCTTCTCTTCTGTCCACACCCTTCTGTGGTGCGTTTCTTTGTTTTCTCTTAGAACTTTTTCTTAGTCTTCTAAGTTTTACGCCACGTGTTGATTCACGTTGATTTTTCTTTAACATCGTCTTAGTTCAAGTTTTGAAACTTCAACTTTTTGTGCACATAGCAATTCAAGATTAAGCCTTTGATTGATTTTTCTTTAATTTCGCGAAGCCATTTTTGAAAGTTTTCTCTGCTCTTCGAGCCTCGTTTTTCTGAGTTTTCTGCGTGATTTCAAAGTCACCTCCGAACGCAATCCAACAGGCCCAGGTCATCCTCTGTGCCAGAGTTTTTGAGTGAGACCAAAGAAGTACCCAAACGAGCATCCACAGGATCCACAGGCGCTGGCTTTGCTTCGGGCCCGAGTGCTGCAACTCCTGGCTCATCCTTCGGCTGACTTCAGTCGTCTTCTGAGCTGAACCGCTCGAACCGCCAGTAGCCCCGGACCTTCGGAACCTGCTCCATCTTCTTCAAGGACCAGTCTCACTTAAGTATGCAAACCTCCAGAGCTCCAGACAGGGCTGATGCTGTCTCACGCGTTCATAACTCAGATATCCACCTATTTCTGGTGATCTTAGATTCCTCCAAATCTACACCCGAGTTTATCTCGACACCAAAGTTAGTGTAGGTTAATATGTTAGCGCATATTCACTCACTATCATTAACTTTAGTGCTCCTAGCCTGACTCAGAATCTTTATTTATTCACCTATTATTATTTTATCTTCATTATCTTATCATCATTTATTGCATGTGTGTTGTACCATCATTTATCCTGTAATAAACAGATCATTATTTTTCTAAGTTCTGGTCTGTTAGTGTTCTTCCAGAAGTGGAGTCCCTGAAATTAGAATTTCGACTTAAGATATGAGACTGATCAATTAAGACTGATTAATTAAGACTGACTTGATGTTTGATTTCTGAATTAAACTTTTGTTTTCTTTATTTTCCCACCATTAAGGGTGGGTGGTGCCCCTTTCAACGAGTGCATAAATGTCATAATTTGAGATTATTAATCTTCAGACATTTATTATAAATTCCAATCGCCAAGTATTATTTTGGTGCGGCCTTGTGAGGCTCATTTCAAATCGCTACATATATTTTGGTGCCCCTGCGTGAGGCGTTTCAAACAAAACTTCTGGATACTAACAGACAACCTAAAACTTAGCCTTCCAAATTGATGAGAGAAACTTATTTCCAGGCTATTTTGACTTAATCACAATCAATGCTATGCTTGCTGAAGTTGCTTGACTAAGTTCTGATGTTTTCATGATCTATGCATAAAACCTTTATGCTCTGTGTTTCACACACTCTTGTACTACATGCCTGTAGTCTGTGTTTGAGCTGGACAGCGTGAAATGTTGTTCTGAGTAGCAGTGAGACTGACTCCTCTGCTCTGTCTAGACTGTCCAATATTTAAGTGCACGATTGTTGCGTCGCCGTACGCTTGTATTTAAGGCCTTTGGCTGAACCCAGTGTTCGCGATGCTCCGAGCTGTGGTTTCAAGCCCCTGAAGTCTCTGTAGTCTGCTACGAGGTTCTAGTAACTATATGGGATTCAGATTTCCTCCTTTCCCCTGACAGATTAGCTACTTGTCACAGGAAACCACTGTAACAGTGGGAGGTTGTTGTTTGAGTGAATTCAGACAAAATTTGTGATCACAAATCGCCGCATTTGTGATTTTTAAGTTTGCAGTTGAATCTGCTGTTGAGGGATTTGTCACTTTGATTCTTGTCTCTATAGTCTGCTATGAAGTTCTAGTAACTATATGGGATTTAGATTTCCTCCTTTCCCCTGACAGATAAGCTATCTGTCACAGGAAACCACTGTAACAGTGGGAGGTTGTTGTTTGAATGAATTCAGACAAAATCCGTGATCACGAATCGCCGCATTTGTGATCTTAAAGTCTGCAGTTGAATCTGCTGTTTAAGGATTTGTCACTTTGATTCTTGTTCCTGTAAATGATTCTATTGAACCAATCTGCCTGAGCAGATGGTGGAAAGTTCTATGTTTGAGGGTGCAGACGTAGCCTGCTGTGAAATGTTAACCCTTTGTTGTCAGTGGAGAGACTGACCTTTTGGCCTTAAGCAGATAAGGCCCTTCAAGGAGGCAGAGCCTAAAGGCCCCTTCCTTCAGACTTCCCAACACCACACAGCCACAAGAGGCTAGTTGGATGACTGTCTCCTCTTCTCTTCTTCTTCTCCACTAGTGTTGAGCTTGTGCAGTTCTCCCAACTCCATACTGCCCCACATGGTTGCTTTTGGTATTGAGCTAACACTGTTATCTGCCTGCAGTATCAGCCAGCTGTACTGCCTCTCTGTAGTCAGTGTGTATCACTCTACAGACATAATTCAAGTGATTGACTTGGTTGATGAAGTTTGATGTGCTTATTCTAAATCATTGATCACTGATTTTTGATTTTTATCTTTGTTATAAGAGCCTACATAATGCATTGATAAAGTAACTCCTTGAATCAATCACCTGATCTGTTGTTACTTATCACACCATTGAGCAGTTTTACTGTTCCCTATAATACATGAATGTATTAACCCTCCTCATAAGATTAATTAATTAATGCACAAATTAATTAATATTTGAAATTTATTTTAACACTCCAGATGGATTTGGTAGTTGAACCTTTGGATTCATTGCAATTTGTGAATTAATTTCAGAGTTAATTCCTTAAATTGACAATTTCATCGATTTTTCCAATTCATCCAACTGCACCAGGCAGTTTATTTAAGCTTTGCTGATCTCTGCAACACGGAGACAAATTGAACCCTTTATTCAATGGTTCTGTATCTGATGTTAAATTTAATTTAACATTATTTCACCTTGTTTTTCTTTCAATTTTCATTGAAATGAAGTTAACTTTATGTTATTTTTCTCTCCATTAGATATCTACTCAGATAGGCTCTTCCTCTTTATCAAGCACTGATAAATTAAGTCGATTAACCCACTTAATTTGATATTGTGCTTCTTCCTTTCAATTTAAGTCAACTCAAACTCATCAACCAACCAGCTGCACCTCTTTACCAAAACCAAACATGCCTAACACAAAAGAGTCCAGCCAGGGAGACCCCCTGAGGGACATACACACAGTGTTGGCAAACTTGACTAGTCAGCTGATACCTCAGTACATGACTAAGATTCAAAAGGCCAAACCCTCCAATCCGGAGGATGAAATGGCTGACCTACTGGAAACAGCCTTAACCACGGCACTTCGTGACAAAGAGCTCACTAGATGCATGTCTGTCGTGATGTCTTCTCAGCTTGAGTATAAAGACTACTTGCTGGAATGCGCTTTAGCAAAGATAAAGGCGCAAAAGGACGAAAACAGCGCACTGGAAAAGACGCTAGAGGAGACTAAGAAGTCTCTAAGTGTTTTAGAAAAACACAGTGCCAGATGTGAAGCGTCAAAGCTTCCCTCACTGATAAGTCATGAAGAAAATCTTGATCTCAAAGACAAGATGGAAAGACTTAATGAAACCCTTTACAAAAAGGAGAAAGAACTTGATGACACGAATAAGCAGCTTGCTAAGACCACAGAGGATCTGATACAGTCAGAATCCCTACTAGAGCAAGCAACAGAAGATGTAAAAACTTTGAAAGCACTGGTCAAAGTGCGTGCTGAAGCTCTTGAAGTTAAGGAGAAGCAAACTTCTACCCTACAGCACCAGCTCCAGATAGCTCAAAGACAGTTAATTCTTTGTCAAGAACGGCAAGAAAAGACAGACAAAGAACTTGAAGATGCCCAAAGAGAGTTACAATGCTCCCTCCAGTCAGGTCGAGCCCAAAGAGAACGCATGGAGCAAACGTTTCTTGAAGAAATGATAGGTGATCAGCCTCCTGAGAGAGCGCCATCACTTCCTTCCAAACCAACTCTTAAGTATTTCTCTCAGCATCATGACAGGACCCTGCTTGACCCTGAGAGGTCATCCTTAAAGCAACAGTCCTACTCTCCTCCTCATGATGGTTTCTTGCCATTTCCCTCAGACAGGGATCTTGACAAAATTGCTCGCAACATAGCACGCTTTGAACCTGAGCACCAAGCTGCTATTGACACCTGCACCTACTTGAAAGACATTGACTTTTACCTGAGGAAATTTCCAGGTGCAACCATTGATGACAAAATCTACCTTATTAAGGCAACGTCAAGTCGAGAGGTTAGCAGTTTCCTTGAACGACAGCCTTATCATGTCAGAAATAATTATGACTTGCTCTGCCAAGCATTAATTGAAGAGTTTTCTGATCATTTGACCCAGACAGGCCTCTCTGCTGCTCTGTCTATTAAACAAGGGAGATCAGAACCTCCCCAACAGTATTACAACCGCTTACGCGAAGCTTACTTTGGTTTCCGAAATGAACCAGAAATGGAGGAGGACTTGAACTTCAAAACGCTGTTCGTCCAGAACCTCCACCCTACCACCAGTCATCACCTTGGCGTCTTAGCTTGTCCAAACACTTTGACTAGCCAACAGCTTCGTGAACTTGCTGTAAAAGGTTTTGCCAAACAACGACAAACTTTGGCTAAGAAAGCAGAGCCCGTTACTCTCTTGGCTATGGAGACAAAATCACTGCCCGTGGAGCTGAACGAAGCTTCAGACTGTGTATTTTCAGGCTCCGATAAGCCTCCAAATGAGTGGTTAACCAGGCCTCCAAAACCTTTTCGACCTCAACACATTCACAAAGGTCAAAGTTACACACCAAGGCCCGGGTCTGACACAGACCAATGCCAGGTAAACTTTGAGACCAACTGTTGTTATTCAGACTCCCGTCACGGTGGGTTTTATCCCAGACAAAGGAAAAACCATCAACACCGCCAAAGGGGGGTGAATGACTGGCAGAATCAGAGTAAATCACACTCTCAGAAACGACGATCTTATTATCCACCTCAATCGGTTTCATCCACTTCGAAGGTGAATAAACATGACAACTCAGCTAACCACTGAGATTAACACTGCGGAGTCATGAAGGTGTGAGTCCTGCGAAAGCAGAAGTCACCCAGCCAAAGCTGAATGACTCCAATAAGCTATCCAAATGCTGTGGTGATACATTGATGACTGCAATCCCAGTTGCTGCTTTCTTTGTTAGCATTTGTCTCTCCTCTGTCAATATGGTCAGCTTGTCAGCTGTCAAATATCCCATGAACAGATTAAAAGCTGAAATTTCTGTTATTAAGACTCAGATTGACAAATTTCAGACTCAACAGCAGATAATTAGTCAAACCGATAAGAGCATCATCCCCAAGTTTAACAGACAAAGTTTAAGAGAAACTCTGTGCAGTAAACTTTTGATGTTTGTGATTCAGGTTGACTATGCTCATACACAGATGGTTAATATGTCTATAGCAGACATTTCTTTTCCACCTAAGTCTTAACCATTTTTGAAACTGAAATTGAACTTTCAGACTTCTCCAGCAAGCATGAAAAACAGCTATAGCTTTAGATCCAGTTAGCATTCAGACTAAAGAGTGCTTTTCTAAATCTCATTAATACTGAAAATTAGGAGATTTTCTTTCACATTAGTCTACCAATAGTTAACTGAGAAAAGTCTAACACCTAGACGATTTTATTTGATAGCTTAATGCATGCTTGATGTTATCTTAAAGCAGATACTAGTGATTCACATAGTGATAATGAGACGCATCAGTCCTATTTGCATACACCTGCTGCTGCTGCTGCTGCTTCATGGTTGTCTACTCGTCGTCCCGATGCTCCATGGACAGGACCACCGTGACGAAGGGGGGACTGTAGCAATCAAGACAACCCTGGATGTGAAACCCACACATTCCTTACAGGAAAGTTTCCTTATCTGGTCCTAGGAAACAGGATATAAATCTTTCCAGACGTGTTTGCCCTTTCAGGTTAAATAAGTGACCCAACCGGAGGTTGACTAAACCTCTGACTCTTCAGGATTGGTCAGTTCGGCGAACAGAGACAGAGTTTTTATTACCTTTCAAACTGACTCCATTTGCTGACCATCTAAATAAACATTAACCTTAACCCAGATCTCCCATTTGAGATTAAGCGTCTTAAAGTGTGTGAACATACGGACCCCAGGATAAGGGGGGACACTGACCTCCAGACCTCGGTCGTAAAACCCTGCTCGACCATACACTGATAAAGACTGCATTCCTTTGGTGAAAGAATACAAATGACTGATCATGACATCTTATGCATTCAGCAATGTACTAATCTGTCTAATCATGAAATTTGTGTTAAAATGAGATGTTTCCCGTTTTTCTATGTGCTACAGAAGCCAAGTTATCTTATCTGACAGAATAAATCCTTATTCTTTAGTTCTTTAGACCAACAGCTTTTCAGACTGTTTCATGAACTTTTAAGAGTTAAATTTATTGACTATGAATCCTAAGTTTACTCTAAGTAACAGAAATAGTTTAGAAATGTTTGGTTTATATTTTAGTTATTTATTTAGTATCTTAACCATTAGGTGGTTATAATGTCACTGAATAATCTGAATGTGAGTATTTAGAATCCATTATTAATCATGATGACGTTCATTCACATGTGTTTACTCTTTTGTTGTTCACAGTTTCTATGTGTTACTATCTGTTTCATTTCAGAGTAATTTAGCATGTTCAATGTGATACTTAAAACATAATGAGAATGTTTGATGTGATCCTACACTTCATTCATATGTGTTTAGTATCAAATTATTTATCATGAAACCAAGCATTCAATGATATTAATCATAGTGAGTGAGTATCAGATCTGACTCTTTTACCAGCCAAAAGAATAAGTTAGATCAAATAATCAGAGACCCGATGACCCCTCCTCTTTCTCCTCAGACACACCCAGTGTGAGAAGATAAAACCAGTGAAGTGGGGTTGCTCACTCGCTTATTCTCTCTTATCTCTCTTATGCTCCTCTTATTCCTCTTATGCTTCTGCTCTTCTGCTGACTCTCTTGTCCCCGGCTCTTATGCCCCTTCTCTTCTGTCCACACCCTTCTGTGGTGCGTTTCTTTGTTTTCTCTTAGAACTTTTTCTTAGTCTTCTAAGTTTTACGCCACGTGTTGATTCACGTTGATTTTTCTTTAACATCGTCTTAGTTCAAGTTTTGAAACTTCAACTTTTTGTGCACATAGCAATTCAAGATTAAGCCTTTGATTGATTTTTCTTTAATTTCGCGAAGCCATTTTTGAAAGTTTTCTCTGCTCTTCGAGCCTCGTTTTTCTGAGTTTTCTGCGTGATTTCAAAGTCACCTCCGAACGCAATCCAACAGGCCCAGGTCATCCTCTGTGCCAGAGTTTTTGAGTGAGACCAAAGAAGTACCCAAACGAGCATCCACAGGATCCACAGGCGCTGGCTTTGCTTCGGGCCCGAGTGCTGCAACTCCTGGCTCATCCTTCGGCTGACTTCAGTCGTCTTCTGAGCTGAACCGCTCGAACCGCCAGTAGCCCCGGACCTTCGGAACCTGCTCCATCTTCTTCAAGGACCAGTCTCACTTAAGTATGCAAACCTCCAGAGCTCCAGACAGGGCTGATGCTGTCTCACGCGTTCATAACTCAGATATCCACCTATTTCTGGTGATCTTAGATTCCTCCAAATCTACACCCGAGTTTATCTCGACACCAAAGTTAGTGTAGGTTAATATGTTAGCGCATATTCACTCACTATCATTAACTTTAGTGCTCCTAGCCTGACTCAGAATCTTTATTTATTCACCTATTATTATTTTATCTTCATTATCTTATCATCATTTATTGCATGTGTGTTGTACCATCATTTATCCTGTAATAAACAGATCATTATTTTTCTAAGTTCTGGTCTGTTAGTGTTCTTCCAGAAGTGGAGTCCCTGAAATTAGAATTTCGACTTAAGATATGAGACTGATCAATTAAGACTGATTAATTAAGACTGACTTGATGTTTGATTTCTGAATTAAACTTTTGTTTTCTTTATTTTCCCACCATTAAGGGTGGGTGGTGCCCCTTTCAACGAGTGCATAAATGTCATAATTTGAGATTATTAATCTTCAGACATTTATTATAAATTCCAATCGCCAAGTATTATTTTGGTGCGGCCTTGTGAGGCTCATTTCAAATCGCTACAGAATAGACTCCCCTTGTTTCCATTCAGTTCCAAAGTACAATTTACCAGAAGTAACTTCACTTCAGAATAACAGCCTAACAAACAAAATAAAAACATGCAATGAGGCAGCATCTGCTCCAACACAAAGAAGACATTTCAGTAACACAGCTAGTGATGTGAATAGCTCATAAACTTAAACATAACTAGAAAAAGATAATGTCATGATGTAAGTAAACTGTTTATTCATATTTTTATTATTTTAAATTTGTAATGTTTCTGAACCTATAAACTCCAACCTTTTTTCCTTTTCCAGTGTTGTTTTCGTCAACCATGACGTTGACGAAAATATTTTCGTCAACGTCATCGTCAACGAAAACAAAACTGCATGTGTGTGCGCGCCCGTGTGTGTGTGTGTCTGTGTGTTGGAGGAGCACAGCAGGCTGATGAGAGCTGTCAGAGCGGACTGAAGCTGCTCCTATATGTTTAGCGTTTAACTGACTGAGTTTTGCAACTCTGTTCGTCGTTTTCGTCTCGTCCCATCAACGTAAACGCACTTTCGTCTCATCACATTTTAGTCATCTCCGACTTATGTTTAGCTCGTCAACGTTACGTCTTTGTCGTGGAAGAAAAGGGAAATATTTTCGTCAACGAAAACAACCAGTGTTGTTCTCGTTGACGAAAATATTTCCCCTTTTTGACGCTGGCGTTGACGAAAATATTTGACGAAATATGACGAAAACAACACTGTCCTTTTCTCAAATTTTCTTACTGCATTGTTTTAAATGTAAATTTTGTTATAATTATTGAGATAATATCTTAAACCTGATGTTTTATGGCCCTGATCATCCAGAAGAGAAAAAATCTGATATTGGGACAACCCAAATTCAGGAGGTATGTGTCACTTTTCAGCCAAGCAGTCCTGAGCTCGTTCACACTCGCCTGAACTCATGATCACTACAGCCAGATAATGCTAGCTCCTCTTCCTGCTCTCTTCTCACATCTTCCTGCTCCTCTGCCTGCTCTCCTCCTGCCTATTCCTGCTTATCTCCCTCCTGCTCCTCTCCCTGCTTTCCTCTCTCATCCTCCTGCTCCTCTGCCTGTTCTCTTCTCTCCTCCTCCTGCTTCTCTTCCTGCCCTCCTATCTCTCTTTCTGCTCCTCTCCCTGCTCTCCTCTCTCCTCCTCCTGCACATGCTCTGCTGTTATAAAAGAGAGGCAGAGAGGGTGAGCTTCATTCAATCTATGATTCATCAGGACCAGCTTCACATTTTTGGGGGCAGATCCATGACATGTGTATGTACCCTTGTTAAAAGTCATTATGGAGTTTACCCATAATTCTTTGTTTTCAGCTACTGCAACACAAGTTAGCTTTTCCATCATCTTCCCTCCACAGGTATCCAGCTCAGAGACTGCTGCAGAGAAAAAAGTACTCAGTAAGAGCTGGTCATGTTGCTTGGTCGTGTTGCTTGGCATTTCAAAGGAATACCAAGAACTAAATGGTAATTATAAAGAAATGACTCAGATCAACAGTGGACTAGCATCCTCTATTCTTGAAAAGATTTAAACATCATTATTTGTCTTCATTCACGGCCTGTTGTCATGTCAGCAAGGAAGATTCAAGCTAGGTACCTGTCATGACGGTTCACAGTAAACTGATGGTTATCTCAGCATTCACACACACTTTTTACACAGTCAGATTCTGTGATATTTGGTCAGATGTAGATGTATCAGTGTTATTTAAAAGAATACACTCAGCGCTGTCTTTTTTATTGCTTGATTTATAACATAATTATCAACAAAGACTGGTTTTAGCATGCAGATAGAGCTCTGCTGGCCTTTACTTACGTTTAGTTTAAAGGCATTTGTTTTGACCAAAAATGAGCTAAAAGTTTTTTTTTCCATCTGTGTCTCCTACTCGATCTAAATATAGAGGACTCAAGGACCATGCCTAATTCCAGTGATTCCTGGTCTGTGAGGCTATTTTTCTGTGACAAGAGCAGCCATGATGTTTCCTGGCAGATGGGGAAAACTTGAATTCATATGACATCTGCTGCTTGGCATGTGTGCCGCTGCTGTTTGATGGAAATGGAGTGAAGATTGGTGTTTTAGTGTCTGCTGTGTGTATTGTAGTGAGAGGGCAAAGCCTGAAAACTGGAGTTTTACAGCTTCACTTTTTGCCAAGGAGAAAATGTTTGAAAATCCACAGGGACTGACAGGGGACTCAATCCAGACAGATCAACAGGCAGAATCAATCAAATGTTATCAAAGTAGGTAATATGAGCAAGAAAAAGGAATTCTCCATGTCAACCACAACAATTTCATTACATGTGTTATTCCCTTCACTGCTCTGCTGAGGCGGGTCTTTTAAGGTCAGCTGATCATAAATACAGCTTCTGATTGGTTGATGGACCAAAACAAAGATGGCAGTCCTCTATTAGCAACAACAGAAATCCCACTGTACTAAATTTAATCCAAAAATCATCTCAGATTATATTTGTTTGATAAGGGATTGGATTTGAACGCTCTCTGGTTTTCTCTGCTGTTTGGAAAAAACCCTGGATATCACAGAAACACAACTGTCAGTGCTCTCACCCAAATATAATAACTCTCACAAATCTGTTCATTGAAAGTCATTGGAGTATCGGGAAGAGTTGGTGCAGTACAGTTGACATAGTGATTTCCATGAACTCCAGTGACTATATGATACCCATGTAGATTGAGGACCAAAGGGGCCTGTTTTTTTCTTCAGGTTCAGTAAGACTAGATGGAAAATCTGTTCACATGTTAAACTAAATCTCTCACTGCATAACAACACAATCAATATTTCTGGACTCATGCAGACCATGTTTGTACCCAGCTAGCCAGCTTTATTTGTCATAGTTAATCTAGCTCCCCTCAGGTTACGGCTTGCGTGGTGAGGCTCTAGTTTGGTGTTGTAGGGTCTAACTGAGTGCACCATGCTGTTTTTTTATCTAGGGTTATATTTCACCATGATTTTGAGATGAACCAGAGGGGGTCAAGTGTGAGTTTCACATAGTTCACAGGCCCCAAAATCCCTCTAAATACAGGTCATTACAACATACACACTGTGCTGCATAAATCAGGGACAAATATGTGTCACTCTAAGTCTAAAGATGAACGGCCTGAGCATTGTTTCCTTTTTTATACACTCACACACTCTCAGACTAAGGGACAGCTGCAGCTCGTCTTGTAAAGAGACCCACTTCACAGAACAAGGGCCGGCTGCCTCACACACTCTCTCACTCCAGGTCACTTATCGTCAGTTCAATATCAAAACTTCCCAGAGAAGACGCCCAATTATATTCAAGCATTTTTTTTTTTTAAGAGGAATGTTTGATTATGAAACAAGTGAGAGCCATGAAACTGAACTTTTTAGTCACGGAGAAGAAACTTCATGTTCATTCTACTCTAATTCACAAGCATACAAGCACTAACAAGCTAACGACTGCTGGCCTAAAAAGTGAGAGACATCATTCTGAATCATAATAGAATAAAAGCTGAAGTCTTGACATTATAATGGAGGTTATATAAAAGCTTGAAAAGGCTGAATTATCTGTTCAATCTGCAGCCTGTGTGAGCCAGTGGACGGCAGATAATAATGTTAACCATGTACAAACTGGCCTCTGCTGCTGCTGCTGAGCTTGAACAGAAAAGTTCAGAACTTTTCAATTTGATTCAAAGTCGTAGAAATTCAGCATTGCACCTCTGACGTCAATCCTCTCTGGGTCTGTGTACACTCAGTATGTATGTATTCAATAGGTGTGTGTAGTGAGTGTCAGTAATAGTGAGCAGAGGGCGAGAGAGTGACTCATAGGAGAGGAGGTGATGTACCTTTTTCTGACTCCCATCGTGCTGCTTTCTGATAAGAGAGGTACTGACTGAGGCAGTGGGCTCTGGTTAATCCTGGTTCAGTGCATCGAGCCTGCATGCTGTTGGTTGTGGAGAACAATGAGCAGGACAGGTTGGTCATCCATCTCTTCTTCTGGCATCTGTTTACAGATCCTGAATCACCAAGACAGAGTGGGTTGTAATCTTGTTGAGTAATCCGAGATACTGGGCAGATTATATAACAATCCTTTCCCTTCCCAAGTTCTTCTTTCTTAGCATCCCACCTTCCCAGCTATAAATGAGATTAAGATTGATGAGAGTAAGTCCACAGACTTTTTGATGGGAAATCTGAACCATCAGAGGTTGAATTTTGTCTCTTTCTGTCTAGTCTGACCACTTAACGCTCTTTTACATCAAATGTCACAGTCACTGACGGCAGAGGCTGAAAGATATATATATATACAGTCCATCAGTTTTACAGCCAGCGGGTGTGGTCAAGTGTCAGCCAAGTGATCGAACCCCCAACCTTCTGATTAGGAAATGTGCGACTCTACCTTTGAGTCACAGCCACCCCAGATTTTTTGGATGCATGTAAACGCACTAACTGACAGTGTTGACAGGGTCTATATTGGGCTCAGATACCAACTGCTGAGCTACTGCTGCAGGAACAATGGTGAAGATTTGTCTCTGCAAGGAGACAGTTTCCATTTATTGGTCCATATGCACTCAAATGCATCTGACCGATCGAAGAAGAGAAAAGATGTGGTTGGCTGTCAATATGTTTACATGCATAGTTAAGTTTAGTTTCAGTTAAAGCTTAATTAGGTGATTTTACTGGACGACACTCCTTGTGCCAACAAGCACCAGGAGACAATCTGTTTGCCCACTTTCAGCTACAGTAAATTAGGGCTGCAACGATTAGTCGACGTAATCGATTACGTCGATGCAACAAAATTATCGACACGAAAAAGAAGCGTTGACGCGTCGTGTTATTGTTGTTAAGAATCACATGCCAGCGCCCCATGCTCATCTATAACTGCAGTGCACTACAGGATGTGCTGGGGGCAGTAGCGCTCTCTTTTTACGTCCCGCGAGCAAACACAGAAGAAGAGTGCACACATTATGGCAGAACAAACTGAAAAAGACGCTCCAAAACTCCGACCCAAAACTTCAAAAGTTTGGGAACATTTTACGGAGAACAAACCAAAAAAACACGTTGATCAGCTTTCCTACCATGGAAGCACCACCGCGATGCACGAGCACCTGAAACACCGACACCCCGGAAATAGGTGTTTATAAATAAAGTAGATAGTGATTAATCGTGATTAATCGGAGGACTAGTCGATAGATTAGTTGACAAAAAAATAATCGTTAGTTGCAGCACTACAGTAAATACAAACCGATGACCTGTTACACCACACACCAAAACTGCCGATACATAGGTGAACTCTCAAGGCTGGGCAGCTTTAAAGCAGTGTATAGTTCTGTACCTTATGTAGCATTGTCTTTTTTGTCTCACATATTCATCAGTCAGCTGAATGAATGTAGGGGAAACACTGAGATGTGTTAGTCCTACTTAGTCCAACTTAAATCTCACTGGACTGAAATGGTCTAATGTGTTTACATGTATTTTTAAAAGTCCAGTTTTTGGTGAAGCTTTTGGCATTAATCAGTCATGTTTACATAACTCACTAATGCCATACTCATATGGCATTACATACTCTGTGATCTTGTTATCTAAAGAAAAGCACGTGCAGTCTTTGCATGTCCTTGCACTGATGTTGTGATCCTCATGTGGACTGCTGGGGTTCAGTTCCAGCCTGTGGCCTCTTTCCTACCTTGGTCTCTCCTCATATTCTTCTCTGTCCTTTGCCTTGTCCTCACAAAATAAAAATAAAAGCACCAAAAAGTGCTAATTGGATTTATTTTAGAGGGCACAATCTACAAACAACAGTAGTGAGTAAACATACCAAACAGCCCAGCAGCTAAGGACCATGAATTATAACAATTATTACTCTTTTTAACCGTTTTAGAGGTGAATGTTAGTGACGGACTTTTGTTATTGCAACCAGTCAAGCAAAAAGTCAATTACAGCATGTGTTCCTTTTTTAACTATTAACTAAAAGGCAAAGGGTGTGACACAGAAGTTGAGTAGTGTGTCCTAGCCTAGGTAGACTCCCCTCCTTTCCTTCCTTTGATTTAGCTCATTTGGTCCCCTCACCCAGGTGGCAGTTATATAATCTACCACCTGGGTACAGATTACATATTTTTCTCTGATCCGACAGATGAAACTCTGCGTTCAAAAGTTTGGAGGATGGATTTTTCTCTGCATGGTCAGACTTTATTTTTCAAAGTGTGTTACTTGGTTTGGATCATAGGATATTATCTAACAGTTATTGCACAAGAAGTTAAAATATGCTAAAATAGAGCCTTAATTTATTAGGGTTGAAACAACAGCACCAGAACTTACAGATCTTGTAAAAACACTAGTGTTGATGGTTTTTCTTCTTAACATCCTAAAGGATCATCAGTTAATTGTTCTTTATCTTCTGAGTAACCATCACCTGTTTCATTACACAACTACATAGACCTCCAGGATGCTTTCGTCATGTGTTTTGGCGAGCGGTGTGCTGCATTGGATTAGCTTGTTCACTGAGGTGCACTGGCTCACCCACCTTCTGTGTTTCAGTTACATAACACACAAGCAGGAGAATTGTTTTTGAACAGTGCGGTCTTCTTGTATCTTTGAGCTTTGAATTAACCTTGTGTGCTGATATACATCTAAAGCTCAGAGAGCTGCTGCTCTGTGGAAATGACTCTGACTGCTGCAGCTGCTGGAGGATAAAAGTGAGTCACAAATAGCCTCTGAGTGGACCGTGTAGTGCAGTCAGTGCATTCCCTTTGGTCAAGCTTTCCTATGGTATGTGTGGTGGTGGCACATATGCATGTCTGGTGATGATGAGGAGGAGGATGCGAGTGTATGTAGACGTCCTCTTTCCTCTCTCTCCTTCTACTCTTTGGACGATGCATTGTTTTTTTTCATAACCATATGGTGTGTGGGAGATGACTTTGAATCCCTGTCAACAGGCCAGGTCTCTGCTGATTCCTGTATGTTTTGTAAGCGGCTGTTACATATAAAGACATCACTTGTTATTGTGTAAGACTGCAGTCAGACATAAATGTCACCACATGCAGTCGTAGGTTGGCTGAAGAGCTTCTTGGTGCTGCCTTTTTTGTCGAGGTTCCTCTTGACGTTGGAAAAATCTTGCTTACCTAAATGTGCACCTTAAATATAACAGTATTATGGGTGACCTGTAATAAACATGGTTCTCAAACACATCAACATTGAGCTTCAACATGTCGGCTATAAAGTAATTTGAAGCCTTTCATAATCAGCATGACGTGGGTGAGCTTGACACCCTGATGGTGACATTATGTTTGTTATTTAATTACTCTGTGTTGTTAAAATATTACATTTAACAATTATTTTTGACTCAAATATGAATTGTTTTGTTCAATAGTCACAATCAGATTAATGGGTAAATTCTAGTAGAGCAGTGGTTTTCAAGTCCGGTCCTCGAGGCCCACTGTCCTGCGTGTTTTGGATGTTTCCCTGCTCAAACACACCTGATTCAAATGATCAGCTCGTTATCAAGCTCTGGAATGGCTTAATAACGAGCTGATCATTTGAATCAGGTGTGCTGGAGCAGGGAAACATCCAAAACATGCAGGACAGTAGGCCTCGAGGACTGGACTTGAGAACCACTGTAGTAGAGGATGGACTTGGTGTATAAATGTCAGTGATGGTATCATCCAAAATGAGTTAAAAAAAATCTGCATATTGACAAAAATTCAATATTGTATATATCCCTAAACCTAACAGGTGGGCAGTGTTGTTGTTAGGTAGAGGCAATAAAACATGGACCTATGTTCAGGAGGATAAACCAAGTGATTTTGTTCAGACATGAGTCTGCCCAAACCCTCTGAACCTGCACAGTCTTCATTCATTTCACTAAACAGACTTTCCTGCAGGAAGTATCAGGTGAATGCATAAAGACAATGAACAGATATAAAATAAGGTGAGTGAAAATCTTTAACACAAAGGCAAAGGGGCAGTCAGGTGAGAGACCGCAAGCTGAAGGCTCACCATAAAGTCACCATAAAGTATACTTTGATGTTGTATGATTCATTATTCATCCAGCAGTCAGGGAGAATGCAGCTGCACAGAGTGAGACACTAAATTTAATACAAATTGTGGTAACTCAGGAATAAAGAAGGTGCTCATTAGGGCTGCTGAAGTCTTTCCAGAATGTGGGTTTCATGTATTTTTTGGTCGTATCCTGGGTTTGTTCATCCAAATAATGAAGATCAATATAGTGAACAACATGCACAAATAAATACGCTTTCTCCTGCAACAGAAAACAGCTAAGCATGGTGGGGGAGGGGTAAGCCACAGCACGCTGAGCGGCTGTGGTCTTCATGTCCTCAGTGAATGTAGGATGATATTTCTGATGTTCGCTTTGGTACATAGAATGAACCACAGAAGGCTGAACATATGGGGGAGGGATACGCCTCAACAGTGACGTGCTACTCTTGATGCTCATCCAGCTAACATCATCGCTTCAATTAGCAAAGACAAACCACTGTGTGTACAAAGGCTGCTGTGATCCATGTAACTTTACAAAATGTACTCCTCACATCCTCTGGTCTGCTCTGGTGATGTTTAGACTGATAGTTGACTTTTCTATTTGCTGTTGTTCTCTAAATCCATCAACTCAGCTGCACAATTGATTGCAAATTTATCATTGTTGCAGTGGGAGCATGTACAATAAACATCTGAAGAATCTAAATTGATCACATTAAAGAAGAATGATATTTGATGTAAATTTGATCTGCTAGGATTAAGGAAAAGCATATCCCTTTATCGATACACTAATGTATCGCTTGAACATGGGCAAATACCAGCCCTGTTGACTGACATGCAGTCAAGTGAAGCTTAACCAGCTGTCAGCCAGCCTTTGGGTTATTTTATGATAATTTAGTAGTGAAAAACAAGAAAATCCTTTTTTCAAGTTGTAATTTTCTATAAACTGAAGCATAGGTTTGTGTTAGTTATCCTTCACTATTGCTTGTTTAAGACCCAATCTCAGGAATTTTAGCTCTATTGTTTCATGCCAGGCCTTTTTTTTTTTTTTTTTAACACTGGGCTGGTTATAGAAACTCACTGCAGACAATAATGGAGTCATTAAGGAGTGAGTTTCTAACAGTAACACAGTTTGGGGAGTGTTTCCTTTTCCAGGGGAAGAACTTCTGAAGGGTTTGTCTTGGAAAGAAAAGTTGTTTTCTCTTCCGCCCATGCTGTTGCTTCCTGAGACTGCAGGAGGAAGGAATTCCCTCTAGTGTTGGTTACCCACCCAACATCCTAACACACACACACACACACACACACACACAGAGAGGCTGTTTACATGCCTCTGCAGAAGTGCTGTTTAGAGAGTGTAAATAAGGCCCTCATGTGTTCATATAGGATGGATGGTACCTTCTCTAAATTAAACACTACCCTAAATATGACCTTTAAATATTAACTCAACTGCACTATTATTATATTTATATTATATTATATTTACAATATTGTGATATTACAGCGACAGTATGGCAGCCGCTGTCAATGAAATTCATTCTCGAGCGCTCCTAACAGTCCTGCAGCGGTAGAAAATCATGCAAATAGTAGCTGCTAGAATGAAGAAATAGCACATGTGAAAACATAAATCAGTATAACATCAAAGATAATGCTTCAGCCATAAGCTTCTTCTGGACAGCAGCAATATATCTTCACTGTACGGTCTCAGCAGCCTGCCCACTAATCCCAGACTCTGATACACGTCTAAATAATTCATGCCTGATCCAATTTATTCACCTGACCGTCAGAGTCTCATTTCAGACCATGCCCTGCTGTCCTTACAGCTCCCACTCTCATCTCAGCAGGACCTTTTCAGTCTTATTTATCCCAGCTAGCAGGCTTTATGAAATTACTTTCCCTGCTCTCTGTTGATTCTCTCTGCCCTGTCTCTCTATCCACGCCCCCCCCTTCCTCTCTCTCTCTCTCTCTCTCTCTCTCTCTCTCTCTCTCTCTCTCTCTCTCTCTCAGACATACATACTCTTAACTCACAGTAGTGCTGTGGGGGGTGGGTCTTTACTTGGCTGACCTTGCCCCAACCCTCCACACTTCCCTGCCCTGATTAGGGCCCCACTGCTGCCCATTCAACAGGCCTGCAGATGCTGTTCAGCCCAGAGCTGCTCATGCTCCCAGCTTGTTGTAGTGGAGGATGGGGTAAGGAGTTGGTCTGTCCCCACAGAGCTCACCCTAAGTCTTTGTCTTCACACAATGAAGAACACATGATGGGAGTGCTGCCATAAAGAGTCCAATCAAACCAGTATACAAATGTCTTCAAACAAATTTTTCAATAAAAGAAGAGATACAAATGTCAAAGACAGAAAACTTCTATGAAGCCCTCCAGATAAAAAGTGACTGACTGAACTGGTCAGAGATGCCTAGGAAGGAAGAGATAAGTGATCATACAACATGTCCAGTCAAACTCAGACGGAGAGGAGCCTCAGCAGTGGATTTATCAGGGAGCTAAGTAGCTAACAACGTTTCACTTGTCAACCTTGAACAGTAGGCCTATGACAAAAATGTCATATGACAGTTTTTTTTCTGGCTCAGTCTCAGTTTTATCACTGTTCTTATTCATGTGCTGCTTGATTATGGCAAATGACATAATCACAGTTATTTTGATTGATATTGATATCACAGTTATTAAAAACAACTACTCATGATTTGACATTTGCATCACACTCTTTCAAGCAACCTAAAAACTCACAAGTCTTTAAATATCAAAATAATTGTAAGCACAATCTTAACTTAGAATCATCACAAAAAACACCAGTGAGTAGTATTTTAAAGAAAGTGAGGCTCTTGCTTTGTTATTACCATGATATGATACCCGCAATCATAGCCTCTCCAATCTGGAAAAGTAACTGGTTAGTGTTTTTAATATATGTGTTCTGTAATGAGGTACAGAATAATGCAGTTTAATGTTGCTTCTGACACATATATCAGTTAGGGCTGCACGATTTTGGCCAAAAATAAAATCCAGATAAAAACTCGATTTTTGATTTTGAATTTTTATTCAGTGACAACTTCACCAAACTTCACATAAAAAAAAGTTTTAATATCATCTCTCAAAACAAAAACACTGAAAACAATGTAGCGCATATGCGAAGCCAGTAAGTGGTGCTGTAACTCTGCCGAGGAAATGCACAAAAGACAGAAGAAGAGTACGGAGCATGCAGATAAAGGTTGTTTTGGCTGGACACGCTCAGGCGCAATACAAGAGTTGCACTGTGTGTCACATAATCGTTTCAAGAGGGATGCAGATAGATGATGATAGATAAATGGTGCACTTTCATACCCATTTTTAAAAAGTACAGTTTACTGTTACCTGAAACGTCATTTCTGTGTGGCTGAAACGCTGATACGACAAAAATCTTTTGCCTTTACTCCTAAATTCATTTACGTGTCAACAGGTTGATACCGCCTTCAGACAGATTTTGCAGTGGGGGTGCTTTGCTCGCCATCCGAAACTGTGAAGCCGTACCAATTCCACGACTGACTTGCTCTTGCCCCTTTTAACCATGAGACTTGATAGAGAGGAAAATCAATTTGACGATTTTAACTTTTTTAACATTGTCATAATTAAATAATCCGATTTTGATTTAAAATCAATTAATTGTGCAGCCCTAATATCAGTCATGATCTGAAATTGGCGGCGTAATTTGGAGTATTTTCGTGATTCATGAATCAGTTAAATGTCCATCTAAAGGGTGTGACCGGCTAAGACAACGATGTATATACATGAACAAAGTGTATATATGTGTGTATATATATATATATATATTTATATTTGTCATGTACATTGATGTAATCATTAAATTTTTTTTTTTTTTTGACCAAATATAAAAAGGATATCAGCACCAATAACCAGCTGTTGACCTGCTTTGTGACATTCAGCATCAGTCGACCACTGATCTTCTTCTCATTGACCTCATTGAATAACTCGATAACTCTGAATAACTCTGGCTGATAATCCAGAGATATCAATGCTGAACACACTGATCTTTAAGGACAGATAATGAGCACTGTCATGTAACTCTGATTAGTCATGAGAGATTTCTGCAGGATTATTGGAGTCCATAAATAACTCTGTCTGAAAACTCGGCTGTAGCTCTGAGCCTTAGTATTTGAATGTGTGCTCCCCACATGCTGAACTGTTGGGGGTGGGGGCGGGGTATTACTGACACCCACAGAGTCAACAGTATATCTGTTCGTATAGGTCTTTCACCATAAGAAGGGTTTCATTTCAATATGATAGCAGGAAAAAGAAAGAAACTCTGTTCCATGAACTGGTTTCATTACCAAGGAGACAAAAATGAACTCCCGGGCACCCACAATGGTTTATCAGTAATATCGGATTTGCAGCCTGCTCACAGTTCTGCCACAGAAAAGGTCCCTGAGCTCAAGGAAATGTTTTCCTTAATGTGCTGTCAGTCTTCATTTTCTCATTTGAAGCTGATTTGGTAAATTTATGGATGTCAATCACTGCACAGAGCTGTGAAGGTCCCTGCCAACAGTCTGTAGGTTTGGACTAATAGAAAACATAAAGGAACCAGGTGGCATCTCCTCTGCTTTCTGTCTGTCTAAAACAGACATAAACACAACATGTGTGTCTTTATTAGACGCTAATGGGCTCAACAAACCATCAGTATTTGCCGACCTCTAAACAAGGAGGTTTAGTGGTTGTGGCTGTGTGGTGGGTGTCGCAGATACACACAGAGGTGCAGAGGTGTGGATTCATCAGTTCTTGAGATAAACAATCAGACAAGAGCTATTGTTCTCTTTATCTCCATTTTCATCGACCACTGCTGCTCTCTCTGTCACTTACAGCACCTTCTGGCTGTAAGTCAGTGGATGTTTTATTGCAGACTTTAAATACTATTAAATGTGAAAATATCAGGTAATTTCGACAACTATGGTCTGTTATCATCATAGCCATGATTATAATCGTTGGTCTGGCTGCTGTGTTTCATGACCCTGACTCCTCTCACACTTGTATAAAAGAAATGAAACAATAAAGCAGCTGAAAGTGGAGCTGTTTTATCCCCCACTTCCCTGAAGTAATATGAGGTTTTGTTCCTTTTTTTTATTTCTCCTATCTTCTCCTCCGCACGGATGAACTTCTTTTATGAGTTGATTGTTAAAACAAACAAAGTCATCTGAGAAAGAATTTGGAGTCTAAAGCTGCAGAGAGATAAAGGCTCTTTCTAAGGACTGCAGTTGTGTTTTATTCTGATAAATGAAAGCTCCTCTCCCTCTTTTTGAACAAATCACAGTGACAAAGTTTAGTTAATTATTAAAACAACATTTATCAACAAGTTTATTCCTGAGACCTGGGAAAGTCGAAGGAAACCTCAGTGTTTGTTTCTGCAGCAGTCTGTTGGTTTTTCCTTGTCTGTCTGCTCTCAGCTTGTCCTTAACCAGCTTCTCTCTATGTAAAAATCTATGTGAATGTGTGTGTGTGTGTGCGTGTGCATGTGTGTGTGTGTGTGTCAGATGACCTATTGAAATCATTGTGGTGCAGAATGCCTGTTACCATGGCAACGCAGGCTTCTCTCTTTCTCTCTCTCAGTTTCTCTCTATCTCCCCTCCCCTTTCATTTCCCCTCCACTCCAGAGTGAGGTCATGTGACCACGCTGACGTCAAGCTATAGATGAGGCAGGCAGAGGAACGAATTAGTTTGTGGGCTTTCAACAGACCTCCTGCTCAGAGGAAGAGCCTCTTGTAATCTGTTAGTCACCGTTAACTGTGTCTCGATCACTTACTCCGCCATCTCCCTCTCTCGCTTTCTTTCTCTCTGTTGTTCTTTCCCCCTCTCTCTCTCTTTCTCTCACACTCTCTCTCTCTCATGTCTGGCTCTTTCTTGTGCTCTTCTTCATTCTCGCCTGTTGCTTTTGCCTCTGCTCTCGCTGCTGCTGCTGCAACAAACTCAGTCTAGAGAGAAAGTGCTGGGTGATGGACTGCTGAACGGCTTGTACGTCGCTACAAAGTGAGGTAAGCTTCCTGGGTTTTCTCTTTGTGTGTGTGTGTGTGTGTGTACTGTGTGTACTGTGTGTTTTAGCGAGCAGCTGCCTCCAGACGGGAGTGCTCTTAGAGAGCTCATACTTGCACAGAGGGGAAGTTTTCTCTCAATTCAATTTCATGGAAGAGAGTTTATGAGGCTTTTTGTACTCTTTAAAACTCCTTCCCTTTGCCTAAATCCTGCAGATTGAGCATGCAGCTCTAAAGAGGTGCAGAAACGCAGCATGATGTCAGAGGTCTCAGGGGGAAGGGACTCGGGGGTTAGTTGCTTACTGTTGAGACAAACACTGGCAGATCTGTTTCCAGCACTTGCAGGAAGTTGGTGCATGACAGAAGAAAGAATGTTTGATCCTTACAGGGCTGAGTATGTGCACAGAGCTGGACATGATGGGCAGCTGCACATGGCTTTTTCTTCTTAAAGCGCTGCTCATGTTCGAGGCAGCAGTGTGTGCTGGAGCTGCTGGCTGTGCTTGCCAGAGAATCAGGAGCAGGGTTGGGGCACAGCAGCTGCCACCTGCCCCCACCCTCACAAAGGATGGGAAAGCGTCAGAGATTCGCCCTGCACAGATGAAACTCTCTAGTGATCAGCTGTTACATTTGTTTCATGTAGAGTTTTCATACAGGAGAGACACAAGGACATCTTTAGGCTTTAGTTTGCCCAGAAATTTGCTCAAGAACCCCTACCCTATCCCCCTACTCATCCCCCACAACCTCCACCAGCTCGGGGGGGAGCCTCAAACAAAAGCATGTCAGCCCACATTTAGCCCCAGCAGTGTGGAAAGAAAGAAAGAAAAATGTGCATAACAAGTAGATTGGATTTGTCTACAAAACTTCACACTTCTTCAGCCCTCCTCTCTTCTACTTTTTTCTACTGAAGATACTTAATCTCTGACTCTTCATCCTGGCCAGCTGTGTAGCAAACTTAAAAAAGCAGAAAGAAGAAAAGAGCACATAGCCAGAGCTGTTGGCTACTTCCTTTAATTTATCGTCTGATGTTTGCATGTGCGCGCGTCATTTCAATAGTCAGTTGAAGTGTCTGTGTGTCGTGGAGAGGGAGGGACATCAGTAACTAATCCATCTTTCTGTAAAACAAAGAACACTAATTTCAGGCTCATTCGCAGCGTCCATCTGTGTTTTCACAGTGTCGCAGTACAACTTAACGCTGAAGTGCTGAAATCTGCCTGAGAAAATGTCAATAACCAAAGTCATGTTTTGACTGAAGGAAAGCAGGAAGTGGATTCAGAGTAGTCCATCAATGTTGACTATCAGGAGGATTACAGATTTTGACATGGATGCATGTTCGAAGATACTTTTCAGTGCGATCTGCCAGAAAATATAGAGAAGCCGATTTTGATTGATAAGATGACAAAAAGCAAAGAAATGTCTCCGTGTTTTGAAAGTGTGAGCTAGCTCTGTTGGCACCATTTCCCCTGGGGAGCCACTGCCGCACACACCTCCAGCCTTCAGCCAGTAGCTTTATCTGACATCCTGCAGCAGTCCACTATTCTTTTGACGCGTGTGTGTGTGTGTGTGAGAGAGAGAGAGAGAGAGAGAGAGAGAGAGAGAGAGATCCGTGCATGTTTCCGAGGAAGAATTTCACATAGTGCCAGATGAAATACTACAGAAAGAGCACCAGTGTTGTATAATAATGTTTGTTTTTTTTTTGCTCTGTACTGGAGCTTTTTTCAAGGTCTGTTCCTCTGTCCCCACCACCATCACCATCCTCTCAAAGCCTCCTAGAGCTCTTAAATGAGGTCCAACTGTGTCTTCAGCCTGACTGCTTCACTTTAACATAGTTGAAACTGCAGCACGGTGACAGTCTCTGCAAAAATGGGTTCATAGAGAGTGACTCATACACCAGAATCATCCTCAACAAGCATTGATTGACATACAAGCAGAACTATGGCTGTTAAATCTAAACATTTGCATGGGTTTGAAGTGTTTCATTTGGATTAAACTGAGATTATTAAAATGTATGAAATGGAAACCACCTGTTTAATGTGGAGAAATCAGGACAGTTTGATGCTGAATGCAGAACACCAGGACATTTCAGTGTTGATGTATTAAGGGTTGAGCTTTCTCTGCTCTAAATCCCTGTACACCACTGAATCAGAAACAAACATTTAAAATCAAAATCAGCTCAATCTTCCCTAAAACCCCCTTATTATGTCTTTTGCACTAATACATCCCTGTGTGGATCCAGACATCTCCATCATCACAAACTAAATGACAGATATTTATTCACTTTTATACTTCTGAAGCTCTCTGCCGGTTACTGTTCATACTTTAGGATGAGAGGGCGGTATTTTCTGCTCAGCTGCTAAACCACATGTTTTAGGTGAACTGAAAATCTCTAATTATCCAAATAGTCTGAGAGTTATTGATTATCCTTTGGGGGGAGTTATCAGCTCACCAGCTGCTTGGACTGAGCAGATACCATACCATCTGAGATACTCCTAGTGTAAGTGTTTACATGATCAAAATAAGTGTCATATCTCGCTTTCAATGACAAGTGATGCAGGCAGACCTACACAGAGCACAGCCACATCCTCATTCAGAGCCGATGTTAATGTTGATAGTGACAGATGATTACAGCTATGTTAACTGGACATTTACTGCTTTTATTTTGGTCCATCTGCAGGCTCAGTTGACATGAGCTAATATCTCCATTAAACCTGCATCCCACCAGCGTTAAGACCTACTCAGAGCCAAAGATGATCACCAGAAACGGGTCATGACTCAAAATCATGAAGACATTACTGAAAACACAGCTGAATGCAGCTTAAGGATGATAGATAGTGATGTTTTTAAACACAGGAGCTCAACACAACTCAATAACACAAGCTAGGCCTGGGCGATTTGGCAAAAAAAATGATCACGATATATTTTGTCATATCGTCCGATCTCAAATATTATCACAATTATTTTTTAACTGCCTGTTTTAAAGCATCTGTACTAAAAACTAAAGAAACTAGAGATTAGTTCAACATTTTATTAACATACAAAGTAAATAACAAAGCAAATTGAATTAGATACGCTTCGAAAATATGAAAAAAAAAAACATTTTAACTCAACAGTACAACAAATGTAGATAAATACTAGATAATACAGTGAATTAGTTTGCAGTCCTGAGTGTTTTTGCAGGTATGCAAGACCCAAAATAAACAAATCGCCCCCCCAGAGATGATGAAGATGCCTTAAAATGTAAACATTAGATGATGTAAACATAGATGATACGATTGAGTGCTGCTTTGGTTTGGTGGCTGCACCGCTAGTTGTGGCTAAACTGCTAATGCTATTCATGCCATCAGCAGTGGCAGGTTGTACAGACTCCACTCACATTTTCATTCACATTCATTCACTTCTTCAAATGATTAAACAGATTTGTTGTGTAGCCAGTTTTTGAGGGCACCGATCGCCGACATACCTTGCTCATCGGCTTAATTACTCGACGTCACTTTGGAGATACCCAAACCACCGCCACACAACCGACCTTGAATAACTTCTCAACAATAACATCTTCGGAGAATAACTCAAAGTCACGGCTGACAACTTTCTTGCTGCCCTCAGCTCTGTGTTTAGCTCCACATTCAGTCATTCTGTTTACTTCTCCGGCAACTTACAGAAGTGAGCACGTTAGTTATTTATAGTTATCTGAGGAAAAACACCCCTTACTTTGTTTAAACGAAAACACTCACTGTATCATTTTAAAACACCGTGCAGCATTGTTTTCCTTCAGTATTCATAATTTGATAGTAATAATTTTGAGGCTATATCGCCCACCCCTACAGGCTGCCAGTGTTTTACGCCTGCTCTCCTGGTGTCACGTGGGGGTACGCTCTTACATTAGGTTTGAAATAAAAGTCTAAACTGATTTCAGATAGTAACATCATGGAAAAGGTGACTTCACTCCTTCTTGGTGAGCCCACACATACTCAGAGATGGTAGTATTTTTGTTTAATGTGTTTGTGCCAACGGTTTCATTTTGCTGCTCACCAGCTCTGCAGAACTGTATCAACCCAGCCTCTAAAAGATTCTGTTTTAGACTTAAGGGACTTTCACGTAACAGTGATGGAAACTAACTTGAAGGCAGTTTATATAACTTTTGATTTACAACCAGAGCCGGATATGATGGCAGAAACTCAGAGAAAGAGATGAAGCGAGACAGACACTGAAATCTGAAGAGGGTTTTGATGGACATGAAGTTTTTGCTGTGTGAATCCTCTCCAGGTCCTCTCAGGTGTCTACTAATAGATAATCTTACACTTGACTTTTAAAAGGGAATTTTGTAGTCCTCAGTTACTATGTAGTGTCATTGTTATTGATATTTATTATGGGCCATAAAAACAAACCTTGTACTACCATGTGAACTTCTCTTGATTGGACTGTAGCTTCTGCGGGTAAAGGACAATAATTCTAACATCTGAAACATCCTGGTTTCCACTCATGGTACTTGTGTTGCTGAACAGTCAGGGTTGAATAATCTGGAGCTAGTTGTGTGAAAGTCTGTGAGGAGCTAAAGAAATGGAGCAGATTGGGTGAAAGGCACAGTCAGTCAGTACATTTACATGACACTCGAGAAAACCGAATTATTGCCTCATTCCGATTAACACCGGACAACTGAATTGCATGTAAACACCTGAGTCGGGGAACTCTGATTAAGACACCCAGAAAATGTGATTGCAATTCAATTTCTCTACCATGTAACCAGTCAGAGTCAGATTATGATCGGACAATGCATGTGCATGTGGGCCATGTCTCCGTAACTCCAGAACAAGAACACCAAAGAAGAGGACTAGCGTGCATCTCATCTGCAGAAAAAGTAGCATGTACATCACGTAGGACAAAAACAACGGCATATGATGCTCCATCTTCTTGCTCAAAAATGCCCAGCAGCAGCTGTAGCCACTTCTGACGTCTGGCACAGACCTGCTGTTGTTGTTGACAGTTGTATGGGGTCGGAAACAGCGCCACTGAAAAGACCCATATCGCCCCCTAGTTTTGGGGAGGAGGACACGTTCGCGTCAATAATTTGATTTTCTCAGCTGCATGTATACAAGGACAAGGAGAGAAGTCCGATTCTGCGAAAAAACAAATTATGAGCTTTGTCTGATTAAGCTGTGCATGTACACATACTGAGTGACTGATATCCAGCTTCAGACCAAAATCTGTGTTTGAGTGAAGATCATGATGCAAGAGGCGATGCTTCAGCTGAACTTTGAGCTGCCTCTCATACAGTCAGTCCGGCTGCATTTCTTCAGTGAATTGGTAAACCTCATAGTGAGTTTGTGTTTGTTGGTGCAGGTGTAAAGCATACTCCACACCAGCACTTGTGGTGAATAAGTCCAAAGAGTTTGTGTGATAAGGTAAAGAGTCAAATCGAGCTTTTAAAAATGTGTGTAGTATATGAATAATATCTGAAGTGGAACATTTGGGATCTCTCTGATGAATGTGCTGTCTACCCACTCATCAAGGGGACCCTTCAGGTATGCGCTTGTGCTTCACTGTTTGACTTGGACATCCCAGCGAGGCCAAAAGCACTTGACACTCTGGTTTAGGGGGCTCTCTGAGAGCTCACTCCTCAGTGGTAATTGCATTGTTCTGAAGTCTCATGATGTGTCTATGCATTATAAACTGTGAACGTAATTGAAGAGGCAGGGGAGCAAAACTATGTTTGACTGAAGGGTAAAAATCTAGATCTATGCAGTTAACTGTGCTTGTGCGGCTGTGGTATACTCTGCTTCCACACTGACTTTAGAAATGATCCTGATGTTGACATTCAAAGAAATCATCATGGAGCTTTAACTGAACATAGTTTAGTAATGAGCTCAGCTCAGCAGTCCTCCTTGGTGCTGGTTTTTAGCCTTAATCTTTATTCTTCTGTTGAATAACATGGCAAAAGTACAGAAAATGAAAAGGAATTCAGAGTTCATCATGATTTATTTTGGAAAGTATAAAAGACTCAGATGGGTGTACTCCTTGTTTAGGTAAGAGACACTCGACATCAGATTGTAAGAATAAATAAGTGACACAAATATGTTCTAAGAGCTTCTCTGGAAGTGTTTGATCTCTGTGTAACCGTCACTCTTATTGAGATTAGAATTGAGTCACGGCAGTAGACGGACTACATGTCTGTAGTAGTTTGGCGAGGCAGCTGGTCAGCCGTGCTTTTGTCTGTCTCCAACGGGCTTCTTCACAAAGGGGTCAAAGGTCATGTTACTGAAATCCAGCTCCAATGGGGTGCAGAGTGCTGTGAGAAATGGCTCCCAGCTAAAGGTTCCCATATGGGAAGGCTCACACTGACATATTTAAAGGATAACCTTGGCCTATAGGCCCCCCTGCATTGGTTAAGGGAAACTCTGGGAAACAGATTTTCTATTTTTAGCTTGACGGAGGATTTCACACCAGTGACAAAAGGGAGTTCTTTCCCTGTGAACAGATGTCTCTTTTCAGAGTTTAGAGACTGGTTGACTTTACTCTGCAACAAGGAAACCCCCTGCTGCATTTACTGTCATTACACCATTAGATTAACCACTTCACACTATTTCTGTTTGTTAATCAAAGAGTGAAAACATCAGAAAGTGTTGTTTTTAACAGGTTTTTGTCTATTTGTCTGTAGAAGGGTTCATCTTATTGGTTATTTGTAAAAACTCGAAGGCCGTTTCAGCTGAAAGAGACAAGATAAGATATTCCTTTATTAGTCCCACTGGGGGATAATTCCAAATTATAGCAGTGATGAATGAATATATATATATATATATATATATATATATATATATATATATATATATATACACACACACACAGATACGTTAGCGTTATTTACAGCTGCTATGCTGTTATGTACATGTTTGATATGTTACAGTTGAAAGCGTGATTGTGTGATGATGGCATCTTCATATTCTCACCACAGGGAAAAGATAGACCAAATAGATGTCATATGTATGTGATTGTTAACTTAAAACTACATGTCTCAGTTGTTTTTAATAGCCCTATGTAAGGTTCAGAAATAAAGAAAACTGCAGTGACTCCTGCAGCGGTCACAGAGGAATGATCCCATTTATAGCCATACTCATATCTAACTAGCATATGGTCATGGCAGTGACCATTGAACAGTATTTCTGCTTGTAATGCCCATCCCTCAATCCTGCCAAAACCAAAAATGGATTTGTGTCAGTTCTTATTTTGCAGCAAAGAGGCAGAAATGCTTCTGCACTTGGGTTGTCATGGTAACCACAAAAATGAAATACTGCAGATCATGATAGGCTACCACACAACCATGGTTGTGACATCACCTCCTTTAAGAGCATTTCGGTTCACAGCTTATTAACACGGGGGAGTACATCAATTCAGCTCCAAAAAGATCTGTATGAAACCAGGAAACACACTGAATTTAAGGGGACGTACCATTAAGCTTTCAAGCTGAGTTCAGCGGCTCATGCCACAGTCACCTGGTAGCCTGGCATTGGAGAAGCTTTTACCTGAGTTGAAAATACAACCCTGCGGTGATGCACCCACAAATGCCTCCCGGACACTGTTGCACAGTATCTGATAAGGAGATGGAAACATCTCCAGGGTGAAGAAAACAACATTCAGTCAGTGCTTCAGAAATTTGATGAGCACCAAGATTTTTAGAGAGAACTGTTGGAAATCTGACAGCAAAATGTTGAAACAGAAGTTAGAGGTTTTCATAATTATCTTGAAACAAACGCCCCTGAAAACACGTTTGTAGTTTAAAAACAGAGTAACACCAATAAACAGACGTGTGCAATGATACCACACACACTGCAGTATTTAGGAACCTTGATCACTGAGACAGCCCGACTCTGTAGAGCCTTATTTTATCTCTCAGAACCAGCAAACCTGCGGAGATGACACTGGGTTTCAGTGTGTCACTCACTTCCATGTGGACACTTTATTCCCATCAAAAGACCAGAATTACTGGTGGATTTTCATTTGTGATTTTCCTTTTCATTTGTAAAGTTTTGCCCCAGCAGCACATTGAAAAACAGAACTTTTGTGGTGGATTTGGGAGACCTTATGACAGCATGCGAGCATGATTGTCTGGCTGTTGTTGAGCTGATAAGCTGTTTCCCTCAGGTTAGCAGCCGGTGTTGATGTCAAATGTTTAAAGGAAACTTTTTCTCTGGTTTAAACATGTTGTAAATGTGATCAGCTATCAAATCAAATTAGTCTTTCAGGTAGTTTCTACAATTTCTGATTCTATCTGTCCTTTGAGAAGAGCAGGTCCCTGCTTTGGACAATGTAGATATCATCCTTTTATTCACAGAGTTACAGTCGCACCTGTTACGCCACTCACTATCAGATCTTGGGAGGATAACTAGACGACAAGTTGCTTTGAATAATTAACCTGTATTTGCATGAAAAGAAAGTTTGAAGTCAGGAAACAGACAATAAAGATGTGCTTTAGAAGAACTTGGATTCAATATTCATGAGAATCTCAGGTCAGAGCGACTCATTATCATGGACCTCACTGTTTTCCACCCTTCTCATGAGCAGAGAGGCAGCTCTCCACCCATATCCAGGATACTGAATTATTCAAAATATTCCATGTCAATAATTTCCAAAGGGAGTGTTGCGGATGACAGTGTGGCAGTGAGGAGATGATAGGTCTCAGATTACTCCTAATTCCTCAGTGCTGACAGAGATCTTTGGCAGTCAGGGCGCATGGCTTACTGAGGGGGAAGTGAGGCGAAAAGAAAAGAGTGATATTGCTGCTTTGTCATCTAAAAATGACTTGAATGTGACATGTGCTTTGAAACAGCTTTCTGATGAAGACGCTGTCGTTGAGAGGGATATTAAAGCGCTGTTCTTGTTCAGCATTGATGTGGCAGCTGTTCACAACACAGACAGGAATACTGTAAGCCCACACACATTTGTGTGTCACTGATGTTGGTTTGTTTTACGCCAAAATGACAAATGATGTGTAAGGACTCTCTGTCACTGTTTATTACATAGTTTTAGACTATTTCTACAGTAACTGAGACTTCCTCTTTAGTCTGTAGTCATTCTGCAAATCATACTCATCAAGCTTTGTGCCAAGATGGAGACTCAATGTGATATGACCAGTGTTTGGGGTAACGCACCACAAAGTAACAGATTACAGTAATGTAATTACTTTTTCGGGGTAACAAAGTAAAGTAACACACTACACTAAACAAATCAGTAACTTAATTACTTTACTAAACAATAGGAACATGCCTTTCTGCGTTACATCAGCTGTGTTTCCCTGTGCGCAAAGCTCTGATCTGTTAAAGTGGTTTGTGCATGTGTGCTGCTTGTGTGTTTGTGACAGTAGGCAGGGGTTTGGTGCTCATAAGGATCAATTTCATCTTTTTTGTTTTTTGTGGAAATCAAGCCTTCGGACCATTGTCCAGCTTGTCTCTGTACACTCTGACAGTCTTTTCTTTTGCAGGATTCCAATAGACTGTATATATTCTATGGATAACTTGGTTCCGCCTACCGCCTGTATACGGATTTGAAGCCAAAAAGCTCTCGGTATTTCCGGGATTTTTCTTCATTTCCTAAATCCAGCACTGCGCAGTAGTGATGCGCGCATTCGGGTGTGCAGTCGCCAAGAGTCGCTGTGATGACGCTCAGCTCAAACAGCGTATCCCCCGGGAGAGCTACGCAATACCTGAACGCCCATAGGCTGTATCAGGTGTCAATCATAGAAAACATGAACCCCCAATAACTTTTAAAAACGGAGCTTCACAGAAAAAAGAGGACTTGAGCACAAACCAGTCTTACTGTAACTACATGTAACATCACAAGCAGGGGGGAGAAAAAATAGTGTTCTGTGTAATAAATTTCTAAAGTTTGTCCACAGCTCCATAAGCTTTGCTGGAGGAGGTGGGATTGATGACCTATACTGCAGCCCATCAACAGAGGGTGCTGTTCTCAGAGTGGCTTCACCCAGCGAGGAGGCAGACTCTGTCCATTCTTTACACAGTCTATGGGAATTCCTTTTTCTTAGGTAGTTTTTTTTTTTTTTTCACTGTGCCGCTATCTCGCAGCCTCCCAGTCAAATGAAACAAAAAGCTGCCTGCAAAGATGCATTGCGCAATCATGTAGTCTTTAATGGTCATATGATGAGATCAATTTGAGTGACGTAGCTGCTGATGCAAAAGAGAGATGGAGATGGAGGCGGATGACACAGGGGCTTTAAGTGGCAAGTGGCGATACTTGCATCATTTTCGTTATAGTCGTCGAAAGGACAAAAATATTTGTGTGAAATGCAGTCTATGCCCAGTTGACATTTATACAATAAACAAAATGATGCGGACTATGCTCAGTGATGATTGGGCAATGATGTTTGTCCATGTACCTCTACATGGTAAATTAAGAAATGGGAAAGTCAAGTTATAAGTATGAAGTTACTTTTCAAATGTAGTAGCTAGTTAAGTAATCACATGACAATATACAGAAGTAACTAGTTACTAGTAGGGCTGCACGATTTTGGCCAAAAATAAAATCCCAATTTTTTTTATCTGAAAACTCGATTTTCAATTTTTATTCAGTGACAACTTCACCAAACTTCACTTTAAAAATAAAAAGTTTTTCTATCATCTCTCAAAACAAAAACACTAAAAACAATGTAGCGCATATGCGAAGCCAGTAAGTGGTGCTGTAACGCTGCCCAGGAAATGCACAAAAGACAGAAGAAGAGTACGGAGCATACAGATAAAGGTTGTTTTGGCTGGTACAAACGCAGGATCCATAAAAGAATTACACCGTGTTTGACTGGTCGTTTCAGGAGAGATGCAGATAGACATCCACATGAAGATGAAATGGTAGTCATTTACGGGTTTATGCACTCTTGTACCAGTTTTCAAAAGGTACTGTTTACAGTCACCCAAAATGCCTTTTCTGTGTGGAGGAAACGCTGATACGACAAAATACTTTTGGGTTTACTCTTGAATTCGTTTCCCTGTGGACGGGTTGATACCGCCTTCAGACAGACTTTGCAGTGGGGAGTGGTTTACTCTTCATCTGAAACTGTGAAGCCGTACCAATTCCACACGACTGACTTGCTCTTGCCCCTTTTAGCCACGAAATTAACACCTTCTTTTCCAACGCCATGTTTGTCCACACTGGTGTGTATGGGAACTGGGGAGCGCTCCCGCAGGAAGGGGGAGCCTATGTTGGCCTGGAGGCGTGAGACATGATAGAGAGGAAAATAGATTTGATGATGTAAACTTTTTTAACATTGTCATAATCAAATAATCCGATTACGATTTAAAATCGATTAATCGTGCAGCCCTAGTTACCAGTAATGAATTACTTTTTATGAGTAACTACCCCAACACTGAATGTGATACTCCCCTGACCCAAAACTTAACACCTGCTTTTGGTGAATAATACCGAACAATGAACAATATACCAAAGTACAACCTGTATCTCAAACAATAATCCCAGCATTTGTGTAATAATCCTGTACTCTTCATTTCTCTTTCCAAAGAAATTACAGACAGAAGTATGAGTTTAAGACCGTACGCAGAGTTGTCCATGATCCAAACCCTGCAGGATTATTTCTCAGAGTAGAAAAATAAATATGGTTTCACTCTGAAAGGGCATTTTGTTGAGAAATTTCACATCACATCTATACTGAGCTCAGCACAGGGATGAAAGAACAGCCAGTATTAGCGTTAAAGCTTCAAAATATTCTCATTATTTGACAAATCTCCATCCTCTGGATTCATCCTGACCTCTGACCTGACCACACTGACATCATTTCCGCTGTGTTTTCTATTTTCCGTGATGTTACATCCTGTTTCTATATTTTCCTTTGACCACAGGAAGTAGAGAGGGCTTTGTTGCATCCCCAGAGGCAGCCCCCAATCACAGCCATCTCCAGCAGGCTCCTGCTCTGCCCAAGTCCCCCCCCTTCCCCCGTCTATTCTCTCTCTCTCTCTCTCTCTCTCTCTCTCTCTCTCTCTCTCTTTCTCTCTCTCTCTCTCACGGGGAGGTGAATCCTTGACATGGTAGACATTGACCTTTTCCTTTAACAGCTATACGTTCTCCAGCTGCTCTTTTGATTACTCTGCAAACATCATTTTTCATTTATAGATCATCTCTGGCGCATTTACAGCCATCCCACTTCATCTTGAACAACGCTCATGATAACTCCTATCTAGCAGGTGTGACTGAGTGGGAGGCCATTCTTCTTCATCATCAGTCATCGTTTTAATGGAAAATTTTCTCTGAAAGAACAAAGGAGAGACCAAAAAGGCAACAGTTGGTGCTTTGAACATTTAAAGCCATAACAAAAAGTAGTAATTGTTCCTGCAGTGTGAGATTGGATTTGAACTTCAGATTTGTTTCATACAGATGGCTAAATCAATCAATAACACAATGATACAGACTACAACCTGCTAAAGCCTCCTCCAAACAGCAACTGTCCACTAAAAACACGGCGACTCTGACCAGACATGCTGGACGAGGAGCGATGTTGAAAAATGTGCATCAGACAGGAAGTGGTTCATACTTACTCTTTTAAGATGGTGGATGTTGGTTTGTTCACACTCTCTCCAAAACCCAAAGCACTCTAAGAGAAGGGAGACTCTATCATGAGCACACAACATAAGGGGGAGACAGGAGAGGAACATAACATCTACCTGCTTCAGAGTAAGCTTCAAATATGAAGTGGGTGGAAGGGTTGGGTCTGTGAGGCACTTTGAATTTCATTTTCTTTTATATGAAAAGTGCCATATAAATAGTTTCTGTGAGAGTTTTTTTTTTGTTATGTTTATGATCCCCTTCTATGATGTCTATAAGCAAACAAGACTGATCATTCGTATGTTGTGGTTTCCAGTGCTCTAAACTACTGTGAGGGGGAAGGTGTCAGCCGAGCAGCTTAAGAAACAACCGTTTTTACAATTTGCACATAAAATAATCACAAGAAATTATACCTGTGACTGTCAGAAGTTAGCAGGATGTGATTTTTATTTATTTATTTTTGTTGAAGTCATTATTCAAGTGTGTAGAGGACAAGCTAAGCAAAGACTGCTCTGTCTGGTCCTCACAGTACTTCCTCAAAGCTCCTCATAGGAGCTTTAACACCCAGTTGAGTCAATTGTGATGAACAGGAGTGATTCCAGGAACAGTCAGATCACACTCATCAAACTAAATCTATCTAAAATAAATCTATTTATTGAAAAAAACATATAAACATGAGTCTGGCTAAAATCACACTAAATCAAAATTCTCACAATCAGACTAACATTCCTGGATGATGAGGTTTGAGGTTGATTTTCTCTGTCACGTATATGACTCAGTCAGACTGATACTGGCCTCAGCGTTCTGCACACGCTCTGGTGTTTACACACCGGGCTTTCAGCTGGAAGTTGAATATCCTGGATGTGTTGCTAGGGAGCCGAGTAGTAAACAAAACCTTGATGGAGGAAGAAGGAAAGTAAAAAAAGATTCAACTTTGTTGATGAATGGCACAGGGCTGTAAAAGTGATGATTTTTGTTAAGACATAAAACAGCTCATTCAGAACACAGTATGAGCTCTTGCAGAGGTACAGGACTGAAGCTGACTTTAAAACTAACAGGAGAGTCAAAGAGCTTACTCAGGTTCTGCATCTATTAAGACTAACCTGAAAAACTCTCATGTTTTGACTTTAGTGTCAGTGAAAGTGTTCAGTTTGATTTTGGTTTTAGCTACAAGTAAACTGATAAAAACACTTGGACATATGTCCACATTTTTGGACATATTTTACAGTACGGAGATCAGGTGACATACATGCGTCCATCCCCCCTGCTGGGACCCTGAAGTTAGTCATCCAACCAATTGACCAGGTTCAGTGATCCATTGCCAGGCAGACAGAGAGCATCCTCCGCTGCACCACTGACAGGGAACTAAACAAATTAGACCTGACCTCTGAGTACAAAGCAGGGGTCCTTTCCTATTGGAGAAAGAGGAAGTGAAAAAGAAAACAGAGAGTCCACGTAGCCGAGCAGCCGGAGCTCATTCTCATAAGAGTGCACCAAAATAGTCCTGACCCAGCTGACATGCTGCCAAGTCCAGAGTTATCCCAGATCTTCACACATTCATGTATTAAATATATGGAGGCCAAGGACACCATTAATATTGTTATATAATCCTTCCTAAATACCTCCAGCCTGGAGCTGCACTGACCACAGATCTCTGCAATGAAATTACATAACCTTAAGCTGATTATGAAATCGACTCCAGGAAGCATGTCATCTTGTGCTTCTAGCTGGTTCACTCTTTCCTTGAGTCAATGAACACAATGAGTGGCCTCCTCCTCCTCCTCATGTCAGGTCTGTTACCATAACAACCTAATAAAGGCTAAAGAGGCCATTTGAAAGTTTAAGAGCTGCAAATATTGACAGTGGAAAGCCTCGGGCTAACCAGCTAGCTATGCTAATCAGCTCAGGCTAGACTACAGATTTGTCTGCTGTGTCTGCAGGTTTGCTGCTGAATTTGTATAAAAGAGCTTTCACGTTTATATTTGGCTTTATTTTCAGGAATATGTGAAAATCACAGAATCAGATTCTTGTTTTGTATCCTAGCAGTACAAATGAACCCAGTTCAAGAGCAGTGCCCCTCCAATATGCTGCTGAGTCTATTATTGTCAGGTAAAACAGGTATATGGTGATGCTTTAAGGATTCTTGGCAGGGAGAAAAAGAGAGAGTCCAGCAAAGAGCCAGTACAGTAAAATAACAAAAATTTGCATACAGGAATTTGCTCTTAAACTCAAAATATGAACAAGAACCCTGTTATGTTAAAAAAAAACTCTCAAAATGTCCCACTTATACTCCCTTCAAAACTGTTTTACTAACTGCAATACAGTATTAACAGTCGCTGTGCTATTGGCCATTACCGTGTTTCTAAATGAAATCATCACACAACAGAGTTTCTACTGCTGACAAACAAAAGTATTGCAGATGTGAGCGTTTTATTTCTCTGTCCATCTGTGAGAGTCAAACATCCAACTATGAGCAGTTAAAGCAGCCTTGGCATAGCAGGAGTTTATAAAGCTTGACTGAGGGCTCTCTGAATCTGCTAACTCTGATAATACATTATTATGACAGCTGGACATGTGGGGTAAAGCTGTTGACCAGGGCTGCTCCTAGTTCACAGACACATTTATGAATGGATGACCTACAAATCAAAATAAAAGGACAGACACAGTAAAACTGGAAGATGCTCTTCAACTGGTTCAAATAGAGGAATGAATTTAGCTGGTGTTGTGCGATAAAGCTGGATTTAATCTCATGTTTAAAGGATTAAAAATGAACAGGTTTACTTTGGCCCCCTGATCAGTGTCATAGACTGTATACTTGTTTGCCATAAAGATGAAGAAAGGTGGTCTGATGTTGCACCTGGTCAGCTTTTCCCTTTCTTAGGAAAGGTGGCCATTTTCACCACTCTGGAGTGTTCACACTTGGACCTTTTAAGATCTTAATATCTGCACTCTCCTCATCCTCGCCTTCATCCGAGATTCCTTCTCCACAGGAATCTGCTGCAGCTGCAGTTATAAACTTTCACCCTCCACAACAGCTAATGGTTTAGATTTGGGAAAGGAAACCCAGCTGAGACCAGACTCAGTATCTTTGCCCTCATGACCGGTCTCTTTCCTTTTTTATTAAAGGACATTTTAATGCAATGGCACATTTTGTTTTAATAAATGCGAGCTCCATGTTGGAGATAGACCACGGTAGAGTTAATGCAGGCAATATGAACTTAAGAGCCCAGGATTAGGTCATAACAGTCCTGTGTTGTTCTCTATTTCAGTCCCCCTACATCATGAAATCTGGATGATGGTTGCATGATTTCAGTGTGTTTACAGAGGCCTTGCTGTAGAGTTGTGGACACGGTTATCTTCTTTCTTTCTACTTCAAGCCAGTCTGACTTGACATTCACAATCACATTGACAGACAATAAGAAAAGCTTTACAAGTCTGCCAACCTGTTAGCAAGAGCTCCTTAGCTGAGTCATCCTGCTCTGTGAGAGAGGAACGGCACATTCTTCCTCAGTTTTCAGGGAGTGGCTTTGACATTTCTCTGCTTCCATACTAAATATCCAGCATCCCCTCCCTCGATTAATTTTTCCAGTTTACAAATCCAGCCTTGATAGGTGTGCATGTGTTTGTTTCTGTAGCTCCCTTTGCTGTTCAAGGATCGGCTGAGTTGTATTTGCATTTCATCTTGCAGAAATTCTGTTTTTGGATCTTAACATTAAAATTCCAGGTGGTATGTTTTTTGATTCTTCAGGGAAGCATCAATAAAGAAATCCCTGTCACATCAAATACTTAAATAATGTAACAGCTCACCTCCCCCACTTTATTTCTTCAAACAGTTATGTGTTGCTAAGCAACATAAAAAAGAATCAGTAGCCTGATGTAAGTGCAATGCAAATGAGACAAATACAAAATACAATCCTGCCAAATAAAATAAATGTTTTAAAGGTATAAGATCTTTTATTTCATTGTTTTTTGTATATATATATATATATATATATATATATACACACACACACACACACACACACACACACACACACACATAATGATACAGACCCACTTTGATCATCACCCTGGCTTTGACTTTTTTTAATTTTATTTTATTTTATTTTATTTTTTATTGGGGTTAAAAAATAGCTTCAAGAAGCAGATCAGACTGACACCCTATAGAATCCTTTTTGTCTTCATTTTCATCTCTTAACTGCAAGTTTTTCAAAGTACCTTTAATTTTTTTTTCAATGTTGATCACATTGGCTATTTTCCACTCACCTCACATACCTGCACCCACTCAACCATCTTTACACCTACACACACACACACACACACATCCTGCAGTCACTTATTCTGTGTATTTGACTCTGAGCAGTGTGTGTGTGTGTGTACCCATGCATGAGCTGCACTCAGCCAGACAGCTCATCAATGGCAGTGAGGGTTTTTTTTATGTTACTATGGTAACAGCTGTGAAATAGCTTCATAAGCGTGTGAAGTGCCCATGTGTAGGGTGAAATAATGGAAGAAAACATGGAAATCAAGTGCAGGCATATGGACGAGAAAGACAAGCAGTTCATGAATGAGGCAGTTTGTTAAGAAGTAGAGGTGGAAGGACTAATGAAGGACTGATGAAGATGATGGTTGAGGGCATTAAGACAATTAAAAAAACAAAGTGTTTGTGCTTGTGTTTGTGTCTGGACCTGAAACACCCCTCTCTGGAGTCTTTTACGTTGAAACTCATTTTGTCAGAGTGATATGAGAGTTTAGCATGCTGTCTGCACGAGAAAAAAAAGAACCCATCAAGAATTAAGGAAGTGAAAGAGTCAGCTTTATATACTTAAGTTTGCACACAGCATGAATAATTACACTTAACAACAATCCAAAGAAAGACTATTCATGTTCAGGGGTAACTGACACATTTTTCTCTGGGGGGCTTGAAATTAATGCAGAAAAGACACAATAAATACAAGATGTAAGTAAATCAAATGAAAGTACTTGATCTGTGTTTCATAAGCTGAATGAAAACAGCATTTATCACATGGGCCCTTCTTTTGTTTGTTCATGTATTTGTTTGTTTCTGAGAGGTGTAGCCTGAATCCATGCTGGGTCTGATCCTGACATTTGCAGGGGAAGCAAAACAGCATAACAATAATAAAAATAATAATAATAATAATAATAATAATAATAATAATAATAACAACAACAATAATAATTACAATAATACATTTTCTTTGTAGTGCCCTTTACATCAAGAGACCTCAGAGGGCCTACTATTAGCCGAAGGCCTCTTAGAACATGTTTCTTAAAACAAAAGTGTAATTTCTCTCTGTGTTACTTGATGCTGTTTAATTTTGATGCCCAAGCTCTTAAACTCTCAACTTCTCCTGCAAAGACCCCACACTGAGCTTTATTTCTGGGTTCTGTCCGCTTGTCTTTGTCCTATATGATGTAACAGGATTTTTTGCATGCCTATCTCTTATTTCTCACAAGGATGGCGCCTTTTTGCTGCCACCACCTGGCTGGTGGTATATCATATGTTTTAGGTACAATTACTTGCTCTCTAAGTAGCTTCTGTCTCTTGTGTTGGACAGGCAAAACGATTTTCACCCCAGACAGAAATAAGTGACCAATCTGTAACTTTTGATGAGTCAAGAATTTTTACAAAAGTTTGTTCTTGGATTGTTCTGTCTAACAAGGCCTAAAACATCCTCTTTGTAAAGAAGCAGCTAAGTTCACGAATCAGTAGACAGTCATCATTGTTATCCCATCTGTGCTTTCTTAACCTTTCGATGTGGAGAGTGAGACAAGACTGTCAGTGGCTTCATTTACTGTGAGAGGTTGAAAATATGTTCAGGGACACCAGCCTCTGCCAAACTATGAAAACACTTTCTGACAGTATCTGACATTTACTTACATTTACAGAAATGTTTTTCTGTAATTTATCACCTTTTAATGTTAGCTGCTTTCAGTCCCAAATAGTGATGTACATGCATGGGCTGTTGTTCTTTTACAACACATACACAAACTACCAAACATATCTGTCTGTTTCCCAGTCTCCCTTTGACAACATCAATTTCCTTGCCAAGCAGCTTTTTCACACACACAAAAAAAACCCACCATTTGATTCCACTCCAAAAAAAGAAGCAGAATCACTGTCAGTCAGTCACTTTGAATTGATTCTCACAAGGATAGAGTGACCATCACTCACATGCAGACAGGCAGCTGAAAAAATCCATGTCCACACTCTTGTGGACTGCCAGCAGTGGCATCCTCAGTTGGCTGAGCATTTCAACAGGAGGCAGAGTGGTTTCAACCCTGAGTTGTGTGTGTGTGTATATATGTGTGTGTGTGTGTGTGTGTGTGTGTGTGTGTGTGTGTGTGTGTGTGTGTGTGTGTGTGTGTGTGTGTGTGTGTGGTTTGTAATAAAGTAGATGACAGGGCCATGGCTGTGGGTTCCATTAGTGAGCCGTATGTTGACAGACTGAGCTGTAATCACTCTCTGGGTCAGTTGCAGGAGCAGCTCTTTCATCACTTTACCAGTTTTTTTTTTTTTTTTTACTTTCTTCTTCAAACTCCAAATTCGTGCAGTTTCAATTGCTGCTATAGTACAGTGCAGTCAAAACACAAACTCAAGGTTATGTAAGGTAAAATATACAAATGCTATTCTTATCAAACTTTGGCACCCGACTTTTTTTCAGCACAGAGATCAAAAGCCAGTATCCCTGATGGTAAGAGGATACCAAGGTCCTCATGACCAGCAAGGCTGAACAATATATTCAGGTTTATGAAGCCATACAAAGAAGTCATTTTTCAGGGATGACCTTATATAATTTTGCAAAAATATTCTGAACTACATCTTTCATGTTACAACAGGAGGGCTTAGTAGTAGAAGAGACCAGGCACTGAACTGGTCTGTCTGCAGTCCTGATTCTTCGCCCCTTGAAAGTGTTTATCATGTTTTTGGGGGCCAAAGGAGACCCTGAACTCTTCAGCAACTGAAGTCCTCAATCAGGGAATAATGGGAAACAAGCTACTTTGAAAAGTTCAGAAACTGGTCTCTTAAAGGGGTATTCCAGCATAAAATTAACTTGGGGTCAAACACCGTAACACCAAGTTAGACACCCCCTCTAGAAATGAATGTTGCAGACTGCTTGCTTCTCTAGTTATACCAACTTCAACAACGACCGCACAACAGCAATACACAGCAGTCTACGTCTCCACGTGCAAACCTCAACCAAAAAGCCACTCTATAGCCACAAATAATGCTCAGAACAGCACCTAACTTCATCAACAGTACATATAGGGTCCCAGCCATAGCACTAGCCATCAATCGTCTTTTTAGCTTTGCCTGGTTTCTTTAGCAAAGAGACCAAACAAAACTTACTCACTCTCCTTCAGCAGCCACTTGTTTGTGGGGGAGCCCTGACGAGTCGATCACGGAGTGCAGCAGATCATTTCCATGAAGTAATAATCATCATAATAATCATTTTGCACTGCAGACGTGGTAGTTCTTCTGCCTTAGCGTCATAACCAGTAAATGTTCTTCCTTGGGCTGCGAAACTCCGCTGGCTCCCTTTAAGTTCCCAGACGTTTACGGAGTGTTGTAAAGAGAAAAGGTGATAGTGGAGCAGATAAGTGACATAATCATTCAGTTGGTGATACAAGCATGAAAATTGGCATGAGCATTCTTCATGGGTCACTTGACTAGAAAAGTGCCCCAGCTATTTTAAATTTCAAGATGGCCGCCACCTAAGTGGAACAATTAGGTGATGTACTTGTTAAATTGGTGATATAGCCATGAAAATTGGTATGAACAGTCTTCATGAGTCACTGTGCCCAAGCTGCTTAAAAATTCTAAGGTGGTGACCATTCAAAAGGTGGCTGCCATCTCATCAGAGCAGTTAAATGATGTAAAGTTGGTGATATAAACATGAAAAACAGAAAGACCATTCTCCAGGAGTGACTTAACAAGAAAATGCCCCAAGATGCTTCATAATTTTAAGGTGGCAACCATTCAAAAGATGGCCTCCATCTTATTACAGCAGTAATATCATGTAAAGTTGGTGATATAAACATGGAAACATTCTCCATAAGTCACTTCACAAGAAAATAATTGACTGTGTTTTGTCCAACTCCTTGCCATCTTTAAATGGCCGCCATCTCCTCAGAGCAGTTAAATGATGTAAAGTTGGTAATATAAACATGAAAATTGGTAAGACCGTTCTACATGAGTAACTTGGAGTAACTATGAGTAACATTTGACTGCTCTGATGAGATGGCGGCCATCTTTAAATTGGCTGCCATCAGGAAATTTCAAGCAGCTTGGGGCATTTTCTTGTTAAATGACTCATGAAGACTGTTCATACCAATTTTCATGGCTAAATCACCAACTTAACAAGTACATCACCTAATTGTTCCACTTAGGTGGCGGCCATCTTGAAAAATGGCTGCCATCTTGAAATTTCAAATGGCTGGGACACTTCTCTAGTCAAGTGACCCATGGTGAATGCTCATGCCAATTTTCATGCTTGTATCACCAACTAAACGATTCTGGCTAAAATTTGTACTTGGCTGCTGCACTATGATGTTCTCCTTGCTTTAAGGGAGCACAGAGTAAATATCAGGAACGTTTGGGACCAAAATAGTAGCAGTTTCAAGCCCAAAACCCCTGGATGTCATATTTGAAATTCAATGCCAGACTAACTGGAAGATTATTTGACTGTTTTAGGAAAATGCTGCAGCTGTAGATGATCAACCAGTTTGTAGAAGCAGGTTATCTAACATCCTTAGTGGCTTTCCCTTCGCATATACTCTGCTGACATTGAGGAGTTTTTCTCAGTGAGTGCCTCAGTTGAACCTTGAACACAGAAGCTGTGCTTTTTTAAACCTGCCAGAATAAGATCATACAGTCACTGGAAAGGAGGCACAGTGGAATACCTGCTCCCAAAGACCTTGGTTGGTATGAGTTTACAAGTGAGTCATTCCCTGAGACATTGCAGACTGAAGGCCAGGTCATTTTATGCTCAAGAATATCAACACTTCATGTGACAAAGGCTCCATACTACATATCTGAAAAAGCTCTGAACAAACACTTGAGTTGATGCTGCAGGTGGACAGAACACAAGCTCAGTTATGCTCTTGCGATGTGAGCCCTTGATTACACTGACAATGTTTATACCTTAAGCAGCTTCAGTTCCAATGAAGCTGGCACATTGTGTAAAACATGAATAAAAACAGAATACACTGACTTGTAAATCCAAAGAAAAGCAGGTTCAGGGTCATGTTTCTCTCTGTGTTTCATCACTTTTCCGTTAACAACACTTAGTAAGTCTGTGAACTGTGGACGACAACTGTAGAAGCTTTGGAGGTGAAGGCTTTTACAGTCTTGATTGAGGAACCACTTCAGCTGATCCACGGTCCAGGTCTCTGTTGTGGTATTTTGAGCTTCATAGTGCTCCACTGTGTTAACTGATAATGGTTTTCTGAAGTATTTTTTGAATTACTCAAAGATTCATCTGCATATAAACTCTTCAAGAGGGTCTGTCATACATTAAAGAGGGTCAGTGGAAGATTCCCAAGTGTTTAGAGAACAAATGAATTCACTGAATCAACAGTTTATGAGATGTTCATTCAGGTGTTTTACAGCTGTGGGACCTCAGAGACCCACAGCTTCACTGTCACTTCAGCCTGAGAATAAAGAGTTTATGAGCAGTAGAGTGACTTGTATTGTCAGGGTGATTAAGTGTGGCTTCAGCTGTATAGAAATGATGACACATCACCAGCTGTATTGTATATCCCTCACTTTGAATCAAACCAACAGGGACTGTGAGCTTTCTCCTGCTCAGCACAGATCAGCTCTGTTTCTTAAAGGCTCATGAATCACAGGCCTGTATTTGACTCTTTCATCTGAGGGCACCAGCTTGTCTTTCATTGCTGCTGAAGTAAATTCAGAGTGTGTAGAGATTTTATAGACTACTTACATCCATGCTGTGCACATGGTTGTGTGTGTAATGGCAGTAAGTGCACAGAGATGTTTTCCATGGAAATTTCCAGTCGTAAAAATAAAAGGCTGGGGTTTTATTCCTGATGAAGAAGATTTGCTGAGGAGTTTGTGACGACACAGCAGCTGTGGTCTTTGCTTCATCTGATGACTGATGCATAGAGAAAGAATTAAGTCACCAATTACAGAGTTAAGTCAAATACCGCCGGTGTATCTCCTAAACATTCTCAGATCATGTCTTTTAAATGGACTTGGGCTTGTTATGTAAACAATATAACCTGTAGGAGTATCGACCATTTCATGCCCAGATGCAAGGAAGAGTCAGAGTTTAGCATTTTTTCCGTAAGTAAAAATATCATTAAGAGGTGAAATAGTAGGAACAATGACAGACATCTGTCAGCTCAGGTTAGCTATGATGATATATCATTGACCATCCTAAAACCGAACGCTCTCTTTTTCAGCTGTGTGCGCCGATAATCGACAGAACCAACAGTCATGGGGAAGCAGAACAGCAAGCTCCGTCCTGAGGTGATGCAGGACCTCCTGGAGAGCACCGACTTCACAGAGCATGAGATCCAGGAGTGGTACAAGGGCTTCCTGAGGGACTGCCCCAGCGGGAACCTCTCCATGGAGGAGTTCAAGAAGATCTACGGGAACTTCTTCCCTTACGGAGATGCTTCCAAGTTTGCAGAGCACGTTTTTCGCACATTTGATGCTAATGGAGATGGGACGATAGACTTCCGGGAGTTTATCATTGCGCTCAGTGTGACGTCACGTGGCAAGCTGGAGCAGAAGCTGAAGTGGGCCTTCAGTATGTACGACTTGGATGGGAATGGGTACATCAGTAAAGCTGAGATGCTGGAGATTGTTCAGGTGAGTTTGCATGAGAGCAGAGAGACACACAACACATTGTCATACTGAGTTAAATGAGAAAAAAAATAAACAAACTCAGAAGCTCACAGATCATCAGAAAAGACGACATGTGTGTTTGAAGTGTGGTCTCTGACTTTGAACCTATTACCAACATTAGCCAGGGCAGTAATTGTTTAACACTGTTCTGCTAACGGTACTGCCACTGAGGCCATATCACAGTCTTTACAAGACCAGAAAGAAGGGTGCTGGAATTAAAAAGCAGGAAGGCAGAGCTGGAGGGAGATCTAAAAGACTTGGAGGCAGATATGCTTCATCCAACACATGATTCCTGTGAGATAAGCCCTTCAGGACCTCATTTAACTCCAACAATGTACTTTAAAGATGAGTTGAAAATGTTTCTTTTCCTGACTGTAAAAACAGTCAGGAATTTAAAAGCCTTCCTCCCTTAATGTGGCTTTTAGTCTTATCTGGGAGGAAAGGAGAGATTTCCATCTGCTCCAAAATAGAGCTGAGGTTTGGTCCAGTACACAAGGAAATGAAAATCAATTCAAACGCGTAGAAGGGTCCAGTGTCTGATCAACTTCTGTTCTATCCTAATCAGTGATGCTTTTAGTTCAGGTTTCTGTGTTTAGCAGCTCAGCATAGAGGCTATATGTGGCCTGGTTGCACTGAAAAAAAAATGTTTACGGAGGGACCAATGATGATATTTCTCATGTAAACAACCCCCACAGCTACATGCACTATTTAAGCACAACAGAGGCCTCAGCCCGCCCTTTACATCTGATTGACTACTTTGAAATCCTAAACCCTGACTGGCCAGTTGTCTTGTCAAAGACAGGACTTGCATTGAAATTAAGAGATTCAGTTGTCTTTGAAAAGCCTCCAGTAGCTTGTTAACATTTAAGGTGCTTTTTGCAGTGGCCACAGTGGACAAACATCTTCTGTTTGTCTCCTTAAAGAATGAGGTTCAGCAGACACCTTTTGCGTTCTTATATCAGTTTAAAAAAAAAGATGTGGTTAGTGGAGATAACTCTCCTAGTCTTAAGTCCGCCCTTCATGTTGACTTTGTCTGACCTCTCAGGTCAGAAAAGTCTTGCTCCTCCACTGATCCAAAGCCAGCCCATATCAGCTGACAGCTCACCTGATTACTTTCCATGCATTCAACCAGCCAGTGTCAATTATTTAAGCCCCAGCTCCACCTTTCATGACTTTATCTGACTTTAAAAGTGTCACATGTAATGTCACTGATGCCTGCTTTGTTCTGTACCCTGGGCTCTTTGCTGCTGTTCTCCCTGCCACAGGCTCTGGCATAAGTTTGCAGAAAGAAAGGCAAGGAGCGCTCAGAACTTAGTATAACCAGCTAAATTACAATAATTTATTCTCTCTTTCTCTTATTTATTACTTCCTCCTCATTTGTGAAGCTCTTAGCTGCATCTGCTTCAGTTTAACAAATTTCTACATCTTATTGAGCATCATGCTTGATTTGAGGAACTGTAAAAGACCATTTTGTTCATCTTTTTCAAACATGTCTCTGATTTTCCCTTGCCAACCTGTGGCAGAGTCTTTGCATTTAAAGCCGTACTCCTCAGAGCTGTTTTTGCCCAACCAGGTGGAACCTAGTGGGGGGTGAAGACTCCTCATCACTGATAGTACAGGTACAGTCACTGGGGAGCTGAGATAATGAAGCCAACTTCCCTCATTTATGTCAAGGTTGCCAAAGCCAATCATAGACTATATAAATCTATAATGCAGCACATGTGCCCACACCGTATTACCACTTCAAGGTTAATTTAGACTCCCTGCCTGAAGACTGCGCTGACTGAGCCCCCATTTCTTTCCACTAACTATAGAAGTCCTCTGCCCACTTTCCATCAAAGGGTTGTTCTGTTCACAAGGACAAAAGAGAAGAAAGTATGACTCAGATTCCCATGTCTGGCTGTCTGCAGGGCTCATCATTGCATTAAGAGTACAGAGGGTTTAAAGGTTTATTGTTTGGCCTTTAGAAACAGCTAGAAAAAAAAAAACATACAGCACAGGAAAAATCCGAGCTGGAAACATAAACATGCAATTCTCCACACCTGTACTGACATGGCCAGCAGTTGAAAATGCATGTCTCCGGGTCTTCATGTTTGTATTCACACCTTCCTCCATTTGCTGTGGTGACTGGGGCTGAAGCTCACTCCAGCAAGTTAATGGCCTCTCGTGCAGAGAGTGTGTAAATGATGGTGAGGCTCATAATTAGCCTTGCTGTGGGAGTAATTGAATGAGAAAAATTGCATCTGGCTCGGCTTATTTTCTTCATATAATGGAAAAAAGTCTCCTTTGGCGAATAGCAAAGCCTGAATGCAGGGAGAAAGATAAACCTATGTCCTCACTCATCAATAGTTGATATCCAACCTCTGTGTTTCTTTCATCAGAAATGAGGCGCTCTCATCCCTGCAGACAGGCTCAGAGGGGAGTTCATTGTCTTGGTTGGTAAAGAGACAGCATTCATACTGGTTATTAGTGAGATTGAACAAAGGGGAGATGAGTAGTTCCCCTCCCAGGCTGCTCAGGCAGATATAGTCATTATAGGAAACACATAAATCTGTGATGGGGGCGAGGACAGGCTCATTGTGTATGTTTACTGTGAAAGGACTCCGAGTCCGAGTTCATGCAGATAAGTAACGAGTGGACGACCTCCCTCACTCTTTCCATTGAAGGCTCATTGAAACTCTGCATCCCTGTCTGTGACGATTTCTGCATGTCACAATGCAGACAAGTCAAGTGAAAAAGGTATTAAGGTTTGTTTGATTATGCTCGCCTCTCCCTCTCATTCATAAGTGTCCACAGCTGAGAATCTGGATCTTTGTGCTGTTTTTACTCAATCCATCACTCCACTGTGGTTCAGGCTGCTGCTGCTGCTGCTGGCCCCACAGGAGACGATGTTGTGTTCTTGTCTGATCCACACTGAAGTGGTGTGAAAGAGCTGTCTTTTTTTCTCTTTGTGGCAGACGGGTTATAAAATAGATTCAGTGAAGTCTGACTCAGATATAAAAATATAGACCGACTTTACAAAGTAAGAGGCTCACTGGGAAAGAGGGAAAGGCAGTGTTTGGGTAGTTTTCATTGTTAAATGTTATCAAGGAAATGAAGATAAACCTTAAAAAGAGAAGACAAAAGAGATGGACAACTAAAGAGGAAGTACACATCAGCCGGCAGGGTGTTGTGTGTGAAAAGGAAAAAGAAAAAGTCATTTAAAGAGAAGAAGAAGAAGAACTTTATTGATCCTGAAAGGAACTTCAACAATTAATAATTAGGACCAGATTTGTGTCTGTGGGACAGGGACAAAAGATCAAACCTAAAACTCCCTCATCACATGTCGGCCTTAAGAGCACAGAGCTGCTTTTGTTTGGTGTTTTTGAACTGCCGTCAATCCTATAGACAGGTTTCTGTGCAACGTTATAGCAGGTATGCGCGCACAGCCAGGGGGCAGAAAGCGGGACATTTCTTATTCATTTACTAGCGGAGTCAACAGAGAAAGAAAATGACAAGGAGCTGTTGTGCTGTAAACTGCACAAACCGACAAAGGGGTGGATAGAAACTGTTCAACAGCCCGAGCAGATCTCATCCCTTTGCCAAGAGAAGAAGATTGTGACTCCAGGCCATTAAAAGAGCAGATTGGGGTCCTTAAGGTCCAAAAGGTGGCGAGAGTCTGTGCAGCATACAGCGTAGATCCCTGTGCATGTACACCCAGGCATCATAAGGTTTTGCCTTTCCTCTTTGTTTCTGGCTGGGCAGGACACCTGCTCTCAGAGCGCAAAACCCTGAACTCGAGTCATAACATTTGAAGTTTTGGACATGGACACAAAGTACATAATTATACGTGTCCAAAGATTTGTATGCACGCCAACTGTCTTTTGTGTACACAAGAGGATTCTAAATGAAATGATTATAGATGTCGGGCCATATTATAGCTGGCCATTTGGACATATCTGCAATCCATTCTTCAATCAGACTATTATATGGGTCTGGTCATTACTCAGCAGTGCTGAAGACAAGCACAGGTGGCACAGGCACTGGCTTTTGAACTGGGAGCTGATAACAAACCTGGTGGTCCCTTTTGTGTTTAGAGTGAAGAATTCAGAGTCCAGGATGTCAAGTTGAATTATTGGTTTTTGGAAGGGGTTTTGAGCCTATGCACGGGGGCCCACCACAATGAGGACCTGAAGATCACAGTCATCCAGAATTGATTCTCACTCTTGTCCCTTTTGTACAGACATTTCTCTGGACTCCCTGAGCCCTAATCGTGATATGTATACTGTGGATGATGAACCCCCAATTTTCTGCGAATGCTCTAAGAGGAATAAGATACTAACATTGATGAGCTACTTGCTGATGCAGTCTCCCAGTAAGTGGTGAAACTAACTTGCTGTAAATTAACCTTATCAGTCTGGAAACGTCCCATCAGGTGTTTCTTTTTTTTTTTAGCATTCCTTTGTTTTGTCTTCTCTGTCCTAACTTTTGTGAGACTTGCAGCGTGCTCCATTTGATCATTATGAATGATCTTCCCTCCAGGTGCGGGTTCAGCAGCACAGAGTGTCAGTCAGTTTATCCTCATCATCCTTAAGCCACTCTGCTGTCACTGCTTAAAGATGGATCAGGACTAGCTGTTCCTTATTTGTCTGGCTGTCATTCATTAACACCACATTGTCAGGACTCTCACTTCAGTAACATCCATCCCACTATCCTGCTGGCCTACCTATTTTGCTGCTCATAACAAAATCGACTCAATGGGAAGATTAGACAGTTCCACACGCAGTGGTTACACAAACTGTTGCTCTAAAAATACACACAGCTATTAAACTGAGTCAATCAATATTTATTTGTATTGAGCTGGTTCATAACCATTGTTATCTCAAGAGGCTTCACAAAAAGAGTTGGTCCAGACCAGACCCTTCATGAGATTTACAGTGATCCAGACCTGAATCAGATCTAACTATCAGCTTTACCATAGAGGAACATTTTAAGTCTACTCTTAAAGGTAAAGAGGGTGTCCAACCCCTACACCTGGGCTGGTAGATGGTTTCAGAGGACAGGAGCCTGATCACTGAAAAACTGTTTTAGTGGCAAAGTTATGATCAAATTTGTGAGATTCTGATTGTCATATAAATGTCCTGTTGAATGAAATGATTTTAAACTATTGCTGGTAAATGATTGGGAAAGTAAAAAATCTTCAGTGTTATGTCTTTCCTCCAAATAACTAAGTAGGTCAAACATCTTATCATACAGCTGTACAGTTGTCTTTACTGTCCAGACTGGACAGATACTGATGGCATTATCTCTTCTGTCTTTTCCATCAGCTGTTTTCGTTGCCATGGTTTTTAAGTGCGTACCCTGCTCTCTGTTTATTGTTACCGCTGCAGACGTTCCATGGTGTTATCGTATAAACCATATACTCACTTAGAAAGACTTTTGGATCTGACATTACTACACTCACACACATTTGAAGCTGTGTTGAATATTAACACCAGCTTTAAACCACTTCAATATTGTGGTCCATTCATATATTTGAATAGTTTTGAGACACAGAGGAGCTCTATGGCTCCTGACATTTTCTGCAGCACCATGTGTACCGAGGGGTACTCATAGTGCTGTGTACTTTGAGTTCTGCTCTCATTAGTTGGATGTAATGTGGGGATTAAAACAACATTGCTCTGGATTGCTCAGGATAGGACCAGATGTTAAATCCCTCACATGTTCCATTGGCTTAATGTTCCTTTTACTCTCATTAGTTTAAAGGCTGGATTAATCAGACATTTCACCAGACTGAAATCAAGACTCATAATACCCAGAGCTGTTTAATGTTCATGAGCTAGAGTGACCCAGAGCTGCACCACCATCCGGCTACTGTGGTGTAACAGAAGTCATAACCAGCACCTATTTAAAGCCCTCAGTGCACTCACTGTAATCACAATCAGCCCTCTTCTGTTCACATGTCAGCTCCCATTCCCTTCAAATCCACCTCCTTGTTAGAAACAGAGAGAATGAGCTGTGCTCTCACTGTTTCCTGCCAAATGAAAATGCAACACAGGACAGAGGAGACTCCGTGCATACAAACCTTCAGATCCATCAGTGATAAAGACTACAGCATGTTGTCACAATATTAGCTGAACAACTTCGACGTCCAGCTGGTGGTCTCAGTCCTCTCTGAAGTGGTGAATACAGTGGCCAGTTTTGACATGGGAAAACCCCAAGGCAGTGTTTCCACTTTTCCTCAGTCCATCTTCGATCGACTTCAAAGTCTCTGGCATTTCTGGATCATATTTGTATGATAGATTTATCTTTGCATGGTTCTGATCCAATGAACTGTGGTCAGGGACACTGTTTTTTGGTGGAGATTTTGAGCCCATGCAGTGATTTCCATTTCTGAGTCATGCTCGTTTTTATGGAGTGCTCCCTGTAGATCACAGCTATTCAGATTCTCTGAACCTTTGAATGATATGATGTACTGTAGATGATGATCCCCACTCTTTCTTTCACATTTGACACTCAGGAACATTATTCTGGATTTGTGCAACATTAGCTCCAATTCATTTAGATGAATTATGTACATTGTTACATCAAGCTGGCAGCAAAATGTTATTAAGACACAAGAACCATCGTGTTTAATTCGCAGTATTCAAACAGTAGGTGAGGAAAATACTGGCGAGGAGAAAAGCAGCGCTTACAAACAGCATGCACAACAGGGTGTGATTTCTGAGCAAGTTAGGAGTGGACTCTGGATGCACCACAGCTGTGAAAACCTGGTTTTAAATGTCTCAGTAGCTAATTTAGCTAGAACTGCTTTATTTAGACATACTGGCTAAGAACTGGATCGATAAGCTGAAGATCCACTTGGGTTAAAGCTTTGGTACAACATTTCTTTTGAAAGATCCATGCAGTAATTTCTCATCATTTGACCTCACTTGTGTCCCTTTACAGGCAATCTATAAGATGGTGTCATCAGTGATGAAGATGCCTGAGGATGAGTCGACACCTGAGAAGAGGACAGAGAAGATCTTCAGGCAGATGGACACCAACAGAGACGGTAGGATTGTTTTATCTGCTTTTATTTAGAAGTGGATTTTGTGTCACTGAGGCAAACCATTGTACTAACTGAAAAGAGAGACCATGTAATCGTTTAGATGGATAGATAGTCAGGACCCCTTTCAATTGAGTCTCAATACTAAAAATAAAAAAAGGTAAGGAGGCTGGTGATAGTGGGACATTTATGTGATTGAAGATAATAGAAAATCCTTTGCTTCTCTTGAAACCAGTCAATTCTGATGCATTAGTTCACTGAATGATGGTGAAAAAGAGCACAACCAGCATCGAAGGCTTGTCGCTGCCACCTGGCTTGCCAGCAGCTGTTGTCATTGTCCACTACAGAGGCACTTGCAGAGCCCTCCAGCCTGAAGCAGCAGTTCATTGACTCCAGAAATCACACCTGACCCGAGATAGTAGTCATATACAACACACTGGTGTGTATACTCTACCCACTCGTAGATGAGCGTGCAATGCAAACACCCCAGGGAGCAAAAGAGGAGCGGAGAGCTGGGCAGTGAAGAACGAATGTGAAGTAGAGGAGGAGAACACAGTGGAAGGTTGGAGGAGCGAGGAAGAGGAGGAGAGAAGTGAAGGAGGGATACAGTAACAGACTGAATGAAGGAGCAGAGCTGAGCTGTCAGACTTTTCCTCTTTCTCATGACAATTAAGAGGAGTGAGTGTCAATGGCAGCATGGTGAATCTCTCTGTTATCAGTGTAGACCGCAGGAAGAGGAGCCCACTCAACAGTGCCATCTGTTGGTGCAAAGTGAAACAGTGCCAGGATGTAGTAAGTGAGACACAGAGGCACCTCAGTGAGATAAATAATACCAGAGTGAACTATGATATGACATTATTCATTATGTAAACTAATGCTGATGTCACTAAATAGTATTTGTCCCTTTTAAACAGAGATGTTTGGCAGCTTTCTCAGTCGGAGTATGGAGTATATGAACAGAATGGATCACGTTTTTTCAAGGGTTTGCCTCACTGTCTCAATTATAGGGCAATAAAACAATAACCAAGTGAAGTTAACATAAACAAAGAGCAGAGAGATTAGCTAAATCATGAATCCTTTTTAAGTCGGCCATTTGTCAAAAGCTCGAAAGATGCATTCTCAGAGGTCTTCATTTACACATTCAAATATCTCTTTTCAAGCATTGTTCTGTTTTAATTTTAATAATCATGCCCTGCAGCTCAGTAAATACATCTCTAAATATGTAAAAGCCTCGAGAGGACCACCCAGAAAAGCATAGTCAAGAACTTGAATCAGGAGGAGTGGGCTGAGGCTGGAGTCAGGGTATCAAGTGTCATCACACACAGACATCCTCAGTAAAGAGACAACAGGTCTAGTATGGAGCCACTCCTGAACCAGAGACACTGAAAGTCATTTCTGCTTTTCAGTTTGAAATCAAAGTCCTGGAGTGTGTAGGAAGACAGGAGGAGCACAGAGACGGAGGTGTTCATGACGTGAAGTTTTCACAGTTTATTGAGGGGCTGATTTCTCTTTAGCAGGACTGAAAAACAGCACTCTGACCATGATTTGACTGTGTTTTACTGAAATCCAATTTGCCTGACCCTGACTCCAAAAATACAGACGAGCTGAAGGAAACTATCAGTGTAACCTGGATCTCTAAACACACTGTATCCCCATACACTGATGTGGTGATTTTGGCACAGAAATTATCACACATTTCAGATGTTGCACATTCCTGTATTTTAGGTCTGAAAATATTTCATTGTGTGTGTCGTGATCATACAAGAAAGTTGACCTTTTTCAGTGAAACTGCTGGGAAAGGGGATTTTTTTTTTGAGTATCCTCCCTCTGGCTTAGTCCTCTGCTATGCACTCGTAGACAGAAAGACAACTTCAATGATAACACTGTGAATTCTCTTCTGACTTTGGGCTGGTGTTGTCTGTGTTTCAGGCAAGCTGTCCTTGGAGGAGTTTATCAAAGGAGCGAAGAGCGACCCCTCCATCGTTCGCCTGTTGCAGTGTGACCCCAGCAGTGCCGGACAGTTCTAGACATGAGGCATCAACACAATCTGTAAGACCCACATTCAGCACGTGCACCAGCAGCACAGCTAACAGTAAAGGCTTCAGAAAACTAAACTTTCTGCAAGCAGGGATGTGTTGCAAGTTCAGCTAGGTGAGAATACGAAGGCGGCTGGATGGTGTTAGTTTGAGAAAGAGCTGTTAGCAGGAAGGCGGAGGATCAGCCTCGGGAATGACGGTGGCTCTCCAAAGAGCAGCCAAGCCTCCCGGCAGTGATGAGTTTTGCTTGAGGGAAGCTATTCAGAGACTGTGAGCACCATGCAGGATGTGGGCTGGGTCATCCACCATGTCACTGGCTTTGTGGCTGCTTGAAGTTCATGGACTGATATTAGAGACTTTGTGGGAGGTGGTCTGTTATTTTGGAGGAGCTGTAAAAGGTGTTGATGCTCTGAAGAAGCTTCTTACATTTAAAACCTCCATGTGTAGGATTGGTCCATCCCTGAAGCGCTGTCTGTGGAGGCACTTCTTGTAAAGATTCCAAGTATTCTCTTGAAACATTAAATCTTTTCTAAAGTTTAACACAAGCATCTGTGTTACCTCTTCGTGGACATTTACAACAATTTACACAACCACTCACTGCAGCAGAGTCATGATGTGAGTCTTTACTTTTATGGCACAAGTTAATTTCTCATAAATGAGGCTGTGTGAACGTGCCAAGAAACACTTGTTTTCTGCTTCATTAAAGGTGTCCTCTGGCATTAGACTTGAAGTATGCTACAGATAAAAATGATCAAAGTAAATTTAGCAAATAAACTTTTATATGCAGTTGAATGATCAGTAATTTCTGACATTAGGGTGCAATGACTATTTTTGATGAATAAGCTTTCTGTCGTTAATCAAATTAGTGTGTTATTAAAACAGTCAGGCATATAACGTATGAAAATAATACAGATTTCTGTTAGAGGAGAAATCCTGTTTCTGGAGTAGTCTCATAATTCCACTGCAGGCAGGGAGTGCATTTTAAAGCCAATGTTGCTGCTTTTTCAAAAACTTCAGTTAATCAGAGTTTCAGTCTCTTATGGGTGCTAGTTTTTATTATGTCAGTTACACTAATGAAGTGTAAGGGCTTGTGTCCACTCAGAGCATTTTTGCCAAAGTAGCACCAACAAAACTGAAGTGCCTTTCACTGATATTTACTGTTGCTAGGTTACAAAAGTTGGTCCTTCTGTGCACAAGCTCAAAACAATTCAGGGTTTTTTAAGCTGCTCCAAGTGCTTCATATTTGCTTCCAGTTCACATTATTTCTTTAATAAAGCATAAAAGTATAGATAGAAATATTAGAAAAGGGGTTATGGCATTAATGAATCAATCAGTTCATTTATTCAGCACCAATTTACAACAACTGTTATCCCAAGATGCTGAACAAAGAAAAGCTGGTCTACACCAGACTCTATTAACAAAGACCCAGAGTAAAGATGGGATCAGACTGAACTGAGCCCCATCCTGTAAGATCAGACCCACTCCCATCCTATCTTAATCCACCATGGGTGAAACACTTTACAGCATTTATCAAGTTACAGGGGAGAGGAAGAGCTTCCTTCAACAGGCAGAAACCTCGTGCAGAACCAGACTTATGTTGGAAAGGCATCTGCTGAGAATAAGCTGGGTTTAGAGAGGGGAGAGAGGGAGATGGAGAAAGAGAGAGATGTTTTTTGGATCTGCTCAAAGTGATCTTGGACCACTGTGGTCCAGTTAGTGAGGACTAGGGCAGATAGTACCACCAGGTGAAGCAGATCAGTCAATAGTTCTTTAATGTGGTAATCGATGTTGTTCATGTTGTAGAGCGGGAAAAGTTCATCATACTGTTTAAATGATGTTGTGCTCTGGTCATTTCCTGTGATCAGATGACCCTGAAGCACTTGAACTTTAATTGGGAACCATGAGCAGCAACATGAAATAACAATGAACAAACTAAATCCTTTACCTCTTTCCCTCTCTTTGCAGTGCTTCTTTGGGTTACTCTCAATGCCCTAAACTCTCCACTAAGGAGCAGACTGATGATGATGAAGAATGACAAGCTGATGACCATGAAGATGAGAGGTTTTTAATATGCACTGAGGACTTCAAAGATGAGCAAACAGAGCCACATACTCCAGTCCACCTCCCTGAGCTATTTATCTAAGCCCTCCTGAGCCCAACAAAAACTGACCCTGACCCAAGCCTCCAGATCCCTCATCGTCTTATCCAGAATCTGCAGATTATAGTTGATAATGATCCCTCAGTCCTCCTTTAGGCATGTCAGAGTAATAGGAAGATCCCAGTAGGTTGTATATACAGTGTTAACTGGAGTCTCTGTATCTGTGTCTTTGCGTGGCTCTCTGTACCATCTGAGGCTCCAGCTAGGGCCACACAGACCCTCTGTCACCTGTATGTGTACCATAGACAGAGTGTGTGCATGAGGCAGCAAAAAAGAAAGATGAGTTTATTCAATCACAGCTCCTACTGTAGGTGGAGTCATTTCATCTGCAGAGAGGACTTGTGAAACATGTTCTTTACCTGGAGCGAATGCTGCTTTTAGTTTTCTTTTTTCTACTGTGAGAATGTGTACACGTTCAAATGTTTTTCAAACTTGATGGACTTAGTTTCCTATTTTGTGCTGGGACAAAAATGGGACATGAAAATGTTATAATATGGTTTGATGCAAGTGCGCCCCAACCAGTGGTTAGTTAAGTGAAATCCCTCTGATTTTACTGAGAACGAAACATCCTGTCAACCGTCATCTGTCCCAGTGGTTTTCACCTCAGCATTGGATTGGCTGAGAGTCTCAGGGTGTCAGTGTGTCACTGCGCTCTAGCTTAGAGAGTCTAGAAAGTAGTCTGCAAAGTCTTTCAGTGCAGTGTAGATATAGTGCACCTAAATTTGTAAAGCAGAAGTCCAGACTGCTCAGTTCATGAGGAATGTTGTTTATACTCAAAAAGTGTTGATCTAAGTTGTTTCAGAATGTTAAGCATGCAAGCCATTTCCATTTCTGACGTAAACATGAGCAGAGACACTTCTGCAGACTTCCCTTTTAGATGTTTTTAAATGCCGCATGTTGAATCAGTTGTGAACAGTGGGCTGCAGAGGTGAACAAACTAAATAACACGTATGCATGTGACTTACGTGCATGTGTGTGCTCTTGTGTATTTTTTATGAATATCAGCAGCTAATCAGCCGGTCACAAACCCAGCTCCGAGCCTGCTTCTCTATGTTAGTGTTTCATCATTAGTGCTACTAGTAGTCAGTGTTACTGCCTGAGCTGACACCGTTTTAGGAGGACCACAACGCACAACAATCTTTACAAATGAAGGCACACTGTTAAGAAACAACCCAGCTGAGAGCTTTTTTACTCTTTAAGATGATCACAGTGTAAAAGATGTGTTCAGAGTTTAAACAGCTCCTCAGTTAAGACGCTGAGTACACGTTCTTTAAAAAAGGAGTGAACACAGGAGACAGTATTATAAAAAAGAACGAGTGGCCTTCCCGCCTGGCTAACAGCACCCATTATTGTGAGTGCTGCTAACCCAATCATTGAAATCTGGCAAACTCACAAAGAAGGATTTGATCCCACCTTTCCTTCCCTGTAGATTTGAACTCTGTGAAACAAAAGAAGAAAGTTTACCCTGAGTTTTGAACTGTTTAAATGGGACCTCTGTGAGCCTCACCTGAATGTACCTGAGCCCTCCATCGGGTAGAACCAAGCTGTTTCACTTCTTGCATTGTTTTCCTACAGAAAAGTATCAAATGTTTTATGAAATAACTGCTGTTATTTTTGTTGTGAAGAAAAAAAGATGCAGACAAACAAACCCAGAACAACTACTGCAGTGATACTGTCACAATGTGTTGCTTTTATTGTATTTTAAATGACTTTTGTCTTGTGTTTTTTATAAAGCTCCTTCAGGTGTAACATTTCTAGCATCTTGCAGTTAAGTGCCAACTTAAACATAAACAGTATTGTATAAATTTATACTGTACAATTGTTATCTGTTGAATAAAATGTTTGTAATTGTTGCATTTTGTAGGTTTTGTATGGTATCTTGTATTCAGTGACTGCAGTTTTGGAACACAGAATCTTGTTTTTTGGTCAAATTTAAAAAGCAAGAATTAAATTTACAGTTTTTTGTGTGCAAACATTGACGTGGTGTCTGCTTTATTTCAGCTGTAGTAGTGTGAGTGACAGCATGTGTGTCAGCTGAGAGCAGATAAATTACATCAATGTTAAAGTGTGCATATATGTTACAGGAATTATATCTCTAAATCTCCTCTTTTAAATGATGACCCCCAACACCTATTCATGATGCACATGTTACAAAAGAAGAGAAACTGTTCTTCTATTTTAGCAGAGTGGGAATATTAGTCAGATGGTAGTGTTTTTACTAGAGTTTACCCAGAGGAAAGTTAAAGATTCACCTCATTCAGCTAAATGAATGCTGTTGGGTAGGGAAGGACTGATAAAACGAGCTGATTAATTGCATTTTATCTGGGTTCATGAGAAGAAAACACACAAGTAACGCCTGCATACACCACATGTAGTCTTGTTTTGCCCATCCTAAAGTGCAGAAGATCAAATTTAACTGTTAATGAATGATCAAGAAGGGTCACGCTGACTTTATCTGTAAAAGGACAAAGCAGAGAATCTATCTCCACCACCATTTGAAATCTTTTGGAGAAATTAACCTTTTTTTTTTTAATAATCTTGTGATTGTTAGCGTCCTACTGTAGACATCTGTCAGCTATTTTAGAGTTCACACTGTTTCATCAGATCAAAGTCTGTTTAAAGACTGAAGGTCCACCCCTGCACAAACTATATGAATCAACCCACAACAGAAACATGTTAAGGCTGTCTAACCACTCTAAACAGTGAATATGAACTGTTACCTTCAAGTCTTACATACAGGGTCCCACAGTTTAATAAGGCTGAAGCACTCCATTAAACACCAGTCCACTATAAAGCTGTTATGTTATGTTATGTCATGTTGTTTTGTTATGTACTGGTGTGCTTTGTTAGGTTATGTTAATATCAAGTTTTGTTATGTCATGTTGTTTTGTAATGTACTGTTATGATTTGTTGTGTAATGTTGTGTTAAGTAAGGTAATGTTAAGGTTAATGTTGTGTTGTGTTGTCGTGTTGTGTTTTATAACCTTTAGGCATGTCAGAGTAATATTTATTTTAAAAACAAAGCACCGCCCCATAGGAAGAACGGATCAGCAAAACAACATAACAGTGGAATAAGTGGTTACATATAAAACTATATTTATTTGCAGATATAAAAGACTTTACATCATGGTACACGTGTAGAATAAGGACACACACTGTGTCCTACACTATCAGTAAATTCGATGGTCAAACTCGAAGTGCACAGGAAAAAAGGGGATTGGAAAAAAAGCTCCAACAGTCTGTATTAGCTTTGAAAAGGATCATGGATGTAACAGCAGGGCTTTCACCGGCCAACGTCACAGAGTCTAATGACTCTAATGACTCTAATCTCTTCAGTGGAAATGAAAGCTATAAATCTGTGGAGGGAGAGCGGTTTAATGGCATCCTGGAGACCTGCAGCCTTGTTTTCCAGCAGTGTCTGACACACAAGCATGACACCACAGACTGCAACAACCCTTATCAACCATTTAGTATGCAGTAAGACAAGGTCGCCTTCACTTGGTATGAAACTGGCACATTTACAAAACAAAAATCCCTTACCTTTAACTAGACAGACCTGCGTAAACTTTGAAGAATTTAAAGGCCTAATCCAGTTATTTTGAAGCTTCAGCCTCTGGAGGATGATATGAAGGATGGTGGAGGGCAAAGACAAAGTTCACATCACTACCTGCTAAACAAAACTGTACACTGTTGGTCTTCTATAACCACAACACACTGGCTGGATGCTTTCCGGTGACCCGAGTAAACCCCCTCTTTGGTACGATTGATCCAGAGAGTAACAAACATTTCTCTCCCACAGACTCAAATCTGGGCACTTCCACGTGTTTTCTAGAAAACAGCTGCTTCATCATTTCTAGGCTGGCAAGGGAAAACTGCTCTCACCAGGATTCACAGACAAGGTTCTGGCCAAAAATCAAAACACACCATCAGATTTCTGAAAGAGTGATGTGCACAGAGTCTGCTGAGCTCTGGATGGTCAGGATGAAGGTGTCCTCGTTGGAGTAGTGCTGGATGATGTTGTTGTCCACATTTACCAGGACCCTGAGAAGACGAGCAGGTGAAGAGAGAGACAGTCCAAGAAACAGTCTTGAGTGAATGAAAACTGACTGAATTTAATACAGTACAGCACCTCTCACTGGCTGACCTTTTTTTAATTTTATTTTTAAATCTGGAGGTGACATGAAGTTGGCACATGTGATTAACAGAAGTAGTTCGAGATTTTTAAATTCTTTAATGTATTAAATTAAATCATATTAAACTATAGATTAACATTCATCTACTTTGATTTCTGAACAAATATCTACAGACTAATGAAACTATTTTTTTAGAATTTTGTATCTTTAATGTGTTACAGTATTAATCAGCAAATATAACAATGCTAACCAACTAAACAATAATATCAAATATAAAATATATTATATATACTCAGTGTTGGTTTAAGAGCAAGCACTGACCCAAGCACCAAAATAACTTCACTTCACTGGTTTGGCACACTCACCCTCTTTTGCTCTTTTGGTAAACTTTGTGGATTTTGTCAGCAGGCAGTGCATATTTCTCTGAGATCTGAAAGACGCAATGTATTTTCAACATGCTGTGGCATATGGACCCACCCCTTAAAACGCATTATTAGCACATTTATAAACGATTATAAATGCATCTATAAGGTTTTAGATGGTTGTATGCATTCATAACAGCTGATAGTAATGTTAATGAAGTGTTAAACCCTTATAAAAGTATGGTTTATAATGTACTATGTTTTAATACACAATTATTCTTGTTGTTTTTTCTGTCTGACTCTTTAATTACAGCCACATACGTTCCTATAAATGTGTAATAGGGTCATACAATTGTTAATCACCTCACTTTACTTAATGAACTCAGAGTCAGTCATGAAATTAGCTTTTGATAAAGCTCACAAACATTAGTTTAAGCTGATATGAATGCGTATGATCACTCATAAGTGTTGTAACAAAGCCTTTTAAATGCATTGATAAGTATTTATGAATGTTCTTATGATGCATTATAAGAGGTGGGTTCACATCAAGTGTTAGTAAAAACTGTGTCAACTGCATGAGTTTGACTTCATCAGTTTATTACGGTCAGTGTTTGCTGAATGATTACAGGCTGCAGGGGTAGAGGAGAAAACTCTTATACTCACTGCTTCCATTAATGCCCTGAGGGTCGGGGTATGCAGCATTAGAGCGTCGAACACGTCATCGCTCTCCTTTCTCACATACAGCAGAACTGATGAAGCAGGAAACAGTTACAGTCATAAAAAAAATTCACTCAGTCAAACAAATAATGAAAGGAATCAGTTCTCAGATTTTTGTCAGTTGCATCAGATTGGACATTTTGATCATTTATGTCCTTCCAGAAACTTGAACAACAACCAGACTTTGTGGCTGTTGGCCAAATAACCAAACACTCACAAACTTTCAGCCCACTACCTCTACCTTGTCATAATCACAGTCATATCACGGTTGCATTGTCCAGCTTGTCTAACTACTTACAGGAATAGTTACTTAAAGGAATAGTTTGGTGTTTTCGAAACAGGACTTCTGAAACCGTTTTTGAAACAAGACTGTATTGAGGTACTTACGGCACACATGTTACCCACAGAAGATACCGGTGAGCTGGTGTACGTTGTGAAATGGTACAGATTAGTTGCAACACTGGAGATGGGCCACTTGGTTTACGCATTTTGGCTGGCTTTCAGAAAGTCTCAGGGAAAAAACTGTGTTTTTTATTTAGATTTTTTTTCAATACTTGATTTTAGAGAAGAACTTTATTTATCCTCAAAGAGAAATTCAATTGTCTGTAGTCTTATGTGTCATGTCTCAAAGCATCTACTCTTTATTGAAGAATTGTAAAGTCTGATGGCTGTGGGTACAAAAGATCTTCTGAGGAGTCGTCCACCACCACCTTGTCACCTTGTTGTCTCTTTGCTTTGGCTCTATTCACAGATACAATATGTACTCATACATGTCCCCTAAATAAAGGGACAAAAGAGGAAGAGCTACCACAGATAGTGACCCGAAGAGAGATGGGAGGAACTTCTGTGGATGCAAAGTTACCTACTGGTGCAGGTGCGTAAACTGTGAGCCCTCACCTGTAAACCAAGAACTGCTCCCCCCAGTGGGACTTGATAACAACACTCACTTTAAGACCTTCCAAAATGAAGGGATAGCAGCTGTTGTAATGTGGCTGCAGTCTGCATCACCCACCATCCAGAGCCCCCTGCTAGTGTATTTCAGACTTTTTCAATGCTCAGAGGCTGAGTTAGAAAAAGCAGAAGGGCTGGATGGAACTTTGTCTTTATAATACTCTAAGTTTTATTAAAAACACTGTTTTAGCTGTGAAAGAGGGAGGCTGAGCTGAAATAAACTCTGGAGTAATAAGTGGGTTAGCCTGAAAATGTGCAGCATACACTGTTGAAAATGATCTTTGTATTATAGATTTTGATACTGATCAGCCACCATTGAATGAACAAGTAAACATCGCATCTGTAGATAGTGATTATACACTAAATCTTTCTGGTGACAGAGTAAAACTCTGGAAATGTTAAAAATACAGGTGCAGTTCAAATCAAGTGAAAGCTGACTTTCTTTTGCTAAATTAGGTTGTAAGTTTGGACTTATCTGCAGCCGTGTGTCGCTGAACTTATGAGCTGGTGCTCTGGCCAGTTTCTCAGTGAAGAGACCAAGCTGACCCTGATCTCCTGGACAAGTACCTGACAACCCTATTTCAGAATAGCCACACTATCCCTCTAAGGTTAGAAAGGTGGGTTCAGAGCTTCTGCAACCTCACACAAGTTTGAGTGAAAAGCCACAGCTTCAAAATCTGACATTTGAACCATGGACTACTTCAGAGTATCCCTGTTACCTGACACAGAAGAGTCTATGCTACCACATACAGTACCTTTCCTTTCTGGTTCCACTTTGGGCTTCTTGGAAAAAGGTGGACACACGTTTTTCTCAGCAGGACGTGGCACCCTTTTCACAATAACACTCCTGACACACAGAAATTCTCCTTAGTCTGATAGTCTGAGTTCATATACAGGGTTTTTTTTTTGTTGTTGTTAGTCATTTAAACTCAATGGGACGATTAACCACTCACCCGTCTCTGCTGACCTCCTCAGTGTTGAGGGCGAACACCTGTGAATGGAGTTAAAGCTTAACCTGAAGATGAGACAACGGTGTGTGTATATGTTGTTCATGTGAGACAGAAATACCTGACGTCTCACCTGCCCGGCTCTCTGCAGGTTTCCAAAGTGAACGTCAGGAATGAAAAGGACAGGCTGGGAGTCCAGGTCCATCACGGTTTTTAACAGAGTGTGATCAGACATCTTTATTGAAGAGGTGGGCCCTGGGCTGCTGTGTTTACCTAATCCAGACAGACGGTCAACTCAGCAGGGCTTGAAATGAGAAATACTGAAGAACTTTGTCCATGTAGGCTACAGTCAAACTCACCAAAGTTATATTCACCCTTATCAATAATACAATACAAGAACTTTATTTATCCCAAAAGGGAGATTATTATTTTATTATGATTATTATTATAGTCATTCAAATTCATTCATTCATTCTTATCAAATTCGTTTATTTATACCAAACTTAAAAGATTCAAGTATTTTCACCCTTCATTCTCTTTCTGAGCTGCTTCTTCTCCTCATCGCGGAGCTTTCTCTCAGCACCCTGCAAATGAACAAAGGTTCAACAGGACAGAAAAGTCAGACTACAATGAACCCAAGTCCATCTTATCCCTCCAGACTTCTCCAAGACAGCCCTGCCATCAAACTGTGGTCACCTTGTCACAGAAGACTTTAATCTGAGTGACGGCCCTGTGGATGGGCTTCCTGCTGCAGCTGTTGTAGCTGTAGGTGTCTATCTGGATGATCAGGGGCATCCCTTTCACCCCTTTCTGTGCGGAGAAGTCTGTGCTGAGACAGTTCACAGAGATGAAGACCTAAAAAAAAAGAGAATCGCACAAAAGAGAGAGAGATGATTATGATATAGGTCATTGTAGTCCCATGTCAAACACTGAGGTAAGTTTAAGCTGATATCACAGATAGCAGAGTCTTTCCTTCTATCTTAATCACCTCGGTCACAGCCTGTTTCCTTTCATAGTCATAGTAAGTGGGTCATGGGATCATGAGTCACTTCAGCAGGCACAGTTCACAGGCCAGAAGTAACACTCAGAAATGCAAATATGTCCCATCACTTCTCAACGCTCCTTACGTCAGACGATCTATAGGCTGAAAAACAGGCTCCCAGCATTGAACAAAAAGATTGATGTTGATTCAGAGGACAGAGGGTTTAACTGTCCGAATATAAGCAACGGTTTATTATCTTTATGTTATTATCACTGCACAATTCTCTATGAAAACGCTCAGAGAAGTTCAAAGCTTTGCTCCAAAATCCCCCAAAAATGCAGCTCAGCTTGTGAGAGGTTACACCACCTCACACAAATCACAGAATAATCCACAAAGCGTTTAAAACAAAGTGTGACTGTAGCCACACAAGCACGTGTTTACATAGTGGAAAAGACTCCCATGACTAAGGACGACACCAAAGCACTCACACAAACAGAGACGTCTGAAGAAGTTTCCAGTTAAACAGGATGAACAGCCTGAGCAACAGGTCAACAGTGACAACTAACGGTAAAGACTCCTCACCACTGCTCCACAGATATTTTCCCACTACGCAGCGTTCACAGCATCATGTCTGAACCTGTAGAGGTGAGAGCTGATTGCTGGATAGCCTGGAGCACACATGAGCCTCCCACACACCTCTACAAACTCACACCTCCACAGACACCTCGGCCATTTCGATTCCTCCTCTATCACTGGTCTCACTGCCGCTCACATGTGTTTGTGTGTGTGTGTGTGTGTGGGTGTGTGTGTGTGTGTGTAGGAGGCTTGCTGTGTTGTGTAGCCCACATTTCTAAGCATTCACAGATTGTCCTCTGAAGAGAAAGGTTCAGGGGTCAGTGATAAGTGTCTTCTCAGTACCATCCACTCCACTGTCAGAAACACAAAAACAGAGTAATGCCGCAGGAAGCAGCTCATCTACACATACCCCTCATTACACCGAGGATGATGGCTGTTGCCTGGCAACAGCAGAACCATGCCACAACAACAACCACTACTACTAAAACACAGAACTGATTATTGGTGCTAAAAATACCGGTTTGTCTAACAGTCCTTCAGATCCTGACTAGGTGTCACAATCCTGCTTCAATAACACAGTTTCTGGGTTTTGTTGAGAAGAAGGAAACTGCAGTGAAATATGAGCTCACACATTCTCACAGAAATGTTCCACTCAAGTCGATCCACATTACTGCCAACAGGCGCTTTGTCTGCAGGCTGGTGAGGGCAGCTGCACAGTCATGGTGCCACATGATCCCACAGCAGATCCACTCATAATAACCTACACGGTCAGAGTTCATCCACTCATCCACTCACCATCCAGGACTCAGCCCCCTGACTGTAACAATGCTCTCAGAAATGTTTTTTTCATTCATGGTTGGAGGAGCAGGGATTAGGAAAGATGAGGGAGAGAGTTGGCTTTGTTTGTAAAACACATGGATTTATATGGATAAGAAGACTTTGATAAAGAAAATAGACACTGCTGTGTTGTAGGATTATAAAATGCACATGAATGTCCTCTACTGGGAAATCTACATTTAAAAAAAAAAGACTGAGGTGACAAAGGGAGAAAATTCCTAGAAAGAAGAGGTCAAAAAGTCTGCAGGTGATGCATGGTGGCTTGTTGCTTAGTGGAGGGTGATGTAACATTTACAGGAGAGTAGGAGAGCTCTCTGTTTCAGCCTTTTGTGCCTTCTTACTAGTTTTTGGCTGATTTAAAGGTCACAGTGGATCATTAGAGTTTGCTCTCCCTCTTGAAAACACTTGTCTTTCTGTCAGAATTAGACATACTGTATGTGTTCCCTCATTATGATCACAGCAAACAGGATCAGTATGTGGACTGAGAGGTTAACCTCACCTCTCACCACACTGATCATCATAACAGTCTAGAGCCACACTAAAGGCTCTGAGGGGCTGCATTGATATAGAGATGTATACTGACTGCTGTACAGTAGCTTAATCATCACAACGACTAACAATCTGATGTTCCTGTGATTATCATAAAAACCAGTTTGGTTAGTTTAGTTGACCACTGATATTCTCTTTAGGTATCTAATGAGTAAACAAAACAACATTAAACAGAGTAAATGCAGGGCGATGCTGTATCGTTACACTGTAAAATGTAGAATTAAGGTTGGAGAGTGGAGCTATAGCAGCTGTAATATTTGAAGGTCTGTTTAAATTAGTGTTTTATCATCTGGCTATGAGAAACACTAAGAAGGAGCCTCTACATCTGCTAAGGAGGGGTCCTCTTCCTCAGAGGCTGCCATATTGAGCTGCCAAGTAGCTACCACAACACAAGCTGCAAGGGGCTGCAGCCTTCGAGGGCCACATCTGAAGATCAGATCCATCACAGCAGTGTGGCGAAGGCTGTCCCATTTCAAATGCAGCTCAAAAATGTATCCTACTTTTCCTGAGATATGAGAGCTGCATCAGGTGCATTGTTTCTCTAAGTGTGATTCTCTGTGTGCTAATACAATCCAGACAGAGGAGTGACACACTGTGAAGTAAAAGTACTAGGAAGCTGCAAAAATGTTGTAGAAGGCTGGTACAGTGAAATTTAACATGATCTTTGCACTGTTGCTGATGGGGTTTAAGTTACATGACCGTTGCTTTGCTGTCTGGTAAGCCAACCACCTGTTGCTAAGCAATAAGAGCAGCCCTGTATGATGCCAGCATCAGGGTGGTGACGCAAGCACAAAATCATCCAAAGGGTAGACTCCTAAATTCAGTTCAGACTGACTGTACAAGCAGGCAAGTCCTTGGGAGGCTGCAGCCTCTGGACTGGGACACATCTGCAAATTGGGCAAACTGGTAACATATAATTAGTACTGGTGTGTAGCTGTGCATAATCCATATTGTTGTGGTGAAAACAATTTTGATTTAAGGCCATTTTGGAGGTAAGAACTTGACAAATGAAGGATCAAATTCGTTATATATTGCAGGGGCTTCTTGTCCTTAAAAGCCACCATCCCTTTACTGATGAGAGGGATGACCACGGGAGCGTTCAAATGACCGACAGCTGGATACCACTAAATGCTATTGTTTCTCCATACTGTATCTTCAAATCAAACCACAGATGTTCATCCACAAACCTACAAAGCTGCACTCCCTCCTTTATTCATAAGAGTGTTTGCAGGTCTCGTTCAATGATAGACTAGTGGAAGCCTGAGGAAGACTCTCCAGAAGCCCAAAAGACTCTGAGGGTGAGTTTTTGCTGAGGGTTTTGGTGCGAGTGTTCTTAATTGGACTGGGTGTCTTACCACTTCTACCTGATGTGAAATAGCTCTATGCATCAAAGCCTATCTTGGATCTCTCATGTCTCAACACAAATCAAGTCATGGTGAACAAAGGAGTGCAGGGTGGATAGAGTGGATTGGCACATGCTTCAGCAGCTACAGTCCACTGACATCACTCTCGAGCTGCAACAGTACTCAAGATGGAAACTTGAGGTTTCATTGAGCAATGCCTCACACAAGTGGGAGCATGTTTTCAACCACCAAACAAAGCATGACAAAACCAAATTAGGAGGAAGGTTTGAAACTGAAGGTAAACAGAAAAAGACTTTTACTCTTTCTTTAAGCAGCCTTCTATGTGGTACAATCGTTTCTGGTTTGGACTCGAACAGAACAATTTAACCATTTTTCCCTGTTTATTTACCTTGGCTTCTTCACTTGCATCCCATGTAAAGGAGACAGCATTGTAAGCGATTTCCTCCACATTCCCAACAATGCTGAAGGTCTCTTTGTAATCAGCTGAGGAGTCAAGAAGATGAGAAGAGAGTATCAGCTGATGCTAGATGGCAAAGTTATAAATTTACTCAGCACAGAAATGTTCCAGCCAGCTCAGATGGAAGAGTCAGTGCACAGTGACAGAGAGATGATGTGTGAACACAGCAGGAAACATTCACTGTCAGGGTAACTGTCTCCCCCAGGTGCAAATCAAATAAATCAGAATGACCCGGAAAAGGACTTTCTTGAGTTATGGGAAAAACATGAACTTTTGTGGACATTCAATATTTTCAAGTTGCTCCTACATGTTACAACACTTTGTGGTCTTTACTGTTCCTTCACTGAAAAATGCTTTACAGGAAATTCTGAAAAATATCAACTTTCCTGTCCTGACATTGTTTGAAAAACATCAGAATTTCACTAGTTAAAGGAGCTTCAATGTTCAAAAACCTGTTTCTGTGGTTTAGTTACAGACACTTGTGTATTTTATTCATATTTTTTCATTCATATCTGCTTGTGTGAATTACACAACTCTTCCCATTCAGAGCTTAATCATAACATTTCCAAGGAAACAAAGCTGAGAATTTTACCCCTGAATATGCTCCAGATGACTGACAAATACCATGAGGTCACCTATAAATCATTTAAGATACCCCCACCACACACACACACACACACACACACACACACACACACACACACACACACACACACACACACACACACACACACACACACACACACACACACACTTTGTACTGGCACAAACTTGCCGTGGACCAAACCATCAGAGGTTGAATATCTTTGCTTCATTCCAGTGAGATTTTTTTCCCCCACAGGCTGAGGCCTGCCTCTAGCTGTTCTTTCAGTATATGGCCTCGGTCCAGGCCCCCACCTAGTCCTCCTGTCAACGATCATGCAAATGCACACCCATTGGCTGTCTCTCTGTACTCAGCTGGAACTGAGGATTGACAGTTATTCAAATTCTGCTGGGTTTCAGCACGGAGTATGTTGTTGGTTTGTCCTGGAGGCTTTTCCTGGTTTGCCTCTTGCTCATTGTTGTTTTACTCCATAGTCTTAAAGGTTTTATAACACCCTCTGTTTATTTTAGACCTTTTCCTGCCTGCTCAACTTATAAACCTTATTGTGACATGGATGTTTAAGGCATGCCTGTTGGTAAGGAGGATAACAAGGATCATCATACCAATATCCAGGACTCTCTGCTTTGCAGTGTGCTGCCGTGAGTGCCAGTATTTCCAGTTATTTAGCTGCTCGTCTCTGCATTTGTCTTCTCCAAAGACAACCATTATAACACTCTAAAGGAAGAACATTAGAAAATTATTTTTTTTACTGTACAATGATGCCAAAAGCTACATGGACAATGCCAAAAAGCAAATATTGCATGAATAAAAAATAACAAGGTTTCCATCTATATTAGTGTAAGGCAAAAGCTGCACCCTTTACCTTTTGCGTTTTCTCCACATTTCTTATCTCCCCCTCTCTCACCTGTACAATACTGTCCTGCTTCAGCTCAGTGCCTCCCATGGTGCATGGCTCACGACTGGATTGACTGCCATCAAACCCGTGTGATGGCATCAGCCCAGCCTCCAGCCCTGCAGCTCTGGGCTGATGTGAGGACAACATGCAAGAAGTCTTGGACAGTGTCAAAGCATAAAACTGGCCCCTGTTCAGATAGGCCATAGGTCCATCTCCCTGCCGCGGTCGTACTGACATGCTGGCCTCCAGACAATACTTGAAACTGCCACTGTAACAAAATACATGTTTTATGCAGGTCTCATGTGTCAAACAGAGACTAATTACGTGAGAATATTGTGATATTATTGCTTTGAGTATTTTCAAAAGTTCCTCAAACCTGTAAAATATAAACCAAGGAGCATTAACCAAGAATAAGAACAGGAGGAATCATGTCTGAATGACCAATCACTGTGATGGAATTTCTCTACAGTCATTCTTAAACTGTAGTTCAAATCAAAGCTGTTCTAAGAGTTATTTTAAACATATAATTTACAAAAACATAATCAGAGTGCTTTGAAGCCTAAATGATGTGAGCAGAAGAATTCTGAGACATCGTGAAGAAAGAAGTTTGAAATGATCCCCACAGAGGAGGAGAAAGAAAAAACTGTATTCGGTAGTACTCCAACCCTCCTTAAGTGAATGGTTTTAAATCTTACGACAGGAACCAATTTCCTGGTTTAATCTTGTCTAAACATTTAGTCCATGTCTTGACTTTGTCAGTGAAATTCAATTTAATACAGCCATGTCAGTGGCAGCCATAGTTATTCATTTATCATCTATACAACAGAGAAAATCTTCATTTGTATGTCAGTTATGTTTTAATTATTGTGGTCTTTAATTTAGACATTTAGCCCCTCTATTCTGTAGATTTTTGTTTTTTTTTCTTGCAAGAATCTGGATCATATTCGGAGCATATATGGAGATGTGATGGTATGCTTCATATGAGGGCAAATACTGAGCCGAATTTCCTTTTAAATTGAGTGGCAAGATATGTCAATGTTGTACAGATATGAAATAAGATATCCAAATGTGCTCCTATGCCATGTCTTGAAATACATGGACATTGGCTCATAAAAATCAAGAGCTGGCATCAGAAATGCACGAGCTCAAAATACAGCGTATCAGAAGAGTAACTTAATGCTGTTTTCTGATCACATCACAGTAGCCCCATTCTTGAGAAGAAATATGCTCCATATAAAGAATTTTATAATGCTGTGGTGAGACATTATCTAGTCCAGACTTCATCATATCTAAACATGTCCAGATTTAGAGGTCTTTCATGCAACATGGAGACATGTTAACAGCCCGTTTCACTCCCTTATTGGTACATTTTTACTTACCATGGTCGGCCTCGTTGGAATTCTTCCGCTCCTGAGGAGGGACTCATGTTGAACATCTGTTGAAAATGACAAAATATGATTTGAAATAATAACAAATGTTGCTATTATTATAACTGGAGCTCGACACATACCTCTCCTTCCTCATACAGGCTGTCTGGAGTGCTCCTCTGTTCATCCTTCAAGTGCCCCGTGAGGGCCAAATCATGGCAGCTCTGTTCATAAAGCACCCTCATTGGCTCACTGGGTTCTTCTCTGTAGGAACCTCCAGAACAGGACACTCTCATGGCAGTCTGGTCTTCTGACTTAATCAGGGCCAGAGCTGATCCACCCTCTCCTTTCCCATCTCCTCCTCCTCCTGTGTCATACTTTGAGTCCTGATAGTCTGTAGAGGTGCTGCTGTTTCGGGAGAGGTTGACAGGCATTGATGCGAGAGCCTGAGGATGGTGTGGTAGAGTTTCGAAGCTGCCACAGTTATCAGGTCCAGTGGTAGAGGCATCTATGGATTTTACTCCACAGGAGACACGTCTCCGCTCTCTGGGAACCTGGCAGGGTGAACAAAAAAAAAAAAGTGTGAGAAACAAATGTTGTTTGTCTCCCTGAATCATCATTTATTTGACTGCCACACCTTGTAGTAGTCATACAGCAGACCCAGAGCTGCAGCACTGTCCTCATCTCCATTGATGCTCATCATGGCCTTTGTCGCAGCAGTCAGTGGGTTCTCCAGGTAGCTTCTCCACGCCTCATCCTCACTGCTGAACACTCTGCGTGGGGGGACCAGCACTTCATTTGGGACGACCACCACCAGCCGTTTACTGAGAGGGTGACAGAACAATAGGATGAGACTATAAGCCATGGTTATGTTGCAACACCAATCTGTCATTAACAGCTCTGCCAAGCCACCAAATCTACTTTAGGCTGATTCTCACCAAACTTCATGGTAATGCTCTTTCCATGAGAAGGATGACTTCATAAATATCACATTTAATCCACCTGCAGCTTGTATTCAAGTTCTGTTTCTTCTAACACGTCTCATTTTTCAGGTATCATTCATGGAGACTAACAAGAAGAGGTGTGAATGAGTTGCCAGTTTTAGCTTGGGCACACAATATATTTCAAATAGTCACAGGGGAGATGCACATTTACAAATACGAGCAGCTACAATAAAGTCAATGAGGAAAAGGAATCACAAAACTATGTTTGTCATCAGGACAAAAATCTAATCTGAGCCTGTGCAACATTAGAATCAAGTTCTGTTTTGCTGACAACCCCCGATCTGTGAATGTCATTACCACATTCATCTATGAACAACCCAAAAAGCACTGCATCATTATTTGATATTTTCTTTAACAAAAACCTTATTGCAGAAATGATCATTCCCCAGAATTATGTCATATTGCAGCCATAGAGTAGTGGAAATATTTTTATTTATTTCATTTAGCTCCATCACAGGTAAGACCACTCATTAACTATGTATTGAATTTATTGTTTAGCTGCCCCTTGATGAACAAAAGTAACATTTTCAGGATGAAATAATTGCCCATGAATTTTCTATACATCATTTTGGTCTGCAGTCATGCATTTGATTTTTTTTACATGTATACCAAAACTCTTTCAAAATAACTCCTTTGAAATGTTTCTGTGTTTTAACATTGTTTTTGAATGACCAGAGTTGTCCTCCCTTTAACAAAGAGACTCAAGTATTGTAAATCCTCTGTAAAGCTGGAGTAGTTCTGACCGAGCTTCTTACACATAACAGTAAGAATTAGCACTTACCTGTCCATATTGCCTCTAGGACTCCCTGATGTTTTCTTGGTCTTCCTGGAGAAACAGGACTTTCTAGCTGGTGCAGAAAGTTTATCTGGGAGATTTCAAAAGTAGGTGCAGTGGAGGCTGGCTTTATTTAGCTTTTCAGTCCAAACAACCAATGAAATCACCTGTAGCTCTGCCTCATAGAGTATGGCCGATTTCAAATCAAAGTTCACACCGACAGGATAAAAAAGAAAATAAGAATAACAAACAACATTGGCAGCACTGCGCAGGTTTCTTTCCTGTTTGGAGAAGTAGTTCAAATTCTGTGATGGGTGCTGCAGCATGTGAAGGATAAACAAGGAAATGACAGCTATTTTACTCATTGGTCAGATGATACGCAGGTGGAGCAGCTGAACGCCCATTGGTGAATCAAAGAGTGCGCGACGTGAAACGGGGGGAAGGTGAGCACGCTGGTTATCAAACAAGATGTAACGTCCTCTTTTACTAACCTGTCTCCGACCATGTTCTGGCTCCGTCAGCTATAACTTTAAGGGAACAGAGATTCAATATTAAGCGACATAAGTTTAGTGTAATTCGAAGTGGCTAACCAGGAAAGTGCATTTTAACCCTGTAACTGAATACGTGACAGAAGCAAAGATGTAGGTTCGGGTGCATGACAAAACATGGTGGGGAACATATTTCCAACAAAAAGAAAGCCAAGTTGCAGACAAATTAAAATACTCCGACATAAACAAACAAGCAGTAAGGTAATGACAAATGACAAACGATCATCTAATAAAGCCCAGGGAGTTTGCTATCCTCTCAGAGTTCCTGAGACGTGGTATTTGTCATGGTGGCAATAGCGCTCATTTTCTTATTATCAAAGCAATAAAAAAATCATCTCTTTTATAGGATGGATCTACTTGCTCCTGCACACGTATCGGCGATTAAGTACTGTATAATGTTTAAAAATTAATGTTACAAATAAAAAAAGTGAGGACCAGACCTAATTTTGCTATTTTCTGCTAAATAAGCCAACTTCTCATCAATAAGTTTTAGAAGAGAAACTCAGACATTTTTTAAACTGTAAGAGAGCCCCCTGGACTAAAATTACCATTCTTTAGAGGTGTAATGTACCACACAAAGTCTTTGTGTAATGTCTGGTAAAATCTGAGCAGAGTTTGAAAGGGATTGACTACTGTCTACATCTGTTTAACATCGGGACGTGTAGGAGCTGAATGTCTCCGAAAGATGGCGATAGTGCGAGTTCTTGATTGTCGGCTGGCGATGACAGCAAAAGAAGAAGAATTGAGCATGCGCAATGTAGCAGAACCAGAGGAGGCGGCAGACGTTTCCAAGTATTTAACTTCGGGTGTTTTTTTTAATATAATTTCGGTGGCTAACTTCAGAAGTACGTTTATCGTTCTCTGGTAAGCGCTTTTTTATTTCAGCTCCTGCAACTCATAAGTTTCCATAAATTATTTCCCTTTTTTTCTGAGTGTTTCCTCACATTTCCAGCGAGTCTACCTATCGTACCTTTAGCGATAGAAAGTGTCTGTCTTTCCTCCGTGGAAATGAAACACACTTTACGTGTGCTGTAAGTGGACGACAGGTTCGGGGCATTTGTTATTCTTTGACTTCATTGCCCACATGAATCAAACCCTTTGTGGTCGGCCATGGTCCTTTGCTGTATACGGTGATACCGTTTGCTAAGGTTAAGTGGGGTCAGCGTGTTTGATGGTGGACCCCCACATCCTCCTCTGCTCCATTAGAGACACTCTGTATCAGGTAAAGGTGGCCCACATAATCAACACGAAGTTTCCAGAGTGGTTTTTGCTTGCTTGGTTATCGGAAACAAAGCTTAAACCCATGAACCATATCAGTTGGTCTTCCTCTCAGTCTGAGTTTCTTTCAGGACATTTTGAAGTTAATTTCTTCTTCTCTGAGACCCTAAAAGAGACAGCTAACCCACTCCTGAAGGATATTTTTACCCACTGCTGTATAGGATTTGAAATCTTAAAGAAATCTGTACAATCACAGATCGGCCACGACTTTATGAACTCTTGGGTTTTCCAATGCAAACCAAAACTACAGCCCTAAATTCATGAGTAATTTTATATATTTGTACTGTGTAATTCATTTCCACTCACGTCAATCGTTGACTTTTACTGTAATTGTTGAAATAGTTTTACAAAATTTCGATAAATGTTTTATAGAATTTATTATTTATAGAATAATGAAGTTTGGCTTCAATATGTCATGTTCTCATCTGAACAGATTTGCCCAATTTGTTTGTATTTTTTATTTTATAATGTTGTGAGCTATTTTGAATTAGTCCATTCAAAATACACCTGAATCATCTTTCTAGATAAGAAAAGCATTGATATTAGATTTTAATGGGCATATATTAATGAGATATCAGGCACAGACTGACCTTCTCTCTAAATTCTTGCATCACTGTTGGCTGTTAGAAAATCCATAGCAGTACACCACAAATTGAAGGGTGAGGGGTGTTCCTAATGTTTTGCTCCCTTGTGTTTTTTTTTTTTTAAGCGTACACACACCACTACACCTACTTGTTCATTAATATTAAGTACCTTTTTATACGTATAAAAAAAATTTATTGAACTGATCCAAAAGAAGTAAACTCATTCCCCTATCAACTGTTCCTGTGTGCAAACTAGGTTTTCCAGTGTCTCAGTGTCTGTTTATTGCTCGTTACATTCTTAACAGTATTGTATATGATTTATCCATGTCTAGCATCAAACATGACCCGAGGGCACCAGAAGTTCCAGTCCCAGCAGAAGAATGCCAAAAAACAGGCAGACATCAAGAAGAGCAAAGGCCATGACCAGAAGGCAGCAGCTAAGGCTGCTTTAGTATACACATGCACTGTGTGTCGGGTATGTGCTTAGTGGGGAAACAAAGCAGAGAGACACACACCATTATTAGAGGTCAACCCATATTGGTTTCACAGGGTCCATACGGTACATTAGTTGTTTAGGAGACCATCAACTGATGGAACTGTCACGCATTTGCATTAAAAATGATACACTTTCTGTCAAAATGTAGATCTTAGACTATTATAAACTGCAACAAGACACTTTATTTCAATGTCTTAAACATTAAATCAAAACTGAAACTTTCCATCTCATATACAGGAGTTTACAGCTAACCAGTCAAACTTACAGTACAGTTATGTCAGTAGTCTGGCCAGTCAGAAAGTGTTGTGGGCGGGACATTAGGGGAGAAAACACACCCAACTAACTAATATTACTGGTGACTGGTAAAACACCAGAAAAAGTAAACAGCAGAAAGCTGAATATGGGCTCCAATAGTCATCCAAGGGCCATAAATGGTCTACTCCAAACACTTGGAGTATCATTTAACCATAATGTTAAATTTAAATTGTTTCAATTTCCCTTCAGGGATCAATAAAGTTATTCTTATTCTTAATGTTAGAATGACAATAAGCTACATACCATTTAATACTGAGATACTTTTAAAATGAACTGGGGGGTCAGGTCACTTTTCAGCGGTAGGTAAAAATTTCCAAAGATGAATGGATTCTTCTAGATTCACTGTGTCAGCAGTTTAGCATTGGAATTAAAATTGTATCTCATTGCTGCAAGTTTATTATAGTTTTGTCCATTTGAATGTAAATAAAGGTGTACTAAAAATAAGATACACAAAGTCGATCACAGACTCAAAGCTCCTGTGAGGACTCTTTATCTGGTTATGACACAGACTGTTACGACAGTGGCACCTTTGTGGCCAACAAAAGCAAACAGGACCATTAGCCACAAGATATTCTATACTTGAGTAATTAATGTCTGTAACCACTGCAGGGATGTAGGCACAGTTGAGACGAGTTAGTGCACCACAAAGAAGAGCCTTCCCCCAGCAGATAGTTTGAGTAGACGGACGACAGGATGTTTTTTGGTAAAAAAAATATGACTTCTGCATGACCTAGAGTAGACGAGCAAATAGTTAAGAGTGAGGAGTCACTTTGCCCATGGGGGTACCAAAACTGAAACAGAGAGTTTCCCAGAGGAGTAATCAGCATCTGAGGTTTCCCAAAGAAGGACTTTTTTGGTACCATTTTATAAGAGTGTTGGTTCGCCAGTGCTACAACATGAGAAAAATGCTCAGGTCTGACCTGGTCTGTCCAAAAGAAACAATACAGAGTTTTGAATTATTTAATGAAGGTTTTGAAATGCACTTAAATTTCAATTGCTAAGTCAAAGTAGATTGGCCATGATGAAAAGTTATTTATGGTCACTCCATATTTTACCTTCTGTGAACAGCAGTCAAAACTTTTGACATCAAAATTACCTCAAAAAGTTGATTGAAGATGCTCAAAGTTACATCTATCCATCACCTCTGCAATGAAATCATACTGTTGCACATGTCAGGCATGTTTAAGGAAAACTCTGCAGTGCTTCTATGTGAACTCTTCAGTACATCCATCTCGTTTTCCTGCCTCCACCTCTGAGGAGTCCCCTGTGCTCTGATAGTCTCTGTATATACTGATGGGACTTACTCACACTGCTGTTCTCTTTTCTTTTTTTTTTTAACCTTTTTATCATTCATTATCTCTTGATCTGTATTCAGACTTTTGACTTCTTTTTTTCTTGTCTACACTTTCTCAGACACAAATGCCTGACCCTAAAACCTTCAAACAGCACTTTGAAAGCAGACATCCGAAGTCCCCCATGCCACTGGAGTTGGTTGATGTAGAGGCGTAACAGATTCACATCTCTCAGTAAAAAAGTAAGAACATTGAGACTGATTCTGGACAGTCTTCTTTGTCTTGCAGTGTTTCTTGAGGAAAATGAATATATCTTTATTTTGTTCTGATGCTGCCTACTTTGATTATGTATGAATGAATAGCTGTATTATGCAGGGATAGATTTTGCTCTGCTTTTGTTCTTTGTGGTCTTGTTTTACAGAGTTTAGTTTTCAAACCACTGCTTTCTCATGAGAATTTAATACAGTGCCATTTTTGAGGTGAGACACAGCAAGCAGTTACCCTGCTACAACTAAATACATGTCCCATGTGATTGTATGCAATGGTCCTGTCAGATCCTTATAGTTATAATGTTTAAGAGACTTTTTTGTCAGTGTGCTTTCTCATGAAAATACAACCTCAGGGAGCCCGCTCAGGACAAGCTAAATTCAAAAGTCAAAAGGAAGGATTTGGCACCTGTTCATCCACAGAGTCGTTACACTATGATGACAATGAATATTTTCGCACTTGAATACGATGTACTTTAAAACCCTCAATAGATTTTTCTCAGAGTAATAGTTAGGGTTTGTTGCAGTGATCTGGACTAAATGATGTGACTGGAAACAGTAGATTCAAATGCACTCTCAATCTGCCCTTATATTTTTCAAGTTTAAAATTTTTAAATGTCAGGATTTGTTTCTCTAAAGGATGTGTAAAACACAATATATATGAGTATTGGATTTTCCCTCAGACTTCTGTGAAATGTTTGTAGTTAAAGTCCAATTTGCAACAATATCACATTCAGCAGAGTTGTAAAAACTGGAAAATGATGGCACTGTACGTTTTCTCATCACAACCTCCATGACACCGTTTCTCAAGGTCCTGTTTTTAAAGAGCTATGTAGGTGATGACTCTATCAGCATTCAGTCTTTTACCTTGTTAGAAGTCAGATGACTTACTAAGGGTGAAGATACATGTTTGCTCAATGTTAAACTTTACTGTTTCCTTCCAACCAGTATGTCGTTAAAATCAAAAGTACGTGACATTTATTTTGTGCAGTTTGATAAATGCACTGCATTTTGCCCTGTAACCTGTCTTGCACTGTCATCTCTATGGCATATTTGGAAAGGATCCCCCAGTGGAGTATCTCAATGTAAGCAGTATCCGGTGATACAAAAGTGTTTTGAAAATGAACCTGCATTAAAAATCTTGAGTATATTGTACTGTAAGTTGGATTTAGTTTTTTACTTTGATATCAGAATCAATTATTTTAGTTGAGTTCTTATAGCATGCTGTAAGCAAGAGAATTAATTCATGGAGGGAACTATTTGCAATAAATTTGGACCTTCTGGTCCAAATGTATAATCATATCTTTGTTCACAAAATGTTGTGTATAGCCCTTCAATAAAGGTGTTACTTTTCTTAGAAAAAATAAAGGTGTGTTGTTTTTTTTTTTCATTTTATCAAGGCTTTGACACCTAAATGGTATTTGTGCAGTTATCAATTAATTTAGTGGTACACTGTATTCATAGAAAGATTGTGGGAAATATAAAATGCTATTATTTGGTGCAATGAACCAGAGTTTGCTTCAAGCCAGTTTACATCTGCATTTCCTCAGCCAATCAGAAGTAAATGATCAAAGTTATTACACTGCAAACACATTCACATTGTCTGCATATTTTGTGTTATATCCTTCTTTGCTCACATTGCATTACTACAATTCAAAATGAGACTTAAAGCAGAAAAAAAAGAGTTTTGCAGTTGAGTAGGTGTACCACTGAGAAGTACGATCCTGCCAAAACCGATGATTTGCATCACTTTCTGTGCCTTCAAACTGATCATGACCACTTGTGTTCATTTGACAGGGGTATTGCCACCCCAGAGAAACAAATCCTGTGAGGACAGACATGTATTGTGGCAAAATTAAAGGATTAAGTCTCAAACACCCTATTAAAAACGGCCAGAATGTAGTGTATAATGACCATGCAAACTGTGTTTCAAGATATAAGATAAACCCCTGGCAAACTGTATGAATAATTAAATTTGAGATACTATCATTGTACACTCAAAGCAGGAATGATGCTAGCGGGTGGTAAAAATCTGTAGCCAGGTTATCAGTTTGATAAGGTTACAATGATAAAATGGTGAAGTGAAGGGATGTTTTTTGTTTTTTACTATCCTCCCCCTGTTTCAACAGTTAATTAGTGGGGAAATTTGTACTTTCAGGAATTGCGATGTAAAGTTGCAGTATCATAGAGATAGGGACTTTAAAAGTACACTTTTCTTGAAGAACCAAAGCATAAAACCCCATGCACTAGATTTTGTTTTTTAAATACTGCGAATCTTAAATACTCAAGCCATATAAACTTCCTGTATTTACTGCAGAAATTCTCTGATAAATGTTTCACACTGTAAGCCATTGCAATAAATTGTTAATGTGATGTTCTGTGCTTACAATTGTTGTCAAAGCACTTTGTAAACTTCTGTTTTTAAATGTGCTATATAAATAAAGTTATTATTATTATTATTATTATTATTATTATTATGTTTTATGAGGAGAATGAGCAAAGAGATCTTCGTTTCAGCATTGTGAATTCCCCACATGAATATATAGACATAAATCCACTGGGTTACAAAATGGTCTCGACTGCACCAGGATGCATACAAAACTAGAAGTCAGTCAAGCCATGTTACCTAACTGAAAAGGGTGTTGCCGGGAATACTCTTGAACTCAGGTATGTGTGGGAGCATGTGTGTTCAAGTTCTCAAGATTTGGTTGGCAGGATGAATGAAAACCTGTTTAACCAGTCAAACACCTTTTACCCTGCTACCCAGCTTGCTCTCATTTCCTCCACTTGAAATCCCTTCGTTTTGGTGCTAAAACAAACCCCTCAACAGTATATTTTCTTAACATTAGTGCCGATCCATTTCCTCAGCGAACAATAACCTATCCGTCCTTGCATACGCTTCAAGTCTGCAATCTCTGCCCTTGGGAGAAAACACCAGTAAAAAAACTTCCAGCGTGTTCCCTCAGAAACCCAACCAAAATGTAGGAATAGTATTTTCTATTAGGCGAGATGTACTTTTGTGCTGCTCTCTGTGATTTAGATTTTAACACTTTCAGCCTTTCAGGCAAATACTTAAAAATGCTGTTCCTGACAATCTTTCTATGATTATGGACATGACACTATGATTATAGACATGTCATATCTAACTATGACAGATCTGGGTGATATCTAGTTAAAATATTATGGCCTGATCTCTCATTTTCTTCTCATACGACTTGTGTCACAGCTCCCACATTATGTGTGCCATTTAAGGCCAGAGAATCACTCTTGTGTCAGTCATAGTATGTCAGGAGCTGTCACTGCCCTTTTCAGTCACAAATTGTGTCAACAGGGCACAGTTTTAGAGCAAGTCAACTAACAAAGTTTAGGTTTTTTCTTTCACTATCATGAGCAGTCTATTAGCGCCAATACAGATTTAAGGTCCTCGGTGAATCGACCTAAAACTGCCATCATTTGTCGTGGTACAAAAACGTTTCCGAAGGACGAACTACAACTCCCACTATGTCTCCCGCCAGGTTGCCCTGGCAACGTTGACGTCAGACCTTCTTCTCTAGCACTGCCTAGAACTGGTGTGATTGGAGGGAAACACCGCGGACGGTATTCAGACAGAGGGGCCGAGAGAATCAGCTGTAGCTTGGTACTTCTACATCACTGCAGGCTGCATCCAGGTATGAAAGGTTTTATAGCGTTTACCTTTACACGTATGCTTTTGGAAACGGTATTGTTTAGCCTGCCATTCCACTGTACATAATAATGGAATCGCTTTGTCTACAGCGGTCCATTGTAAGTAACAGAGACAATCATCGTATCACAGAACAATGGTTAGCTTAGCGACAGTCCGGGATATGTCTAATGTCTGGATTCAATATGGAACTTCAATGTGGAACATGACACGGGAAGGCGTGTCATGTTTGAGGATAAAGCTATTGTAAGCATGTGGCTCAAAACGCTATGCATTTTGCATTTAATGATAGTAACTCTGGTTTCATTAATATCAAAGAACCAACAGTTTTTAAATTATTATTCAGGTACAATCTTAGTTAAGGTTTAACGCGTCCTAGTGTTGGTCCGACACACGTTCGTAGTGAAAAACTACACCGTCAGTAGAATAAAAAGAGAAAACCTGCCGACATTTTTTGTCCGTCTTGGTAGAATTTGCTTCTTAGCTAGTGTTCCGTGGTGAATACCGGAAATAACTAGGCGAGGCAAGTGTGATTCATGATCCATCCACTGCCACACGGGCAGCTCACCAATATGCACACCTTTCAAGAGTTCCCTCGCACTATTAACATCAATCAACCATCAAGTTCGAAAAACAAGTTTTGGAATGCGTGTCAGCAATTTTGGAGAGTCCAAGTTGCTTGAAAATAAATATTTTTTGTAGTCTTTCAGACAAGTTGTTAAAGGCGTCTGGCTAGAAGTGCTTTTGTTTCAGGAAGTACTCTGCGCCATACTGGAAAGTGGTCACGAGGCTCGTTATTGTAGCCGTTGCTTTCTTTCCATCGATCGGCGTTATTCATGTACACGGTTTGAACAAAATAAGATAGGAATTTAAATAAACCTCGCTCTAAGACGCGAATCTTACTAAAGACTCTACTTTAACGCCAGTCTGTTGGTTTGGCTCTGTGGGTGAGCCACAGGTACTGGGATGGGTGTGGTGTGTGTGCGCGCGCGCTTGTGTGTGTGAGTGTGTGCGCGCGAAGGAGTGGTGAGGCGGCGTTTGCCCTGGAGTGTAGGCAGCATTACGGGTTTTTTTTTTTCACTTTATTTGTACCTTTACACTTTCTTTGTGAAGATTGTGGACTAAAAGTTTCTTCCATATACCAGTGACCAAAGAAAACACAATGAACTAATCTTTCAATGCATCCATTCGATTTAAACGTGAACACACCCAATTTAGCATTGGGCCATGTTGCATCATGTCAAGTGGTGGCTTTCTGGTCTTCTACTGCTGAAACTAGAGTTGTTCCTTAAAAGTGGACAGATTCCCATGATTTTTAGGTATAGATTAAAGGAAATAGTAAAACGTCAGGGAATGTGGTGTGCTTGAGGCACTGCTTCATTGAAAACCAATTCATTACATGCAGTACAAGCTTTCCATTTTCATATAAAATGTAAATGTACATTTACATTAACATTTACATTAACATACTATCTACAACTATAGACATGCATTACATTAAAGGCATGGTTGACAATTTGGAGAGATTGGAAATTATTATGAACCTCATGGTGCCATAGTGTGATCTCCACAAAGTGAAGAGAAAAAAGAATGGGAAAGCTCTGTTCACCCTAGCAGGTGCAGGGCTGCAAAATCATTGACCAATGGGAGCCATCCATCCTGCACATTTCCTATTGGTCAATCTCCTGCTCTGCCTCTCCATCCAATCACCTCGCTGTATTGGACACACCCTTCTCCCATAGTACCGACTCATCCCCTCCCCCTCTCCCGACCGAGAATTTTTTTTTAGTAGGATGGTAGGGGAAGGTCCCGCCCTCCTTCACCACTGATTGGCTAGAAGTGCTGGGCTCCGATTGGTTATTCCTTATGGCTGTGAAACGTCATCGTCTGTCAGGTAAGGGTTGGGATTAGGATGAGGGTTAGGGTCAGGAGATTCAGAAGTGCGATAGTGTTCTGTAAAGTTCTGTTCAATGTACAGAGCCGACAGCCCACGTTTGGCTTAAGCATGTGATGACGTTTCCAGCTTTTCTAGCCAATCAGAGGCGAGGGAGGTGGGACTTTCCCCTACCGTCCTTCAAAAAAATAAAAATATTGCCTCCCGGCCCTTCTCAGAGCTTTGAGCGGCTAAAAGTAGCATAGCAGCTTAGCTACAGGAGCTGTGATGGGATAGAGCGCAAAAAAAAACCACTTCTGCTTGCCCCAGCGCCAAAAGTGCTAAGAAAACACAAGCCGACAGAATAAAGGGCAGAGCCGAAGAGGAAATGTGACCAAACGAGGAATCTAACTCGAACAAACATCGGGTCATCCTTCAAGCAGTGGAGAAAGCTCTGCCAGAATTTGGGCCTGAAAATAGACGCGGAGACAGCAGATTTTTTGTTTAACAGGTCATTTTTGCCTTTTATCGTGGCACATGTTACATAAATAACTCTAATTAGTCTCTGCAATGTCAACACAGTAGCTGTCCAGGCAGCTGCAGACAGTGCTTGCGAGCAGAGCTGGTGTTCACTGCCGCTAGTACCTAGCAATCTAACATGGTGAATCCTATTTGAAATCTAGCGTAGGATCTTCTGCCGGCCGGCTTCTTGCTCTGCAAGAGGGAGTGTGTCGTGGGGAGGGCGATACAGGTTTGGGTGGGGGGGTTGGGATTTTTTTTTTCACATCTGCCTCAGCGGCTCAGTTTTTTTCAACTGCTTCTTAGATTGTCCACCATGCCTTTAAAACTCACAACCAAATAAAGGATGTCATACTTAACTATACACGAAAATGAAGTATTAATTTTGTACTTATTTTGATACTTGCTAAAGGAGGCAGACTGTGTATGTATATATTTTATTAAAAAAAAAAAAAAAGCTTTACCTATAGAAAGATTTGAAAACTAGCACACGCATGCTCTGTGGAATGGAAAAAAAGGGGATTGATCTTGAAAAAACCCTCTGGCTGTTTTGAATGGGTCAAATGTAGGTTAGTCATGTAGCAATGAGTATTTGTTGGTGTATGTGTGTGAAATCTTAACAGACCGTCTTTATATAATATATTCTGCAGGTATTTCATACTTGATCAGTTATTGCTAAAAAGAGAGCTACATTAAAATCATCAAACTTGTATGGCTTCGACTCCTTTTGTGTTTGTTTTGAGAAACAATTATCCAACTTTTAAATCTGATCTGACCTGATAACTTTGGCTTTATCCAACATTGAAGTTCTGATCCAAACTGACCCTTTAGGCTTTTGGGATCTGAGGGTACAGATTACCAATATGATACTAGTGTTACAGTGATAACATGTATTTCTCTCAGTGAAGATGAGACCATTTGTGTTCTAAAAAGTATCAGGCTTTTCCCGCTCTGCTTAAGAAATGAATTAAAAAATGACATACCTAACAGTGGAATATAAATGGCTACCACTACCTGCCGTGTGGCGATTAAAGAAACTTGAAACAATGGCGTCACTTATACACTTCTACGATACAGTAGACCATCACATTTTATTAAATAGACTGCGGAATGTGGTTGGCCTCTCTGGTACTGTTCTTAAGTGGTTCACGTCCTACCTGACTGATCGAAATTTCTTTGTAAGTATGGATACATGTTCCTCAAGGACCCATAAAATTGAGTGTGGGGTTCCCCAAGGGTCAATTCTAGGTCCAACTCTGTTCAACCTCTACATGTTACCCCTTGGGGATGTCATCAGGAGGCACGGCATCAGCTTCCATAGCTATGCTGATGATACGCAACTGTACATCGCCGTGTCTCCTGATGACACAGGGCCAATTGATGCCCTTTTTAACTGCATTTTAGACATTAAATCATGGATGGCAGCAAATTTCCTGCAGCTCAACCAGGACAAAACAGAGGTTTTAGTCATTGGTCCTGAAGGCCAGAGAAAGAAACTTTTACCAAAGTTACAGGATTTTAAACCTTCAAAATCTGTAAAAAATCTGGGCGTGATTTTCGACTCTGAGCTCACGTTTATTCCAAATATCAAAAACTTAACAAAGATAGGTTTCTACCATCTTAAGAATATAGCCAGAGTCCGCCCGTTTCTCTCTCAGGCCAGCACGGAGGTGCTGATGCATGCTTTTATCTCGTGTCGTTTGGATTATTGTAATGCCCTGCTCTCTGGTCTTCCCAAAAAGAACATGCAAAACCTACAATTATTACAAAACTCAGCCGCGCGAGTGCTGACAAGGACCAGAGGGCGGGAGCACATTACTCCTGTCTTAAAATCGCTGCATTGGCTCCCTGTGCGTTTCAGGATCGATTTTAAGGTTCTCCTCCTAATTTTTAAGTGTCTTAATGGTCTTGGGCCGTTTTATTTATCCGAGATACTTTTACCTTATCAACCCTCACGGACCCTGAGGTCCTCTGGAGCTGGTCTCTTAAAAATCCCACAAGTAAAAACTAAGACATACGGGGCGGCGGCATTCAGTTATTATGGCCCCCGATTGTGGAACAGCCTCCCAGAGAGCCTCAGGGCTGCAGAGAATGTTGATATTTTTAAAAAGAGGCTAAAGACTCATCTTTTTAATCAGGCTTTTAATTGACTAGTTTAACTCTTTTAATCCCTTTTATGCTCACTTTTATTGTTTTTCTATTTAACACTTTTTATTACCGTTCTATTTTATTCTTTAATCTATCAATTTTATTGTCATTATTTTTAGTCTGGCGTGTTTTACAGTGCACAGAATCATTTTATTTTACATTATTTACTGGGTCTGTCTTAGCGATTACAGTTTTATTCCTTCAGTTTTAGTTTCTATACTTTTATGTCTTATTTTATTCTTTTAGTCCCTCAGTTTTTCCAGTGTTTCCTCCTGGGGGCTGCTTCACCGGGAGCGGGTTCTGGTCTGTTGGTGGGGGCGCCGTTCTGGGGACAGCTCTGGCCCGGGTGGAACCGGAGAGCTCTACACCTTGGTGCGGAGCCTCCTGTCTGCCCGGGCTGGTGGTCCCTGTGACGGCGCCCCCTGCAGCAGCAATGGGCCAGGATGCCTCCCGGTCGACGTGGCCCCCAAAGGTAGCGTCTTCCTCACCTCAGATCTCAGTGCCAGTCATGTCTCCTCACCATCAGCTGCTAACTGTGTAGATGCGTATGTATGTGAAGTTGTGTGTGTGGAATTGTATGTCTATGTTCACGGGTGTGTGTACGGGTATAATTGTGCGGGTGGGAGGTTTGGGGTTTTCTTGGGGATTTTAATGTTTCATTTTGTTTTTATGCTTTGTAAGGCACTTTGTGTTACAACTTGTAGGAAAAGTGCCATATAAATAAAATAAAGTTGAAGTTGAAAGTTCTGCTGCAGCATAAAACTCTTGGAGATGATGCACACTTTGGTCAATGAAATGAACCACTGACAAAGCATTTCATAGATGGCAGTCATAGATGAGTTTCAGATGATCTGAGGAAGATTAAGAAGGGACATTACAGCCAAACTGATAATCCTGATTGATGTGATGAATAATGAGATCACTGTTAGTGATGGTATTAGTGGGTAAACGAATGCAGAGCATACAGTAGAAGTATCAGTGTTTGCTGCTGATGTAAATCTGAGAAGTCATGCATGGGTTAAGATTAAAACAGTGGCTAGCGTTCCAAACTAATGTCGTATGTGTTCTTTTGCTTTATTTGCATACAATCAGGTGTCTCTAAAATGCTCAGTTGTGCTAAATTACTGTTTTGCATTCTGCTGCACATCATCATGATTCCTCTGTGTGACGATGTTTTACCAGTTATTCAATGGCAGAGATAGTTTGCGAATTTTAGATACATGTTAGATACATAACCCCCTTATATTGTTATATTATGTAATCTAATACTGCAATTAGGCCAGGTTTAGATTATTATTCATGAAGGTTCACAAACTACTTAGGTTTATTCACCTAAATTCTCTTTCAGTTGTGTAACTCTTCTCTGCCCTGCTCTTCTCACTGCACCTGAAGCTGTCGCTGTGCAAATGTTAAAATCGTCAATATACAAACAGCAGTGTGTCCCATCTCATACCCTCTCCCTTATCTGTTGGATCATTTTAGGTTATTCATCAGAAGCACGTTTTATAAATAAAAGGAGTCAGGTTTTGTTAGCATATGTACAGAGGCTGCAGTCCTCGTGCGTAGAGGTTGTGCAGGCTCTCTGCTCTTCACGTTTCCTGTCACTCTTCAGTCGTCCTATTTAATAAAAGCATAAATGTCCAAAAACTTTGAAAAGGATAACAGTAGTAGTAGCTAATTACACAGTACTTTTTAAACAGTGGGGTTAATAGGTTCATATTTTACATGAGACATTGCTCCTCATCAAACAGTGGATTAACAGAGGGGGAATTTCAAAGGACTTCTCTTCAGGTTATCAGACTCAGGGGCGGAGAGTAAGTAGAGAGAGTCTAAATCACTGTTAACGGTAAGTAATCCTAAAATAAGAAGAGAGAGGGCACTCAAATTTACAATGGCCAGCTGAAAATATGCTCAAGCAGCCCACCCAGGTTTTGTCTGTGTGTGGGCAACACTGCATTAATTCACTGATGTCACCCAACAATGCAAACAAAACAGCATGCACTTTGTTCAACCAAATCTGCTCCTGGTCAAGTCAGGAAACTAGGTTTAAGTGATCTGTCTTTAAGATTGACCGAATGGGTTGGCCTTTTGTCACCAATACCTGATCTAGCTTTTTTCAACTGAATCTGGCTTACAAGCCTTACCAAGATTGGAAAGGTGCAGCCCCAGTTGTGATCCACAGGCTGTGGATTAAATAAGTACGTTTCTGTGCACCATTGTTTTGACTAACTTTAAGTTGTCCTCTGTTTTTCTCTTCACCTAGTGAACAACCATGAGCGCACAGGGTGAGGAACTTGTGACCAACGCCAAACTGGCCGAGCAAGCTGAGCGCTATGATGACATGGCTTCTGCAATGAAAACCCTGACGCAGAACGGTAGGGAGCTGTCAAACGAGGAGCGTAACCTGCTGTCAGTGGCCTACAAGAATGTTGTGGGTGCTCGACGCTCTTCATGGCGTGTGGTGTCCAGCATTGAGCAGAAGACAGAGAGCAGTGAAAAGAAGCAGGCCATGGTTAAAGAGTATCGCCAAAAGATTGAGACGGAGCTGAATGACATCTGTAAGGATGTGCTGGTAAGATTGATATTCACACTTGTCTCGATTAAATGATTGGATTTTGTGACTGTGTGAAGTATCTTTGGCTCTTGTTAAGATGGATAGTGACAATTTTTCTGTCCTACCTGATTGTAGAGGTGATACAGTTAACATGATTGAAATGTGTTAAAAAGATAAATAATTTCATTCACATGTTCAAACAGTGGTAAAAAATGTTAAAAATATACTAAAGTTCATGTTTTCTGATAAAAAGGGCTCTTCTCCTTTAAGACCGCAAATGTGTGTGAGATGTTTTGTTGATCTGGAGCCAGGCAGTCAGTGCTTGGGAGCTATAGAAGCAAACAGTTTTCTTACCTGCTCCCGCAAGATTAGTTACACCAAATGTGTTAGCCTGCCACATTCTTTGTCATTTTGTGGTATAATTCTTTCGGTCATGAGAAATAAAACTGAAGATTTTTTATATTTTTTTCTTCCACACAAAAAGCGTTTCCAGAGTGGATTTTTGTTAAATTGTGTAGCTGGGCTAGCTACGGACACTGCCTGTGGAAGTAACTAATTGTAATCCGAGTAAGCCATGGCAAGTTCTCAAGCATCATTTCAAACCTCTGCACTGATGTTAATCTACAACTAAAGCTACGGTCTTTCAGGTTAAGCACTCTGAAACTTGATACTTTTTTTTCTCAAGTCCGTTTTTCCCATGACTTACTTTTGATAACAATATTATTGTGGAAAAATACTGACATACATAGAAGCTGACTTGTGAAGACTAGATTTCAGTTGTCTGATTAGACAGCTGGCTGTTATTTTTCTCTTCACTCAGACTTGCTCTCTCTGTCTGGTGACTCACCAGGTCCTAATCCTTTAATGACAGAAGCAGAGCCACCAGTGATCTGGCTAGCTGGCCTGCACTTCCACAAAATACCCATGGGGCAACCAAAATAGAGAGAGATGACAGAAAAGAGGGCAGAAGAGAGGAGTTGGAGGACACGTATATGGGTGTTAACACCATTGGAGTGTCCCAGTTGCTATAAAAAATATCAGCAGTACCCACGAACCTTTTTAATGCTGACTGTAAATGCTTCTGTATCAGGAAATTTCTATGTCCTACTGGGAAATACTGTTGTTTGTTTCCACCAGTAAGTGTTTCTTATCAGAATTCTTTAGACAAATTTGGCCACAAGTACAAGAATAGGTGTGGTGTGTTTGGGTGTGTGAGAGTATGACAGGGCATGTCAGCGTTCGCCCCGCAGGCTAGGCAGTATTATGGGTTTTCCAAGAGTTTATCTGTTTCTTAACATGTACAAGCAAAATTAGCTAAGAAGCCCTCTCAAATCCTTGTGTCTCAATGTGCAAAATGAAGTCGTTGAAAAGAGTGTATTCCTGTTTTGATAAAATGCAGAAAGTATCACTAAATCAGTTGAAATGGAAGTTTTTGCATTTCTCTTCGGGAAAAAAAAAGTCAGTCCTCAGTGCGTTGACCTTGTACACATCTAAATCATTAAAATGGAACTGAAGGTACTTCTGCTCGAATAAAAGAATCAGCTCACTCTACCCTAACCCCGATATTTATGCTTGGCTGAATGATATATATTCTAAGGCATAATCTCTAATGTTATCCGTAGCCATGGCTTGAAAATGGATGGGTGCTGGTACAAATATTAAGTGTTCAGCCCACTTAGTTGCCTCTTATCAGGTAAGGCCCACAACACAGGCACAGCTAGGCTAGAGGCCTGTTTTGGCTGCAGCTCAACCTGCTGGGCCAGGCTGTAAACTCTACTACCCCATACTCACCCCTGTCAATGAGGGCAGAGTAGAGGCTGCTAATTCTGCCCATTAGAGTTTTCACTTTTCATTGTCATCCTCCAATGTGTGCTGTCAGATCACTATCTATTCTAGAAGAATCTAACCTCCTTACTCACTTTGATCCAGCTGAGCTCTCTTTTTCATTCCTGTCTTGATGTCACAGACAATCGGTTTCCTATAGCATCACAATCATTTATCATTTTCCACATGAATGAATCCCTGCTGCCAGTGTGTTGTTGACAAATATCAGGAGGGAATCGTCATGCTGATTGCTGATCATGAACATTGAGTTCAGATTACTTAACTGTCGCGATTAAAGCAAGTGGCTCATCAGAAGCATTACAAGTTAGCAATGGCTGCCTGTATGGTCGACTATCTGTGCCAATGATCCACTCAACGTGCCATTCTATTTGCGTCACATAACATGAACGCATGTCTAATTGCATCTTTGCATTGACTTTGTATGAAGTTCACTCATGTGAATGATTTTTTTCATACTGGGTGTGAATGCACCATTGGATTCGAACCCTGTGTCAGGGCTCAGGTTAGAGCATGCTATCCCCTGTGGAGTAACCATAGACTGTATATACTATGGACAACTTGGTTCCGCCTACCGCCTGTATACAGATTTGAAGCCAAATAGCTCTCGGTATTTCCGGGATTTTTCTTCATTTCCTGAAACCAGCGCTGCGCAGTAGCAATGCGTGAATTCGGCTGCGCAGTTGCAGAGAGTCGCTGTGATGACGCTCGGCTCAAACAGCGTATCCCCCAAGAGAGCTACACAATCCCTGAATGCCCATAGTTTGTATCAGGTGTCAATCATAGCAAACATGAATCCCCTAATAACTTTTAAAAACGGAGCTTCACAGAAAAAAGAGGACTTGAGCACAAACCAGTCTTACAATAACTACATGTCAACATCACAAGCAGGGGGGAGAAAAATTTATGTTCTGTGTAATAAATTTCTAAAGTTTGTCCACAGCTCTATAAGCTTTGCTGGCGGAGGCGGGATTTATGACCTATACTGCAGCCCATCAACAGAGGGTGCTGTTCTCAGAGTGGCTTCACCCAGCAAGGAGGCAGACTCTGTCCATTCTATATACAGTCTATGGGAGTAACAAGTGTTCCACACAGATCTACGTGCATCTTGTTATATTTAACACCCTCAACACTGGCATGATTTGTGCTTGGGTATAAATTGGTCTCCTTAACATTTCTCTCCCTCTCAAATAAATTTGACATTTGCCCCCTTTTCGTGATTACATCTTAAGCTCACCTATTGTCTTCACAATGATTACATCTCAGATTCTCAGTATCATTTGTAATCCAGAAGGAGTTTCGTGTGATATTTTTCTGTGAAGGAAATGTTCAGTGGTCTTACTTTTCTCTCTTTTTTTTTTTATTGTTATGTTCATGTGTTTGAGCCATTTCAGTCCAGTATTGTGCATTCAGGCTTTCATGATACAGAAGTGCTCTGACTTTGCACATCAGTCAGTCTTAAGAACATACACTTGAGTACTTGGACATCTTAACATCTTTTAGCCGAGCAGTCCCAAGAACATCTTGCTTTAGAGTTTTTTTTTTTGTGTTATTTTTCTTTTTTTTTTTTTGCTTTTATTCTTATTATGATCTTTAAAAATGTGCATTACCTTTTACTGCCTTAATGGTTACTAGTATACTTAACTAGTTGTAAGATTTCACTCTACTTTCAAAAACTTGTTCGAATCAATTCATCAATCAATCTTAATTTATATAGCTCTAATTCACAACAAATGTTATCCCAAGTTGTTAAACAAAAGAACTGGGTTAAACCAGACTCTGTTTACAATGAAAAGAATCAGTGAAAAGACGGGACCAGACTGAGCCCCGTCTTCAACCACATGAGTGAAACACTTTACAGCATTTATCAAGCTACAGTGGAGACGACAACTTCCTTTAACGGACAGAAACCTCGGACAGAACCAGACTGATGTTAGACAGTCACCTACTGAGACTGAACTGGGTTTAGAGAGAGATAGAGAAAGAGAGAGATGGACAGAGACAAACAAAGGTATAAATCAGTCAATAGATTTCTAGGTCATCTAACTATAAGTGATGAGAGAGCTACACATTACAGTTGATGTATTGTACTTTATAACTTTGGAAAAAAAAGTCAGTGCTCATACTTTGCTGCTTCTGTTGTATTTTTTATCCTTCTTCAGGAACTCTTGGATTCATTTCTCATCCCTAAAGCCTCCACACCTGAGAGTCAAGTGTTTTATCAGAAAATGAAGGGAGATTACTACCGTTATTTGGCTGAGGTTGCTTCAGCAGAGGACAAAAAGGATCGTAAGTTGACGTTAAGCTTTTCTTTTTCTCTGTTGTCTGTTGTCTGTTTGTGCGGCCAGAGTCGCGTGTGTGTGTGTGTGTGAGTATGGATGGGAATCCAGAAACCAGGTCTTGTTGAGAACTGGTTCCAAATGGTTCAATCCATCAACATCATTTACATTTCACCTTAACGGTTCCTTTCTTCAAGGTGCCTTGAAAAACGGTCTCACAAGTGCCAGTCTACACGAATGGGAACATAGACAGAGATAAAAATATGGCAGACAGTACGAAAAGTAAGCAGAAACGAGCTAAAGCGTGGCTTATTTTTACTAAGAAAGACGACAACAAGCAGTGATAACATGCAATGGTGGAAACACCAGCAACATGCTTAAACGGGGCACATCATCAAATGCAAGGAGTCACATCTATTGGATGCTCTCTGCTGGTTGTCAGCCGCTGCTGCTCTGTCTCAGCACGGCATGGAAGGTACATATAATAGGGTGACCATATGTCCTCATTTACCTGGACATGTCCTCTGTTGGGGGGCTGTCCGGGGGAAGTTAATAAAATCCTTCAAATGTTCAGAACGTGTATTTGTTTTAGCAAAAGATAAATTAGACAATGAAGAAGTTACTTAATGTTTATGCTCCCCCAGGGAGCAAAAAATAAATTTTCAAGAAACCATTCGAATTGATAGCTTTGGAAACACAAGGAATTCTAATATGTGGTGGTGATCGACAACGGTGGTCCAACTCCAACCAAAATTAGATACATCTGATCAGCACCAAAAGAAAAGTCCAAATGCCATTTTAGTCCAGCAGATGCTTGCAGAGCTGGGTCTGATTGATGTGTGGAGAGTCTCATCCAGGAGAGAAACAATTCACCTATTATTCCCCATGTCGTTCCGTCTATTCTCGAATTGACTATTTATGTATAAATCAGATTGGTACAGAGTCAGGGACTGTAAAATAGGGATTAGGGATATATTTGATCATTCAGGGGTATACTTAACCCTGCACCTGACTAAGCAATGGAAAAATCCACTTTGGAGAATTAATACGGGCATTTTAAATGTCAAAACAGTGCAGAAACAGATTCAACAGGAATTTGAAACATATTTACAAAATAATGATAATGGAGAGGTGTCTCCAAATACTTTATGGGATGCAGCAAAGGTAGTTGTTCGAGGCAAAATTATTGCCCTCACAGCCTTCCGTAAAAAGGAAAGACAGAGAAGACTTCTTGAACTACAAGAAGAAATGAAGTCATTAGAAACTAGACACATGGAACAAAAAGATCCTCAGATATTAACTAAAATAAATAAAATAAAACAGGATGTAAATGGTATATATGATGAAGAAATTGAAAAGCAACTTAAATCTACCAGGCAAAAGTAATATGAGACGGGGCACAGGGCAATGAAACTACTGTCTTGGAGGATTTGAAAACAACATGGGAAAAATTTGATCTAGAAGATTAGAAATCCAAGACACAAAAGGTTTGCAGTGAATCAGAGGACATTTAACATGCCTTTGAACTATATTATAAAGAACTATATACCCAACCGGCCATGTCAGATACCACAACAATAGAGACCTTTCTAAATTCACTAGATTTACCATCTATAGGAGAACAACAAAATAAAGAAATTATGGCTGAGATAACAGAAGAAGAACTGAGCAAAGCCATTTCAAGATTGAAGGCTAATATGGCTCCAGGTTCAGACGGTTATCCGTCTGAATGGTATAAAGCATTTAAACCACAGATAACACCGGTCCTGCTTAACTGTTTTAACCATACACTGAGAACAGGAGTAGCCCCCCAATCATGAAAGGAAGCAGTTATTTCTATCATCCCGAAAGAAGGAAAAGATAAAAAGGAATGTAGCTCATACAGACCAATATCACTCTTGAATGTAGACTATAACCTATTTGCTTCAATTGGACTTGAGAAGCAGGACTTCCCTAGATACCTGCAAGTCAGAGACTATTATAATAAAAAATTACAATTCAAGGAGAAGAAGGAATACAATTTAACCTCCATATTTCATAAGGCATATAAAAAGAAAGAAAATATAAAGTTGGTCTCAAGAATATACGAAAGTATACAAGCCTCTAAAAATCATTCTACTTTATCCAATAAACAAAAATGGAAGAGGGAGTCAGAAATAGAAATATCAGAAGAGACCTGGGTAGAAATATGTGAGAAACAAGCAACCACTGCAAATTCAAGATCTGTAAGAGAGTTCGGCTGGAAGAATGTGGTGAGATTTTTCATAACCCCTAAATTTATAGCACTGCTAACAGACGCACAGAGCTGAGGCTACTGCTGCAGACAATGTGGAACCCCTATGGCTAATCCTTTTCATATTTTTTTGGGCCTGTCCGAAAATTTTTGGAGGGAGGTGTCAACCGAGATAAATAATATTATAGGGGAGGATTTAGATTTTTCTTTTGTTGTTTTATATCTCGGTAAAATCCTGGATACAGTCCTACATAAGGACAGGTACCTGTTGAAGATTCTTTTGGCAAGTGGTAGGAAAACCATAACAAGAAGGTAGTTGCAACCAGATTCTCCAACATTGAACCAGTGGCACGGGATTGTCGAAGAAATTCACTGTATGGAGAGACTTAGTTTTGTTTTAAGACTCCAGTAGGAGAAATGTGTGGAACGCTGGGAAAAATGGACTGGGTATGAATCATGTGACATTTGGCTATGATTTGTGTGTGTGTGTGTGTGTGTGTGTGTGTATGTGTGTGTGTATATACGTATATGTGTATTCATGTATAAAAAAATATTTCCATTTCAACTGTATTACCCATGATATTCGACAGCAGAATCAATAATGGCCTTAATAGCCATAAAATCTTATCAGTTCCCACCCCTATGTGTGAGGCTGTATGTGTGTGTTTTCATGTGATTACAATGTATTGCGTATGTGCATCAGTGTTTTCTAAGCAGGCAGGCTGGCCCTTTAAGAACAAACATCTGCAACTTTTGACATTTGTGAAGTTTGCTTCTTAGTGCTGACCTCAACAATGTAGCTAAATGTACTGCTGGTTATAATCAAGGTCAGCGTTAATTAATTAACACAAATGCCGAACGTAAAGTGAGCAGGGGTGTTGCCAGACACACTCCTGGTCACCCTTGGCCAACTGATTTCTAGCCCTGTAGCCACTCCCTTAATTACAGTGGCTGTTAGCTTTGTCTAAAGTACAAGAGAACCCACGGCAGGAGAAGGGCGTGACGGACATCTTATTGTTAATGGAACAAAAACTACAACACACTACCCCACCCCACCCTCGGCAACCCCCCACCACAAACACACACACACACACACAGTCGTAAAAATGTTTCTCTTGGGTCCGACTCATGATATCCCTCCAAGAGATGAGAAATGTAGAACTGCTTCAGAGGTGTTAGTCACAGGAACCAGGCATGAAGTAGATGTTAGTGTCTGCACCTGAAAAAGAGCATTTTTAAAAATATCTGTTTGGATGATCTCAGACAGTAAATCTTAAGGATGGACATTTTTTTATTTTAAATGACACAATATGGCACATGTTGGGGTCAAACTTTTTCCCCTTTCTCCTTGCAGATTTATTCTCATGCATTTCAGTGACTGCCCCCTTGTGGCTGTTCAGATGCTGAAAATAAATCATATGTTGAGTATTGTATCGTTGGTTTTGTCACATAAGCTACAAAGCCACAGAACTACTTCAAAGGAATGAATGACTTATTTTCATAGAGCTTTTCTTGGTATTTACGGACAACTTGTACATTGTACTGTAAACAAAAGTATTGAAAGTCTTCTGTTAATGGAAGTTTTGTATTTTATTGCTCTTCGTCTTATCTGAGACAGGTTAGATGTTTAAACAATTTCATTACATTAGCTTTTGGAAAGTCCTTATGACAGGGGAGATTTTTCACCTTTCTTACATGTCTGAGGGATGTTTCTATTTTACTTCACTTTAGTAGCGTAGATGAGTAAAATGACATTCCACGAATCAGCACCACATCATAAACGGTTACTTCATCAAAGACTAAAGTAACAGGATTCATGGTATATGACTGTGTTTGCAATAGTCCTGGCTACATGTGTTTTAATGCTTTTTAAAATTGTAGAAAAAATTCCATAACATCTTTTTACTTTTTCTAGTAACTTTTCTGCTGTACAGCTTAAGCTGCACACTTCTCATGCCTTTATTTTTTTTCTTCCTTTCTCAGCCATCGAAAGTTCAAAGAACGCCTATGAGAAGGCCTTTGAAACCAGCAAAGCGGAAATGTCGCCTACACACCCCATCCGCCTTGGTCTTGCTCTGAATTTTTCAGTTTTCTTCTACGAGATTCTCAACTCTCCTGATGAGGCGTGCAAACTTGCTAAAACAGTAAGCTAACAAGTGCCACAGTTTTATCATTTACAAAGTTGTTGCTCATTTCAATGAAAAATGTGTACTGTTTACAAAGAGATAAAACTTGCATTGAAGTATGTGTACACATTGTTCATATGTTGATCAACTTTTGTATCACAAGGTTTTACTCAGTTCACAATGTTTTTGGACCTTACAGGCTTTTGATGATGCCATCGCAGAGCTGGACACTCTGAGTGAAGATTCGTACAAGGACAGTACACTAATCATGCAGCTGCTAAGAGACAACTTGACAGTAAGTTTGCATGAAATTTCTTAAACTAAGCAACTCAAATGTCGTTAGATTGTTGGAGATTATGAGGAAAAAGGACCATCTGTTTTTTAATATTGCAATTTATTACTGGTGATTGGATTTATTGACTCTTGATTACTGTAATAACAATTGACGCATGACCCTGAACTTTTGACAAGCTTAAACATGAGCTTAAAGTAGGTCTCCTGATAGGGCAACAGTGTACCATTAGGAAGTGTTATTTTTCTGGTTGCTGCGACGTGTGCCGTTCTCTTGGATTTCTAATTGGTGGATGTCACTCTTACTTTAATACAGGCCACTCTCTTTGACCCTCCTGTTCTCCTCCCTCCTCTGTTGCTTCTCTTAACCATGAAAAATCCTCCTTTTCTTTTCTCAGCTGTGGACCTCTGACAACCAGGCCGAGGGAGAGGAAATAGAGGAACCTAAAGATTGAGCTAGACCTCAACAGTTATCCCTGCCTACCTGCCATCACTCCAGCCCATCTTTACCTGGATCATCAACAATAAAACCTCCTCATAATTCATCACTGTCATCCATTTGTCTTCATCTTTTTTCTACTGAAGTCTTTCAATTCTCACCTCACTCCTATTGGTTTACTACTCCCTCTTTTGGAGGAAGAAATGGTGGAGGAGATGGGAAAAGGGGATTGGGGTGTGATTGCCTTCTCAGTAGCTGTTGTGGCCTGTAATTTAAAAGAGGAACGAAAGCAAAGATAAAGATGGAGGAGGTAATGGGAACTGGGCGATGAAAGGCAAGGTTTTGTTGAAACACAAGGGTTGCATTCCATGTACTGTCAGATGCTCAACTTCTAACTCTTAATTTTTTGTTTTGTCTTTCGGGTGACCTGCTTTTTTATTTCTATGTTTGACTTACGAGGTATAGATAACGTTGAAGAACAAAAGAGCACGCAAGCTTGGTATTGTTGATGTTTTTATAAGCACAGCAGTAAAAACAAATTCTAATCTTTTTACTGCTCTCTCAAACTAAGATTTTTATTTTTTTTGTATTTTGTTCTTATTTTCCTTTCTCAGTACTCGCCTGAACTGCATGTGGGTAGGAGTAGTTTGTGTGGATGTAAGGGAGGTTGTTGGGCTGGCTAGCTGTGTTCATGTATTGGGGATTTTAAAAGTTAAAAAAATAATCATCCAAGTTTAACTGTTCTTTGGGGAGATTTGTAATTTGATGCAAGAGAAATAAAAAAAAAAAATAATTTAAACTGTATACTTGTCCTTTTGGAGTTATTTCTTTGTACTCTAGGGTATTCATCATCACATTTGTCTTTGGCTGTGATAACTGTACCTTAGTTTCCTCCATAAGTTAGACTTTTAGTACATGGGAGGAAATCAATCTAGCAACCATAACTGCAATCCTCCCATTTTCCTTGACAAAGATTGAGTTACAGGTGGAGACTGGAGCAAACAGAAAAACACACCTATCCATTTCCCTCTGTGAAATAGTTCAAATACATTTTTCACGGTTAAATTCGAGTGTTGAGGTGTTTTCTTGGAGAGCTCTGTGTGGATGGCCATCTGCATACTGGAATAAGGAGGCGGTGTAGAAGCACTATCGTGCCCGCCACAGACACGAGTGGATAAAACATTGCATCAGTTCGTTGGGCGTGATGGAACTCTGCATTCATTCTGTGTACTCGGAACCGGGAGACTTAAACACGTTTCTGAGCCCTGAAATCTGTCTTTGTCTTGATTGCAGTTTTCTCAGTTAAGGTGACATACAGCAGCACGTTTGATACATGCTTGGAAATATGTGGGAAGAAGAAAAAAAAAGGGAATTTAAAAGTCAGGATCTTATCGTTGACAAGAGTCGGACTTAATACATATTTGTCTCAATGAATAAAATGACAAATAAAACAGAAATCATTTGGTGTGACATTTAAATAGAGCTAATTTGATCGGCTTTTCAGAACATATATAAATTATCGCGAGATGTGTGACGTCAGCCATAGTAGTCAACGCACCGTGGTTTCGACAGTAATCGGGAAACAACCTCTACCGACCTTCCTTTCATTCCGGTTATCCGTCTGCGTAGGGTGTGCTCCGGAGCTAGTCTCGGCACACATTTTATTATTATGAAACAAACCAAAAGCTAGAGAGCACACGCAGACATATTTTTATAAGAAAAATAAAAATCGGTGAAGCAGGATTTGATTTGCCAACTCAAGCAACGCTAAGAAGACGACGCTGCCTTCGAAACCGAACGAAAGACGAACCGAGAGGAACGTTAAGCGAGACACGGAGCGAGTCATTGTTGAGAGCGTGGGTGATAAACGTGAGGTAGTTATACTAAACTGTTAGTTTGTCCCCTCTTACGGACTCTGTCACTCTAGTAATCAGCCTAAATTACAACTTAACGTCGAACATTTGTTGTAGTTCAGCGAACTGTTCGACGGTTAGGGAGTAGAAACTGGTTATCAGTTAGGCCACGCTCCGACATTTTGCTAACCGAGCTAACGGGCCCGCGTTGCTAACGGCTAAAGCTGCCTGCGCTTTCAGATTTAAGGAAACCGTTGAAGCGGGAAAGAAGAAACCTTTTCAGTAGATTGGGTGAGATCGCCCCTCAGTAGTCTACCGCATTTAAGTGATTTAAACCTTAAAATCAAGTCGTCAGTCATGAATCCCAGCGCGCCCAGTTACCCCATGGCCTCCCTCTATGTGGGAGACCTGCATCCAGACGTCACTGAAGCCATGCTGTACGAGAAATTCAGCCCGGCTGGGCCCATCCTGTCCATTCGAGTGTGCAGAGACATGATCACCCGCCGGTCCCTCGGCTATGCCTATGTGAACTTCCAGCAGCCTGCTGATGGTATGATCACCCAGACACAGCACAGCTAACACGACGGAGCCGCACCACATGACTCCATTTTGAACATGTGTTGATTTTACCTCGCTTGTTGCCACATTTGAAATTCAGATTATCTGGTTTAACATGTGGAAATATTATGAAGTCTGTATTACTGACTATGTTATACGTAGTATGATCTTTCGACGTCGTATTATACAATTGAAACAATATGGTATAACAGTATACTCAAACTGTACAGTACTGATCGAACTTGAACTGGTGAATTTATTACTCTTTTGACCTGTCTGCAGCTGAACGAGCCTTGGACACCATGAACTTTGACGTGATCAAGGGCAGGCCCCTCCGCATCATGTGGTCTCAACGAGACCCCTCCTTGCGGAAGAGTGGGGTTGGGAACATCTTCATCAAGAACCTGGACAAGTCCATCGATAATAAGGCCCTCTACGACACCTTCTCTGCCTTTGGAAATATTCTTTCCTGCAAAGTAGGCGGGGCACATTCCTTATGTAGACTTTGTGTTTGAGTGCTTTACAAACATACCACTACTTTGCATGACTCAAGAGTGCTATAGGTTGAACTGAATGTGTGATTTGAGTATTTAAATGCATGGGTTTGAGATTGTTTTTGACATGCTCAAATTTCCTCCTTCTAAGGTGGTTTGTGATGAAAATGGCTCAAAGGGTTACGGCTTTGTGCACTTTGAGACCCACGAGGCTGCTGAGCGGGCCATTGAAAAAATGAATGGCATGTTGCTCAATGACAGAAAAGTGTAAGTCTAACTACTACACGTCTACATTAACTGGTGTCTTGTGTTATCTAATCAAGGTTTGTGTGCAACTGCATTAGTCAGTAATACTGTGTGGTTTTGTTTTTTTTGCAGCTTAACTGGAACATTAGAATCCTAGATAATAAGGCTAGGTTTGGACCATCACACAGCCTTACATTAAGGGCACATGATAATCATGCTGAGTGTGTGCTGTCCTGAATTAAATAAAGAGGCACAGGATCTTGTAAACATTGTGCATTGCACCCCTGGATGCATGGTGTGGAGCGGAACATAAATAGTTAGTGTTTTAGATTGACTGAATGAGAAACCCTCTCTGCCTGCTCTCCATAGGAGATTAATCTTGGTCCTGTGTGCAATGTGAAGAAATGCCTTAAAGATGGGTGTAACTACCTGGATTGCATTACTTAAGTAAAACATGCTGATAGCTTAAACATCTGTTAGGAGAGTAGAATATATATATAAGTTTAGACAATACTTGCGATCCAGGTTCTTTTTTGTATAGAAACATCCTGGAAAAGTCTGACGTTCAAGTTTTGCAAACATTTGTTTCTCTATAAATTTGCTTTCTAACATCTTCACTCCACCAACAGATTTGTTGGACGTTTCAAATCTCGTAAAGAGAGAGAAGCTGAGCTTGGGGCCCGTGCTAGAGAGTTTACCAACGTGTATATCAAGAACTTTGGGGAGGACATGGATGATGAGAAGCTGAAGGAGCTATTTGGTAAATATGGTAAGACAATAATAAAAAATTGTTCCCTGATTTTTTTTTTTTTTGATTTAAAACTCCCCAATTCAACAACTGGATCCTTCACCCCTGAAATGTGTTTAATGTGTTCATGAGCTGTTACATTTTTTTTTAGGGCCAGCACTCAGTATCCGAGTCATGACTGATGAGAGCGGCAAATCAAAAGGTTTCGGCTTTGTGAGCTTTGAAAGACATGAGGATGCACAAAAGGTCAGTGTTGTGGCCTAAATGTTGATTTGGGTCATAAATTTTTCTCAGACTATTATTATATCTCTGACTTTGACTCTCAATAAACAATGGGCTGGTGCTCCATTGCTCATCTAACTGCAGGCTGTGGATGACATGAATGGAAAAGAACTGAATGGCAGGCAGGTGTACGTGGGCCGTGCACAGAAGAAAGGGGAGCGCCAGAATGAGCTGAAGCGCAAATTTGAGCAGATGAAACAGGATCGCATGACCAGATACCAGGTTTGTTGGCCCCCCACTGTGATAAATGTACTCCTATTTTCAGCTGAGTATAGCTGTCAGTGCACTGATGTGGACCCTCTAATTCATCCTGCATTGATGCATGGTATTGAGAGACTGATTTCATATCAAGTGAGTAGAGTCAGTCGCTCTCTGAGAGGGTTTGTTTGGTATAACACACAAACAACACAAATTCAAATAATGACTAGGAACAGAACAAGGGAACAGAACTAGAATGTGAACTGAATGGATTTGCCAATATAATAATGGTGCTGGTCTTCTTGCCTTGGTTATGAGGGAACATGCAAGGATTGATGTTATGAAGTATACAAATGATGTCAGGCTGATTATCTGAATGTGAGCACCTAGGGCCATCATCTGATCACACAGGGGACATATTGAAACAGTATAAATGACCTCTGAGACCCTGTAACTATGCTTAGGCCCCCTGTCTTTACCCCTCAGCACCCTCAATCATAAGCATTCATCGTACATTTTCAAGTACTGTCTTAAGTATTGATACAGACTGGTGGCATTGTTGCATATCATAGAGATTTCAACTTCTGAGAGTCGTGGCCTTCTTTTTAAAGTAACTGAACCCTAAATAGCACAGTTGGACGGTAACAACGTGACAGATGGGAGTTAGATCAGAAGTGCACCACTTAAGGAATTCTTTGGGAGTATAACTGTCAGCTGAAACCGAAACCTTAATTAAACAAATGAACTCACACGTACAAAAAACAAATGGTTCCACACGACTTACCTCGGACTATACCAAACTCCACCGGCCGATCAAGGAGAAAGCTTTGAGCCATTAATTTGTACAGATCCTTTCAAAGCCTTTGTGGTTTATTTTAACCTTTTTGAACAGTGGATATGCAACATGTATTACGGTGCTCCACCCTTTAATTGATTGAGACACGAGAAAGAATCCACATGTTTACAGTGCACCCTGATGTGTGAATCATCAAAAATGTTTTTTTTTTTCTTTCCCTGTAGTCTGATCTCTCTTGGGTTACTTTAGGGATTGTCATCTCTGTTTTTTTGCAATGTATGACGGTCCCATGTCATTTTCCCTTCCTCAGGGTGTAAACCTGTATGTGAAAAACCTAGATGATGGTCTTGATGATGAACGTCTGCGCAAAGAGTTCTCTCCATTTGGAACCATCACAAGTGCTAAGGTAAAGACTTGTGTTCCTGCTAATGAAATTTGTGAACGTGTAATAACTGGATTTCTTCAAGTGTATCATTTGTTAGTATCATGATGGCTATTGGGATAATGCTGTCTGTTTATTCTTCCATAGGTAATGATGGAGGGTGGACGCAGCAAAGGCTTTGGCTTTGTGTGCTTCTCTTCCCCGGAGGAGGCCACTAAAGCAGTAACAGAGATGAATGGCCGTATTGTTGCCACTAAGCCACTTTATGTGGCCCTGGCCCAGCGCAAAGAGGAACGTCAGGCCCACCTTACCAATCAATATATGCAGAGGATGGCCACTGTCCGTGCGGTGCCCAACCCTGTGCTGAACCCATATCAGCCTGCTCCACCTTCAGGCTACTTCATGGCAGCCATTCCTCAGGTGATAACATATTCTTTAGTCCTTGTTTTGTTTTATGAGGATGAATAAATAGAAAATGTTTGTAGTAACTCTGTTGAAGAGACCTTAAAATCTTTGTCCTTAACCTTCTCAGGCCCAAAACCGTGCTGCATACTACTCTGCAAACCAACTGGCCCAGCTCCGCCCCAGCCCCCGTTGGGCCACTCAAGGAGTGCGTCCTCAGCGTAAGCACGCCCATTTAATTTCATACTTGGTTGCTTTGATCCTTTAAACTTGCACCTTCTGCATAGTTGACATTAAATGATTGAAAATCGCACTTCTTCACTTCAGACCAATAAAATTGTTTTCCCTCCATTGTAGACTTCCAAAACATGCCCAATGCCATGCGCCCATCAGCCCCAAGGCCTCAGGCCTTCAACACCATCCGTCCCACCACCACCACCAACACCCAGGTCCCACGCATGATGGCTTCCCAGCGTATGCGTAAGTGTTTCATCTTCAAATACAGTTTTTCAGAATCATTTATTAATGGCCCCGCGACAGAGTTCGTGGAATTTGTTTTTCGGTACAGCTCATCATGCTCACATTAAGAAATAAAAAAAAATGCAACAACACAATAATACAGTTTTTGTTAACTGTCATTGCTCTTTTGATTCATGATGCAACTTCGTGTTTGCCTTCCATACCACAGCCACCCAAGCCCTCAGCCAACGTCCTACTGGTGCTTCAGCCACCGCTGCTCCAGTGCGTGCCATGCCCCAGTACAAGTATGCTGCTGGTGTGCGCAACCCTCAGCAGCACATGGCCTCCCAGCCACAGGTCACCATGCAGCAGGTAAGTTTGACTTTGCAGCCATTGTTCCAGACATTGACAACATGGACATCACTCAATAACAAATACAAATTAGTTTTTTTCATATTTCCAAAAGATGGAATGTGTAGGAAAACTGACTGCCCCCACACAAGCTGATTCTTGAAAGCACATGACAGTGCTTTGTTTGTCTATACTAGGGGTCGGCAACCCGCGGCTCTGGAGCCGCATGCGGCTCTTTCTTCCCTAAGCTGCGGCTCCCAATGGATTTGGAAAATAAATAATAAATACTTAATTGCATTTTATTTTATTATTATTATTATTTTTTGTAATTCTAAATTCAAAGATTATAATGCTCTTGTAACATTAAATAAACTATTAAGGCTGCAACAACGAATCGATTAAGTAGATTCGTCGTGACGAAAAAATCCGTTGCCAACAAATTCTGTAATCAACTCGTCGGGTCTTTATATATGTCCATGGACACCGGCGTGTAAACATAAGCAGGACGCACAGAAAAGAAACAGCCATGGCCGAGGCAGCGGCTGAGAAAAACATGGACACAACCCAACCCAAATCCTGACCTAAAACATCAGTGGTGTGGGAAAACTTCACCAAGACTGAAAAGGAAGGCGTTCAGTGCAACATTTGCAAAGACCGTTGTGCATGGCTCGGGAGTACATCGATGATGCGTGAGCACAGGGCTCTCAAGTCTCACGCATTCAGCGTATGACACACGCATTCCCACTCGTTCACACGCTCACACACCACACAGTGTATTCCTCACGCATTTAAATGAACACGGTGATGTCCACCAAGTTGCACTTCTTCAACTTTGGAACTGGGGGAAATCAACTGAGTTCCTCCGAGAGTTCAGAAGCTGCGTGCCACGCACAAGCCAATCAAATAAAGTATATCTACTGAACAGCCAATCAAAAAGCAGCATTGCTGTATCCGGGTAGATTTTGATATCTTGCGGTTTAACTACAGAAGAAGACAGACACTCGCCGAAATAGTTCATTTATTTCATAAATGCAACTCGCTACAGTTTTTTATATACTTTGTATAAAGGTAAAAAAAAAGATATATGCAATGTTATCTTCATTTTAGATGTCAAAGAGGTTTTGTGGCTCCCTGTGTTTTCTTTTCTGTGGGAAACTGGTCCAAGTGGCTCTTTGAGTGTTTAAGGTTGCCGACCCCTGGTCTATACTTACAAGTGCCTATCATTAGTTATAACTTTTGATGACCAGATTCGGTTCTGGACGTATCTAGTGTGTTTGAGGAGAGACTCAGCCTGCACACCACAACATGGAGACCATTTCCTTACACTTATTGACCACAAGATCAGAGCAAAAAACTGCTTTAAAGACTGACATATAGCAAATTTACAACCAGGTTTAGCAAGTGTCTGTGTCAATGATCATAATTAGAGAAGGACTCAACACCACATTCACGTTTGCATTCCTCTGTTAGTTTGTTATTTAGCTGTAGATTGTTGTAGCTTCTCGAAAGCCGTTTTGCTGTCAGTCCATTTGAAGCTGGTTTTCTGGAGTGTCCCTGATTCCCCTTTGTTTTTGTGCTTTTGCCCTCAGCCTGCTGTCCATGTCCAAGGACAGGAGCCCCTGACTGCTTCAATGCTGGCTGCTGCCCCTCCTCAGGAACAGAAGCAGATGCTGGGTTAGTATTTCATTTGTTGGATGTACAAAGAGCCATAATTAACAGAACAAGCCAGCAGAATTGTCTGTCGTGACTTGTGGTCAGCCATTATCATTTTTTTAATGGCCAGGAGTCAATTGAGATTGTAGAAAGCAGGTTGGCCTATTGTCTGGATATAATGCATGTATAGCTAATTTCACTTTAGGGTTTGAAGAAACACATAATTTCATCATAAGGCTCAGTATTAAGAAGATGCCTGGTTAGCCGGTGACATTCATTAATGGGAATTTTTTTAAACCTAAAATACCTGAAATATGAAATACATTAGTTTATGATTAAATTCAGGATTTAACTGGCATTTGGGTGAAGCAATTGTATGCTTACCCATGTATGTATGTATGTGAGTGTAGGCTGAGGCTGAGTACTTCAATATACCATTAATCGTCCTGACCAATCAGTCTAAAATTGACTATTAATGACTCCTATCCAGCACATTTTGTGCAGTCTAGAGGGCATGGCTAATAGTTTCTGATACCTGTCTTTTTTTCTTCTGACAGGTGAGCGTCTGTTCCCACTGATTCAGAACATGCATCCCAGCCTTGCAGGCAAAATCACAGGTATGCTGCTGGAGATCGACAACTCAGAACTTCTCCATATGCTGGAGTCTCCTGAGTCCCTGCGCTCAAAGGTCAGTTAATGGCTTATTTAATATGCATATTTTTGGACGAGATTCAAATTTCATTTTAAACCTTTATAAAATGATGCTGGATGCAAGCAGAATCAGCACAAAGAGAAACTCAGAATACTTGTTGTAGTCTGATCATACTGCTTGAATGAGTTGCATGGAAAAAACTTTATCTGTCTGTTGTTTCAGGTGGATGAGGCTGTTGCTGTGCTTCAGGCCCACCAGGCCAAAGAGGCTGCTCAGAAGTCCACCACCCCTGCTGGTGTTCCCAGTGTCTAAGGTATGATGAGGTCACATTAAAAGACACAAGTATAAAAGCACACTGTGGGCATAATTATAAACTGTGATGTTTTATCTTACAGATTGCGCATTTTGAAACCTGCTTCACCGATGGAAAAAGAAAAAAAAATTAAACATTGAAAAACCTAAAACTCTGAAAACATCGCAAAATGATAAATCATTTCTTAAAAAAAGAAGAAAACAATTGACTTTGCCAGGTCTAGGAACGGTTTGACTAGACCTTGATCATAAATAAAAATTTGTTTAAAAAAAAAAAGCAAAATATAGAAAATCAAATTATAAATTTGAATGCATTCCTGTTTTATGTCATTTTACTGTGTCAGTGCTCTGATTATCAGCCATGTTTAGGAAGGTGATCACTGAGCATTTTGAGAGGTGATTTGTATTGTAAACTGGCTGTAATAAATTCTCATTCAATACCTATGTGTCTGTTTTTTTTTTTTTTTTTGTCTTAAGGTAACTGTCCTGTCAATTTGACCTTACATGAAAGGTAATAGTTGTTACATTTGCCGAATCAGCCTTTGTTTAGATTATGATGCCTGTCTGTGATGGTTCGACATGCTTTCACTGTTTAGTATACATGATGTGCTTTAGGGCCGGCGTTAGGCAAGTCAGCACCCCTCAGAACAACAAACAAACATTTGCATCATTGACAGGAAGCTGGACTGCTATGTGCCGCTTGGATGGTTTGGGTTATCTGGGTCAGATTTCTAAGAATTTTTTTTTTCCCCAGAGATAAATTTGGGATGAGGGTCTCTGGGTAAAAAACGTGCCTGTTTTGTTCCCCTGATATCAAATGACTTCCTTGTGCGCAAATGTGTTTTTGCTTGAATATCTACATGTATGTAATAGTGTTTTTGGTTGTAGCTTTAATGCTGTAAGCTTTTGTGGAACCTTGTCTTCAGATGTACACGTGAACATAATTATTGTGCGTACACTGCATCTTGCAGCTTTATTTTCTCAAGAATCCTCAGCTCCAGGATTCTCATCACATGATTGACAGTCTTGAAAAAAAGTGGTTGGCTGACCCACTCTGCTAACCGGAGGGACATGAAATGGAAGTAAAATTACAAAACTAACAGTAAAGGATTTTGTTAGGCTCTAGCAAACTCCTTCACCCAAAACCAAAGACCAACATGAGGTAAAAGCTGTCTCCACTTTTTATGTGTGGATTTAATAGTCAATGTGGCCATGCAAAATCAAGACAACTGCAATTCCAAAACAAATCATAGAGGCCATAATTCAGTATGAACATGTCTGTCCTGCTGGACAGCTTTGGGCCACTGGTTGACTGCTTTCCTGAAATGTAAGGCTTTGCATGTTAGCAGCATAAGGCCTCACTAACATGGACAGGAGGCTGTGCAGTATAGAAGAAGTCCTTCAAAGCATAATGCCTGCATACTGCTGTCATCTGCCCTCTCCACCCAGCCTGTGCATGGACCACAAAGGAGCTTTGACTCAGCATTGAAGAAAAGTCAGACAGCATAGACAGCATTTCTGATACATCAACTCCCAACAGGAATGCATGTCAATAGGTAAAGCAAAGCAGGAGGGCTGTGAGTGTTAACTCTGCCCTGTGATACCCACTGTTCTCCCCCTTTTTAACATTTATTCTTTCACTTATTTTCAACTGTTAAACAATCCATCAGCTCGAGCACCTGAAACAATTTAATAACATTTGTTGCAGGTTACAGAAGTTCAAAGTTTGAACTTCACATGCTCATACTAAGCTTTTTATCAGCTGTTCTGATCATGCTGATAACTGAGATGGGTTTGTTGCCTTGTCCACAAGATAAGCCTATCTCACAGTCAACCCAAGTTTAAATGTTGGACAGATGACCAGAAAGTCACAAGACGAAATCAAGTAATCAATCAAGTGTGTATGTTGAACCATCACAGTCTCATATTCAAAGGCAGCGCATGTATAAATCTGGTTTATCACCACTGTCAAAACAACAATATAAATCTGACAGGTTATATGTGTGATGTTACCTCTTTCAGCAGATTATATCCATGTTAAAATCTGTATTCGTCTGCTTAAACTGATGTTAGGCCCCCTTTTTAATCAGGTCCTAAAAAATAAAACAAAGAGAAGCGACATCTTTGATCTCTCGTTTGGGGTTATTTTTCTTTTTGATGCTGACCATGCCCTTATCTGCAGATTTTAAGCTGTGGTTTTTGACTATGCTTCCACTGCAGTCTCAACACCAACTGCTTTGACTTGAACTTGTTGAATGGTAAGTGTCAGGTTTGAATGGCTCATTTGCACTGTGGTAGTGTTTTATCCTGAAGGACTGCCTTGGGCCATGACAGGACTCAGTCTGATATCTTTTCATGGGGTCCAGATCTTCTAGCAGCACCCCTGTGCATGTATTAAACATCAGAGACATGACCCAAGACAACATATAAACAAGATGCTCTTTATGTTGCCTGTCTTAGAAACATTGTCGTGGATCTAACTACAGCATTTATCTGATGGAAGTGCATCAAAAGACTCTCCGCGCCTTCTTCCCTCTTTGCATCTCCCAAAATTTCTGTCTTTCCATGACCTCATGGTTTTGCATCAGACACACTGATGAGACGCCCAGCCCCTCCCCGAGCTTTTAGCATGGTTAAGCCTTTAAAACCCAAGTTCAAAGTCTCGCGATACGATTTGAATTTGCGAGCTGGAACGAGAGCAGGGAACAACAGAGCGAGCACAGTGGGAGCTGTTGTCGTCCGAAACGGAAAGGAAAGGTGGGACCGAAGACGGGGGGAAATAAGTGCCAACAGCAGTGGGAAAGTAACTCGAGGCACCCTACCAAAATCACTTTGGAAAGCAGGACCAGACGTTAAGTGATTTCTTACTGTCCGCAGAGCAAGTGCCACGGGCAACAGACGGTACGTTCTCATCGCTCCGAGCTAACCCTGCTAGCCAGCTGCTGACGCTCACTGTGTTTGGCTGTTAGCTAGCTGGCAGTCTGGTTACCCTTAGTAAAGAAAGCTGAAAATATGAAACCTATGAAAATACTGCATCATTTGTTCACTCTTTGTCAGTGTCATGTGTTTTAATATGTGTCATAACATTTGAAGGTGACGGTCGGTATTTGTGGGGTATCGTTTACGGACACTGATCCCCGCAGCTCAACAATCCACCAGGCTGACACTGTTCAGGAGTCTAAAATGTAGAAAACATAACACTAACTTTCTGACGTTATTTTAAATATCTTTAAACATAATAACTCCAAGCTCTTCGCAGTATGTAGATAGCAGTTGTTAGGCCCTGGTTTGTAGTGTTCCTGAGACGTGGATTTTCCTTTTCCTATGGTTAAGAATTACAGCTGTCTCTAGACTCAAGTCTGGGTACTGGTCAGCATGGCTAACGAAAACCACTAAGACTGGAGCAGAAAGAATCATTTCTAAAGGCAGTGTAGTGTTATATGTATCACACATGTGTCAGGCTGAGAAATGTCTGACACTTTTGGAGCTAAGAAACAGCTCGATTCTGCAGCTGTATTCACTTTCGTTTTGTGAAAAAATATAGCTATTCACTGAGCTTTTCGATTTCTGTATCAAGTGGTTTATAAGTGCTATCCAGATGCTTTTGTCACAACCTTTCTTACAACACAGGGACAGAAAACAGAGCCCACCATCCAGCATAGTCAGTAATCAAACATGGCATGCAGATTTGATTTGCAGCCTTGAGGGCTTGAAAACTAGACATATAACTTGTCACAAAGCTATTGATCACATACTGGTAACACTAGGTTTTAGGTGTCAGAGAACTCCTTATGTTAACCCTGATTAATTAATTATGCATCTCAGTGAACATCAATTAAAAATTAACCCACAAAGTCCGTAACAGATGTTATACTAACAAAAGTCCTGCGCCCTAACCTGTGGAAACTTAGTGTCTGTGTTTGAGCTGCTGAAGAAGACTATGTTTTTCTAGTGAAAGTACAGTTTTTACAGTTTGCAAGAAAGTGGAAATTTGTTCCTCCACCTCCATTTGAGAGTTTTGTTAAAATCTTGTCATGCTTATCACCTGTACTGTAAGACTGAACACTTATTGTTTTGGGGTAAGCTGTCAAAACAGTTATCCCACTAACTGTGCCTGACATGACAAAGCAGTGTCTGAGATTTTACAGCCAGCAGTTTGTGGGAAGGGAACCTTTTTCTAGAGTGGGGTTTGTTTACTGTCACGTAACATCTCCAGGGGTGTATAAAGTTGCATTTGATCTCTACATTTCTGCATTTTTTTATTTTCCACAAATGTGAGTGGCAAAATAGGACAAAAATAGCAGGAAAGTATACAAAACCTGTGACAATCCAAAATGAAAATCCTAAACTGAATATGCTTTATCATTTACTGACCAAGTGAATTATTTCTGTATTCAACAGCTACATCTGGTTGGCAGAAGCCAGAGAAAGGGGCATGGAAAGAGGATGGAAAGCACTGGGAACTTTGAATGGGCTAATCCAGAGAAGTTTTTAGCATGAACTGTTTAATTTCCCACATTTTTGGGGTATTTTGTTTAATTTTGAAAACTTCTCATGCACCTGTAATCTATTACTTAAAGGTGGGGTAGGCATGATTTGTGGTGTTGCCAGTTTTGGAGAGAAATCTTGATTGTAAGCCATAGACTGTATATACTCTGGACAACTTGGTTCCCGCCTGTATACAGATTTGAAGCCAAAAAGCCCTCGGTATTTCTCAGATTTTTCTTCATTTCCTGAAACCAGCGCTGCGCAGTAGCGTTGTGTGCATTCGACGGGAGAGTCGCTGTGGCTCAAACAGCGTATCCCCCAGGTGAGCTACGCAATCCCTGAACGCCAATAGGCTGTATCAGGTGTCAATCATAGAAAACCTGAACCCCCTAATAACTTTTAAAAACGGAGCTTCACAGAAAAAAAGAGGACTTGAGCACAAACCAGTCTTACTGTAACTACATGTCAACATCGCAAGCAGGGGGGAGAAAAATTTATGTTCTTTGTGATAAATTTCTAAAGTTTGTCCACAGCTCCATAAGCTTTACTGGCGGGATTTATGACCTATACTGCAGCGCGTCAACAGAGGGTGCTGTTCTCCGAGTGGCTTCACCCAGCAAATTCAGATATAATGCATATAAATACTTCAGATGATTACAAGTGGAGCCCAGTCAACATGAAAGTAAAAAGCATCGGTGCTACTGTAGATGCCAACAGACTACCATCAAACACAATGTTTGCAGGACTTCTACAACTAGGATTAAGTGATATAGTCCAGGACCCGAGGTAAACAGTTTAGCGGCGCTACAACATGCAGCAGGTCCCATTTGACAAGAAACACTTCTGTTACAGACACTTGGCTTACTTTGTTAAAGCAGTTTACCTGTCCAACAGAAAGTTTCCAGAGTCTGTAAGATCCCAAAGCCCCCCCCATTGTTTAATCATTGATGTTGACCTGGCTTTTCAGCTGTTGTCCAGTCTACCTCCTTTTAAATCGCCCGCTGTTCCGCCAGAGTCTTGTTTTCTTGCTTGTGTTGGCAGTCGTAGCCAAAGGAGGATTCAGACAATTTTCTGTACTTTCTGGTTGGTTTGTACTGTCCAATATTGTCACACGCTAACTCTGTTTGGGCTCATAAACGACACGGGGTAGTAGCGTCCGCCTCACAACAAGTCGGGTTGGGGGAGGCGGAGAACGGCTTTGTGTACAGTCAGAAAGAGCAGGCCGCTCAAAAATTCAAAATGTTGACTACACAGACATGACAAAACAGCCATATCGTTATATTCCCAAATGTCATCAATAAATAATATTTATTGACTGATATTAAAATCTTTTTGTTTATACACCACAAAAAAAGATGCTTCTTTGACGGAATCCAGCCTACCCCACCTTTAAGTGATGAATAGATCCATTTTAACTCATGACCAGTCAGACTGTTTGACCCAGCACAACACCATTACATTACTTTCTTTATATTTTACGCAACAGCAAAAATAACAACGAAGACAAACTTTTAAAAATTTTACAGTTGGGCCTTTTAGTTCTATCCCTACAGATAGTAGACAAGGGAGAGGGCAGGGAATGACATTCAGGAAAGAGGGCACAGAGTGAAATTGAACCTGGGTTGCTGGTTGGGGTGTGCCAAGTACATTAAGCTATTGGTGTCCCCAAAAATACAAAGTTGGATACAGAGTAAGATACATTTTTTTCCTATACATTCAGTGAGGGCAGCACAATGGAGTTTTGACCTCATTTTACTTGTGGTCCAGTGGCAATAGAATAGTCACTATAGTTACTCTCACTCGCCTGCCTGTGACCACGCAGTGTGAGAAAACAGAGGCTTAAAGGCCATGCAACCAGCAGTGTTTTTCATTCCATCTCCATTGAGAATTACATTGCAATGTCCTGATTAACCTGAACTATCCCTCAATGGAAAGTAGAAGTAGCTGGGGTTTGACAGTTGTGGAGTCACCAGAATGTTAACAAGTGGCACTGGATGACAATCTGCTGTCACTGGAATCAAACAACTGGAGGAGAATGGATGAACAGTGTTTCAATAATTACAAAAGTGCTTTAAATTTAGTGGAAAAACTCAAAACTATGACTGAAATACATTTAAATGTATCTGTTGTTGTCACAACTGTCCATTGAATTATATCTTCAACTAGTTGTTGGACAAGTTGCATGATCAGTGGGATTTGGAGGTCTCCTAGAAATTGTTCAGCTACAGATGCTATTTTCCAGCATCTCTTCCTGCCTTTTGTTTTGTTTTATTTTCTAAACTCTTTGTTTGAATGGAGAACCTTTTACATTGTTGGTAAATGTGTTCATGTGAATACTTTGAAAAGCATGTGTCCTTGCGGAGCTCAGATAGAGCAGAAGCACAACAGAGTTTCTAAAGCTGTAGCTGTGCACAAGAGCAGTTTGAGTGTAGAGATTATTGTAGAGATTATTTCACGTGTCGTTCCAAATGACATTACTGGATTTATATTGTGTTTTATGTGCTGTAAATTTACCTGTCTGGCCTTTTATGTGGGAAATACTAAGCAGGGTACAAATCTGTTCTCATTTCGCTCTAAAAGTGGGCTGTGTTTATGTTTATCAGATTGACGTTATGTTACATAAGTCATGTGAAATGGCAGTCTTGCATCAGACATCAGTTATTGATTGAACTGATTTGATACTGGCACTGATAGGCTATCTAATAAGATAGAAAAGGTGAAGTAATCTAAAATTGTTATTGTTTTTTCATACTTCGAGCACACTATTTAGCTTATTTAACTTCCTTCTAGTATCCAAATGTATTACAGAAAGGAATTGTTGGTGTCTCTAAATTACATAGACAGCTGCTAGCTATGATGTCACCCAGGTCTCCTCTATTGTTATTTCCTAATTTATTCCACAACCGTGTGATATTATTTCCACATGATGATAGGTGGATACACAGCTGGGAGCATTCACTCATTCACACCACGTTTATACATAATGTAAAGCACCTATCAGTATTAACTCATCCCATTCACACATGGAGGGCACAATACCAGGGGCAGTTATGGTGTTTAGGTGTGCTGAGGCACCACCGGATCGAACTCTCACTTGCAAATTGTGCTTTGGAGGAGGCAAAAAACTAGAGCACAGGACCATGGAAGGCACTGACCTCTGACCTCTGCAATACTCTCACTTATATCTTCCTCCAGCCTCAACAATCTGACATAAAAATACACACATGCACATACAGAACTCACTCTCCTAACAGTAATTCAAACAGATGTGACAGCTTATAAGAATTTTTCATGACAGTGCTGCTATTACACAGCAGCTATTTTACAAAGTGTTTCTCTCTGCGTGCTCACATACTGTACGTTTATTTAGACCTGCCTCTTATAGTGACAGAGTTTATAACTGATACTCACGCTGAGTTATTCTTCTCCAGCCTCATGCTGTCTGAGCCCTTTGCTCTCAGCTGAGCCAAAATGCCAGGATGCTTACCTCATTTCCTCTCCTCTTGTGTAAAGTGAGGTAATAAAAAGGGCAAGTCTTCAAGGAGCAGTCAGCTAAAAAACTGTACCCTTGCTCCCTTGGTTGGGAGAAGAGAGTACAGTATACAGTTAAGTGCAGTATACGTATACACAGTCTATTGTTGGGAGTCTCCTGTTCCTATCTTTGTTCATTGAGCACTATCTTCTCTGTTCACACTGCGGTAAAGGGTTGTTTTGCACCAAATTAAAGCCTGTGTATCTCATAGGATCAAACCCAGATACTCCTCCAGTAGTTGATCAATCAAACTTTCCAATGTGTTCACCAAAGGCGTGTTTCAAGGGTCTGTGTCATTTAACCGCTGCAACCAACCACACCCTCAGTTTCAGCTTGCACCACACTGTGCTGACAAGGGAGGAACAGTGTTTGACTTTGATCCAACATCAGTCAATAGCTGCTATGCTCTCCTGCCTGGAGGTTGCTCTGTGTTTATTCATTATGTGGTGGAAGCTTTGCTAATGCAGTCACTGTCCCATAGCCGCATAGAATCCCAGGAATGTGCATGGAAGCAGTATTACACAGGAGTCAGGCAGACCAGGAATGCAGAATGAGTGATACTGACTAGCTAATGACACTGGGTTAGCTACTTCATGACTTGTCATTCACACTTGTCTGTCTGTCTGTCTGACACCCCCCCTCCCATCTCTGTACATATCTGTCTGTTTAATCCCGTCTTGTCCCTGCTTGTTTAGTACTTTAGCTCTTATTCTAAATCTCTGGCTGTTAAGGATATCCTGATCCACTTTTTTGGCTTTTATTGTTCTTTTTTTAACACATCAGTTGACAATATTATCCGACCAGGACCACCTTAAACTGTACTGGGGAGGCATTGATCCAGTGTGCATTGAAACAGATTGAAACAGACATCAGTGCCCTTAATACGTATTGTAAAACTAACAGTAGTCAGTCACATCATGTTTTAGATCTCCCACTCTTCGCTCCAACAATGTTACAGAATCACTCATTTCACTGTTTCACATTTCTGTAAGACCTCTGTGCCAGGCAGCATTACTGATAGTTTCCTTTACCCCATGGAAGTATCCCCCCAAACATTACCATGCACTGCATTCCACCATTAACACAACTTCCTGTTTAGACTGTGGGTTAAATTTAGAATTTCAGGTCTAATTATTAACTGAGAGGAACAAAGGGCATTTCTCCGCACTGCTGGGATCAGGGTGGCGCTCTCACTTCTGTTTGACTGTCAGACTCCAGCAGGCTGCAGGTGTACCTGTCTTACACCAGGGAAAGTGAGTTTTAGGTATGGAGAGGTTTAGGTATCCTGGTTAGACCAGCTCTCATCTTGAGTGCTGCTCTTATGGGAATAATATTTAACCATTGTGTCCACATATTGGGGAATGCAAAGTGGCTGCACTGCTGTGGCAAAATCAGTAGGATTGATTGATTAATTAGGGCCACAGGGCAAACGCACCAAGGCACTGGCCCCTGTACAAAAAATATAGAGGCCAGTGCTATTCTGTGAATTTTTTCGTACTCTCCTCTAGAAATTTCAATTCCCTACTAATCCTACAGCTTTTTCTTGACATTTGACTACCTCAGCTTGTGGCACGTCTAATGTCATGGGCAACCAGCTCAAGGCCAGGCCCACAGCTGACACCAATTCACTAACCGGGGACTGTTCTGATACCTCTGCATCTTGAAATCACTTTTAGAGCGATTTGAAAAAAGTCACACTCCGATTTTTCTTTTACTACTTAGAGCGTTCTTAGTGGTCTTTAAATTGTGATTATGAAGTCTTTTGCCAAAATCACGTCACCACGTTCTCCTGAATCTCACAGCACTATACTTGTAATATTAACAACCGTCCATCCGTCACAGAAGCTGATATAGTGACAACAGTTTTAGGCCCATCCCTTCAAGCAATGCAGTGCTTCAGGTTGTTTGGCCTTTACCCTGGTTTTATTCCTGTTGCTGTCATAAACACAGATAAGAAGCAGTAAATAGACGAACATCAGATGAGGAGTTTTCTGTCATACTTCCTCATTTCGATCCAAAGTCTTACAGTGACAGCTGGCTGGAATAAGATTGCTAAGATGCTGGGAGTGTCCAGTGACAAAATGTTTATGGATTTATAAAGCTTGTTGTACTTCTTACTGTAATAAACCACAATCCCCTGCTACAGGAAATTTGAGGGAAGTTTAGAACTGAAGTTTGTCAGCTTGTTTAGTGAAAGTTTGGGGCAGAGTCTCCTGAGCAACAACAGGTCAACTGAGGTCATGAGTGGATCTGTTCTCCCTCTGGATTGCTTGATGAGCTTTATCCTCAAGGAAACTGTAATCTGTGGACAACTCCTTAGTTGTTGTTGACATGCTTACTACTATTTTTCATATATTTGAGTTGTAATTTCATCGAAAGCATAAAACTGAGTGTTGATTTTCTGTCCTCTTTCTCCACTCTCTGTCTCTCCACCTTTCCTCCTTTTGACTTTTTTAGGTTCTGTTGCATCAGTTTTGTGGCAGGTGACCCCACCCCCTCCGCCAAAATCCGGCTATTAGATGTGACCACGAGGTTGATCAGGAGAAGCCACCATGTCTTAAACACAGACGGGCCCTCTGGAGCCCTGTCCCCCCACCCTGGACCTCCCTCCCCCTCCCCCATCCACCACCTTACCCCCTCTCCCAGTCCCATTCCTCTCCCAGACCTTCCTGCACATGCCAGGGGCAGGATACCCAGTGCAGGCTCCCCACTGGGACACCCTTCCCCACCCTCTGGAGAGATGAGCCTGCAGAAGCACCAGCCTTTCGGCAGTGGTGGTGGGGTCATGGGCTCTGACAGGGACCTGCAGTCAACTGCTTCCTCCATCTCTCTACCTTCTGTAAAGAAGGCCCCGAAGAAGAGACGCCTCTCCCTCGCCTCTATTTTCAGACGGCGAGGGCGGGAGCCCAAATCAGGATGCCTGAGGTCTAGAGAACTCCACTATCCTGGGCCTGGAGGATTTGGAGGAGTGGATGGTATTGCTAGCATAGAGAGCATCCACTCAGAAATGTGTAACGACAAAAACTCTCTGTTCTCCTCTGCTGGGACTGCTGCTGCTTCCACCTCATCTGCTTCAGGGCCTTCCTCCTCAATGTCCTCCTCGTCTTCCAAGGTGGGGAGTGGGGTAGGCGCAGAGCTCCTAGAGTGCCCACTGTGCCTTCTGCGCTACTCCAGGGAGCAGTTCCCTGACATCATGACCTGTCCACACCGCTCCTGCATCGATTGCCTACGCCAGTACCTGCGGATTGAAATCTCCGAGTCCCGTGTCAACATCAGCTGCCCTGAGTGCTCTGAGCGCTTCAACCCTCACGACATTCGTATGATTCTGGGCGACCAGACTCTCATGGACAAATATGAAGAGTTCATGCTGAGGAGGTGGCTCGTGGCTGACCCTGACTGCCGCTGGTGTCCTGCACCAGACTGTGGGTAAGTGAGCCCATGTGAGCATGCCTATAAACCCTGAAGACAAAAGTTCAGGTCACTTTTTTTTCACTAAAATGTGTGTTTGAAACAGAGTAGTTGAATGTGTCATGTAACATAAAGGAATATGTTTCCCCAGGTAAGAATCTGCTTAAGCAACAAGAAAACGAGAGATAGACCAGTTCCTTGGCTATCCTCCCGAGTCAGAGTCCTGCCGCCCGTCTTTACATTGTCAGTAATTTGGCCTCCCATTAAAACACTTGTGAACCATGAAGACCTCAAGTACCCTCTCTTGATATCAAGCTAAGTCTCTAAAACAAGCTGCTTATAGTTCTAGGAGCAGTTTGGAGCCTCAGAAGAGAAACTTGTGAGAAGACACCAAGCTATTTTCTGAGATATCATTATATATAAATGCTAAAATACTGCGACCACCTTTTCATCAAGTCGCTTCGCCCTGTTTCTCCTCACTTGTAGATTTTTTTGACTGCACTTGCCAGTTGTAGGTTAAAATCACCCATGAGGGAATGTCTTCACTGAAGTGAACTGGTCTGTGGACTCCAGGCTACATGATCACCACATCATCATAACCATAGTCATTTGTGCTGTAGTGGGGAATCAAGAAGTTAAGTTATCAAGATCCTTTTCCCTGTGGTTAAGAATGGAGAAACAACTTCACTCACTGTCCCAAGATCAGGTCACAAGACGGTGGTTGTACCAAGCAGCAGAGGGAAGTTTTCAGCCCACCCCATCAGGTTTTTTTACAGTAATATAAACTGGTCTCTATTAGAATGCTGCTTGGGCGTGAGCATGGCCATAACATCCCACAATGTATGTAAGGTATTGTAATGCAGCTCCACCTTGTATTGTACCAGAGAGGACCTAAGCTGACCCCTCTGCTGACTCCTCCTGTCTCACCGTCTCCATGTCTTCTTTGTACCAGCCGTCTGTCACCATCCCCCCTCTGTCTGATTTCTGTGTCCAGCAGCTATTTCCATGTCTCTCTAGCTGTCACTGTGCTGTCTAATTTTTGCCGTCTAATCCCCTTTCATGAGTGATGGTTTGCTGGCTCCCCCCTCTGTTTGGGCTCACTGTAAATGAAGTCAGCACCTCCATGTATAAAGAGTCAAACTGACATCCGTAACAGTTGGCTTGCTGTCTCTGTTAACAAAAAGTAGCAACTCATGCTTGGAATCATTTGAAATAGTTTGTTCTTGATATGATCAAACTAATCATACCCTTAGTTGTTTATGTTGGCGTTTTAATTGCTTCTTTTCATTGGTCATGGATAAGATGAGTCACAGGACTTAAAAACCTAGAGGAAGACTTCAAAATAAGATAAACAACACATGGGGTCCTGTCGACTTGATAATTACCAGTCTGACACAAACTTCCTCTTTCAGATAGGACTGACATCTCTCTGTGATATCTTACTGTTTACATTCAGTCCCTTAATCAGCCACTCAATCGACCGATCAGCCAGTCAGTCAATCTTTATCACTGCAGCACCAATTTGTGCCAAATGCTATCATTCCAGACTCAGCACTCTGAGGGGTTCACAGATCCAGCAGTGTCCCAGGCTCTCTGTGGCGAGTCTGTATTTGATCATTCGTCTTAACAAACAGAGGCTTGCCCATTGAAAGCTTTCCCCTTCTGTAGAAGATTCCCTTTTCTACATTTGAAACATGGTCAGCTTTCACTCCCATTGTGTTGAGTCTGTCAGCTCAAGGGCTGTTTTTCACAATCCCACAGTTGTCACTTTGTCAGAGATGGATGGTTTGCTGAGCTGTGCTCTGTTATTCAAATACACATGCACAGCTATTGAGGGAGGATGGACATCATTGCAGTGTGAACACTCCAATCTGGCCCAAATCTGATTTTTTCAAATCAGATTCTGCCCACATCCATATGTGGTCCTGAATCAGATATAGATCAGATTTTTTTCAATGCGACCTGAGTGTAAATGGCCAAGGAGGATTTGATGTGCATTTTATACATTCCCCTCACTATTTAGAGCGACAATTCTGTGTTGAGGCAACGATGCAGTAAGCCAGTGGAGGGACAGTGAGGTCTTGGACCTGATAAGCATATGGAGTGACACTTCCATGCAAGCAAAGCTTGGGGGTTCATATCATAACCGATCTGTGTCAGAAAGTATGTTGAAAGAACTTGCCGAATGGGGACACAGGAGACCGTGGCTACAGTATCAGCGAAAAATAACCCCAGTAAAGTTAGTTCTAGGTTGGATGGATGGCTCTTCAATGGTAAGTGCCCATCAAATATCCAACCTAAAACTAACTTCACCTCAGTTGAAAAGTAAAGAGTCTTAAAGCAAAGTTTAAAGAAACTGGAGATTCAAAACAGCCGTGCTCACATAACCTGCCTACTTTACAATGAGCTTGAATGTGTTTTGGGTGATAAACCCAGCTGTCAGCCGCTGGAGCTGTTTGACAGCTATCAGGAAGCAGGCAAAGAGGATTCTGAATCTCAGAGGAGCGGATCAAGTTCAACGGACAACCCAGATATAATACTTCATCATTTCTTTATTGTATCACAAACACACGGCATCACATCCATTCATTTATTCAATTCAAAGCTTTGCGCACCAAAGCCTCGGGTTGTCTTCGATAATCACTCTGCCTGTTTTACATTTATTGTCCATTTGATGGCACAGTAGAGTAAATGAAGCACAATAATGAAGCTTCGGCCCAGGAGTCGAGCAATTGGATGAAAACTTAAATGCTTCAAGAGGCTTCATCTCACCATCACTAGCAACGAACCTCTTCCTCGTGCGCGTGCGTTCCATCATTTTGGTTGACCTGATACAGAAGAAATACACTGACCTATAATCTTTTCACCAATAACCCTTGGACAACTATCGCATGATCTCGCAAATGTTTTGCGAGAGCTCACAATAATTTTGCGAGATCACTTAAAAAATCTCTAGAAAATTAAAAAAAAAATGTCCTTCATGTCCCCTTAGGGGCTTTACGGCTGTAAACCAAAGTGTTTCTTAAGATAAGAGCAAAGATATTCCTTTATTCGCCCAGAAGGGGAAATTCCCAAAAGTCTAATCTTAGTCTAATCAATCTTAACTTTTACCCAATAAATGTAATGGTCTTTTCTACCAGATATGCAGTGATTGCCTTTGGATGTGCAAGCTGTCCGAAGATCACATGTGGCAGAGAAGGCTGCGGTACAGAGTTCTGTTACCACTGTAAGCAGCTGTGGCATCCCAACCAGACCTGTGATGCTGCCCGTCAGCAGAGGGCCCAGAGCCTTCGTCTGAGGACGGTCCGCTCATCCTCCCTCAGCTACAGCCAAGACAGCGGAGCAGCAGGTTGGTCGATTGAACACACATTACATATAATGAACCAAGATTTGTGTTGTCTGTTTTCAGCCCCTGGATTTCTGTTGAAGCCCTCACATGTTTAAAGTGATGTTGCCTTGGTAAATGGATGAATGATGAAGAAATGAAAAAGAATTCAAAAAAGAAAAAGGTTTTTTTTGGCCTTAACTGAATTAAACTTTTCAGCAAGAGCATCTTAGGGACGAGTAATTGGGACAAATTGTAATAATAACTTGACGGACAAGGTGGAGTAAATAACAATTATGACGACAGCAGAGGAGAAAAAATCACAAGTCAGAGAGGGCAGTAAAGATTCTTAGAAGAGGAAAAAAGTCAAATACTCATATCCTCCCGCTCCTCTCCCACATTTTTCACACATGTATTCCCTTAAGGTGATGACATCAAGCCGTGTCCACGCTGTGCCGCCTACATCATCAAGATGAATGACGGAAGCTGTAACCACATGACATGTGCCGTTTGTGGCTGTGAGTTTTGTTGGCTCTGCATGAAGGAGATCTCAGACCTGCACTACCTGAGGTTAGTTGATGAGAAAAGTGAGGACATGTGACAGTACTGAGTGTATGAAGGAAGGTTACAACTTTCCAACACCATCTCTCTCCTATGCTGCATTTGTTCAGTCCATCAGGCTGTACTTTTTGGGGGAAGAAGCCATGGAGCAGGAAGAAGAAGATCCTTTGGCAGTTAGGAACCCTCGTGGGTGCCCCTGTTGGGATTGCACTCATTGCTGGCATCGCTATCCCTGCTATGATCATTGGCATCCCTGTGTATGTGGGCAGAAAGGTAAGGCCATAGAAACAAATTCATTTGCAGTCATTTAGAAAACATGTAAGTATTCCTGCATATGGTTTTGACTAATTTGACGTGGCAGTCCATTGAAAAACCCGTTTAGCTGAATGGACTATCATAAAGAAAGAGACCTCAACTCTGTGTTATTCTGAATAGTCTAAAGAGTTTTCCATAAAGCCTATCTCTTATCTGCTCAGTTATTCACCTTATCAGTGTTAGGGAGCTTTAAATGTTAATGCAGCAGAACAGGCACACAGCTGCAGAATTTTCCTTATCCTAGTGTCTTTTAACACACACTTGAGCTAAGTAGCATCACTCACATGTCCAGATGTTTCAACTAAGACTTAAAGTTTGAATAAAATAGAAATGAACAGAAAAGACTCTCCAGAATTTCCCCTCTGAACTCACAGACCAAAATCAAAGCCTAACTGTTCTTTGTCAGTGTGACTGGAAAAAGACCCCTGAGCATGAACCGTCAGTATTCCATAAACACAGAGAGAATGTGTTCAAAGGTACAGTAGAGAAATGGAAATATCTAGTCATAGCTAGTGGTAAGTAGTAGACTTGGGGAAAAAAAAAAAACACCACCCCCTCCCTGTGGCATTGGACAAAAAGCTCCTGTGATGCATGACAAGTTAGGTCCTCTATTTGTCAAATTTTTACCCTCAAAATAATCAGCTACCAATACAAAAGCTACTCTAGGACAGAGGAGAGAGCACGTAACCTGTGGGCTCATGGGCAGGGCCCACAGTTTGGTATCAAACCAACCCCTTTCAAGAAAATTTAAGAACCAAAGACATACGTGGTAAAAATATTACTAACAGCAGCTAAAAAAGCTATCACAAAGAAATGGGGAAGGAAAGACGCCCCTACACAGCGCCAATGAACTCAACTGGTAGAGGAAATCTACAAAATAGAACAATGTTTTTGTGGATTTACTTGTACCAATTTATTTGTTGCACCTTTTGTAAAGGAAAAATTTCCAATAAAAATTAAAGTGGAAAAAAAAAAACAACCCTTTCCAGGACTGTTACCTCTGTAACCACCAGGCCACACCGCCACTCAACACAGACATACATGGTTTATAGTGCACCATTACTCATGCTGAACCAGGGTCAGTTATACATTTGTTTTGTCACAGCTTCTCTATGTCTAAAGGAAAAGAGCGCTCTACAACAATCTTACATGAAGACTTTGTCATGAACTTGAATCTAAAGCTACATCTCCAAGTTACACTACCAAACATCAAAGTGAACACAGCTCATCTTACAGTGAATTATTCTCTGTTTTTCCTAGTTAAGGTCTTTGTCTTCATTGTCTTTCTCTTTTAATTCATTGAGTTGGTCTATTTTTATAACTTATTTAATGAATATGATGGTTATTATTAGTCGTTTCCTGTTCCAAATTGGTTACAATTGCATCTGTTTATCTTTGTGTTTATAATGTATTAATTGTCCTGTTTAAACAGTTTCAATAAAATGTGTAAAAAAGTTCATTTTATTCAAAAAGGAAATACAGGAGTCTTACCCTTAACCCGAGAAGCTAAAAGCCTAGCCATTGTACTAATGTCCCTCTGATAGTGTCAGTGTCAGAGTGTGCTGCACAGCAAAGCTACATAATACATGCCTAGGAATTTATGAATGTCTGTAAAGACCATAACACAGGATCACAGCTGCTTTGGTTGTAGCTGTGTGACTAACCCCCTGTCTTCTCTCTGTCAGATCCATAACCGCTATGAAGGCAAAGATATTTCCAGCCACAAGAGGAACCTGGTAATCGCAGGAGGAGTGACTCTCTCTGTCATTGTGTCTCCAGTAGTGGCTGCAGTCACTGTCGGTCAGTCTGTCCTCCAAACCCTCCTGCCTTCTCTTTCTCTCTCTCTCTGAGCCTCTGCTCAGATGCTCTCCATGCCCAGACATCTGAACTCACCTATCCAACTTCATCATGTAGAGTTTTTATGGTTTTGTGTTCAATGTTTTTCAATTTTCTCATAAGCTGATAGAAAATGTGGAGGTTAGAGATTTGAACAGTTTTTCCTGAAGTAGCTGAAGTGACCTCTGCTGTTATTTTTCTTTATGTCTTAGTCTAACATATCCTCACTGTCCAATCAGGAATCGGAGTCCCCATCATGCTGGCTTATGTCTACGGTGTTGTGCCCATCTCACTGTGCCGTAGTGGAGGTTGTGGCGTCTCAGCAGGGAATGGTAAAGGAGTCCGCATAGAGTTTGACGATGAGAACGACATGAATGTTGGCAATGGGGCGGCTGTCACAGGTACGTTTTGTAATCTTTTGTGTTATTGGCTCGGTCAAAAAACAACAAAATGTTCCTTTTATAGACTGATTTACTAACAAGTCCCTTTCTTAGTTAAGCCTGATTCTGGTTTGAACCCAAAAGTGTGTTTATGTGCGTGGTCCCTGAAAGTGTAGCTTCTTGTGAGGAATAGTCATATTTAAAATGTGGAATATCAAACATGAATGATTCATTAAATCACCCTCTAAGCCCACAGTTTAGGATTCCTCAAGCACAGCACGCCTTTTTCATATTTTGATTTTTTTCTCATGGTTGTTGTTTCATTGAAGATACTACATCTGTGGCTGACACCAGGAACAACCCCAGTATAGGTGAAGGTAGTGTTGGGGGACTTACTGGTAGTCTGAGTGCCAGTGGCAGCCACATAGACCGTCTGGGGGCCATCAGGGACAACCTGAGTGAGACAGCATCCACTATGGCCCTGGCTGGGGCCAGCATCACAGGCAGCCTCTCCGGCAGTGCCATGGTCAATTACTTAAACAGGTACTAAAAGAGCAACACATACAAGTCTAGGAATTCATGAAGAGTTGAGTTTTAGGGCTGACTGGAGCGTCAGTGTGCTTTGCTGCATTGTCTAAATATCTCCTATCACATATTATCAGGCTGGAGGTGCAGGCTGATGTGCAGAAGGAGCGCTGCAGTCTTAGCGGAGAGTCTGGCACTGTCAGTCTGGGTACAATCAGTGACAACGCTAGCACCAAAGCAATGGCTGGATCCATTCTTAATGCCTATATGCCACTGGACAGGTAAGAAGAATCACCTTTTTATTTCAATGCTGATCTCAGTAGACCTTTTCTTGATCTTATGTCTGTCCAAAAATCTGAAATATCGATCACACTGACCAAAAAGATCCAGCCAATGACCTGCTGTTATCTACATGTGAGTCTCAGTTCCCAGCAGTGCTGTAAAAATAGTACTGTGTACTTCTGTTCACCAGTGTTTCAACAGTCTTTATGACTTCTATCTTAAGATTATGTAAGGGAAATTACCTGATGAGGTTTATTATCAGGAATTCGTTGACAACTTAGGGTCAGAAGCTTTTCTGCTGTTGAAGTCGAGACCATCAATTCCTTATCATGGAAACCACTGGAACATTAAAACATGGAGCCAGTGCCCGGCTTTCTTACTGATCACACTGTGTTAAATTTAGCTGTTAAATACTTGACTCTGATTGGCCAAAAAGCCTTGACAACAGCTATCAAATCTGACTTGCTATCTGATCATACTCATCACACATACCAAACTAATCCAGGGGAAGTGAGTTTCAGGGCGTCCTCTGCACTCTTTTTAAATTTAGCTCTGCTTTCCAAAACCATCATGGAGGAAACTTGACATCACTCAGTGTATCTGCAGAGCACAAACCTTCAAATTGGTGGATAATGGCTGACTGTTCAACAGCTAAGAAAAGAGAGAAGCTGCATGAAAGACGGCTGTATACAGGGGCCGCTGTTATATTCTGCACCTGTAATGAATGTCAGGGGAAAAACAATTGTGTTAAGGCTCAACCACATATGAAAATGCCAAGTTCAATTTTAATTTAACCTCTAAGTTAGCTGGTAAGATTTCCATTACCTGATTAGCACAATCCCTCCTCCAGGTTTGGTTCGACTCCTTCACTTTACTTCCTGTCCGGGTCTTATTTATCTCACCCTTTCTGTTCAAAGCTGCCAAACCCAGAGAAAAACATCAGAGTCACTTGCAGGATTATTTGATGTAAATTCTCCAGACAATGACCTGCTCTGTTCCCACATGAGCTTATTCAGACAATCCAGGCTTTGTGCTTGTCAGCTGGAGGGGCTGAATCTGTTTTATGGTCAATCTTGATCTACAGATCTCGCATTGAGCTCCTCTAGGTCATGTCTGCTGAGCTCCAGGTCGGAATAAGACATCGACTTCAGATATAGCATTCTCCTTGTAATATGAGATCTATATATCTGTGATACTTTTCTGAAAGCATCTCTTTGTGTCTCACATTTCTAACTGCTTCTCTTCTATCAGGGATGGGAACAGTATGGAGGTCCAGGTTGACATTGAATCCAAACCTGATAAACTCCGGCACCACAGTGGCAGCAGCAGCGTGGACGACAGCAGCCATGTTGGCCGCTGTGGCTGGACATACCCCTCCAATAGTTTAGCCTCCTCAGAATGCAAAGGAAGTTCAACAAAGTGGGCCAAAGAGGCCTCCTGCTCCTCCTCCTCCAGCTCCGGGGGCAAAAAAAGCAAAGGAAAGCTACGCAAGAAAGGCGGAGGAGGCACAAAGATAAATGAAACAAGGGAGGATATGGATGCTCAGCTGCTGGAGCAGCAAAGCACCAACTCCTCCGAGTTCGACTCTCCCTCCCTGAGCGGCAGCCTGCCATCTGTGGCGGACTCTCACTCCAGTCACTTCTCTGAATTTAGCTGCTCTGATCTGGAAAGCATGAAGACATCCTGTAGCCATGGCTCCTGTGGAGGAGACTACCACACACGCTTTGCCAATGTCAGCCCCTTACCTGAGGTGGAGAATGATCGTCTGGAGACCTGCCCGGCTTCTTCATCTTCCCCCCAGAGCCAAGGAGCTGGGTTTCCACCCCAGTCCCCCACATCGTCCCTTGGCCATGGCGCAGAGCTCTCTCCTCTTTGCTTCATATTGGAGGAAAATGTAAACCTGGTGTGCCCAGCTGAGCTGGACTCTCACAGCAACACCAGAGAGCTGCTTAAGGAAACTAATAACAACCACCAACAACCACAACACCCAGCACAGAGCCAGCAGCCTAAGAACCCCTGCATACAGACAGATATCTAAAATCTCAATACCTGAAGTGCTGCACAAATGCTTTTTTTTTTTGTTGTTGTTGTTGTTGTTTTTTTAAATTTAATCTTGTTTCCTCCACTAAACTACACAGTAAGGCTTATAACACTTTAATCTGCATTTCTGTTCATTTGGAACTTCTGCCTATAAAATCAACTATCGAGTACAGCAGTATGTGCCCACTGACTGTCAGAGGGAGGGCTGTGGAGTATTATGAGGTTCCTGAAGTGCAGCCGTATGAGAAATGTCAACGTTTTGAAAGCTGCTGTTCTTGTTGGACAGACTGCTGACACTTTGCGACTGATCACTTACTCACCACTTGTAACAGAGACAGCCCACTGATTTGGTCGCTGTCACATTAATCTGTGTAGGTTAACATAAAACCACTGTGCCAGTAATGCTAATGTTTGATTCAAGCTCGAAATAGAAATGCAATTTAAGGCAGGACTTTTGATGTGACGGCTTACAGAAGTGAACTCAAACAGGGACCAGGCAATGTGAATCACTATGTCCTTTTGATACTTCCCCACAGATAAGTTTGTAACAGAGGAGCCTCTCTGCTCTCATCTGAGTTTATTATTGGACCTTTTGGGTCTTTTCCCTGAATAACTGTTTGAGTGAATCCCCCCCCTCATGTAAAATCCTGTGCTTGCAGGGATGGCTCAGACTTTCAAGGGTGTGCTTGTATCAGGTACCTTTTGACTCATGAATGATGAGTGTTAGCACAGGTTCTGTGTTATGGCACTGCAGACGGAGTTTGGAATAAAACATACTTAAGGCCACTTCCAAATACATATCCATTAAAGTTTGGGGCTGATTTCTTATCAGCCTACAACCACACAGTTTCAATCCACTTTGACACATGATTGCAGCTGTTGGGGCCACCAAGTGTTGTTAGCTAAATGAATCATCCAATTACTTCTTCTGAACATTTTAAAATACTACATTCTTGTGGGTATTTTTTTTTTTCACCTGTTAGAGCAAAGAGTTCCGTTGATGTTAGCTGTGGCTAGCTATAACAAGCGCAATGATGAATAGCCTTGCAGCCCTCCGTGATATTAGCCGGCTAGAAACATACTGAGGAAGTCTGCTGCATTCAACTACCAGCTAAATAAGGCTTTATCACTCAGCACCAACAGAAGTGTGCTTTCTCCCACTCTTGGTGGTCTCCTTCAGCAGACGTCTGTCATCTGTGTGTTCAGGGTTCAGAAAAGCATCCTGTGAGGCTTGTGTTTGTCATAATGTTATTACTCTGTTGAAGCGTACTCTGTACTCAGCCTGGTGGACAGTTCACTGCATGCATGGAAGTATCAAACTGTTGTATAGTTTAAAAGCATAGTGCCAAAAGAAGGGGCTGTCCAACAGGTGAGCCTTGATACAAGTGGCTTCACTGTATTTTAACCCAACTCAGTCTACAGCTGCTCACAGCTTAACTTCAGCTGAGCTTCCTCTGTCTGGTTTATCCAGCCATGGCCCTGCTGACCGAAGTCCAAAGCTATGTTACCTCATACAAGCCCACCTGAGGAGATCTGAAACACCCCTTCAGAGCCCAAAATCATCCATCATCATTTACCACTAGATCCAACTTTTAACAGCTGGGACTCATTTTAGATGGATGTGCATCTAGGAGACAGTGCTTCACAGCCTTGTAGCTGCTTGGTAGTTAGGCCTGCAGCTTTTAAGATGACTCTATGAAGAGCCTAGCTCTGAGGAGGGTTTTAGCGATAATGCTGAAAGTGATTAAGGTAGCATTAATCAATGGGTTGATCAGCTCTGACAAATGTTCTCAAAGTAATTTTGTTCTGCTTAAAGGGGATTTCTTCAGACTGATGGGCTTGCCTCCCAGAGAAAGAGAGAGAGAGCTTTGATATCTTTGTTCACTCATGGTGCCTTTAAGAAGCTGTTTTCTGTTTGTCTCTATCCCTGCTGTGTCCCCAAGACTCCACACTTAGAAAACAGAGGTTATAAACTGTCTGTCTGTCTGTGAGCGAAGGATGCAGGATGCAGTTCATACTGTGGTAGACGTGGTAAATGAAGACTTTTCAATGGCCTACCAAAGACAGCACTCAGGCTCTTGTTAAATCTTATATCTTTGACTTGTCATCTGTTCACCCAGTATGTTATATCCTTTTCACACCACGGGGATGAATGCCGCCAAGAACGCAGAGGAACATGTAGACTTTGTTTATGCACATGCTTCCCCTAATGCCACGCGAGTACCTGCAGTTCCAGAGTAAGGTGAGACTCATGCACTGAGACCTGTGTTTCTTATAACCTCCAAGTTCAGTAAGCTTGGTTCTGAGCACACAGGTTTTTTTTAATGGCTTACCTTCCCTCCTGATCCGTCTCGTGATCCTTTTTGTTTTGCCGACTGGTGCTGCAGAGCCGACTTACAAGTCCATTTCTGCTTCCAACACTTGATGTGTTGGCTAAAGCTTCTCTTCACTGCTCGGTGGTTAGCTTTTTTGATGCCACTGAGTCAGCTCAGGTGAACCTCTCTCCCAGGTTGGTAAAAGCATCTTGAATAGTATTTTGACCCAGGTCTGTTTCTGAATGAACACTTAGTTTGTTGTTTCAGCAGATGAGGCGACATGCTGCAGTCCTCCCACTCATTAGGGCAAACGTGTATTTTTTTCTTCTTCCTCCTAAGTTCTCTTGTTTATCACCAAAACTCCAGTTTTTTGATCCTGATTTCAACACTAGTGCCAGATATGATTTGTGCAGAATGGCATAAGGTATTTGTACATGTGTTTGGTAATTTGCTTTATTATATGCGTGTAAATGCATATCAAAAAATTAAAATTCAAACAAAAACATGATATGTCCTCTCTTTTCTTCAGGATGATCTTAATTGAAGGTACTCCACTTTTTTTAAACCATTTATAACAGAGACGCTCACTTCTTACATGGACTGCCACAGCTCTCTGTGATGGTTCAGTTTAATCCAGCTGTCCTGATAAAACCACTTTGCAGAACTCATGAGTAAGTTGTGGTTACATGTGTGAAGAACGATAACACTTTGTGGTTTGACTCAGGCAAACTTCAGTTTGAAGAACTGTTATATTTAATGGTTGATATTTAACATGGACAGTGAATTATAACAAGCAAAAAAACAATGTTTGCATACAGCTAAGATATGATATATGATTCAAAAATGCAAGCCATGTAGCGATTTAATGGAGCAGATGAATGACAGCATAGTGTATCTAGAGGAGAATTTGCTTGCCACTATGTTAATCGAGCCATATTGTGAAACCAAGTGCGCACATCTCATCAAGATGTCGCCTCTTTCTAGTGTTTACACTCCTGAACTGTCTGCAGCAAAGAATAAAATGTAGCTGTGTGATGGCTGAAAGGTCTTTTTGACACACACGCCTGTGATAAGAGATCGGTTTTAAATCTCAGATCTACTACAAGCTCAGGTAAAAAAGAAAAAAAAAAGCTAGAGTATCTGAGTCATGGGAGGTCACAAACTCTATTTCCCTCTACAACACTGTCAGAAGATATGACCAAAGACACTCAAACCATACAGGGCAGCAGTGAGACGCAGCAGGACTGTGTCTTAGTACCTGCTTTTTTTTCTCCTCCAGCAGCTGCAGACAGCTCCGCAGCATTGACCTTTAACAGGTCCCATTCAGCATGCACTCAGTATCATCTCTGATCTTTGCTGGTGTCTGACAGAGGCTAATATATTATAGAACTGAAATGAAAAGAACAGCTGAGCTCTGATCTGAAGCATGGGCCTGTCCTGAGAAAACTCTCCTGCAGTCTTACATAACACGGTACATTGGACCCTGTTTATCAATACAGTCAAGTTAAAGGTCCTCAGTATTGTGCTGATAGCTTTCTGCTTACTGCAAATAAAAAGTGACAGTACAAAAGAGGATCTGCATAGCAAAATGTTCCAGAGAGAAAAATATCATCCTTTTACATACACTGAACAGAAACAGCAGCTTTCTACATGAGACTCAGTCCTTTGTATTGCTCTGGGGCATATTCTGCAGGTTCCTGCCTGTGAGTACTCAGTTAGTTAGTGAGCAGTGTTTTGCATAGATCCAAAAGTTTTAGAGGTGCAGCAGCTCATGCAGCAGGGAGCAGGGGAAACAGGGTCAGATGTATTTGTTGGCCAGATTCTGAACATCATTCTTGGTGAACTCCGAGCTCTCCACAGCTGCCAGATGCTCAAACAGCTGAGTCATGTGTCGACGCTCGTCCTTATCAAGCAGCATCAATACCACCTGCAAAACAGCGCAGCATTTAGATCTGGGGCTGCTGGGGACACAGTGAGTGTTGGTTTACAAAAATAAAATATGCTAAATAATGATCAGATCAACAAATGACTACATCATACATAAGCTCTACACACTGCTTTACACACACACACTGACAATTATTTTACTTTGGTCAAATTACAGCTTGCAGCTCTACAACATGAGTCCATCTTACCGAGAACCTGTCTGCAGTATGCAAATGGTTGAGATGTTGGTAGACCAGGCTTGGATTCTTCTCCAGGAGATGAGCATCCATTGCCTGCATGATGAAGCCAATGGTGTGTCCGTCCAGCTGGTTGCTCAGGAAAGAGGGAAGCATTTCAGGGGTTGTGGAGGCCAGCAGTTCAGCACAGCTTGCTGTGTTTCCACTGCAGCGAGCTGCATTCAGAGCCTGCCCAAACTCATAGGCATCGGTTGGCTGGAGGTTAGTGGGGATATCATCTCCTCTGCAGCTGTTCTCTGATTTGGGTACATCTGTCGTGTCCTCATCCCCAACCTTCAGAAGTTAAGCAGAGGTTATAAAAGAGCGCTTCACTTCCAACTATAACTATTCTAAACAGTACTTATTGGTATGAAGGTTTTTTGGAGTCAGCAGTTTCTATTCAAACAGTAGTGACACCTTTACAGGCAGGCGGATCCCGGACTTTGTCGTCACTGCTCATGACTATACCACCTTCTTCACAAACACTTGCACATGCTGACATTCATCAACATTTGTCCCTCACCAGTGAAACCACTCTTTCCAGTTGAATAAATGGAGTACTGACCTCTGTGATGGGGACAGTTCTCCTGGGTTTGGCCGGTGAGGTGTTGGCATTAGCCAGACTCTGTCGGAGCAGCACTGTGACCTCCTCCAGCTCCCTTTCAGCCTCCTGTACGTTGGGATCTTGCTGTAGTACTTCCTGCAGGTCAGAACTGCATGCCAAGTAGTCCTAGTGGAGGGGCAGACAGACACTGCTTTAAGTGGCAGTTTTAGATATTTAAAAGGATGGGGAGGGTAACGCACATGTTGGTGCGTTATTTTGACCACTGTCCTTGGCCCTCCTCTTTATTGAGCACACATCAGTCTTGAAAGGCCAGCCCTCCTCACCTTGAGGCCTTTGTTGGCCAGGGCTCGTCTATAGAAGGCTTTTTTATTGGTTGGCTCCATTTTCAGTGCTGCATCACAGTCCTGTTTGGCCTCTGTAAACCTCTCCAGCTTCAAGTAGCACAGGGCTCTGCAAATACACACAAGCAAGTAGATCCTCATTTTCTGTTGAATCACCAGCTGCTAATTTTATTTGATGCGTAACACAAAGGTATCATGAGTTTCTGACTCATTGGCTGTGAGTCAGACTAAACGTGTACTGTTGCTGAGTTCCTCTATTTTATTACTCCAGCTCTAGCACTGTAGGCTTGTTTTCTTGGTAAAGGTGTTGTCAGTCTTTTAGACAAGCTAGTTTCAACAGCTGTGTGGCAAGTGTTTGTTTGCTCCGGTGTGGCTCATTTCCGCAGCAGAGCTTCACATCCACATGCAAACACGGCAAACAACAGAATGCTTTTCATTTCGGCAATGATGAAGTGAACACCTGCCTCCATCATGGATTGCATTGGCTGTATTTCTTTTTAAAATGAAACAGAACGATGGTGACTGAGAGAAGCTGTGACACCACCTCACAGACCATATTAGAGGATTATTGATTCGCCTGTTTCAATTCATCTCAATAACAAAACAGGTTTTACATGTGAAGTATTGAAGTTCAGAGACCTCAGCAGTGTTTGTCTTTGTGAAACTCTGACCTGTTAGTGTAGATCGCACACTCTTCTGGCTTTAACTTAAGGCATTCAGTGTACTTTCCCAGTGCATCCTGGTACTGGCCCTTCTTCACAAATTCATTCCCTTCTTGCTTCAGAGCTGAAAACCGGATCTCTGCTTTCCTTTCTGTAAAGACAATGAAGTGGTCATCATGTAAAGCAGACACTGAAATAAAGAGGCATTTGACCCTCTGCTCTGTTGAAGAAGCAAACCTTCAACAAGAAAATCAACCACTCTTTTTTAACTTAGGAGCTTTTAGACCCTCTGAAATCAATGCTGCACTAACTTGATGAGAGGTAGGAGAGTAAAGTCAGCAATCAGTCATGGAGTGAATTTTGGGCTAATCAATCTGCTGCTAAGTGTCTCTGGGGACAAAAATCTGTGTCAGCAGCTCTATTCTTTCACCAAAGTTTAAAAATAACTGCAGCGGAGAATAAAAGTGCACCGTCAGCGAACAGAGGTGACGGGCTGACATCTTCCTCCTGTTTGAGAGTGACATGTCTGACAACCATAAACAGGCTGATTTGATCAGTAAATGACGCATCAATGAAAAGTGGGTATCAGCTGATGTTTACCCTGCTGTAAGACACTGGTGCACTCCTTCATAATACATCAAGCACTTGTACTACACTGATAACCTGTATCTTAGCCCATTTTTATCTGTACTGCATTGATATAACACTGGTAGACCAGGCTGGTTTGAAGGTGGCATGTTTTATTCTGTAGTAAAAGTGTCCAGCTGGACAAACGGATTTGTTTTTGTGGTCAAATGTGAAAGAAAAGGTCAGCAGACAAGTAAAACAACACAGTCTCTGAAGAAGATCAGCAATGTTTCAAGAAGCGGGACTACTTTTTCAACACATCAAACCTCAGAGTCCGTTTGAAAAAAAAAGGTCACAAAGAATGAAAAAGAAAAAGGCCTAAAGCCAAAGTCCTCAGTATCATCATGTTATTATGTTAAGTATGAACTGATTTTCACTTTCCCTTCCTCTCTGGTGTCTATTTAGCTTCATAACTGTACTGTCTCTGTGTGTCTGGGCCTAACAGCAGTGAAGGAGGAACTTTGATTCTTATTTTGAGTAAAAGTGGAAATACAATCAGAACCAGAAAGAGTTCTGCTATAAGAACATTGGTAAAGGTACAACACTTAGACCAAAGTTTATTTTCAGTTGATCAGTTTAGTTTTATGGTAAATAGACATCCATGTGTCTGACTGATCACCATGCTGGATCGTATTCTTTAGCAGTTTATACTTGTTGGACCAACACTAAGTTTTCGACTTTTTCCTGATAGGAGAATGAGGTCATGTGGTTTGTATGCAAAATGACATTTCTTACAACTGACTGGAGTTCAAACAGAGAAGGAACCTTGAAAAACCTTTTTACTTAACGACAGACATACAGTATATGTTTTAAAAGTTTAACCCTCCTCTATGGAGGTGTCCCCTTTAAAAAGAAAGACACTCACAGCTTTTAATGCTGTTGCTAGGCAACCACCCAATCACCTGTCCAGAGTTGAACATGTTGCTGCTGCAGTGAGGTTAACTATTAAAGCTAAATCTTTTGTCTTTTTGAATGATCTTGGTTTATTAACTGCCATCACAGCTCATGAAATTGGACAGACCAAAGTGAAGATGTCAAAAACCTGTCATCATAAAATCTGCATTCTGGGCCATGAAGCCTTTCACAGTGATATTTTCTGACTCAGGTATTATCACAGGTTTCTGGGAGCACAGGTCTTCTTCTGCTGAAAGTCTAACTTTAAATTTCTGATCCAAAGGTTCAAGTTAAGGATCAATGTGAGGACTGCCTCATAAGAGTGTTAATATGTAAGTAGTCAAGCTCTTTTAACACCATCATTTGAAGCAAAAGAGTGAAGCAGAAATCAAAGATTTGATCTGGACTCTTCTGAAACAGACCTGCATCCCTGGCTGCCTTCTCTGCCCGAGCCTGGAGGACCTCTGCACTGGGAGGCTCCTCCCTGCGATGCTGCTGAGCTGACAGAGGCACCAGAGGGATATCAGGGAGTTTTTCTCTCCATTCTGTACCATCCTGTTCAATCAGAAGCCGAGTGATCCTGGAAAAGGAACAACACAGTCCATACAAGGGTGTTGCATGTAGAACAAGTTAAGATGTTACTCACTGTAACCCCCCCCACCACCACCACCACCACCCTCTGAAAATACTCAATCGTGCTTTTATGCATCCACAGTTCATATGTCCACAAAGTGTAGGTCTGAATGTTCTGATCCTCCTGAACCCGGCCAACCAGGCGAGTTCCTTCTTGTTACGTAACAGCACAAGAGGACATGCACTCTCCAGTCCATTATTAGCCTTCATCGGGAGCTGCTTCTAAACACCAGCTAAATCTCTGAGCCACTAATTAGACTTGGTGTCTCATTACACATGGCTTGTTGTTATCATGCTACAATGTAAGCTGTGAACTGAAGTCATGGATAAAACTGTTGACAGGGATTGAAAAAGTTCAGAAACTATCCTAATATTGTACAAGAATGGTGGAGTGGTGGACTTGATTTCCTCTTTCTATCTGCTCATCTGGCAAACAAATGACATTGTGTGTTTTAGATACTGCACTCCTACATCCCTTATTAGCACTTCCACCCCTGAAAGGCCTAATGATGCTAACCAGGTCATTCAGGAAATTCTGTGGATCATTGTGGACTCCTATCCAAAGTTAGTTTGAAGAAATACCTGTTGACACTGTCATGTGCTGCTTGCACGCTGATGTCTATCTGCAGGACAGTCTTGTAATCCACGTAGGCCGTACGGTAGCGTTCCAGGGACTCATAAGCCATGGCCCGGCGCAGGAGGGGCTTGAGGGAGAATGGCTGCAGCTCCAGGGCTCTGGGTTGTATAAATAGAAGTGATGAGACAGAAGCAGAGGATCAAGTCTGCTTCCTGCTTTCTCTGTTGGAGGTGTTCTCACAGTGCACTGAATCATTCTGGCATCAACATGTATGGGAAAGATTTCATAGCAGATGCTTCCTGTCTGTCGTGTTTATGAAAATAAGACAGTGTGTGTGTGTACATATGCAGACTGTTGTTGGTATGTGTCAACAACCTTGTCCTACTGTTTGCTGTAGAAGTTAAATCCAAAGTCCACAAAGATATAACGGCTTTTAAATGGGATGTTTTCAGATTCTGTCTCCAGGTTGTTCATTATTAAACCAACTTTAAAGAGATAAAGAAGAAAAACTTCATATAAAACATGTCTGTACACCTATGGTACTGATCTGCTGCTGCTGCTAAAGGAGAGCTCTTGACAAAAAGATGAAAGTATCTCTAAGGTTACCAGCCTCAGGGTGAAGTTAAGCTCCACACCAAACACTGCTGAAACAAGCTTAGCCTGTGTGGACTTGACTTGGTTACCTGATGGTAGCGGCCAGTTTGTTTAAAGCACAGGTGAGTCAGAGAGGAGTGTTCTCTAAACCGGGTTTCAGTTCACCTTCTGAGCAGGAGGTGCAGAGGTTGTAGACCTGCTACCTGCTCAGGGCTGCTGACTGCAGTCTCTTTCACACATGAACTGATATCCTCCGTGAACTTCAAAACATTCCGGCTGTAAACTTTCCCAGAACAGCTTTTCAAATTAGATTATTTTACCAGCATATAGCCTTGTGGATTATCATCACAGGCTGGCTGCATGTTAAATAAGTTTTGCTTATGTGTTTTTCTAAATGATTAGATGTAGCGCTGTTAAAGGAACATTACAAAAGATTACTTATTTAACTGCTCAGTGATTGAAATCAACAAAGATTATTATGATAATAAGAAAAATTAGTTATTCTTGATCCACCACTGACAAATGCCTTGGTCCTCTGCAGCCCACCAAGTACCGGTTACCTCAGTTCTTTATGCATTTCTTTAATTTCTCAGCACTGATTAAACAGCTGAGAACCACACAAGGTTCCACGATTTGAATCCCTGGCCAAACAGGAGCCTTTCTGTGAGGACTTTGTATGTTTTCCGTTTGTGTGTGGGTTCTTCTGCCACAGTCCAAAAATCGTGCATGTCAGGTCAACTTATACCTGCCCGTAGCTGTGAGTGTGCGAGTGAATGTTTTTTTTGTCTCTCTGTGTCAGACCTGTGATAGACCCTCCTGTCCCTAGTCTACCCTACTTCATGCCCAATGGCAGCTGGTATGGGCTCCTGGACAGTGTGCATTTAGACAAGCAGATGCTTTAGTGAGAGGCCACCACAGTCATAGCAGCTTCTAGTGACTCCTGACTGTCGTTGGTTGAGTGGTTGGGGATTCTGCCTTGATGACTGTTTCTTAAAAAGTATAAGTAATTAGGTGTTTCCACATAACAAGAGAGAAAGTGTGAAATATGATACTGACATTTAAAGTGAGAGCACACAACACCAAAACTCTACTCAACATTAACGATGACATCATCTCGCCCACTTGTGTGTGGTGGATGTCTTAGGCCACTACCTGCTGTGTTCACATACAGAACGGGCCCTTATACCTGGGTTACCTGATTCTGCTGTGTGTCTGACTCTGAGTGCATTTAATGTGTGAGGGGGCTTGTTAGAGCTCAATATGTAACAATGACCCAAAATGAAATAATAAATAAATAAAACCTGAAATGTAGTATCTGGTCAATGATGGAAAAAGATGCAGAACCCAAAACGAAATCACTTTTTGCCCAAAAGATAGCAGCTTGTTACATTTAAAAATATTTCAGGTTGTACATTGTGGGTCATTGTTACATATCAGGCTCTGACAAGCCTCACTGTAACATCCCTGAATTCATGGATGCCCATGAATAAACCTCATTTAGTGTAAGTATGAATCATGTGAAATGACAACAAAAGGGAAAAATGTAGCCCACACAAGCAGATACAGTAGGTCTTCTCCCTTCTTCCTTCCACAGATACAGAGACAGGTGCACAGACAGTGTGTTCAGTCTCTCACCTTGTGCAGTCCTGTATGCAGTCTTGACTATTGCCATCTTTCAGGTAGCATGCTGCTCTGTTGGAGTGCAGAATACACAGATCTTCTGGGCTGTCAATCCCTGCATGAGGAAATGAAACACATGAGACATACATTCAACTATTCATGGATCCATTAGGCTATAGATGAATCAAATACAAAGTCCAAAGATTCTGCTGAAATGAAATGTGTTCATAATGCCAGTTTATCATCACACTTAACCTCTGGGTCTGTACAAGTGTATGCTGCAATGATTGTGTCCTCTTAAGACTAAATGAAGAACTCCTTGTTGTTTAACTTTGAAAATAAGTGAATGGCGAGACACCAACCTAACCTTTCTCCTGTCTGGAACCTCTGAATTAATAATAAATGAAACAAAACAATAAAAGGAAAGTTTAACTTATACACGCCACAGGTTTATGACCTTATCAGTTTTCTTGTTTCAGTGACCTGGAACTGAACTTAAGAGGTGAGTCTGAGTGTTAAACCAAAGCTCCTTAAATTCTTCAAAACAAAAAATTCCCAGCAGGTTGACCTTTTCCCCCATTACTGCTTTGTTTGATTTATAGGAATACCACTTTTATATAATGTCTTCTAATTTTCAACGGTTTAATCAAACTAAGAGGATGACGCCTGCAGAAAAAGATTATTAGAGCTAATTTTTTAGAGCAAACAGCTCAGTCAATGAGAATACACAAAGTGTATTTGCTTCTTTTCTCTACTTGCCAGACAGGTATTTTTAGTTTCACCATCACCACTGTTAACACTGTGCTGATCCTGCACAAGACAGAGGGACCTATTTTAGCTGGAATTTCCTTCATGAGTCTCCTCAAGTCTTACTCTTTCTGCAGGTTTCACAGTAGCACAGTAACAGAGGTTAAAAGCTGTCTGCTAAACAGAATCTACTCCAAGTTCAACATGTCTGCAATCTTTTTGATGAATCAGAGTTTTAAGATCCATTATTAAAATGACATCAACTCTTTCATATTATTCATGGTTTGTGTCAGCTTTGTTCCCACACAGTCTTGACAAAAAGTGCCCTTGTTTCTCCATGAGCAGCAGTCTGCATGGATGAGACCTCTCCTACAGCAGACAGAGCTTTGGTGAGGTTGATAACAGTTGTTTTAAATCTTGTAACACAGTATAAATACGTTTATTAAACTACAGTTCATTTATTCAAGACAGACATATGTTTGATGGTGCCTGAGCCCCACAAGCAGCACTTTCTTCACCTCCATCAATCGTTCACATGTTCACGTTCTCCCTCTCAATGAGAGTTATAGCTACAGCCCTTCAGATTCAATTTCACAGTGAGTGGTCAGAAGTCATGTGACCTGGACAGACCTGAGCTCTGAGGCTTAGAGTCAGGCTAAAGCTAAAACGGAAACACTGTTTGTGTACATCACATCTGCCACATTCTAATGCATTAATACACTAAATACTCACATAACAAATTCAACATTAGTATTCCTACATATTTAAAACTCTTGTATTTTTTAAAGAGTGGATGCATTAATGACTGTCTGTATGTGTGTAAACCAACATTAAGTGCTGCTTAGACAGATCACCTCTGTTGTTTTGGTGTAGTCTCTATCATGAAAACTATCATTAGTCATATTTAATCTGTGATCGCTCCTTGAACCTACAAATGCAACAAAAATAAATGGAAGCAACAACATCATAACTGCAAAGCCGCAACGTTTGATTTACAATTGGGAGTATGAGTCATGGTAAACAGTTCCAAGGACACTGATAAGTTATCAACAAATAGAAATATAAATTCAAACATGAATTGCTCTGATCACAGCCTGTTAAAATAGAAGTACACATATATGACCCCGGGTACAAAACTAAAAAGTACCTTACCAAAATCATGTCTCCAAAATGTGAAAAAGGAATCAGCTTGTGAATGAACTACCGTGCTGTAATGACAGGAGAAGCATTAACAGACTGACTCACCTGATTCTGAGTAGCCTTGGATGGCTTGTGAGTATTTCTCCAGTGCGTCTGCAAACTGTCCATTTTTAAAGAGCAGGTTGCCTTCATTCTTTAGCCTGGACAGGTGTGGGGGTAAGGCTCCACATGGGGCGTCAAGGTTGACAGTTTCTCCAACATTTCCTCCAGCCTGAGTAGCCTTACCGCCACTGCTCTGATCTGCCTTGACTGAGGCGGTCGAACCTCTTTTGCTTGTTCCATTAGCTACTTTTTCCTTGGACTCCTGCGAGACTTTATACTTATCAGAGCTGCCTCCTCTGTTTCTCCAGTGGCCATGGTGGGAGTTGTTGAACTCACTGTGTGGACCCCCGTCTCCTCTGCCGTGGGGCTTTTTTTGAGCGTTACCCATGTCTCCCCTTTCAGGAGCAGCTGAGCTCTCCTCCCCTCCCACAGGCTGGCTGGGTTCAACGGGATAAGCTAAAAAGGAGAGGGAGGGAGGGAGATACAGAAGGAGAGACAGAGAAGGGGAGGAGACACACCCACAGGAAGTTGTCTGTGGTTACATCATAGTGGGGGAGGGTTGGACACACACGACACAGAGCACTTCAAAGAGGGAGTTCCAGGAAGCAGTGACTCTCCAACGTGAATTACGAAAGCACAGGGTGGGGGCAGGGTGGATAACACCAACACTGACAGTTTGTCACGTTACACAGATGGACAAGCTGGGGTTTCCACTGACTAAACCAAGGGCAGAAAGACAACAAGGGTCTATGACAGAAATGACTGTCCCTTTATTTCCACAATCACTGATGCTCCCTTTAAATTTGATGTCTGAAAAAAAGGCTTTAAAGTGTGTGTAAAATGTTGAAACATAGCGAAGAGTGTTATCTTAACTGACCACAAATTTGGTCTCTGGATGGATTTAGGGAACCGTATATCATCACTAGCTTCTTTGTGGTATGATATAAATGTTGACTGTGTAGGTGTTGAATCAGTCTCACCATTCTGCTGAGCTTCTGTCTCAGTGGGTCTACTGTTGTCATCCTCTTCTACTTCTTGGATAAGGATTTTTTTGCCTTTACTGTGCTGCTCTGCTCCACATTCCTCCAGCTTCTTCTCAGTTGTACAGAGGAGTTTCTAAAACAGATCGTTCACACAACAGATACAATTTGTCAGCCATTGTAAGACATGCCATCCTGTTTCAATTCCAAGGTACCTGCTCATATGTACTACTAACTCATACTCTCTATATGCAGTAATAAAAGACCAATTTTAGTGTAATGAAAACCTTGCACTCGAAACGTGTTCTAGAGTGCCCTGTGGACAAATAAATCAACTTGCATGGGATCAATATGTATCATTATATTCAATACCTACCGTGGCTGCAGCATTTTGTGGCTCTTCCCTGAGCACCAGCCTAAGGTCTTCAGCAGCCAACTGGAATTTATCCATGTGATAATAAACAGTGGCACGTCGTAGAAGGGCTGATGATTGAAAAAAACAAACAAACAAACAAACAAAAAAAACCCATCACACACACTTAAGTAACTGCACTCTGGCTGGGTCATAGTTTTCAGTTACAATAAGAGTAAAATATTGTTAATATCTAATAATAACATGCATTATATTATAATGCATGTAATTATATTATAATAACTCCAGTGAAATTGTACTGCATCAAAGCACCTTTCACATTGCCTGGTTCCAGCTTGAGTACCTCCTGGCAGTCTCTCATGGCATTCTGCCAGTGCTTCAGATAAATCTCTGCCTGGGCTCTGTTGTTGAGTGCAGCCACAGTCGGTACGATGGAAAGGCTCCTGTAATGGATGACCAAAAATAAATAGGCTTTTATTTGTAAGTGCTGTAAATGGGAATGAAACCAGACTTCTGAGAGCAGTATACTTAAATGCATGCTATATAATTATAATAAAGGAGTTGTTTTAAAAGTCAGACCTGGAATAGTATACAACTGCCTCCTCGTAATCATTTGCTCTGAAGGCTTCATTGCCCTTGTCCTTTTCATGATCTGCCAGCAGGAGCTTCTCTTGCTGAGATATTACTGGATGGATTTCACAGACCAGCTTTGTAAGGTACCAGCTCACACAACAAAAATGTACTAAGATCAACTCAAAATAACACCATTAACTATTTATAAATCCTTACATGGAACATCCACGGCAGTCCTGATCTTGGGGTGCTGGCTGTTTATCATAGCAGCTGGATCAGTTTTGACCACATTTTCATCTATTCTTTGGCATTCTTTTTCCACATCATATCTGGAAATCGAGTGACATGTTTCTGAGTATAAGAAATCACTCAATAATTAATCACGTTTTTTTATATATCAAAGCACCAGTCTGAAATCCTCAGAATTTAAAGACAAAATTGCTCACTTATCCCAGTATTGGTAATCACGTGGGAGAGGGTGCCTTGCACAATTCCTCTTTTCCTTTGGACCTGCTGCCTGTAATAACAAAAGACCTTATTACAGCATTTTTCCTCTTATACACATATATATATGTTTGTCACAGATGATTTTTTACCTGACTAAATGGAACGGAGCAGTTGGAACCTCTTATTGGTGATGGATCCTCTTTCACCAAACTATCAAAAATTGGCTGCTGTTTTAGTGGACGCTCAGTTTTTCTTGTTTCTTCTTGCCAAATCTGTAGAAGAGGGACAATGTTGATACGTGGTTTTAATTAAGAAAAAATATGATTCATTATTAAACTTCATAAAAAGGTACCTTTAGGTCAGCAACAATTTGGCCCCACTCATCCTTGGAGAGGCTGGCTGGCGTAGCCACAGGGTTCTCCTTTCTGAGAGCCCGACTCCCAGGGTCCAGTTTCTCCAGGTGACTCTCACAGAACGTGATTAGGTCAGGAAAAATGCCCTCCTTTCCAGACCTTTATACAAAGAGAAACTTTACTCTCTGGAGAAACAGCCATAATTTTACCTTTTAACTCTAAAGCTTGAGATTAAGATGCCTACCTCAGGACTTTGAGGATCCTCTCCAGGTATTTCACATCTTTGCACTTCTTGATGTAAACATAATCCAGGTGCTCCACAGGAACCTTTTCTTTGGTCTGGCTTTGGTTATAGAGAAATGAATGTGCACTCATTCCTGAAAAAAAGATCATTTTTGTGATTTATAATGACAAAAACAATGTTGAACCGTCAATATTGTTTTGTAACTGCAAATACTTGCTTTGACAAACCTGCTAACTTACGACCAACTAACGTTTTCGATCAGTTCAAATTTGAGGCCAAATCATCTTTTAGCTAGAGTTTTGAATGTTCAGACCAAGCTGGGCTTCCGTCTGAGAAATCATAGAATAAAGGCTACATTTTATCAAAACTCGTGCTTTTTAAAGTTAAAGGGATTCACATAAACTTTACCTGCTGTCGTCTGGCTAACCTTGTGCCTTGGGGCCCGTTGCTATGGTAACTCCAAACGGAAGGAGCGGAAGCATGTGACCCAGTCCGCAGAGGGCTCCAAATTTGAAAACGTGGCTGTTGCCTGTAGATGCACAGGTTGGTTGGCTAATAGAAACAAGGAGAAGGGAGCCAGCTGAGGCCTAACGACGTTATTCACGGTCCTTTCACTAACGTTCGAACTCTTTTATTCTGAGGTAAGTACTTTATTTTAAAATGTGTTTTTAATGTCACTTTATAACCTACCGGGATGACTAATGAAAACTCCCCGAGGATTATGTTGTTATCGACACCTCGTCTTAAGAGTTAGCTCTCTTTAACGGCACAGATGTTTCCATAACGTGCTAATTGCGGTAGGATGAGCGCTGAATCGAAACAAGTCTTAAATTTATTCTTTTTTCCGGATTATTGATGAACAGAAACGTCATAAAGTTCTCCTCATTGAGAGAACATCGAGAAAAATTAACTGTCAGACAGTCGATGTGACCGCTGTCAATCAAAGTAAACTGAGATTAAAATAACAGAAGAAAATAAGCCTTTAGTGTTTTAGTTTCTGCCTGAGCCCGCTGAATAAATCCCCGGGGTCCATGGCTGTATTTGTGGTTGGTGGTCGGTGCTCTGGCGGCTGGAGCTGACTCTGGAGCGGGAGGGAGGGAGCAGGACATGAGGGATTTAAAGGGCCGACGTTTGCTCTCATGGCAACCCTGATGACCCAGCTGAGAATGTGTGCTGTTGAACTAGCCTCTTCAATTGTTTGCATTGGACACATATCTGCTCGCCCTGAAAGCTGACAACAGAAAGGACTTAGACTCACTCAGCTAAGTGAACTCTCAGTCAGTAATCAAGATAGTCTGAGGGATTTAGTCGCTTACTGTGACTACACCTGACGTAAGTTGTCGGGAGGATAGTCGGAGTCATGTCGGGGATTTTTTCACTCTAATGCAGACGCTCTGGTCTAATGTTATATATATTTTTTACTTGTCTGTATTGTCTGCAGAAATTCTATAAGAATATTGGGGCGGGGGTGGGGGTCCGAGGTGTACACCGACCAGTCAGAGAGAGCACTGTGTGGGCTACAGCTGGGCCTCTAATTCAACCTTCAGGAAACCTCTTAATGTCCAGTTTTTCTGACCTGATTAGAAAGGTGAATATGTGCTTTATATTTGTTTTAAATGCCAAATCGCAAAAATGTAACAGTAACATTGTTTTGGAGGACATGTTGGAAAAAACTGTTGATGCTCATATTGTGTAAAATCTCAAAAATATTTACTATTTTTGCTGAATCTTTTCCATCTTCATGTCTAAGCAGGATGCTAAAAAATACACTTTGACCCCTTTTCCAGCTGTATTCAAACCCTTTGAAGTCATTCATACATTCACATGGAAACTTCATTCAACCCTAAAGATATGAAGCTTCTTTGGCATGTCTCAACATAACTCGTATCATTTATGGTTCCTTCACAGTGGCCTTGACTGAATAGGTCTGAACCCCCAGGCTCACTGTGAGGGTTGAAATGTTAGAGAGAAGGAACTGGAAACAAGCCCCAAACACCATCTGAAAAAAACTGCCACTGAAGCCACCAATTTCACTGCATGCACATAAAATGGGCATCAGAATGTTAGTAAACTTGTGTTGCTTCTTTCAAAAGGGTTACCAAAGCAAAAAAAATGGGACCATTCAACCTTTATGTGGCCAACTGTGGCCTGTACCCCATCCACATAGTCATCCACAGCCACATAGTATGATCACCACAGGAACTGATTTTAAAGGGGTGGCAGTCAACACACATGTGCAATCAGACACACACACACACAGGAAATACAGCTCAACTATAAAGGGTAGATTTGAAAATAGATATGTTGTGTCTACCATGTTATGGCTGGATGGTGTATAGCTGCATATATAGCCATAATTTTGCATTTGTAGCATTTTCTTTTTCAATAGTTTCCCTGCAGTTTGACACATTGCTTTGTTTATCTGCAGGTCTTTCATCATTCACATTGAATTCAGTGTTTGGGACGGACAGAGCTGACAGCTGGAGGAAAATGGAGTGCACTCCTGAATCTAACACCTACCTTGAGAGATGCAAAGGGCAGCACTTTTATGATGATTGTTCTGACAGTGGGTACTCAGGTTTATTCCACAGCCCTCAGAGCACTGGTGCGGTTGACTCCTGTAGATCCTTGTCACCGGTAGATTTCAGGGAGACACCAAAAGAGAACCTCAGGCTTCCTCTCACCCCCAATGGAAGGCGCAAAGAACCGGTCAGATATTTAGGCAGAGACCTCAGGGGAATGCAGCAACCATCAGGAGTAAGCTGGTGTGAGACTCCTAAAAGGGGTTCCTGTTTCAGACTGAGACATCAACTGCGCAGACCCACCACAGACATCATAAATGATAATACAAGATCTCCCTGCAGCAGAAGGCCTGGAAGGACCGAGCGCTTGCTCAGTGCATCGTTTGACTCTTTAGACACTGTGACAGGGGCTTTGGCATCAAGCACTCTGGAACAAGATCCGCCTCTATCTAGCAGGAAACGCCGTCTCCTCTTCACACAGGTGAGGACTTCAACTCGAGAAGATGGAAAACCAAACTCTGTCCCCCTCCCCAGTTTTGAGAGCAGAGTTTCATTCTCAGGTACAGATTCCATTGAGAACATCTCAGCCTCTAGTCAAATTCAAACCCAGTCTCTATGCTGTGGAAAGTTCCCATCTCCCCCATCAAAAGAAATCTCTCCCTCACCAATCAGCAGAGTGGGAGACAACCTGTGTGACAGCTTGAGTGTCATATGCACCCCATCCTCAACGCACAGACCCAAATACATTAGGTATGTGCCTTTCTTGAATACTTGGCTAAGTCACTTTAGTTTGACATGTTTCCATCTGCACACTTGAAGAATCTGTTCTAATGTGCTGCTCTGAAATATTCTCATGTTTACTCCTTCTTTGTCCCTGGAACAGGTCTGTGTGTGAAGATAGTGGGTTTGGTTCTCTGACCCTTGATAAATCCCAAGACTCCTCAATGGACCATGATGGCTCATTCCAGGAGCTCCTGCTCTCCAGCTCCAGAGGAAATGGTGAAACCCCAAATTTGGCAGAGACCAAGCGGCGCTTACGTTTGCAGCGTCAGCACAGGCTTTCGACGCTCAAAGAAGGGGGCTCTCAGTCTGAGGAGGACACAGCAGAGAGAAAACAGGAACGTCCCTCTTGGTGCCAAAATCACTCCAAAGAAGATGAGGTTTTTACTTACGATGCCACTCCTTACAGGGCTGTTTCTGTCAAACATAGCAATAGCTTTACCTCTGATTGTTCGACCTCTGCAAAACAAGACTATGCCACCCCTTTAAGACCCATCGCAACCAATCCAAATGACAAGACACCATTAAGCACAGGTCTGGGCAATCAAGATGTAACGCCTCACTCAGCAACCCCAGTGAATTTGTCTCTGACACCAGCGTTGCAGCTGGTTCATGCAATGTGCAAGCAGAATGCCCAGATGTTTGTGGGCCAAAGCCCCTGTCTGAGAGAGCAGCTGAAGTCCACAGCAGCACTGGCAGAGACCATGGCCACATTCAAGACCACTATGCCATTGGCAGGGCTGATTGGCAGGAAGATGGGTCTAGGAAATATTGACATACTCACGGAACTGAAGAAGAGAAACCTCAGGCACATTCTGACCATCATATTCAGCCACCTTTCACCTGAGAGCATCTACAGGTAAGGACTCAATCTTTTAAACAGCTGTATTTACTTTTACGCTTTAATCTCATCAAGTAAATGTCTCATGTATTTACTCTTCAAAGTAGGCCAGGTTCATCAAACTGTGAGTGATTTGTGAAGACAGTATTAACCTGAAAATAAGAATATTGGCATTATTCAAATCTTTCAGGATCTCATGAAACTCATTCAGCTTCTTTTTGATAAACTACAGCTCAGCTCGTAAGAATTTAGTTTGGTTTGAAGTTTGTAAACTTCTCATATTATCACTCATAACTTTAGACTTAGGACATAGTCAGTATTTAACAGTGAAAGTGAAGCATCAAAATGTATTTGTCTGTGTTTGGAAGGTGTGCTCTGGTATGTAGGAGCTGGAATGAAATCATCCAACAAGACAAGCAAGCCAGTTTAAAAAGGAGGAGCCACCAGAGTAAAGTGGAGGCTGCTGATGAGGTGGGTGATGTGCTACTTGGGCTGATGCATCCTTATCGTACCCAGATCTGAACCACCAAGATATTCATATTGCAAAAACAACGATATCAGCTGTATAGATCTTCCCCAAGTTCTGATCAATAACACTGCACTTTTTACATCCTTCAGCAGTATCATGATGGTTTTATTTTCCTGAAAAATGTGTAATTTTCACTAAACTCATTGTTATATCAATATCAACATATCTGGTGTGCATATCTAAATCTGAAAATTTGTCCATATCATTCAGTCTTATTAGCTCCCCTAGGTGAAATATGACGCAGCTTTAATGATCAGTCTTGTGCATTTTACCCGTGAGTGTGGACAGCTGTGTAATCCAAGTCATTGTATGGAGATGAGTGAAGGCCTTTTCTCTCCAGTCTGCTGAAATATGAAGTAACATTTAAATGAGTTTAGGTGGAAATGAACCGACAGGACCTGAAAGTCTCAATCATTTGGTCTTGTTGTCTCATAGCTTGGTGGTGTTGTCCATGTCCCTGAGGCAGAGACCAGACTGGCTCTGGTCAAGAGATCGGCCCTCAAAATTGTTCAGGCCCAGTCCAGGACTTCAAGCCTCTGCACCCCACAGTCAGGAAACGGCACTCAAACTCCATTACAGCACAGCGCTCTGAATTCAGGCAGCAGCAGCAAACGGGAGAGATTTCTTGAAGTGAGGTTCAAACCACTGTACCAGATTTCATCAAGATATTATAATATGTAATATTTGGACATATTAACCACTTGTCTTCAATGCCATGATGATTTATTGACTAGAAAATCTCCACAAGGTAGGTAAAACTTATCATAGAAGTCAAAGTAACTTCTTTCTTTTTTCCCTCCTTTATAGGTTGCCAAAACTCTTTTTAATGATGAATGCCTCAAGCCTTGCCCCAGATGTCAGCATCCCGCCAGGTGTCATTCAGTGAAAGGAGAGGGTGTCTGCTGCAGATCAGACTGTGGTTTCCGGTTTTGCACAGCCTGTCTGTGTGCCTTCCATGGCTCTAAAGAGTGTGGCAGCCAGTCTGCAGGCCGTCGTAAGAAGGACATACTTCTTCCTGGAAGTGCTCAGAGCAAGCGAAACGTGAGGAGACTCTGAGCAGAGTTAATCGTAGTCCTCCAACGCTAACATTTTTCAGCCTTGTGCCTCAGACATGTTTTTAGCAATCATTGAACTTCTTTGAAGTGAGTGCCTGAGAGACAGTTCTGTACTTAGCCATGTGTCTGTGTGCCTGTCTTCTTACTGTATTGTCCTTCTTTTTCTTCAATACAGTTGTACCTGTTTTTAATTATGAATGTGAAGGAAAACTCCAGAAATTCAATGAATTATTTTTTTTCTACATACTTTGATCAACTGTACATGAAGTACTTCTTGAAAGTTCAGAGATTTTCAACTTTTAGCACTGTTTAAAATAAATGTATTTTTCTTTTTATACCCACTGGTCCCTTGTCTCTCCTTCCTGAAACAGCTGGTACTCCCTGGACTTTACCTCTCATGTACAAATGAATTTGTGAGTATTTGGTGCCACCTTATGGTACTGAGTGGTAACTGGCTGGATTTCTTCATTTCTCTAACATTTTTTTAACTCCACAAGATAAATGAGCTCAGATGGTAATAAACATTTAGATTCTGTTAACATTTAACAAAAGTTATTTTTGAGTCCAAACTCTGAGCAGAAACAGGAATGTGTGTGTTTGTCTGGAGTCAGACCTAGTTAAACTTTTACCGCCCCCTGTGTTTTTAAAATGAGTCCACTTCCATAGCAACCAGCAGTGTGTACCAAATTACTGTGAAAGCTTTGTGGCTGCTCCAGAGCTCAATGGCAGCCAGTTTGAAAATACTGTAACAGTGTTTTTAGGAGGAACAATGTGTGCAGTAAGAGTTCCAGGTAAGACAAACCTCTACCAGAAATTTGAGCTGTATTTGGTCTGAGCTGATGTTGCTTTGGAATTTAAAACTTAAACTTGTTTTTTTTTTTTTTTTTTAAGACTGTACTTATCTTAGCGCTGACAATCTAGTAAGTTCAAGGTTTTATTTACATTCTTTACTCTGTAAAAAGTTTAATGACTGTAATACTGTAATAATGCTTGTCTCATGTAGGACAGGTCTCTGGCCTCTGATGATTTGTTGGCTCACTACTTTAATGACTTCCTGAGTTTGCCGGTAAAGTAATCCTGACACAGAGATAAAAGATAGATGGGATTTTATCTCTTGTATCTTTTGTATTGTTTTTGCTTTTTGTATGATATGGACTTATTGGGTCTGAAATAAAATTTATACATACAGTATATACCTTTCATAAAACCCAAGCACCCTGTGTATATGCTAACATCTCTTTTCAGTCTTTCCCAAAGGCTGTGACCTATGACCAGGAGACGGGGCTGTTTGAGGTGGTGAGTGGAGCTGCTGAGCTCGTGTCCAGAAGTATCAGATCAAACCTGCACCGCAGCAAATCACAGCTCCTCACCGGTGACCCCACAGCACTGGCCAGACCCCCTCCAGTAGACAACCATTATACTGTCTATGTGAGTGCTGAGTGATATCTTTGCAGGGTGAACCGCATCATACTGGTAGGTTGGGTTTGTGATTTGGGGAGAGGTAGGCAGCTGAGCTTCAACAGGAATCTTCCTCCCTGACCTTTACAGTGCCTGGACAAGGAGGAAGGACTTGAGTGGATAAAGATGAACAGGTTGCCCTTTTTTCTTCAGAGCGAATACTACAGTGAATACAGGTAATACAAATGCTGAGCAACTCTTCCTCCTTATACACGAGAACACATAAGGTGTACCTCGAGTCGTCTGTCATGATTTAGACAGCTGCTGCTTCCATCCTAACATTAGTATAAAGTTGATCATATTTTGTCTGCACTGCATTGTCTTACCTCCCTCTAAACATTTAAGAATATTTTCTCCTGATCTTTAGGATGTTTTAAAGCTCTGTTTGCCTCTAAAAGCAGCCTTTTGTGTGTATACTCTGGCACCGATTATGTAGCAGTTTTTCCAAAAATCCGTCCTTAGACTTGCCAAGCTGATGCTGCAGCAGGGCCCAAACTATTGCTTTCAGAGGAGGAGAGTCACATCAAATCAAACCTGCGTGTCAGCACAGCAGCAGCATTTTCATCCTCAGATCAACCTGAGAAATGACAACGCACTGAAAGCCCCAACGTGTCCACATTGCCAAGGTATCATTCTGTGTGATGATCATATGTTCTAGCTAAAGAAAAGGATACTGATGATCTTTTTCTGTATTGTGCAGCAGCAGTGAGGTCAGCTGGTGACACTGCATATGGATCACCCGAACAGGAACTTTGCAACACAAAAAGCTGTTCAGAGTCAGAAAGCCTATGCAGAATTTCTTCTCAGTCCTCCTTTAGCCTTACTTTCATGGAAACCAAGGATCCCTGCAGCTCAAAGACAGACTTCAGCCGGTTCATTACAGCACCATCAGCAGGGATCTCAGAAGCACAACATCATCATGAGCCCAACAGCCTAACTTTTGATTCCTCCAAACAACAAGTGGAGCTCATGGCTGCTGAGGTGGTGCAACAGGTGTTAAACAATGCACTGAATGTGATGACAAGACACACAAGCATAGGCTGCTCCTGTGAAAGTAAAGTTAGCCAGCTCTTACCTAGAGAGGGGAAAGAAAGACTGGAGGGGGAGGAAGAAAAGTTTCAAGAGAGGAAGACAGAGTGTGGAGAAGAAGACAAGACAAATGAGCCCAAGATGAAGGAGGTGGGAAATTGGGGAGCAACTCATGAAAATGTTCTTGGTATTTGTTGCCATGGTCCCTGTTGCTATGGCACTAGACCAGGATTGGATGAGTTCAAGGAGTTTTTGCAAGGGACGCCTGGAGAGAAGCTGTTAAACCTCTGGATGGATATAGAGAGACTAAAAACGACACAGAACAGAGAGCGGAAGAAAAGGTGCACATCAGAACAGGACACTATCTGACCAAACTGAAGTGTTTTTGTGTGTGTTTGACTGAGATTGAACCTGAAACCCAATCCAATCCAGGTTTATTTATATAGCACATTTAAAAACAACAAAGCGCTGACCAAAGTACTGTACAGTAAAATTAAAAACAAATAAAAAGAACCAGATAATTTTACCAGACAACCCCCTTAAAAACAGGGGCTGAGCTGGGTGGCTGAATTCATTCATCTGAGGGAATGATCTGATGTGATGTTTTGTGGTATTTTGATCAGGTATGTGGTCTTGATGAGGAGCTGCTACCTCCTGAGCAGCAGTCAGAGCAGTCTGAATGTAGAGCTGCTCTCCAGGCTGGGGCTCTCTACCTCCCCCTGCTGGACAGAGGACAAACTGTGCTCAGTTCAGCCTTTCCTTATGGAGTCCCTGCTCTCCTATTGGTGAGAATGGCAGTTCAGAGTACATCATATGGCCTGTCTTTGTGTGTCTGTTATCCTATTGTGTAAGTCTAATGATGGACATAGTTTATAGTATGGATACATGGTCATGATGAGTAGGACACAGCAGAGGCCCCTCAGTGTTTTATCTAGTAAAGGCTCAGTGGGAACACTCTTCTTTATCGCCCCTTTCTCCACAGGTTTCCCAGGTTCTGGACTTCCCAGCGTGTCCACAAAGACCAGGAGGAGGTTTTGCATCCAAGACAGTGGACAGAGCCGTGTTTAAGCCCCCTGTCAGACATTCAGCCCCACCCTGGGTTTTTGACCCTGCCTCTCCTTGGCCCTGACTCCCCAGCTGTCCACACACAGGTAAGTCCATTTGACAGGACAGGGCTCTGTGCATAGGGCAAGGACACAGAGACCAGTACCAGCAACTTAACCTCGTGATAAAGTCTTTATATATTAAAATAAGCATGATGGTGGTCCCCACTGTCTGTATTTTGATGAATGACTCTTTTCCTGTGGATGTCTTTTATCAGTTGTACTCCAGCAGAAGAGTCGAGGAGATGTTACAGGCTCTTTGTGTTGAACCATGGGCCGGTTTATACTTCACTAACTTCTGTGAACAATCTGGAAACCAGGTACAGCAGCAGCTACTGAACTATTTTTCCCATCTCTTTGTATTGTTCATCACAGTCTTTTTTGTTCCAGCTGTGGGAGAATGCAGTAAACTTTTGGACTGACCTGCAGCACTACCGTGAGCTGTTCTATCAAGATGGACTGGACCTTTACAGAGTACAGAGGCAGGCACAGGTCAGCACCTACACCTGGATAACTCTGCTGAGTATCCAAAAATATTCTTAGATCAATGTCAAATGTTTAGCTGTTGTATTTTAAGAGACCCAGGAGTGAAAAAACTAACATGAATAGTAGAGCAGACCTGGATCAGGACATCAGTCGACTCCTGGACAGTCTGTGGTAGATGAAATCAATGATAGATGATGTCTCAGAGGTGCTGGATTGGATTCAGGTCTAGGGAACAGACAGGCCAGCCAACGGCATCAATGCCTCTGTTATCCAGGAAGTGCTGACACACTCCATCCACATTGTCCCGGACAACAAGAAGGCCACTGCACCGGCATATGATGACAGTAGGTCTGAGGATCTCATCCTGGTACCTGACAGTAGTCAGGGTACCTCTGGCTATTATGTGGGGGTCTGTGCAGCCCTCCAAGGATATACCAGTTTGGCCCACCCCCAAACCGGTTATACTGGAGGGTGTTTCAGCAGCAGTTCTTCAAGAGTCTCCAGACTCTCACATCTGTCCTATATGACCAATATTGGGGTTCTCTAACAAATGTTAATCAGGCTGCACAGTGCCAGGCTGTGAGCACAGTTCCCACCTGTGCATGGGGGCCCCTCATTCCATCTTCATGGACTCTGTTTCAGACAGTTTGGTCAGAAACATGCACTGGAGTGACCTGCTGGAGGTCATTTTATAGGGTACTGGCAGTACTCCTTCTGGTCCTACTGGTACAAAGGAGGTCCTGCTGTTGAGTAGTCGCCTTCCTACGGCCCCTCCACCTCTCCCGGTATCTCCAGTGTGCTGGGAGACACAGCAAACCTTCTGGCCATGGCATGCATGAATGTACCATCCTGGAGGAGCTGCACCATCTGAGCAGGTTCTGTGGGCTGCGTATACCACCTCATGTGGTCCACCTGTAGAGAGGGTGCTGGGAAAATGGTAAAACTAGCCGAGAAAGGATCTAATATTTCCTTTTTCAGTCTAAAACCAAGTACTTCAGCTGAGTCAGCTGGCCTGTATATACGTATGATTTATTGCTGCCACAAAAGCTCCGCTCTTTTTAAGGTCATTAGCCATCAGACCAAAAAAAAAAAAAAAACAGATTAAAAAAAAAAAAGTTTTACAAGTTGTTTGTTCAGTCTCTCTGCCAAAGCCAATGGTGAAAGTCGAACAAATTATGAGGGATATAAATCTGTTCAACTGTTTTTGTGGGAATGAAAAGCTGAAATTTTCAGTAACTTGAAGCTGACATTAAAATGACTCATCCAGGAGAGGACACCTCTCCAAAGAGACTGAAGTCCTGCCAGGATCAATCATGAAACACATTTTTTATGATGAGAATAAAGGTCTATAAATATCTTTATATTGTGACCATCTATGCAGAGGCACTCTAACAGACTAAATTATAGCTGATCCAACCAAGCTGCTCTCAGCTCTTTGCCTTTTGGCCTGCTGCTGCTGCTCTCTCCTCTGCCTCCTTGACCCTCCACTAAGTGGAGAGATGTAAACACCCATTAAAAAAAAAAAAAAAGACAAGTGAGTCAGTCCTCAAACCCCAGCTCCTCACCAGTCCAGCCACAGGGAACCACCCAGTCTGACTACAGCTGGACCAGGGCGCAAAGCTGAGTGATCAGGTCCAGAAAACCTCAGAGTCAAATCTATTTTCCTGGAGTTAACCTTCAGTTCACCAAAGGAACGACATTAAGAGGATCTTTCCACAGTGCTGATGCCAAGAGGGTTAAATGAATGACATTAATGTGGTGTGATGGCTGCAGCCGTGAGAGATAGTGAATATTGTGTTTGAGAGCATTTAACAATGGAGATGATGGAAGTGATGGTGGTTTGAGGAAAAAAGGCTCTGAAAGTGATGACATTTTTATGATCTCTCCTCTCAACTCCCCTCCTCTCCTCTCCTCCTCTTCTCTTGTTCCCTCTTCTCTCCTCTCCTCAGCTGCTGTACTCCACCTATCTTTTCAGTTCTGCCAGGAGCAGCTTTGGTGTAAATGAAGAGATCAGGAGGGAGGTGTACAGTCGTATGATTCCTGCCTACGAAGAGCTTTTTGACAGGGTTGAGGAGCACACCCTGAATCTCCTGCTGGAGCCTTGGACACTGTTGGTCAGCAGAGACACTCAGTCCTTTCAGAAGGTAACAGCAGTGCATCAGAAACTTCAGCAGCTTACCTCATCTCTAGAGAGAGTGTGTTTACTGTCATAAGTCGAAGGTTTAGCTGACTCAGAGTTTCTTGGTTTGATGGACTTTCTGTCAGTCTGACGACCACACTATTTTTGTAGAGTATGAAGACACTGGGCACCTCCAAGTCATGCAGATCAGTTTATCCAAACAGTTTCTTACTTTTTACTACACTTTCTTCAGTCCAGTTTAATCATGAATGTGATGTCTATCAGATAAGCTTCTTTCAATGAGCCATGTACACAATACCCATCAAATGAGATTGCAAAAGCACAAATGGGATATAATTTCTTTTTTAAAGAAAAATTCCTGCCTTGAGCTTTTCAGAATCTTTCAAGACAAGCTATAAAATAACAAGATTATTAAACAAAATAATATTTAAAGCTCCTGTGAGTAACTCTCGGTTTGTCCTCCCTGTGAACAAAGCAGTCTTTGTCTATCTTGTCTTTGTCTATCTAACAACGTGGGGAAAAAAGAGTTTTGAAGAAAAAGAGAGAACTCCATCACAATTTAAATTATTTTCAATACTTTACATGTACATTGAAAAAAGAACAAAGTTTCTGCCTGTTAAAGGAAGTTCTTCCTCTTCACTGTAACTTACTAAGTGATGGAAAGTGTTTCACTCATGGTTGAAGATAGGATGGGTTGTCTCCACAGAGGAAGACCTTTTCATGTGTGCAGCCTATATCCCCCCATCAGAGTCTCCTTATTACAACAAAAACACTTTCCCCATTCTGGAGGACAAGATCAGCTGTTACCAGACACAGGGAAATGTGCTGATCTGTGGTGACCCTAACGCCAGAACAGGCACAGATCCTGATTCAATTAATGCACATAGAGACAAACACATACCTGATCAGCATCCCTCCTCCTCCTCCTCCACATCTGCACAGAAACAACTTTGATAAAACTGTCAACAGAAATGGGCATCAACTGCTGCAGATGTGTCACACACTGGGGGCTGTACATAGTCAACTGTCAGCTTCGAGGGGACTCCTTTGGTCACTACACACACAGCTCTCCTCTTGGCAACAGCACAGTAGACTATAGTATTCCAGACCTAGACCCCTTCTGTTTTAAGGCATTCACTGTCAGCCCCCTAACACCCCTATCAGACCACAGCAAAATCACCCTGTACATTAGGAGGACCCCAACAGACCCCCATGTAGCACAGCCCAGTAGGCTCAACCGCTCCAAACAGCCTTACAGGTGGACAAGTCATAGCAAAGATGACGATCAGAGAGCAATCGGGCATCTAACTATCTCATCCACGTTCGACCATTTTCTCTCCACCTCATGTCCCCACAGTAATGATGGCCTCAATCAGGCTGCTGGGGGTATTAACAAAATATTTGACCAAACAGCATCTCTATCCAATCTAAACAAATCAAACAAATCTAAGCATCATGGTTCAAACTGATGAAAAGTGGTTTGATTTGCACTGCAGATCTCTGAAAAAAACACTCCGTAAATTGTCCAATGAAAAACACCTGCAACCTGATAATCAGGAGCTCCGCCTTCATTACTGGGAATCAATGAAGTTTTATAGAAAAGAAATTGAGCACTAAAAAGAAACAACATGAACAGAACCTCCGCGAAGAAACTGAAGAGTCTATTGACTCCAATATTTTTTGGAAAAAAAATGGCATTTATTTAAGAAATCTAACAAAGAAGAACTGGCCATTCAAAATGGTGACATTTGGAAAAAGCACTTTGAAAATCAATACAGTGCAATCCCTCTGGATTCAGCCCCAAATAATCTGCTTAACAGATTAGAAGCCCTTGAATCAGTTGTTAAAGACAATCAAAACCCTCTAGAATATGTTACTAATGAAGAGGAGCTGCTGACCAAGATCCAGGCTCTGCAGCCAAGGAAGGCAAGTGGACCGGATCGCATCCCAAATCAAATGCTTCAGTTTAGCAGCCATAAAATCAGGACTGCCTTATTGAAATTATTCAATCTTATTTTGATCATCGGACATTTCCAGACACCTGGAGCCAAAGAATAATCACTCTAATCCACAAAAGTGGAGACAAGTATGAGCCCAACAACTACAGAGGCATATGTGTCATCAGCAGCCTAGGGAAGTTATTCTACAGCGTCGTTAACAGCTATCTGCAAAACTTCCTCAGTGAGCACCATGTCCTGAACAAGAGTCACATTGGATTCACACCCAAACACAAAACCGCTGACCACATCTACACCCTCCACACCCTCATCCAGAAAAATAATCACAGACAAAATCTTCACTTGTTTTGTGGATTTCAAAAAAGCATTCGATTGAATTTGGCATCAGGGTCTATTTCTAAAATTGCTAGACAATAAAACAATGTACAGTGCCTTGAAAAAGTATTCATACCCCTGAACTTTTTCACATTTTGTCACAAACTTTGTTTGTCATAGACCAACACAAAGTAGCACATAATTGTGATGTGGAATGAAAATGATACATGGTTTTAAAAAATTTAAACAAATAAAAATCTGAAAAGTATGATGTGCATTTGTATTCAGCCCCCCTGTGTCAATACTTTGTAGAGCCACCTTTTGCTACAATTACAGCTGCAAGTCTTTTGGGGTATTTTTCTACAAGCTTTGCACATCTAGAGATTGAATTTTTTGCCCAATCTGTTTTGCAAAATAGCTCAAGCTCAGCCAGATTGGATGGAGAGTGTCTGTGCACAGCAATTTTCAGAGTGACCATGGGCCACTTGGCTGCTTCTCTCGCCAGTGCTCTCTTTGCTCGGTCTGTCAGTTTAGGTGGGGGGCCATGTCATGGTAGGTTAGTAGTTGTGGCATACTTCTTCCATTTTTGGATGATGGATTGAACAGAGCTCCTTGAGATGTTCAAAGCTTTGGATATTTTCTTTTAACCTAACCCTGCTTTAAACTTCTCCACAACTTCTTCCCTGACCTGTCTGGTGAGTTAATTGGTCTTCCTGATGCTCTTTGTTGACTAGTGTTCTCTAACAAAGCACTGAGGCCTTCACAGAACAGTTGTATGTATGCTGATACTAAATTACACACAGGTGGACTCTATTAACTAATTAGCTGACTTCTTGAGGCAATTGATTGCACTGCATTTTATTTAGGGGTATCAGAGTACAGGGGGCTGAATACAAATGCACACCACTTTTCAGATTTTTATTTGTTTAAATTTTTGAAAACCATTTATCATTTTTGTTCCACGTCACAATTATGTGCTACTTTGTGATGGTCTATGACAAAAAATCTCAAAAAAAAACTTTAAAGTTTGTGGCTGTACAGAGACAAAATGTGAAAAAGTTCAAGGGGTCTGAATACTTTTTCAAGCCACTGTACATAAATAATCAATGAGCGATAAAAATTGGAACCAGAAAAACAGACACTTCTCCCCCAAAGTAGAGGGGTAAATCAGGGCTGCAGTCTCAGCCCCACCCTCTCCAATATCTATACTGATGATTTGGCCAAATCCCTGGAAGAGTCAGACATCCCTGGTCTCACCCTCTCTGACACACAAGTCAAGTTCTTACTTTTTGCTGACAATCTAATCGATCGTGCTCGCTCCATCTAAAGAGGCTCTACAAAAACAATTAGAACATCTACAAGAATTCTGTCGGACCTGGGCCCTTACCATTAACCCTGATAAGACAAGAGTCATGGTCTTTCAGAAACGACTCAAGTGTCAGAAAGACCAGCACAGGTTCCTCCTGGACTCTACAGACATACGACACACACACAGCTACACATACCTCGGACTAAACATCACATCTACAGGAAATTTCAATCTGGCCATTAACGATCTGCGAGACAAGAGCAGAAGAGCCTTCTGGTCTTGGGACAAACACCCAATCGAAAGTCTGCACACAGAGATTTTTAAAAGCATTCCCTGGGTCCACGGAAACAGCCCCAATAATGGATGCAGAGCTGAATTAGGCCAATGTCCCCTTTGAATTTGGATCCAAAAAAGGGCAATCAAATTCTACCATCACCTCAAAGCCAGCCACCCTAGCTTCTACCACTGCAAAGCCCTGCAGAACCAAGAGGAGAGCAGACACAGGAGTCCCCTCAGTCAGCCGGTCCACAGGCTCAGCTCTATCAGCACTGAGCACCAAGACCGCCCTCACACAATCCGGCCCCCCAACCAAATTATTAAAAAAAAAAAAGACAACGACATCAACGATTGGATAGTAGTGGGTCTGATCTTACAGGATGGGTCTGAGTCTTGTCCCATCTTAACATTGGGTCTTTGTAAACAGAGTCTGGTCTAGACCAGCTTTTTTGTTGTTAGGGTAATAAGTCCAGTTTTGAGAACCTCTGACCTAGACCATGACTATCAGTGTGGAAGTAGTTGCAGATAACTTTTATTTTTAACTTCATATGGTCTTTTTTTATGTTGTATGTACAGGTCTGTTTGCAGGAGGAGGTGCGCTGTGTGGACAGTCCAGAGTACAGGGAACTTCAGAGTCTTTACAAAGAGTCAAAGCGTCAACTCTATCAAGTATGCCAAATTCTGCCCCAGTTTCACCCACGAATACACCTTTGTGCTCAGTTTCAAATGCCAATAAATACATTAACACAGTAAAAACAGCCAGCCAGTGCTAACAGTCATGTAAATAATTGATGCTGCTGCTCCTTCACAGATGGAGCAGTGTGGGTCCGTGCTCTCCCCCTCTGCTTTCCCCTCTACTCCCCTCTCAAAGGGCTCAGGGACATCAGACGCCTGGTCAAGCGTGTCACCTAATTACCGAGGTTACCGTCTAGGTTCTTTACTTCGTCACCGTCATGAGATTGGGCACTTCATGTCCTTCCTCCAGAGTCAGAATGCCAGGTGAGCAATAATCCAAGATTTCACAGATATTGAGAACATGTAATATGCAAGAACACAGGGTCAGTGTACTTGACATAAATTTGCATCATGTTCTCTAACATGCAGGCAGTATGGATAAACGCATTAACTGTGTTAGTGCAGATTGTAGACAGTGCAGTGAATATGTGGAAATATTAAGATGCTTGTTGTCTATGACCATGATCAGTATCCACATGCAGTGCTGGCTGGATCTGGAGCAGTACAAGAGGACTCCTCAGAGGGACAAGGCTGTCAGAAAGGAGAGGTCAACTCATATCACAACCAAATACCTCAACTGGGAGTACTTCTTTGGCCCTGAGAGCCCAGCTGCAATAGAACAACAGAATGATGTATGTCAGTCATTTTTGTCTGTTCAAAAATCCATTTGTCCACTTCCATTGGCAAGTAATAACTCTGTCATTATCAAAGCTCTGATAAAGTTCTATTATTTTGAATTCCTTATAGTGAGTCTCAGAGAGGTAAGGTCAGAAACGTGGTGTCCTTAACATCAAAAACCCAAGTCCAGATTTGATAAACAGAGACTCCTGAGGCTCTTACACAGTTTCTACTTCTCTTCTTTGGCATTGAGGAGACTTCATGCTGACAGAGAGGAACGGGAGAGGGCGTGATAAGAATTAAACCAAGAAGAGGAGAAGACAGTGGTTGGTGTCCAGGTAGTGAAGAAAGATCAGTCCCAGTAAAAATGGCAGCAGGAGGGAGTCTCCTCTGACATGAACAGTCTGAGATAAGGTTTCTGGATTCTGGGATTGTTGCCAGAGGCTTGCTGTGCAGAGTGAGAATACCAACGGAAAATTTCAAAAGAGTAAAAAAGTCTTAAAAATTAGGTCAGGAACATTAAAAAGTTGCCACCTTAGTTCATCAGTGGCTGTGGCTTCACCTATGGTGTGTGGATCATGGGATGAGTTAAAAACCAACCGACTTACATAGCAGCCTCTTCCACCAGTGTGTGAATGTGAAAAGTTATACAAAAGAGCTTTGAGGGGTTCAAACAATACAAACACGTCTCCTTTATCAAGAACTCCTCAACCTTAGCCCACAGATGAAGTTTATAACTCTGCATTTGAAGGAGGATGCCAGCTGCTGTGCCTCGAACTCTTCAGGCCCGGCTCTGGCTGCTGCTGCTCTTGCCTCTCTGTCTTGGTTCTTGTCTGCGTGAGCAGCTTAGAGAGACTGACAGCTTTACTGTTTTGGCCCTTCACTCTTTCAATCACTCAGTCATCCAGTCCACAGATTGGCCTCCTTTCATCTACTGACTCCAACTGCAGTGCCACAACTGGTTCTCATTTCTGAAGCCCGTCTGTGAGTGTATGTGTGAATGCATGCCTTTGTGCTTGCAAAATGAGATGAGAGAAAATATAAAAGAGATATAAATATGGAGACATGGCCAGATCGATGTATGAAGACAGAAAGCAGACAGGGGGATGAAGAGAACAGAGGGGTTCTGGGAATGATGAAGAGCACTGCAGGAGTCAGGAAGGAGAGCAGTTTTCAGGAGGGCTTTTCACTCATATGTTCCTCATTTCTACTGAAATCTCCTGAGCAGAAACACCATTAAACATTCACATCAAAATAATGAGCAAACATGCAACCACCTTCCTCTGCTGGGTTTTTGATCCTCTTTTTCTGTGCGTGTAGATTTTACGTTTGGCAGGAGGACATGAGCGTCTGAAGCAGGAGTGTCTCTCGAACTCAGTCGCCGTGGAGGTCCAGGACATCATCAGGAGTCACATCGAGAAAAAATGGCTGCCACTGTTTTTGTCCACTGCAGAGTTCACAGAGCGGCAGAAACATCAACCAAAGGTGGCAAAGAGTCTCAACACTTCTGCAGAAAATGTGAACAAGACATCTGAAGCACAAGACAACATTCTGAAACACTTTGGGGACTAGACTTAAAGAGGATTGAACACCACATTCAGCAGCTCAGTCCAGCATAAAGAACATGAACAGAGAGGCAGCAGGCCGGATCATGTCCAACAGTTATACAGAGTATTGAACAAATACAACACAGCTCACCATTTGACACAAGCAATTTAGTTCCTGTAGTCTTGTAATTGAAAAGGACAATATGAAGATTTAAAGGCTAATAAAAGAAAGGAAAAAACTGCAGAGACCAGCTGACTTCTCCTCGCCAAGTCTGTCCCAGTCTAAAGAGCGGTACAGACTAGATACATATGAGGAAGTGAGCTGTAGAGAGGCTGCTGGAGTTTTTTTACTCCATGAAAAAAAATACTAGCAATATATTGGTAAATGCATGAATGCTTTCGAATGCATGCTACAGTTCAAACATCAAAAAAGTCATGATGCAGAAAGAAATGCTTATGGAAGTTTTCCAAACTGTCATCTTATTGTTATGTAGTTGAGGAGACCCTGAGCAGTTTCTGCAGCACACGGAGTAGAGCATGAAAGCCTTGCAGATGGTGTCTGCCTTAAATGTTTTACACTTTAGAGTAATATTTAACTGTTTTCTGAGTATTTTGAACAGTCAGCAGTTCAAAATCCTAGATAGGATCATCTGCTCTCATTCCAAATTACATTGATGTGCTGAACTGAACTGGCTGCCATGTTTGGTATCCTGTGAAAGCTTCAGTTTCTTTCTGACTTTGCAGTGCACAGTTCCTCGAATATTTGATATGAGAAAAACATAATCATGGATGTTCATGTTTAAAGTTTTGTGATCACAGAATTCCAAGTGTGTAGGAAAGTGTCCACCCTGGTTTTCTATGTCTGTATCACTGAGGGTCTGTGAAAAGGACAGAGGTACTAAATCGTGGTAAGAAACCACTAAATGTTGTCCCTGTCCACGGCTCTCTCAGGTTGCCTGACCAGGCAAAACCTAAACCTCATATTCCACTCCTCCGCCCCATTATGTGATCAAGTTTACACGTTTGGTCACAGGGATCCTCTTATTAAGTAATGAGAGGTAGATGTAGTTTAGCCTTACAGGAGGAGACAGGTGGGAAAGACCATTAGTGGAGGACAGAACAGGCTGGGGTTGAGGACAGGGATGCCATCAGGTGATCAGAGATCTCTCTAAAAGGAGATTGGAGACATAGAGCAGAGGAAAAAAGACTGAGAGAAGGTGAAAGGTAAGAAAGCAGGGAGAGCTTCAGTTACTGCTGCTGACAGCGAGCAGCAGAGAGGTTGGAGAGGTGCTCAGTGTCTCTGTTACTCCTAATTTACTCAGTGTCTGACTTTTGACCCTCGCATGTTTGTGTTTCTGTGTGTGGTAGCCCCAAGCAGCAGACAGGCTCTCAGTAAACCCCTACCGTCGGCGCAGAGCAAGGAGAGCAGCCTGGAAGGTAAGGGGGAATCCTCTGGGGAAAGCTGGTTGTTTGGGTATTTTGAATGGAGAGAAATAAGGCATTTCCTGGCCTGAAAACGTATGCGATTTAGTTCATGACTTGGCCCCGAGAACTGGCTTTGTCAAACACCATTTTGGCCATGTGGTTGGTTTTCCCAGATTGGATCCAGGATAAATAAGATTAAAGCATCAATATGACTAACCTTCCTTTAATAAGCATGGGAGCCTTTTCCAGCCTCCTTCTCTCAGCTGAACTCAGATATAAAACATGAACATCTCACATTTGAAGCAGGATGATTACAGGAAGAAGTTTTCATACATGATTGTGATTATCATTTCTGTGATCATTACCTCATTTTTGGCAAAGAGCTGCTCTTTCCCATAAAAGAAAAGAAAAAAAAAACAGAGGCCATCTTTACATCTGTTGTTTAGGAACACACTGTACAGTACCATTGCCTTGACAAATGAGTCATGTTTTCTTTAGATGAATCGCTGATTATACAGTATTTCTATTTTCTTAAACCCACCAGGGGGTTTACGTAACAGCTGAGAACCCTGACAGTCCTGTACCATGTGTTCCTGCAGGCTGAGGGACTCTGGATGAGTTCCTCCAAAGAGATCCTGCTGTTTCGACAGATCCTTCTCAACCCTGCCACCTGTCTGCAGTTCCAGCACTTTGTCTTCCTAAAGGGAGACTTCCTGGAAAATGACTTACTTTTCTGGCTGGAGGTGCAGAGGTATAAGGTAAAAGAAGCTTAAATATTCAGAAGATGATGTGATGGGGGCTCACATGACATACCTGCAACATAATCTCTGACACACACAGGTCATTAAATATGACATGGTCGGGTTTTTTCTTTGATATTCATCTGCTGACAGAAGAATTCAAAATTTATTCAAATTGAAAGAAGTTTTTCTTTGTCAGTCTCAGACCAAGTTTAATATGAGAAATGAAAATCTCCATCATCTCCACTGAAAGTAACAGATGTCCTCTCTCTCTCTCTCTCTTTCTCTCTCCCTCCCTTCCTTCCTCCCTCTCTCTATAATGAATTTCCTATCTTTCATGACTGAGATGAAATAGATAGAATCTGAAGAGGTAACCTGACACAGATTTTTTACATTTAAGTAGGTGTAACAAGTTTGAGGATCTGGCGCTGTAATCCTCATTCTGGCCACGAGAGGCCAGAGTGTTCACACTGTAAATCTGCTCAGACTCTTTTTCTCCACCTGTCACTCTTCTATGTGCTGAAATACTGCAAACGTTTAAAATTGTTCAATCTCTTTATTGTGGTGCAGCTCACAAAGTTCCTCCACATATCTGGAGGGCTCCTTTTGCCAACAGTAATATATCAGACTCAAAATGAGACCACCCCTTCTGTGTCCTATGTTCTCCTCCATCATTCAGGACCTGTGTCATTCCCACAGTGAGGAGGCCACCATCCAGCAGAAGATCTCCACCATCATCAGCTGTTTCATTGACTCCTCCATGCCTCCTGCCCTGCAGATAGACATCCCCCCTGAGCAGGCCCAGCACATCCTGGAGAAACGCCACGAGCTGGGCCCTTATATCTTCAGGGAGGCACAGGTAGGGAGTGTGAGGGGGAGTTTTGAGTGTGCTGTGTTCTTCCTCTCTGTTTGATGACTGTGTCTGTTCACTGTGAATACAGATGTCAGTGTTCAGTGAACTGCTCAAGTACTGGCCGGAGTTTCAAGAGTTGTGCAGCTGTGTTCAACAGGAGCAGCTCCTTCCTCTGCTGGAGGAAAAACGTGTCTCACACAGAGCCAGAGTGAGGAGATTGAGGAGAAAAGAGGAGGAGGAGGAAGAGGAGATACAGAGGAGGAGAAGGAGGGCTCAGGTGAAGAAACAACGCTTTACTGAGAGGCTGATCAGCTAGTGATGGAAATACACTGTGTGCACAATTATTAGGCAAGTTGTATTTTTGAGGATAAATTTTATTTTTGAACAACTACAGTGCTCTCGGTCAATCCAAAATGTTAATAAACCTCAAACCTTAATATTTAAGGGAGTAAAAGTGAGATTTTGACTTCCTTAGGAGAATATCTATGTGTGGACAATTATTGGGGGCAGCTATTAGTGTGCAGAATTATTATGCAACTAAATGAAAAATGAAAAATTTTCCATCTCACTTGTTTATTTTCACTTGTTAAAGTGAGAATGATAAACAAACAACTCAATTTACAAATAAAAATTGTTGAAATTTAAAAAAAAAAAAATCAGTGACCAATACAGCCACCCTTCTTTTCATTAACACTCATAAGCCTTCCATTCATGGAGTCTTTCAGTTTCTTGATCTGTTGACGATTAACTTTTTGTGTTGCAGTAACCAAAGCCTTCCAGACACTGTTCCAGACACTGTTCAGAGAGGTGTACTGTCTTCCTTCACTGTAAATTTCCTGTTTAAGAAGGGCTCACAAGTTCTCAACAGGGTTTAGGTCAGGTGAAGAAGGAGGCCACGTCATTATTCTTTCGTTTTTAAGGCCTTTACTGGCGAGCCACATAGTGGAGTACTTCGTTGCATGCAATGGAGCATTGTCCTGCATAAAAATCATGGTTTTCTTGAAAGATGCAGACTTTTGCCTGTACCACTGCTTGAAGAAAGTGTCTTCTCAAAACTGGCAGTAGGTTTGGGAGTTGATTTTAAGTCCATCTTCAACTCGAAAAGGTCCAGCTAGCTCATCTTTAATAATACCAGCCCATACCAGTACCCCGCCTCCACTTTGCTGGTATCTGATTCGAAGTGGAGCTCTGTGCCCGTTACTGATCCAGCCACGGGTCCATCCATCTGGTCCGTCAAGAGTCACTCTCATCCCATCAGTCCATAAAACCTTTGAAAAATCTCTCTTCAGATATTTCTTGGCCCAGTCTTGACGTTTCAACTTGTGTCTTGTTCAGTGGTGGTCAGATTTCAGCCTTCCTTACTTTGGCCATGTCTCTGAGCACTGATCATCTTGTACCTCTGGACACTCCAGGTAGGTTGCAGTTCTGGAATATGACAGCACCGGAGGATAAGCGCTTCCTGGTAGCTTTACGTTTGAGTCTCCTCAAATCTTTGGCAGTTAATTTGCGTCTTTTTTTCTTAACACGTTTCTTGCGACCCTGTTGACTATTTGCATCAAAATGTTTGCTGATTCTGTGATCACACCCAAATATCTAAGCAATTTCAAGAGTGCTGCATCCCTCTGAAAGACTTTTTACATTTTTTGACTTTTCAGAGTCATTTAAATCTCTTTTTTGGCCCATTTTACCTGAGGAAAAGAAGCTGCCTAATAATTATGCACACCTTGATTTAGGGTTTTGATCTCCTTAGGCCCCAGCCTCCCTCATTACACTAATACACATTACCTGATATGCTTATATCCAATAAGCATTCAAGTTTATACAGCTTGGAGTTGGAAAATATGCATAAAAATGATGATATGATCAAAATACTCACTTGCCTATTAATTGTGCACAGTGTACAGCCTTCTCATGAAACAGAGTTGAAATGGAGAGCATGTTCATTTATGACTCATCAAATTCTATCTGTGATGGTGTTACAGAAGAAGCTGGAGAGACCAGAGTCCAATTTACAAGAGGAGGATGAGACAGATGATGAAGAGGAGGTGACAGAGGAGGAAGAGCTGAGCAGTGAAAGAACTCCTACACAGTGGGTAAGGAAGAGTCTGTTTCTGTGGAGGGAACTCTACACATGTTGTTGTGTGTGTAAATATGTGTGTGACAAATGAAGCTGGTCTCAGTGCAGCTGCTGGAGCTGACCCGGGTATTCAGGGCGGAGCTGCTCAAAGCAAAACGAGTGTAATTCATGCAACATGATCCCTGAATAGGTGAGAGATGGTCATCCAGCACCTCAACCCTCAGAGCTCCATGCTGATCTGCCCAGAAGGATGTCAAACACAGAGGGGGGTTCACACACAGACCTGAACCATCACAGGGCAGCACCAACAGCTGCCCATACCAATCCAAACCAGAGTCTGATTTCAAGTTCACTCAAAAAGAGCAAAAAGAGGATTTATTCCTGCCCTCGATTTCATCCAAACAACCCACAGATGTCTGTTTTTTTTGTTGTTGTTGTTGTTGCAAAGACCGTCTGCTGCAGAAGCGATGAACTGATGTTCTGCTTTCATGAGCTTCAGTATTTTACATCATAAGATTCAAGATTCAGGCAGAAGTCAGATCCATCTTTTGAACTCAGAATCTGATTTTTCTTCATATCACCTGAAAGTTTGTTTAATGACGTATTGTAAGTAACATTTTTGCATTATTGTTGACAGTGAAACAGTGAGACTGTTTAATGAACACTGCTGACTCAGTGTATGTGGATAAATCAGCTCAGTACAGCTTGATAATTAAATATGAGTAACTGTAAGAGCTCCACTCGTTTTGTGTCAAGTTTGGTTTATTCTCATGCAGATTTAATGACAGGAAGAAGACAAAGAAGAGGAAGACTGCAGTTAACAACAAGACAGCCCCCTTTTAACTGTTTTGTACTGTCTTAGAGGACACCACAGGATGAAAAACAATGAAGAAAAATCTGCATGAGCATGCAGTCAGAGCAGGGCCTCAGCAGTCTTAGCCACAGACCAGAGAGGATATGCTCAGTCCCCTAATTCAACCAGTTTTCTAACCACACCAGATCTGACTGAACTTGTGGATTTCTCCCTCCAGCTGTCATGGTCCTACTCCAAGTACATGGCAGCTTTAAAGAGGGAGGAAGTGCGGCTGAAGAGACAGAGTGAGCGGGAAGCCTCTTTCTCCACAGTATCAGGTACACTCGCATACCTCTCTTTGTCTCCCCAGGCTCGGTCAAAAATGTTCAGCAGTGACTGCTCTCTGCTACCAGACAGATTAAATGCAGGAAACCATAACAGTGAAATGACATTTAGCCTTTCCCACAGTCAAATCCAAACCACATTTCCAGCGTACCTTGCAGTTAAAGGCAAAGTTAGTCACACCCCCTCCTGTCTTATAATGTCAAACCTCAACCAAAATATCCACTTTAGCCTGTCCATTTGGCACCAATGTTCTGTGCAGCCAGAAGACCAAGCCCATTATGAGTGGACATGTCAATGAGGTGTGATATTAACTCTAATGGAGTAGGTTGGGGTGGATAGTAAATGAGGACATGAAATGAAGCGTTGTGCAAACTTCATTTTCTTCCAAGTGCTGTTGGGAACATGAAGAGATCATTCCTGGTATCTGCATGGTGGGGACAAAGTCAACATATAGTAGATGGAGGACAAATGAGGGGCTTTTACACAAACGAGACGTGAACATATCTTCTCTTTTTAAATGAAACCAGTCACCAGTATATTCAGGGGCCATCACAGCACCCATGTTCAGCTGTCTCATTCAACTTTCTGCCTCTCCAGAGACCTCCTCTCACTGCAGCATCAGGTCGGGAGGCAGGAAACACAGCAGCCAGCGGCCTTTGTGTTGGTCATCCGGGAGGACGAGTAAACAGTCGAACAGTGAGTGAATTACAGACATTCAACACAAGGGTGGCTTTGCTGCTGACTGACTCCAGTGTGTTTCTGCAGGGAGTGTCATGGCCTGCAACATCAAGTGACCCCAGAGAGTTTGAACCATGGACTGTATATAGAATGGACGCTGTCTGCCTCCTTGCTGAGTGAAGCCATCGTGAGAACAGCACCCTCTGGTGACAGGCTGCAGTATAGGTCATAAATCCCGCCTCCTCCAGCAATCCCTATGGAGCTGTGGACAAACTTGAGAAATTTATTACACAGAATATACATTTTTCTCCGCCCTGGTTGTGATGTTGACATGTAGTTACTGTAAGACTGGTTTGTGCTCAAGTCTTCTTTTTTCCTGTGCAGCTCCATTTTTAAAAGTGTTTAGGGGGTTCATGTTTTCTATGATTGACACTTGAAGGTTGTGTAGCTCACCTTTTTTTAGCCGAGCGTCATCACAGCAACTCTCCTGCATAATGCGTACAACGCTACTGCACAAATGGTGGTTCCAGGAAGTGGAGAAAATACTGGAAATACTGAGCGCAATTTGGCTTCAAATTCATATAATGACGGAGGGCGGAGCCAAGTTGTCCACAGGATATAAAGTTTATGGTTTGTGCACAACAAGTGAGGATGAGAAACAACTCTGTCAGAGAGGAGAGCCGCTGCCATCATCATCATGTAGACTGTGGTTGAAGGACAGGACAGGGTTTAAGCATGACATGAGAACAAGTTTGAAAACCTAAGACACCTCTGAGACTCATGTCTGTATATTCATGTTTGCAAAGTTCAGACACAATCACAGAAGACCCTGTTTTATTTGACCCATATTTAATTAAAATGTGTCACCATTAATATATTAACCAGTAACATACATTCAAGGCATTAGACTTCAATCTTACACAGAGCTCATTGCTACAAGAATATTAAAGGCAAACAACAAGATTGAATTATCACAAGGGGCTGGCTGACAAAGCACAGTGTTACTCTTTAACAAGTATTTTACATCATCTAAAAACATTTTGGTTGACAGCTGGTATCTCTGGTGTCCATCAACTCAGAACTAATATTGCACTTAACATTGGCACGAGATACTATCACTGTAGGGAAAATGTAAACATAAAAACATACTCTGCAGATTAGAAAATTACAGGCTGTTTCGCTAGAAATGTAAAGATCTTAGCACTGTGTGTTTCTGTATGTAAGACTTGAGAGGTTTCAACCTCAGTAAGCCTGAAAAAGTCAAAGGAGAACACACTGTTGGTCCGAGAAGGTTTGAGTTCATCTGAGTTCAGTCTTTATGTCAGTGTGTGTCTGTGCTTGAAACTGATGTTAATCCCACTGAATCTCCTCCGTCCTTATGACGACTTTGCTGTATCCTTAAAAAAATAGAACTCTGATAAACAGTTTCTACGACTCCTATACATGGACGTACTTTAATAAAATAAATCTTATTCTAACACGTTTTTGCATAAATGGGTGGTTATTTTTTCAGAGAAACAAGAAAAGATTCCTTAAGGCTTTTTTTTTTTTAAATCATACCAAAAACAAGTATTTCTGTTTTTTTTTTTGCATTTGTGTTAATGGAAACCGATGCGTAAGGCTTTATTCTTCACCATGGTGAACTTGCTGACAAACACTTTGGAGAAGGCAGGATCCACCAGGTAGCAGTAAGACTTGGTGACAGAAGGCGGGGGATTGGCGAGAGTCACTGGAGGCTGCAGCTGGAGAGAGGAAGCTGAGGGGGAGAGAAACTGGGAGGCTCGCATCACGTAATCCACCAGCCGCTGATACTGCTGCTCTGACAGACGTTCACGAGCGCCGTCACCCTGAGGGAGGACAGATAGATGAGTGCCAATACAGTGGTCTTAATGCTACAGCAACCGGAAAAGAGGTTTGAGGAAAACACACACACACACACACACACACACACACACACACACACACACACACACACACACACACACACACACACACACACACACACACACACACACACAGTCCCAATCTGCCCATCAGAAGACCAACCAGATTCAAGCTGAGACAACTTCAGGGTTTAGAGTCCTGACAAAGACATACTGTGGACTGTAGGGGCTGACCTTTTATTAGTCTCTCAGTTTCTATCACTGTTATCAACCCCAGGCTAAATGTAGAACTTTTGATTCTTTCTTCTTCAACTGTTTTAAGTCCAGCCTCCATTATTGATCTTACTGCTGTGTTATTACTATAGACCTGTGGACTTTCATTTTCCGTAAATCAAACATAGATCAGTCTGTTATCATCATCGTGCTGTTCCTGTAAAAAGTTCACACATTTATCCCCCTCTCTAAACTCAGCTCAGTCTAAGCAGATGACTGTCTAACATCAGTCTGGTTCTGCTCGAGGTTTCTGCCTGTTAAAGGAAGTTCTTCCTCTCCACTGTAACTTGATAAATGCTGTAAAGTGTTTCACTCATGTGGTTGAAGACAGGATGGGAGTGGGTCTGATCTTACAAGATGGGACTCAGTCTGATCTCATCTTTATGGTGGTGATGCTAACATTGACAATGCTAATACTGACCATCCTTCTATTCGGCCCACACCTTAAATATGGACTAGTCAGGCAGTGGAGGCCAACACCTCGATGAGGTTATGAAGTGGGGACCTCATGCCACAGGTGTTTCAGTCAAGTTTTTGTCAGGGCAGGTCAGGTGTTGGGTGTCCCATTTCCGTTAGAGTTGTGGCACAAGTTAAAACAAGATTTGATGGTTTGATAATCATTTAATTTAAGCTTACTTCGCTTTACTGAAAGAGAGTGCTGTATTAAAAATATATGTTGGTGTGTCCCTGAGCACCTCCGTCCAGTGTCTCACCTCTGTATCACTGACCACAGTCTGCTGCTGTAAGGTGAGGGTAAGCTGGCCCTGCTGTCCTGGCTCTTGCTGACACTCCACCTGCAGAGAAAACACATTCCCCTCACAGTTAGCACTGCAGCACAGGCTCTGCAGAGACATTTGTTTGATCACCACTAAAGATTTTTGTCTTTCCTCTGACTCTTACCTCTGTGATGGGGAAGGCCTGCTGCTGGGTGTCCTCACAGAGGCTCACCACAAACAGCACCTCAGAAGTGAGGAGCAGGCAGCCAGCATGCTGCTGACCTGACCCACTTACAATCGTCACCTCCAGGGCCATGTGGAGCTCCGGTCGCCCGAGCGACTGAAGCATCTTCCTACAGTCAAAAAGACAGACATCCTGAATACTCAGGGGATCACACTGATGGTACAGAGGGACTGGTTTGGAGAATGAATTCATAAATGTGTTTATAAATGTATTCAGAGGTTCTTCACACTTCTCCCTCTGCCTAAATGGACTGTGTGTGAATACTGATGTACATCATCACAGGCTCCTCTCACCTCTGATGTGCCTCTTCTTTCAAACATAAGACCACACAAAGTGAACAGCTGACCTCCATGCACACAAACAAGCTACCATACGTGTCTGCATACATCCTGTTCTTTACATTCCCTGAGTGGTTCCTATTACACACATGCTCAGTAAGCAGATATGCATAAGGACTGGGGTCTTCATTCATGTTTCCCTGACAGCGTGTTTACTTTGGGAGGCAGGTGTTCAAATTACAGAGCAGATGTTGGATCAGCCACAGCAGGGCCTGATTGGTTCTGTTCAGTGTTACTCTGCTCACTCAGGCTGACCCCTCAAAGCTACCTGTAGTAGTAAAGATAATTGATGGATGCATGATGGAAACCAGTTTGACTGCAAACAGCATAAATTAAACCACTGGGGAGCATTATCTCAGCCTTCATGTTTTGAAAATCTCTTCTTCATCTTTACCTCTGACATTAGAGCAGTGCACAGCCAAGCCCTTCAGAGTATAAACCTCAAGAGTTGTGTCCTTGTGAATACATCCCAGTGAAAGTGTAATCTAAAACTTAGTCTTATCCTTTTTGGCAGTTGATGGCCGACAACGACGGCTATCAAAGTAAATGTCTGATAACTACAGAAACCAAACCAAGTTTTAAATATGTCAGTATAAATGCTCCCTACAGCTCAGGACAGGAACAATTTCTAGCTGCTGGCTTTGGCAGAGTACCTAAGAAAACTTTTTAACAAGGCTAGAGGAGAGCGAGGGAGGCCAGTCTGGCTACCATGTGTGGAATCAAGGTCAAACATCTCTCCAGGCTTTTATTTTTAAAATTGTCAGTAATGACCCCTCCATTTTTTTAGAAGACAGCAAAAATGATGAGAAGAGAAAGGGAAAAGATCCTGGAGGGGAGAAACAGTGAGAATACATGTCCCATTTTCTAACTAACAGCTAGGCCAACATGCTGGAGGGGGCTGAGAGGGGAGTGAACGACTGAAAGGTTCATACCAAACATATTTCAGGTGGCTGTTTGGAGCATGGGCAGACTTCTCCTCTGTGGGCATGTACAGCTGTTTAGGGAGCTGCCACAACCCTGCACCATGGAGGATCCCTGTGAGAGAAGACACAATGACAAACAAGGAGAGGGCAGATTTCAGAGTTGGAAGACTAGAGAAGTGCGTTTGTGAAAAGAGTATACATGTATAAGGTAGACTTGTCCAGATCCATCCATCCATCCATCCATCCATCCATCCATCCATCCATACATACATACATATCCATTGTCTCTCCAGCATGTCCTGGGTCTGCCCTGTGGTCTGCTACCAGTGGGACATGCCCTGAATTCCTCACCTAGTGGGGTACCCAGGAGGCATCCTGATTAGATGCCCAAGCCACCTTATCTTACTCCTCCCAAGGTGGAGGAGCAGCGGCTCTGCACTCAACTCTTCCCAGATGACCGTGATTCTCTCCCTGTCTCTAAGTTCAGCCACCCTGTGGAGGAAACTCATTTTGGCCGCTTGTACCCACAATCTTGTTCTTTCTGTCACTACCCACAGCTTGTGACCATAGGTGAGGGTAGGAACGTAGATCCACAGGTATTTCGAGAGCTTTGCCTTTCAGCTCAGCTCCCTCTTCACCACAGATCTGTGCAGCGTCTGTATCACTGCTGATGCCGTACCAATCCACCTGTCCATCTCCCACTTCATTCTTCCTCACTCATGAACAAGACCTAGAGATACTTGAACTCCTCCACTTGAGGCAGGACTTCATCCTGGACCCGGAGAAGACACTCCACCTTTTTCAGCTGAGAACCATGGACTCAGATTTGGAGGTGCTGATTCTCATCCCAGCAGCCTCACACATGGCTGTAAACTGATCCAGTGAGAGCTGGAGGTCACGACTCGATAAAACCAACAGGATCACATCATCAGCAGAAAGCAGTGACTCAGTCCTTAGACCACCAAACTGGACCCCCTCCATGCCCTGGCTGTGCCTAGAAATTCTGTCCATAAAAGTTA